TGCTGTTTCAAATGAAACGTCGAAATAAGATTCCCTTTAGGGTACCTCTTCATCACAACATGACGTCACATAAATACATGACGTATTTTTCCCGTACCTAACGAATGTAAACAAGGGAAAAGGAGTAGTCTATTGAAAGCACTTTTTTGTAATTAATATCAAGCTTTCACAAGGTCATATTTGTTTTCAATACTGATGGGAATTTGTATCATTACTCTACTTTGGTAAATATTTATCATTTGAAAGTTAAAAAGTGCTTGTAAATCGGAATTTACACCGCGTAAAACCGAACCGTACGCGCATCACCTCAGCGCAAGTTGTTTACAACGTTGGGTACCCAACGGGGAAATTTAATGTGTATATTACCCGTCTGGCTCGGTTATATCAATATCTTTCGGGTGATCAATATCCAATCAAAAAGGCGGAAAAAATCTGGAAGGGTAATAATCTCATACCATTCAGTTTACCCCAAAATATCTGACAACTTTTAATATTGTAAAACATTATACGTGTATTAAATTAGCTTCCGTTTAAGAAATATAGAGAAGTAATTCAAAATATGAAAATCGCAACGGTTGTTATTGTGATTTAGAGAAGTACGCTAATTTGTTCGTGTTTTTTTGTTGGTGTAATAAGATCAATCTTAATTTTTGTATTCAAAGTCATTGACAAAATTGATGGTTTACATTTCAACATCGGTTCTAACTGCTTGAATTGCGTCAGGTAATTTCCTACAAATACACGAAAAATTAACATATTTTCGGCAACAGAATATTTCCACCCTATCATTAACTGAAGCGGTCTCTGTTGCAAATTACAGTGAAACTTATGCGCATCCGCGCCTGTAATGTTACCGCCCAATTTGTCTCCGCTTTATTGTTATTTCAGTCCTAGGGCGATTGATGGTTTGTTAGTATCTGTGACTTTTCTCTATGATACCATCTGTAAGTGTTGCGCAAAGCTCAGTCGGTTAGAGTGCGAGACTTGTATTCTCGACATTGTGGGTTTGATTCACGGGCTGACCAACTAAAATTACTAATTAGTCTTTCGGATGAGACTTAAAATCGAGGAGAGATCCCGTGTATGAGTGTTTTAACACTTGGCATGTTAAAGAACCAGAGGAAACTTCTGGAATTGGGGCATCTTTCTGTATCTGTATCTTGCACTATCCTCCAAAATATATGAAGACTTATACTCTTAATGGAGGACTCGCATATATGGGCAACCGATGTCGAGTATAAATAAACTCAAAAACACACAGCGTAATAAACCTCTATAGTTTGCAATCTTCAAAACAACATATAAAACAACAACAAGACAACATAATACAATGTTTATATACCATACTCATGTATTTTATATATTGCTGAAGTTATCTTCATTATTTATTTTCAAAGTTTATGTACCTTCTATTTCTTTAATTTTATAATGTATTGTATTGTTTAGTGAAGTTAGAATATTTGAAAATTTATGCATTTCTTTAAATTTAACTCAAGAGTACGCACTTTATCCCGTTCTACAATTCCACATGGTGGGAAATTAGTTATTAATAATATATTTTAGTGTATGGGATTTTGAATGTGCTCAAAACCACCATTTCCTTTCCATGCAAAAACGATTTTGAACTTACATGAAATAGCCGTATGCTTGCTTGCCTGCAAAGAATTCTTCATCAACCTTTTGTAGTGGCGAGTTATTAAGGTCATTAATGAATAAAGGTCGTCATATCGTGACCTTGACCCCTTATGTCAATTGTGCATAGCAAATAGAATTCCTGTTTTGATTTTAACTACCAACAGTATTTATATTGTTAAATACGATATGCCCTCTTATCCCAGCGTGACCTTGTTATGACCTTGACCCCCAATCGGCATTATCAAAACTTGTTGACTGTTGATTTTCCTATAAGAGGACGAAAAACTGACGCACCAGCTGTTGTAAGAGGTATTTTTTCATTTAATAGAATTTTACATAAAAACTATCCTATTTTATCATAAAATCTAACAAACCATCTCTGAAATTCGAAACCTTCAGTTGAAATAAATTAATGATTTAGTGTATATAGGGTGATCTTTTCCGAATATTTTAATGGTGTAATATAAGAATTCATGGTCGTCCATAGAAAAAAGTCACGATTCGATTTTTTTAGATACAGGTCATGTCTTTTTACGTATAATTTTATGAGAGAAAATGACATTCTAAAAATACACATAGCTGTCATTATTTATGAAATTACTCCAATAAATTCAATACATAACATCCACCTGTGCGTTCATCTTTTGTCGGGGTAGGGAAGGCAATCACCTGTTGCCGTTTGTAACTTGAATCATTTAGAACATCGATTCGATAATCAGAATCAGAAATCGTGATGCCGATTCATTTTCATTCGATTGTAAATTTGGAAAATATAACAACGTAAATTCATTGATATCTTGTTAAAGTGGAATCTTTAAAGGAGAACAAGCAGGTATTTCTTTTCATATTCAATATCCTATTTATAGAACAATTCGTGATTTTTTTTTCAATGTAAAAGGGCGTTTATAAAGCATATCTTATTTCTTTTATTTTTCAAATGTGTTTATATTTGAATAAAAGTAGGTATATTATATCAAATTGTAAAGAAAACGTCACTCAGTTGCACGGTTTCTGTATACTTTGCGGACTAGATTGTACATCGGTTTAGCAGGCAATATTATTTTAGGTCATGGCTAGAGGTTGTTCCTCACTGGGGTTGGGGGTGAGGGTTTGGGGCGGTCACTTTCCCAACCACCTTATCCACTCGACAAAAGAAATTTTAAACACCACTTGTTGGTTAGCTTTTTGAGGCGCTATCTATTTTGTGACCTTATATTTGATACTAAAAGCACATCGAATTCATATCGTAATTTCGTAATTAGTAATTCAAAATTAGTAATAGTTATAGTATATGAAATGAGTTATTTACGAGGATATAGCACTGGCTGGGGCGACATCGATGGGGGTTTCTGCTAAAAAATGGCGAGGCTGTACAATTTCTTTTGCAGAAACATCCCGTAGCCACGACATAGTATCTCGCTCTCAAATCTGGAGGTTAGCTGCCAAAAGGCTTTGAACATCACGCACCGAAATTTCGTCGAATCTCGCCAAAAATGAAGCCATCAAAAATTTACCGGTGTTCACGCTTTTTCTAGTTTTGTACACGTTCGTCGATATGGAAAATAAAAAAGCTATGGTTCTATTCGTGTTGATTGTCTTTTGTTTTCAAACCGGAAATTAATTTAGCATAATAAATGAAAAAACCAATCAATTGGAAACAAAGGTAGCTACTATGGTATAAGGTATTTGTGATAATGCACGATTTCAAATTCTCACGCCATCGCTGCTTCCTAATATTACACATTGAAAAGTAAACAACAATTGTTTTTGCGGTTCGACTGAAATGATACGTTAGTTTTTTTAATTCTTTTGCCTGAATAAGTTTCGTTTAATTCGTTTATTGATGTTTCAAGTATTTTGTTGTTCTTTCTTTCTTTCTTTCTTTCTTTCTTTCTTTTCTTTCTTACTTATTGGATAGATTACGCGCATTCATTGTACAATTGTCAAATTTGTCCTCTAGATGAGCCAAAAATTTCAAGAAAATCGACCTTACGAAAAATGTGCTTCAATTTTAAGAAAATTTAAAAATCACAATTCAAGAAATGATTTACATGTTGTATGCGATTAATGACTTAGCGGTATAAATTTATTACGTGACTAACGCAGTAATGGCTATTTTTGCATATTTTGACAATTTTTTGTAATTTTCATAGATATTAATTGTTGTGTGCAATGTGTAGATTACTTTCTTTGTTCAGTTGACAATGTTTTATTTTTTTTAAACTTTTTTTAAAAAAGTTTCATGAAAATTAACATGAATCTTGAGGCATGCTACTTTAAATTAAGCATTGAAGATTAATTATAAATAAAATCTAACAGTAATTATGACAGGTTGTTATGTAGTGTAATTTTTAAGTGTTCAGTGTATTTCAATTAAAATAAAATGTCAATATATAACATAGTGATAGATCTATAGGCTATTTAGTTCAATAAGCCTTTACATGTTGCGTTTACAAATAATTAATCATGACCTCGTTCTATTTCGGAACCTTACCTGTACACCTAATATACTGCGTTTCCTCCAAAAGTATCATTAAAAGAAACGTCTTTTTTGTCAGGTAAGGCGATAAAGGCAATTTTCTATTGTATGTGTAACTTGATACTATTCTAAACAGTCATAGCTGGTAACATGAAACAATGTCAAAATGTATGACAATTCAAATTAGAGTTTCGACATACTTTGAAAGGAATCTATCCGCAATACATGGAAAAAATAGAAGAGCTTCTATCGTTCTGTTGACATGAATTTGACATTATCCCCTCACTTTGTTTGATTTGTCCGAAAACATATATTTTTTTGGAGTAGAGTTTTGAACATTTTTTTACGGTAAATACAAATAACGTATAAGGTATGAAACAAAAGAAAGCTGATATTCAAGGTACACAGTCATAGCTCAATAACATATGTTGTACAGGCATATCATCTTATATCGTGTGCTGCCACATATACTAAAATCGAATGTGCGTTGTTCGTTGAGTCCGGTAATACCACTTGCCGTCTTTCCATTGTGTTACATGCTAGGTGGCGGCCGTAAAAATCGCCCATAAGTTTTTTTTTTTTTTCAAATGCTTTAGTTCGTTGGAACCATTGCAACAATTGTATTGTGTTTTGTACCAATAAAAGAGAAAAAGTAATTGGTAATGATTTCTGTTTATGGGTTGGTTTGTATTTGGGTATAATGGCACTCTTCGCCAAACCGATTTTTTTAACTTTTCCCATGATACAGTTCAAACTTTTGCTAGATCTGCCTTTACTGTAATAAGAATCAGATAAACATTTGATATTGCAAGTTCCTACACACTAAAGTAAGTGTGTAAATAATTGATGCATCAAGTTTTAAAATGTCACTTTATTTTATTTTCAGGATCCCCACCGTCACTATCGTGACAGTTACGAGGACCACTCAAACGGGGCAAGTGGTGTATATACCCGTGGTTACGTCCCTTGGCAGTGGGGTTACTGGTCTTCGGACAATATGGCTTACGCCGGACAAGATGACGCCTTTTATTCCATCCAAGATGACCGTTCCCGAGGTAGAGGACGAGGTCACTATGCAGGAAATATGTATGATAACGCCGGTTATCATGGTTACAAACAAGGAATTAGTGGAGGAGGCAGTTATAAATTAAAACCACGTAAGACACCGATATATTTTGCATAAATTAATTGACTTGACAAAACTTTTTAATTCGCGTCCGTCCTTTTCCCCTCTCTCTCAAAAGTCATTTATGTCTCAGCGTGATCTTATTCCAATGCTACACTTAAATGGAAAAGGATATTATTATTATTATTATTATTATTATTATTAGCTCGATTATTCGAAGGATAGGGAGAATTATTACACTAAATCCGGCGTCGGCGTCACTCTTAGATTATTTTTTTGCATGAAAGTTAGTATCTCCGAAACTACTGAAGGGAATAGGTTGAAACTTCACACACTTATTTCAAGCATAATAATAATAATAATAATAATAATAATAAAGACTTTATTTGAACTCATTTGAACAAACATATCAATCTTCCATGAGGCCCCCAACAAGGAACAATATAAACTTAAAATATTCAAACTATTAAAATACATAAATGTAAAAACATACATGAGATTATCAATTTGTATACATCAATGTGTGATAAAACCTCAAGTATAAGGTTTTTAAATGGTTAACAGATGTAGCAGACTTAATATAATCAGGAAGGCCATTCCAAATACAAGATCCAGAATAAACAAAAGACATACGAAATTGTTCAGTATTTGGGTATCTAGGGGTATAAAGTTATAATAGGAGGTCACTGTCCAAAGCCCAAAACATGGATGTAGGCAGAGTTATGGCCCTTTTTTGATTTAGAAAATTCTACGTCATATTCATTTAGGATTGTCATTGATAATGAACTGTTCAAGTCACAATGTGAATGTTTAAGATTGTTTAGCTCCATTAGTGGTATCCATCGTTATATAACATAAATACGTTTTTGAAGTCAGATATACTTTCAAAAAAGCCAAAAGATCTTACAAATGAAAAACACGAAAACATTATTGCTTATTAAATTATGCATGATTCACGGAACGTTTTGAAAGATCAAAAAAATGTCTATATATGTTCGAGAATTTTAGAACTAAGTTATTTCAGAAACAAAAGTGATTTCGAACAATGCGGCCGTCTAGAGTGGCTTCGGAGGGTATTTTTTTAATTAAATCTATATTATTTTTATAATCTATATTAATGAAATAATGGATACTGTTCAAAGTTAAGCTTTAAGATATAGTGGCACAATATGAATTTATAGATATTATTGATAGAGTAAATTTATATGTAAATATGAAAATATGACGTGTGAGAGGAAAACATTGTTGGAATGATTTTCAGTTATATTAATTCGTTTGTACACAACTGTTTAAATGCCTTAAATTAATTGCTTATCATGGAGTTAATTTTCTTTGTTTCTTGGTGCAAACAATTTAATTTTGTGTATTATAAAACTGTTTTGTATTCATTACAAATATGTTTGAAATTCATAAATAATACTTTAATTTTATCTGACTGAGTTAGGATTGAAAGACACATATTTGGTAAGTGTGTGAATCGTGCTTTTTACTAAATATTGAAGATGAATACAATTTCGGTATTTAATAAACATTTAGTAAGTTTAATCATATTGTATTGTTAATATACATGTAAATATTCATCTTTGCAAAAAAAATAGAATAAGAAATGCATGCTATTCAAATATTTTCAGACAAGATATGACTTTGGATTTTTCTGAATTCACCCAAATCCTATAAATACGCTTTATTTTGTAACAAAAAAGACAATGCTGGTATTTTTTTTATCAAGTCAGGAAAAAAAAGAAAACCTAAAAAAATAATAAAAAAAGCAACTTATATACTATAAAAAAAAATCTTGATTTAATAGATGAAGTGTTATTCTTTAGATATCAGTTGGTACACGAAATGTAACAACTATAGGAGTAAATCATCGCATATTAAACAGCGGTAAATATATCAAGTAATTTTAGAATTAATCGAATCATATATTGCATGTCTATTACAGCGTCCAGCACTGATGGGTTTTCGGAATACCCAGGGGAAGGATCGGACAAAAGTTCCCGACGATGTTGTGTTGTCATGGCAGTCGTCGGAATGATGTTTCTTTTAGGAGCCGCCTTGGCAATCGGAATTTATTTTGGTGGTGAGTTAACATTGTTGTTCTTAACGTGTGTACATCTTTTCTTGTCAATCACCAACCACTTAATTAAACATCAATAAGCTTAAGGCAGACAGTGGTGTGAAATGATAAATAAAATAACATCGTCAATTTCCTTTACCGATCCTATGCATGAATCTTTTTTTATTTTACTTCATTTGAACATTTAGAGATTCTCGCTATGAATATTGAGTTCGAACCTTTTCAGCACTTCTCTAACTAGCTTGAAATAGGCCTTTGGCTCTATTCAGGTGCCTGATCGAATCTTGAAATATCAATGGGGGACACCTGCGGTTTTTATAGCCATTATAAAACCCTAACCCTAGCTGAAAAATTGCAATAAGAACTAAGATGTACCAGTGTAAAAACAAAATTCTGATTATCTTATAAAATGTCTTTTGTAGCCCATTGTTTTCTCCTCGAGGGCTTACGCCTCCATTTGCTTGTAGACCACACACAACTTGGAATGGCACCAAAATTAAAGGCTCCATGATCCCCACCGTAACAAATCCCCATCGTAACAACTCATTTGATAGTGGATTTTTCAAAATTTAAAATTTCAACTTATTCCATATTAATTTAATGCGTATTCATATAATTTGTGTATTCATATAATTTGTGTATTCATTTAATTTGTATTCATATAATGAGTAATGCTTTATCCGATGGTAACTGGGCGTTATATGATATATTATTTTTGTTTCAGTGGTTGATAAACCAGAGTCCTTACGAGACCCGGATGTAACTACGACGACGGTAGCGCCGGCGCCAGGTCAGTCATTAATGTTACAAGTTTACAAGTCTATTGAAAGCAACTTATCGTCGTTAATAAAAAAAATTGTTACACGTTCATTATGCCTCAGAAATGCTTTTATCTTTATTTCACAAAAAGCTTTTTATTGTGTTGTACTGTTTTTAGATTCCGAAAAAAAAATCATTTGGCCAATTACCCGAACCATCTGATTAAGTATTTTGGATAGAAGTCTAATTACTAGTTCGTTTCAATTTTACTTCTGTTTTGACAAATAATTTTACAATCAGCGCATCTTTTGTTAAATGGCAAGCGTCTAAAATGCTCTATTAATTACTCGTTTCTGAGGCTAAATGTACCTTTAACTTACAAAGAATCAAGTAACCAGTAATTATGTGTACAAATGCCAAAAAATGCCAAACTCTCTGTCTTGAAATGTTTGGCAAGCCTCTTGCTAAGTGAGCGTTTTGATAAGCTTTTGGACGTAAGAGGTTTTGAATGCTGTTGACTGAGAGATTTTGAAAGCCATGGCTAAGGGAGAGATGCCATAAGCTTTTGCCTCAGTGTCAGGTTTTATAAGCTGTTTGGCTAATAAAAAGGTTTTGTAAGCTTTTAACTAAATAAGAGATTTTTTTAATTTTTTGACAAAGTGAGAGGTTTTATAAGCGTTTAACTAAATGGGGGATGTGTAAGCTATTGGCTAAATGAGAGGTTTTGTTAACGTTTGACTAATAGGGGGACGTTTAAACTACTGGCTAGATGAGAGGTTGTGTAAGCTTTTAACAAAATGAGAGGTGTAGTGTAGTTAGTCTTTGAGAGCGAGCAGAGGTTTTGGTAGTTTTTGGCTAAATGAGAGGTTTTGTAAGCTTTCGGTTCTAAAAATTTTTGTTTAAATTTAGTACTTTAAAATATGAGACTTGTTAATAAAGGTCGGTTTCATTAAGCGTGGCCATAATAGTTTGTCACCAGTCTGAACCATTTTGGCCATGTTCTTATCAGTTATTTTTTACTAGTATATGTAATGTCTTATTAGTCACGTAAGGTTTACCAAGTTTTTTTAAAAAAGCTTTTGAATGACTACTTTTTTGTTTTATATTTAGCGTTGTCTGTGGATATGTCGTTGACGATAGATCGGACTTTCGACCCGGACCTGTACAACCCAGATTCTCAAACCTATAAAGACCTTGAGACAGAGGTCAAAGAGAAGGTAATATATAAATAGAAAGTCAAAGGCACCCGTGCCTAACCGAAGTGACAAAATCATACATCGGAAACACAATTAAAATTTATATTCAAAAGTTCATAAGACAAAATATACTATGAAATAATATAAGATAAACATGTACATTGACTCTTGTGGCATTACAAATATGGTTAAATACATTTTCTAATGTCTAAAACATCTAAGTAACATTCGTATGAGAAATTTTCCTTTAACATACCATAAAATTACAATTTTACATTAGAAGTTACAGATGAATGCCATTCTTGTTGGTATATATCTTTGAACCAATTTACGAAGTGCTATAAAGTATTTTTCTAACTTTCCCATACATATCCAAAACCATGACTTTGTAAAAATTTTCTTAAAGATGTAACCCAATTGTCATGTTCCTGTATATCATCATTAAACATCATTAAATAACACTTTTTAAGTAATCTATCGTTTGGTGTTTTAATAATTTTTACCAATAGTTAATACACCTCTTAATGGATACTATATGTAATAGAAAGAGCACCGAAACTCGAGGCTATCTGATTTGTACGAGGGGGGCGTAGCCCCCCGAGTATAAATCAGATTGCTGAGTGTTTTGGTGTTCTTTCTCTTTTGTATCATAGTCAAACATGACAGCACGTTCCCTGTTGTCATAATATAAAACCCCAGAAAAAATTAACCAATGAACGAGCATTTGAATATGATATTTCTGCCCCTTTCCCTTTCTCTGCCGTCACAATAAGTAAACCCCAGCAAAAATGAACCAATCAACGGGCATTATCTGGCATGCGGGTATCTGATACCTGCACTCCAGTTACCGCACTGTGCATGTATATTTATACGATTTAACTCTGACACTTTTTCAACAGAAAGGTCCCCAAACTATGATACAAAGATGGGATACCTTCCGCAGTCGCCTAATACAGCTACATTGGATGCATTTTGTTTACAACACATAAAGCGTTTACATGCATAATATTGTACCTATTCTAGCCCTTTGCCCCAAATTACAGCCCCACATACAAACAGTTTAAAAAATACTTTCTTATTTAATTGGCCACAATCATACTGATATAAAAACCCTCTTACCCTTTATACATAACTTATGTACCATCAAGGTAAACAAAATATCATGTCATATGGTAAACATGATATCATGTTACAAGGAAAACATTATTTCATGTCACAAGTTAAACAAAATAACATGTCATAAAGTAAACAAAGTATCATGTCACTAAGAAAAAAATATATCGCAAAGTAAACAAATGTCATGTCACAAGGTAAACAAGAAATCTAAATATCATGTCACTTGGTGAACAAAATATTATGCCACAAGGTTAACAAAATATCATAAGTTTAACAACATATCATGTTACAAGCTAAGAACAAAATACCATATCATAAGGTAAACAAAAATATCATGTCACATGTTAAATAAAATGTTATATGGTACGAAAAATAATCATACGAATTTATAAGGTAAACAAAATTTATAAGGTAAAGAAATGTCATGTGACAAGGTAAACAAAATGCCATGTGACAAGGTAAACAAAATGCCACGTGACAATGTAAACAAAATGTAAGGTAAACACAAGAAAATATACACAAGCGTGCTTTGTATTTTTTATATTATTGTTTATATATTAATTTTTATCAAAAATTTCTGACGTTTAAGTGTTTTAACATACATTTGTATCAGATTTCGTTTTCTTCTCTTTCCTAGATTGATCAGAATATGAAAAACAGTCCACAAGGCGACAGTTATTCTGAGGCTGAGGTTTTAGGATTCAGGTAAATAATATTAATTTCGTACGAAAAAAGTATATAATGCAAACTTTAAAATAAAGACTCTTACAAAATTTAAAATACGATTAAAATTATTAATTACATAATTATATGATATTTTATACTATTTTGTTTAACTTTTAAAATGTGTCAGACTTGTTAGATTTTAATGGTAATAACGACTTCCTTTGTAGAATTAATAACAGGTGACATGCGGAACAGAAATATGCCGAAAATGGCCGAAAAGTTGCAATTATTTCTTCTGATGAAATTTGATTTTGCAATCCATGTACTGTTTGAAAAAGAATAATATGCCATTGGATTCATTCTCATAATCAAGTTGATGGATTTTTCCAAAAATATATTTTAACCGGTTGTTTGTTTGAAATTCACCTTCATAAATCAATAGTATTTTGATAATTTCCGATTAACAAAGTTATTTAAAGAAGTACACTGTACTAATCTAAAATTATAATGCCGGTCACACTATTTCAGCCCAGGTAGCATTGTTGCTACAACGAGATTAAAATTTGCGAAGAAAACAGTAGTGGAAAACAATGTTGTAAGTGATATTACCTTGATATTTATTCAAGTTATATACGAGTATTTTCTGAGACTTGTATAAAAATACTTATTATGAAAGAATGTACATATATTTTTGCAATTATAATTATGTAGATACTTCTGGACGAAGTTTATTCATACAAAAATTTAACTTAATTAAATCAAAATGAAAAGCACCACAAGAAAATTGATATTGTTGTTGTTTTTGTTGTCAAATTAGATTTGAATCTTTATATTTTACTGCGTGCTGATAAAGCGGGCTTTTTTCCAAAAATTTAAACAAAAAACCCTTTTGGGTTATTAAAAAAAGAAAAAAAAATGCTTTAAACGAAATTTAAAGGGTTTTTGATTTTAAAATTTTATATTTATTTCATAAGAAAAAAGGATACTACTAAACATCTTTAATCATTTCCCCAAAATTCATATGTTATCAAAAGGTGTAAAAAGCTAAAAAAAAAACCGAAGAAAGATTTAAAACTAGAGTTTTTTTAAAAAAAATAAAATTTGAAAGAAACTTCTCCCGGGGCAACCCCCCGAAAGAGAGGGGTTTTTGTTTGGTGCTGTATATTAAAGGTGTGGGCTCTAGAGAGGTCAAATCTATTTTTAAGTCTCAGTTTTGGAAAAAAATGAAACTGTTGTTGTTAAGAGGTAATTGCTCTTCAAGGGGTCGCTCTGTGGAGGTTTCACTGTGTCCACAAATCAGGCAAAGCTTTGCATAGATTTTTGCAAAATAGGGCTGCATCTACTTGTTTCATATCCAGTTAATATTTTCAATTAATCAGCATTTTGAAGTCTTTAGATCTCAGTGTTTTTTTTCACGAACTATTTTTGATATTGCAGGAGGTAGAATTAACTCCTGAAAAGATTATAACCACGTTTAAAGATCAGTTAGACCAGTCTAACACCGTTCTGTTTGTCAAAGATCAAATCACAGCCAAAATAAGCACAGGTACGTAATATTTTCAACAACAGATTTCATCGTTATGCACTTTCTTTTATTTGCGTATGAATCCAGCAGGCCTACTTTTTTCAAATATAACCAGAGAACCATGTTGACAAAATACATTATATATATAATTAATAAAGAAGCAACAATGAAAAACAAACTGATGCCTTCATTTTCTTTTATTCTTGCCTTATTTTCTATTGAAGAACACAATTAGCAGACGACAATCAAAAGGAAATTATTATAACATGCAGATCAGTCTTTCGGACATCTATGGCGCTGCTAAGGACATATTTTTTTTTAATATTTTGAAATACATGAAAATTGTTTCATTCACAGCGCAAACCCTTTTCGATGACTTGCACATTTTATGATAATTTATTATCACACTTTTTTTACATCTATATCATCATCTAGTCGTGAAAAATCGCATTTCGAAATGACAATTTCGTTAACCTGAAATACGATAGGCTTTGCAATATAGACCGTGACTTTTTACCTACAAAAGAAATCGTGACTATAATGTACTGAATCATCTATAAATAGACCAGTCTACCCGTATATTGAACGCTCCAGTTATGGAGTATAGGGCGGTTAAAGGCTTTTCGCGATGTCATATACTGTTTTGTTTAATCAATATTTTTGTTGTTGTTTATTTATTTATTTATTTATTTATTTCTATATATTTATTTTTGCACCGAAGGATGATTTATGTGTAATGTATCGTATATAAAATGTATAGATCCAATTTATAATTTCAGATCTTTAGTCCCAGCAAAAATGCATTAATTACCACTCTAAGTAAATAACTTATATTGACCTGTCCATCTTTTCAATCTTGACCAAACCAAAAAAATCATCTTTTTTACGGAAATTTTCAAAATATGTACTAACTGGATAGCAAACAGTGCAGTGTGTCGGTTAACCTTGGTCTGCACTGGTTGCATGGGGTGATGCATTTACCCTCAAGATTCTGAGTTGAAAAAAAAATCTAATTGATCGCCATTGGTCTTTAAACTTTAAAGAAGAGAAAAAAATATAAAAAAATATGTAAAGGTATGATCTGTAAATGAATAAAGCAACGTTGATAAGAGCTATTATGTATCATTTAAACGACCAAATGTGTGTGTTAAAAAATAGGACTTGATAAAAAAAATATATAAAGACAAAATGACATATTTTTCTTTATGTCAGGGTCTTTCAAATTAGGCCCGTTAAACAAAAAACGTAATCTGTTAAAAAATTTTTATTAACAAAATTTTAAATGGTTTATCAGTGTTTTATAAAATTTAAAAATTTTAAATAAATCAAATATAAACTTTTGCAAACAAATAAATAGAAATGGAAAATTTTAATTTTACCCCACGGGGCCCTTTTCCCAATATAAGAAAACGGCTTGGGGTTTGAGTCGATGGGCTTCTAATCCGTTACCTCTGGGGGCGTGGGGTTTGATCCCCGGGGGATTTTTTTGGGGAAATTTTGCGCGGGAAGGGAAGGGGTTTTCTAGTACTGGTGTAAAATCCCTCAAAAGGGAAAGATGGGTTTGGGGGAAATACCGGGGCCCATAGACTGGGAAAAACTGTTTGGAAAAAGGGCTTTAAAATGAAACAAACAAACAAGCTTTCCCAATAAGTAAAGGGCAACAGCGTTGAAATACAAAATACTCGACGGACTTTTCTTTTTTATTTCTTTTTATGAATTTTAATACGCCATTGCCTGGTACACACTCCAACATCATAAATACAGGTACGTTATAGTATGTGAAATATACTATAATTATGCTAATGTTTTTCCTTTTCAAAGTATCCCCTCTGTAAGGGATACACTTTTAAATACTCGTATCAAGCCACCTTTTCGTATAAAATACACATTTTTTTCTTTTCTTTTTTTTAAATAAATAAAAATATAAAAAATTAACCTAAAGCCTGGAACGATACAAACAACTTTAAATTTTGTAAATATAAGTTTTTTTACCTATTACATGAAATCTATATTAAACATTTGCATAAAATGGAAAAAAATGTACATACTGCAAGTAATAAAATTGATCTAGTACACCCTATATCTATATTTGATAAGAAGTATAGGTCTATTAATAAGCATTGTTTGTAATTTAAAACTTGTAAAATGTATTATTTCTACAGACATAGCAGTCAATAACTCAAAACAATTATTAGCATTACTGAAATCTAATTTTGATCTTTAAATCGGGACTTTTTTGCCTGTGTTGATACAGTGTCTTTCAAAAACATTTGAAAGACAAATCAGAAGGGGGAAGTCTTACTCTGAGAAACACATGTATATACTGAATGGCAACAGAAATAATATAAGATGGTATTAATTTATGAGCCAGCGCTTTATAAACGCCTGAATTAAAAAAAAATATCTACATTTAAAACCATTAACAATTTTAGATTTTGAAACATTTCAAGAAGGTTTCTTTAAAATAATTCTGGTCTGATTTATAACTTTGAGGTCAAATAATACACCAAAATCAAAAGTTTGGATACGGGCAGTATATTATATGTAATGTATGCATATTATAACACGTAGTTATAAAAGATTTTTGACTGGTTATATGACTAGGCGATGGTTCTATTGCAAATAACCGTTTATATACGGTCATATAACCTGTCAGAAATATTTATAACGAATTTGTAATACAGCAAACTTCCTTTTGTGGAAAAGGTGAGATTTCATTAAAAAATGACAGAAGTCGTGTATATAAAACTACATAAACGTCACAATTATCCAATGAAAAATGACTTTACAAACGTGCAAGTTACACAATTCTAAGAATAGTAAAAATTGTTTTAGTGCTGCGCGGTTTTGATCGGTCAAGATAGGTTAGGCTATATATAAATGCCAATTTATACACGATTTTAAGCATTTTTCTTAATTCACAAAAAGCACGGACTTAAATTATTAATTTAGTCCATGGTAAAATGTACGAAACGCCACAAAGTCATGCCGAAGTTGCAAGGTCATTTGATTATTTAATTCCATCAATGATATTTTTCATAAAGTCGATCATTTGTTCCCTGAAATAAAAAAAAATCACTTTGCCTTCGTAAGTAACTTGGATAACATTGTGCTGAAGATGGGCCTCAATGTGGTATATTAAGTAGCGCACGTGAACTCGTGACGCATGCGCACAACTACCAAGATCTTTGTCGTCTGCTAATTTGTTTTCGCTTTTGATGGTTTTCGGCAAACGTAAGCTTAATTTCTCCATTTAATTTTATTTATCGTCTAAATGAACAGGTGTCCGTTGATGATTGATTGTTGAATTGTGAGGAAAAACTCGTGCGCACTTTTTTTGACAGTTCCGGCTTAATCCGGGTTTTCCTGTGTTTTTTTATTACACTATGCGATTGTTACTGCACATCTGCGTACTATTAACAGACCCGGGTGGCGATTTGTGTAGCGATCAAGGTTTTTAAAAGGCCACCTGGGTATGTAAATACTATTCCGACCTACGGCATAAAATCGTAGACTAGATGTTTTATTTTTTTTTTCCTTCAAAAGGTCTGAATAATCTAGAATTGTGACTTCATTTTACAGCTGTAGGAAATGTTGGCATTGGAGAGTCGTGTACTGTACCCAGTGATTGTTCAGTAGGAAACACAATATGTACAGGATCACCTAGCACTTGTCAGTGTGATACAGGCTTTTATGACAGCAACGGTAACCTCAAGAAAGGAGTCTGTTTGCCAAGTATGTATGAACCCTTTAAATAGTTTCATTAAACTGCCACTAGTACCTGCCTCCACCAGTACTTTTTATGTGTGCAAGAGGGAGAGGGGGGATGCAGAGATAAAGGCCCCGGGAGGTTAGGCATGTGACTGTGGGGGATTACTATTTTTGTAATAATTTCCAGCGATTATGCTACTAGTAGTGTAAGGGGGGGGGGGGGGGGCAGAGGTAGGGGGTGGTTGAGGTCTGGCATGAATAGTGAGGGGGATTACAATTTTTGTAATAATTTCCAGCTATGCCACTAGTACCTGCCTCCACCAGAACTAGATTTTTTATGTGTGTAAGAGAGAGGGGGGCGCAGAGGTAGGGGGCGGGGGAGGTCAGGTATGTTAGTGTTGGGCAATACTTTTTTTTTTTATTTTACCCCCTTTAAGTATAATAATACTTGCAATACCACATATTCTCAACCAAAATGTGATGTGGGCTACATTATAGAAGGCACTTAGAATTTGTCCTCTATTGTGATAACTTCTTATTTGATTTTTATTCCTTTTTATATCACTTTTACAGAGAAAGACATTGGCAGGACATGTTTAGATGAGAATAGCTGTTCCACAATTGACTCAGAATGTATGGGTACACCTAAAGTGTGTTCTTGTGTGACCGGAACCTACCATAAAACAGACACCAATGCTTGCCGACCAAGTATGAAAAATTTTATTTTTTGAGATTTATGCAATACTGCTATATATCTATATTGTTACATTTGTATAATATCTTGACAAATTGATAATTATATAGAGTACATTTTTAGGAATGATTGCAAAATTATTGTAAGTCCTTCTTTGTTTCATATAAGTAGGTTTTCACCCTTTTGGAAACATGACCCAGCTCCAAGAATAAGGACTTTTTTGGCCAGGTCATTGGAAACAAAATTAGGAAAATTTGCACTGAATTGCATAAAACAAACAAATTGAATGTTTGTACATTCATATCCTTTTATATATCACTTATAAGCACATTTTGAAATCATTGGACTGCAAAAATACAATTACTTGTGGCACAGTTAAAATGTCACAAAATGATGATAATTTTCTTTTTTTTAGTTTCTGTTGTTGCGTTTTTTTTCCAGGAGTTGGGATATTTCTTCTTGAAATATAAGAATATACAAAAAAAGAACACTAAAAAAACCCCAGTACGTTTTTGCATTGGCAACATAACTTGATATTGGTAATCAATATGGGCCAAAAAATCAACAAAAAAAACCCACCCTGATTTCACAATGCTTTATCTTCCAAACAGTTTGCAAAAGTCCTGATAAAAATATGTACATAATATAAAAAATACTTCTTGCCTAATTGACCAAAATGTGCTTATATGTGCTTATCAATTGAAATACTAAGTTGGCTTACAGCTAGCAGTTAGTGCAATAAAATCATCTACATATCCGCTCATAAAGATTATCTTCAAATTGCTGAATATATAATTTTATGTAAAAATTAAATATCCATTCAAATTTACCATTGCAATGTGATATTGAAAAAGTATGAACATAATTTTTATACTTGATAGATGAACTGGTGATTTTTAAGCAAATTGGGTCTCCTAATGTTTATGAGGGTAGTGTTTGTTTGAAATTATTTAATAGCAATGAGTCGAAACCAGTCTATTTGAAATATATCAATATATATTGATTTTAATGGGTTTTTAAACCATTTAGGTATTTCATATTGAAAAAAAATGAAAAGAAAAACTGAATAAAATTTAAAAAGAGGTGATCTTCATTTACATAACTTAAAACTTTTCAATGTTAATGTTTAAGCCACTCCCAACATTCAAATTTGACTGACTCATGTCAGTTCTCTGTTTGTTTGAACTCACTTAAAAGTAACAATACATTTTCTTTGATCTACCTAAAAAAAACAATGTATAGAACAAAAGGGTAGCCACGTTAGTATCTATTTGTGAGAAGTTTTTTATTGACATCTTTTATTTTCTTCCTTATTGCTTCATTTTAATTATGCTGTAGTCATTTCATTCTTCAATACAATACAGTTTACTGAGATCTTAATTTTGACATTTTAAAATGCATCCGATCTGAACCCCTTATTGACCTTTTAAAAAGCATCTGACCTTGACCCCTAATTGACCTATAAAAATGCATCAGATCTTGTACCCCTAATTGACCTATAAGATGTATCAGATCTTCACCCCTAATTGACCTATCTAAATGTATCTGTTCTTGACCTCTAATGGGCCTATTAAAATGTATTATATGTTGTACCTGATTAACTTATTAAAATGCATTTGTGTATTTTCATAAATTAGGAAAACTTTGAAATCATGAAATGATGTAGTCCCTTCACTCACCTGCTGTCTTGTATGGCTTTCAACATAACAATAATAAATATACAAAATAAATGACAAAACAACAGCATTGTTTTTGTGTAATATGCTATAACAGTGTAAGAAATTAGAATTTGAATCCACTAGGCTGGTCGGACTACCAGATTAGAATATTCACTAGCCCAAAAGACATTTCACTAGCACGATTCATTTTTTCAAAACAGTTGTTTATATTGCCTCTGAAAATACAGTAGCCTGGTCGGGCTTCTAACTGTGAAAAGTTGGTAGCCCAAGGAGAAATTTATTAGTCAGGGGCTATAGGACTACTGCTAATTTCGTACACTGCTATAAAGTTGTATAGTCATGGTGTGGTTTTCAAAATTTTGTATTTTTGACTTAAATAATGGTGTTAAGAAAATTGTCATCATATACAATTGTTTCAGAGCTACAAAATGGGGATACTGGTTGTGTTGATGCACCTGTGCAGTGTTTGGTTCCTGGCGCTGCCTGTGTTAATGGTAAATGTGACTGTGAAGCAGGGTACCAACTGAAGAATGGTGCATGTACCAAATGTAAGAGAACTTTATCTTTCATGTAGAAAAATGCACAATATAGGACAGCTTGTTTTACAGAAATGCACAAATTCTCTTTTACATAATTATATTGTTAAATATTTAAAAGAAACTTTTTCAAGTTTGTTGAAAAATAATTCTTACATTTAGAATACTGAAATAATAAATGCATTGTGTTAAACTTAAAAACAAAAATGACAGAATATAAATGTAAGAAGTTCATATAATGCATTAATTCAATATATTGAAGGCTTCTGAATTATTTCCTTAAGGTTTCGATTAAAAAATAAATAAATGTTTGATGTTTTTAATACTGAAATATCATATTTTCAGTGATCGATTATGAGGAATCTGGCTGCTCTGTCGATACCGACTGTTTAACTCCAAAAGCAATATGTGCAGTAGGCAAATGTCAGTGCTTGCTTGTGGACTACTTCTCTATGACAACTAAATCTTGTGAAGCCAGTATGTAGTATATACAGATTATACAAACTCAAGCGATCAGTTTTGCCACCAGTATAGAGCCAGGCCAGTCTGTACATCTGTGAAGTCTGACCAGCCTCTATACTGTTGGTACCTCAATTTTTGTTCTTTGATATTGAAAACACTTAAACTTGGAATGGACTTCCAGATTCAAAGCAGGTCAGATCCATTTAACAAATTCAGCAAAATAGAGGTTAATTGTCATATGACTCACATTTTGTACTTGATATACATGTATGTTGCTGGTGCTCTGAGGCTAAAAATCCCTGTCTCCTCTCTGATTAGTGTTCATATTTTTACATAGGATGTAAAGTTTTTTAATATAAGGTTAGCTGTGCCATTAATTTATGTGTGGTTGGTTGTTTTACCACATTATCCACAAGGAAATAAAGCATGATGGGGGGACCTAAATTCTTCTTTCTTGTGCCAATCATATAAAGCAGGAAGAGCACCATATGACCTTTCCAGTGTCTGAGTGACCTAAACCCACCCAAAAAGGAGTTAGTATTGATTAGTCGCCGGTAGAAACTGGTGACTATATTTGTAACAGTTTAATATTATACCTATGGTAGGAGAAGGCATTAAAATCTGAAAATAACAGCATAACAATTACTGAACAATTAAAGACTACAATTGTTTTCAGTAATCTCAAAAATTCAAACATACAATAATGTTGCTCAAGGAAATGAAATATTCAAATATTGACATCGTAAAAAGCAACTTTACAATTTTTATGAAATGAATAAATGACGTATCCCTGTGGATCAGTCATTGAATTTAGGAGTGTTTTTCCTTTTTTCAAAGTGTCAAGCGTTGCTATTTTATGATAAATAAATCACGCATGATATTTTAAATGACACTTTAAAAATATCTGGTTGTTTGTATGTTATGAGACCTATTCTATTTTTTTATCTTATTTATTATAAACAGCTTTTCCCAGAATCACGTGACTACACGTAATATATGTTACTGTTATAAAATCTATTAATAGTAACAGATGCCTGATAAGACTGACCCACAGGTAACTTGTGAATTGTTGGCAGCTGGTTAAAGTGCAAATCAGAGTAATTTGTATGAAAAGTACAAATCAGAGTAATTTGTATGAAAAGTAGGGGCCCCGGAATCGTATTGGATACACAGAGAAAACTAATAAACAATCTTTGTGTTGATAGTCTATCGCACTGAAAGGCAATTAAACGTTAACTATATCGTATGTAACAATTTCCTCATACTTACCACAAGGCCATCAAGCAGTATTAATTGATATAATTATACATGTAATTATACTTACAATAAAATCGTTAACATTAATCATAATAAGTTATGTAAGCTAACGAAACAGCTCCCGAAAGTCTCGGGTAAACATTGCCAAACAATACTTGCTTATCTTATAATGATAACAGTTTCTTGACAAAATTGCTAAGAAAGTTTGCTTCAAATATGATGTTTTATTATAACATAACATGAATTTGAATAAACATTACTCAACTTATTGTTCCTATTTTCTTTATACTCGAACCATTAAACTGATATTTTCTTTTAGTTATGATAATACAATCATATTTCTATCCGGCGACTTGATGCTTAAGCATCAAAATCTCTACTTGTGATTAGTTGATTCAGTAAATGCATTGGAGAGAATAGTGTGCTTATGTTGAAAAATCTCCAAGTGAAAGTGGTATAATAAGCTGGTTTATTCTGAATTAGATATTTATTGTGGCATACATTACTATAAGCTGCTCTTTTTTAGTTCAGAATTTCAGAATTAAAATCCCTTTAACTAACAATGGAATATTCCAAAATCAAAGCAAGATGAGTCCAATATAAAAAAATTAGGATGATGAATCATGCTATTAAATGATATTGTGTTGCAGAGAAAAACAATGGACTAGGATGTGGTGATAAAAACGAGTGCTTGTCTCCAAATGCTATCTGTGATGTTACATGCAAATGTGCAGATGAAAAATACCTCAAGGGAACAGAGGGCTGCGTGCCAAGTAAGCATTTATTTTTAGCTCAAAAGTTCAAAGATCAGGGTCTGCTTGACCTTTTATTCAAATTATTGCTATTTAGAACAGAAAATGTGCAGTTAACACTTCATCACTAAGAAAAGTTGTCCTCAAACAGTACTTTTTAAAATTTTAAAACTGCTGAACAAATTATGTAGCTGCAAACTGTCCAAATTTGAAGTGGCTGGTTGAAGCTTGATGATGTAGGTAAAATATTGTTGTGATTTTAGATTCATTTCTTGCTCAATTTGGCATATGAAAATGTATACATGTAACTAGGTGGTAGTCAAAAGTCCAGGATGTAACCAGGAATCGGAAATTTATAGACTTGCTGACAAAAATGTTAATATAAATGATATTACTATATAATTAGCGAGTTCAGAGTTTTCAAACAACAAATAAAAAGACATCACTGTTTTTAATGGTGTTTTATGATATACATTACAGAGGTGACCTATGGAGGTAAATGTGCCGCACCCACTGACTGTGTGTACGAGAACTCTGGCTGTATTCTGTCACTGTGTAAATGTGAGGAGTCCACATATCAAGATGTTGATACCAAATCATGCAAGCCTAGTAAGTATGATGGGTTTTTTTTATACAACTTCTGGAATGCTTATTAAAATGGTATAAGGCTGTATGTTATAAAATGCTTGGAGAAAATTTATAAACAATAATGTTATGTTGTTTGCAGAATAAGGGGGCTTCTAAGGTAGAAGGGATGAGGTTTCCCTTATGTCTTTTGTAAGATTTGAAACTGGCTAAGAGTTTGGAACTGGCTTTGAAACTGATAATTTGGTTTGGAATGTGAACTTAATTTTTTTTTTGAGGAGCTAATTAGCTGGATAACAGAAAATTAGAGTATTCGAACATATCCTTAGATAGGACAGTGAAATTGAAAATCCAAATTTTTATCTTTACCAAAGAAATCTGAATTTAACAATTCTACTCCAAAAATTTTAGTGTTTAAAACAAACTTAATTCCTTTACATGACATAATCCTTGCTGGTTAATGAATGATAATTTTTTTTTTACTTTCAGAAATTTTGTATGGCCAAACATGTAAATCGAAAGAGCAGTGTGTCACTATTGATGTAGAATGTCCTGAAGCCTCTAAAACCTGCGTCTGCCCGGACTCCAAATACCTTGATGGGGACAAATGTTCTGAAAGTAAGAAATATAACAACTTTCTTTAAATATAGGATGAAAAACTAATTTTTCATCATCATTTATTTTTCTGTGAACTTACATAGTGTATTTTCGATGTGATTATGCATTCTATTGAAATGTAAAGACATACATGTCATGATTTCTGGATTGATATACAGGACACTGTAAAAATATTTCTAAAACTAGCATAATTTTTTTGTGTAAAGATTTGTACGACTTGCATGTTTTTAACTAAAGTTAAAGTATTTTGCAGTTTGAAGTTTTTATTTATTTATTTTTTTTTTTAAATTATTTTTACTTCAGGTATACACTATATAATTATTAGGAAGCTTTTCATTAAAGAATCAACCAGTTGTTGAAAACATATTCACCTGAGTTGTTGTTGTGACAGACTACAATAAATTTGTTTTAAAACCTTAAGCATTAGGGCTGACATTTATTCTATGGAATTGAAACAAGAGATTTTGCCCTTTGACCTCTTAGACAGACATTGGCAAATGAAAATCAATCACAATTTTTTTTTGTATTTCAGAAAAAGACAACGGTGTGAGTTGTGGTGCTGATACAGAATGCAAACTTGGAAACTCCAAATGTGAGAAAGTTTGCGGCTGCCCCGCTGGAACATACGTAAATGGAGGATCATGCTCACCACGTAGGTGTTTACGATTTGAGCCAAGCCATGACAAAACCAACATAATGCGTTTGCGACCAGCATGGATCCAGACCAGCTTGTGCATCCGTGCAGTCTGATCAAGATCCATGCTGTTCGCTATCAGTATCACTACTTGTAATAGGGTTTGTAAGCGAACAGCATGGATCCTGATCAGACTGCGCAGAAACACTATGTTGGTTTTGTCATGGCGTGGCTCATTGACATCCTGTTTAGTAGAAAAAGTCTTGTGGTGTCGGTGGCCAAGTGTTAAGGGTCATTGATGAAATGAAAAGATGGCCATGCCATGCGATAGTTTTAAGATGGTGACTATACCAGGGGATAACTTTAAAGCTTGACTGTGTCATATGATGAATTAAAGACTTATCTAGTTTTCTGTGATTATCTTACATGATGGGCACCGGTCTTGTCTCTCTCTTAATTTATCATTTCACAAAGTTATGCCCCTTTTCTTTCTGTCAAACGCAAGTTGAAAGTTGAGCTTGATGTCTTACAGAAACTCTTGTTTTATGTTACAGAGGTCGCAATAGGACAACCATGTCTTGGCAATGTTGGAGAATGTGCAACTGGTAATGCTAAATGTGACGGCACGCCAAAAACGTGTAATTGTTCTGACAACATGTTCCTAAATGGTGACATTTGCTCTGAAAGTAAGTAAAAATTTTGGTAGATTTTTCTTCATTAAAGATGGTCATGCAGTAATAGAACTTCAAAAACGTTAGAGTAAACAGATTATGTTAAAATGCCATTGAGATTCAATGTCAATTTAGTTAAAAGGTATTCTGCTTGGCAACTTGTAAACCAGTCTGATTTTTTAAAATTGATTTTCTTTAAAAAGGGTCAGAAGTTATTTGCTGAGGTAATAGTGCTGATAAAAGAATAAAGGCTCACTCAATCTCTGTTTTGTCAATGTTTGAATCATGGTCACCATTAACTAAATAATACCGTGTGGAACACTGACTTGATGAGTCAGGTGTCTGCCCCTCAGGTCACTGATTCAAGGTTTGTGCCTGACATGAGATCAAAGCCTTATGTTTTTAAAGTGGCACCTGGCCCCTTGTTCACTAATATTGAAGGATTAGAAAAACTCAATTATTCTCGGTTGTTAAGAATCCTCAGAGATTTAATATTCAAGTACTTGACATAACCTTGATGAAAAATGAACTTGATAGGATCTCAGTAAATATGGATTTAATCCATTTAATTCTTATAAATTCACATATTTCTTTTTTAAATTTTTCATATTTTTCAGATTTAAGTGCCCCTGTTGACCAATGTAAGAATTTCATGTTTTATGGTTTTATGCTTTTGTAATCCTGAGCAGACCGCAAGAAAATGTAAAATTAGCAAATAAGTGTTGTATAAATTTATATAATTACAGAAACGGGAACAGGAGAGACATGTAAGGTAGATGCTGGTTGCTCATTTGATAAGGCTGTATGCCAGTCACTAATTTGTGCATGTCCAGTCGACAGATTCGTGAACAATGATGCCAAATCTTGTGATTTGAGTAAGTTGAATAATAGCTGAACATAATATAGAGGATATTGAATGAGTGTAAAGGTTCAATACTTTATTTATTGAATGCGGTGTCTTGATGTGAAAAAGTCTTGTTCCCGCTGGAACAAATAAGGAGTTGTCCATGAACATAATTATTGGTTGTTAGTAAGTTTGAACTGGAACGACTTTTAGTAAATATAAAGTGACTGAAACAATCACCAATACACTTGTGAAAGTTCATTCAAAGTTTGTGTGCTGTGATATTTTCAACAACAGAATTGACTTTTCTAATGCCTATTTATAACGAGCGATATAATTGGATGGCTTAAATTAGCAAACTCGGGAAATCCAAATCTGAATGAAGGGGAAACAAATAAGTTTGATATCAGATCTACATAAAAGAAATAAGTAGATCTTAACTTTGGACAGAAACATTATGCTTTTTTATGTCCGGCATACTGACACTGAAAACTTACATTATAATTTTCATTGTCATATTATGGGAGACTTCTAATTTATTATTACTGAACAATTTTCAGAGGTTGACAATGGTGGGAATTGTAAGGGAGATAATTATTGTAACTTCAAGAATGCTGAGTGTAACAAAGATAAAAAGTGTGCATGCCCTGATAACACCTACGAGGAGGGGACAGAGTGTAAAGACAGTAAGTTGATAATTGCCACAAAATTAATAATGATAAAACCCAATTTAGTCAACATATTTATAATAAAAAAAAAGAAGTTTTATTCATAATGCCCCCACTACTTGAAGTGGTGACAATTCTACACATAGATTTGTCTTTGTCGATACGTAGACAGACAAACATTGAAATTTCATTGGCATCTGTTTTGTATGGTGAACTAGCTGTTCATGTATATTTTCTGATTATGTATGCTTATTGACAGGTTGAGGTTGCCATGATTAACAGATTAGTTAACATTATATTTTTTTGTATTTTGTTAAATTTTTCCTACAGTTGGAACTAACTACATACATCTTGTTTCAAATTTCCACCATAATAATACCTATTTGTTTCGAAATTACAGAAATTCCATACGGTGGACCGTGTGATACACCAAGCAAATGTCTAACTGGTAACGTAGGATGTATAGATTCTACATGTCATTGTGAATCAGCATTCTATTACGATGCGGACAGTAACATATGCCTAGAGAGTAAGTTTTTTAAAATACACTGACTTTTGTTCTTATGTTTGTTATCACATCGGCCTAAGTTCTTTTGTTAGTTAGATTGCCTAGATTATGCCAAGAATCTGTGATAGTTTTCCACATGTAAAAAATTTCCACTTATTCACATATTTTGTGACAAATTCCGTCCCAATTCCGCCTCAATTCTGCCTGGAAAATGCTCTGTATTTGACTTGTTCAGATTACTTTTATTCCGGATGGAATCCATTAGCTTATTCTGTTCCATTTCCGGATGGAACATTTCGTACAGGTATGTTTACCTTAGCTTGGTTCACCGTGTTTTGCATCCAATACAACTTTGGTTTGGTGTATAAGAAAAAATATCATTCTCATTGGCGAGGGAAATTACACATTTGGGAAATAAATCTGATTTATACTCTGTGTGTTACAGAAAAAGACAATGGACTTGGTTGTAAAGATTACAGTGAATGCAAGGTTACTGGAGCCAAATGTTTAAGCCTCGTCTGCAACTGCCCTGCAGGAACCTTCTTGAATGGAGACATTTGCTCACCACGTATGTATTTTATTCTAAATTTATTCTTTTTGTTGGGTTGTATTACTGAATGTACTTGTATATCTAGTTAGTTTTCATTTCCCATATTTTCACTGCTAATTTTCATAGAAATGAAACATTTTTTTTTGTATTTTCACCCATAATTATTGATACTAACAATTGGTTTTAAAGAGATTTTTTTCCATTTTTCATATTTTCACTACTAATTTTCACAGAAATGAAAAATATTTTTTTTGTATTTTCACCACATGATGTGATACTTAGTTTTTAGGGGAAAAATTCTTTAAAAATAAAATGTATTTTTGTATAATAGAAAAGTTGCATAATAAGTAATGTACATGTAAATTTTTTGATGTGTCTTCTTTCTGCTTTTCTTGACTTTTCGAGTATTTATTTTCAACTATTTGATCACTTTTTAGCTCGACTTTTCTATGAAAAGGGGAGCTATCCTACTCGCCCCGGCGTCGGCGTCGGCGTCGGCGTCGGCGTTGGCGTCACACCTTGGTTAAGTTTTTCGTACCACCCCACTTTATTTCAGAAGTATTACAAGTATGGCTTTGAAACTTACCATACTTGTTCACCATCATAACCTCCATCTACAGACAAGAGTACATAACTCTGTCAAGGTTTTTGACAGAATTATGGCCCTTTTTTTGACTTAGAAAGTGTATTGAGCTTGGTTAAGTTTTTTGTACCACCTCACTTTATTTCAAAACCATTGGAGGTATTGCTTTGAAACTGACCATACTTGTTTACCATCACGACCTTCATCAACAGACAAGAGGACATAACTCTGTCAAGGTTTTTGACAGAATTATGCCCCTTTTTGACTTAGAAAAATACATTGAATATGGGTAAAATCCACTTATTGCCTTAACCCTTTGAGATATTGCTTTGAAACTTTTAATGCTATTTCACATCATTACCCCATCTGTACGCAAGAGAAGGTAACTCTGTCAAGGATTTGTTTTTAAAAATTAAGGCCTTTTATCGACTTAGAATCTTGGTTAAGTTTTTAGTACCAGTCCACTTTTTGACTGAACTGTTTGAGATATTAATTTGAAAGTTGGAATACTTGTTTACAATCATGATTCCCAAACATGTCCAGGAGAAGGTAATTCTGTCAAAGATTTTATTTGAATTATGGCCCTTAACTGTCAATGTTTTGTATTATAGGCAAGCACTAAAAAACTTAAAAAATCTAAAAAAATTCATTCCTATCCACTTGTTCACTTTACCATAAATTATGTCATATAAACATTGCTGTAATATTCAAGGGTATCAAACAACTAGTTCACTTTAAAAATACAGAGATTCTTGTATTGCCTTTTACTGCAAAAACTTTTTTTATTGGCAAGCAATAAAAAAGTCGAGCGCGCTGTCTTACGGACAGCTCTTGTATAATTCTATTTTAACAGAGGTTGCATACGATGGGGCATGTGTTGGCAGCAAGCCAAATGAATGTTCAACACAGAATGCCATTTGTGATGGGACACCAAAGAAGTGTACATGTTCAGATACACAGTACCTAAATGGAAACATGTGTAGTGACAGTGAGTTATATGTTAACAATGATTAATATTCATTAACATAATTATATTGTGTAAATAACATTGTTTTCTGTTACTGTTAATATTTTATATAGGAAAGAAAATGAAATGTGCAAGTTTAATATTTTATATAATGTAAAATAGAAAATTACTGTGCATTGACTTCAAAATGGTAACTTCATTACCGCAATGGGAGTGTCCTTTCGGGATAGATATTCGGATCTGAAGCAGCAAAGAAGCAGGAAAAGACATGGAAATTGGACACAAAATCACTTTTCCAGGCGTAAAACATGCATTATTTTTTAATTAGATAAGTATGGGCGTAATTTTCCATTTTTTAAGGCCTCACTTTTCTTTAGGGACTTAAAATTGACCTAGAATTTTAAGGTTTTGTATGAACAGTAAAGAAAATTATTTTTTTTAATGATTTTAGAAATTGGTGATGGTCAATCATGTTCGCCAGATGACAAATGCACTTTCTCCGATGCTGTATGTTTGAAGAGCTTTTGTACGTGTCCCCTTGACAGATTTCCAAACAACGATTCTGAGTCATGTGATCTGAGTAAGTGCCCTCTTTCAAAGTACCCTTAGAGTTGGATGTACATATTTTCGATATGTGTTTTAACAATATCGCAAAACAAAATCATTAATTCTTAATTTATATGCTTTGATGTTTATACTGTCTTAAATACACTGTTAAATTCATTAACTCTGAATTAGTGAAATAATGCACTCTGGTCCTATTGATTTTGTATGAAAAAAGCTGTATAGACTTGGGTTTCTTTGTTTTTTTGGAGGGAGCAGGAGTGTGTAGGGATAAATCTTGAAAATTTTGGAAAAATGTCTCTCATTCTATACATGTAATTGCAGAGTTGGAACAGGGAGAAACCTGTGTAGGTGCAAACCAGTGTAAGGTACTTAAAGCCGAATGTAACACTGATAAAAAATGTGCTTGTAATCAAAAAATGTACGAAGATGGAGGGGAATGTAAAGACAGTAAGTTTAGAAGATTATTGTCACTTGAATTCTGTTATAGATATTTTATTATGCTCCCCGAAAAATTTCGGGGGAGCATATAGTCGGCGCCTTGTCCGTCTGTCCGTCCGTCCGTCTGTCCGTCTGTCCGCCGTTGTCTTGTCCGGAGCATAACTTGAAAACCCTTGGAGATAATTTGTTGAAACTTCATACAGTGGTAGAGGGCACCGAGGGGGAGTGCAGTGTCAAAGAACCATAACTCTATTTTGCCCGGTTTTTGAATTATCTCCCCTTATAGAAAAATCTTGTCCGGGGCATAACTCTAAAACTATAAGAGATATCAACATGAAACTTTGTAGGTGAATAGATCTCAATGGGTAGATGTGCAGTGCATAAGAACAATAACTCTTTTCATCCTAATTTTGGAGTTATTGCCCTTTGTTAATTTTAATACTTTGAACTTTGTCCGGAACATAACTTGAAAACCCTTGGAGATAATTTGTTGAAACTTCATACAGTGGTAGAGGGCATCGAGGGGGAGTGCAGTGTCAAAGAACCATAACTCTATTTTGCCCGGTTTTTGAATTATCTCCCCTTCTAGAAAAAATCTTGTCCGGGGCATAACTCTAAAACTATAAGAGATATCAACATGAAACTTTGTAGGTGAATAGATCTCAATGGGTAGATGTGCAGTGCATAAGAACAATAACTCTTTTTGTCCTAATTTTGGAGTTATTGCCCTTTGTTTATTTTAATACTTTGAACTTGAACTTTGTCCGGAACATAACTTGAAAACCCTTGGAGATAATTTGTTGAAACTTCATACAGTGGTAGAGGGCATCGAGGGGGAATGCATTGTCAAAGAACCATAACTCTATTCTGCCTGGTTTTTGAATTATCTCCCCTTATAGAAAAATCTTGTCCGGGCCATAACTCTAAAACTATAAGAGATATCAACATGAAACATTGTAGGTAGATAAATCTCATTGAGTAGAGGTGCAATGCAAAAGAACCATAACTCTGTTAAGCCTTATTTTTGAATAATCTCCCCTTTTAGAAAAATCTTGTCCAGGACATAGCTGTAAAACTATAAGAGATATCAACATGAAACTTTGTAGGTAGATAAATCTCAATGGGTAGATGTGCAGTGCACAAGAGTCATAACTCTATCTAGCCTAATTCTGGAGTTATTGCCCTTTGTTTATTTTTACTTTTTGAATTGTCCAGGACATAACTCAGAAATCATAGAGATATCATCAAGAAACTGTGTAGGTTGATAGATCACATTGATTAGAAGTGCAGTGCAAAGAACTGTAACTCTGCCTTGCCTAATTTTGGAATTATTGCACTTTGAACTTTTTCCACGGACATAACTCTGAAACTGCAAGAGGTGTACTTTCCTGTGTCCAAAACCTATTCGGGGAGCATCACCCGGCTCAAACCGGGCTCTTGTTATTTTATCTTCTACAACAGAACGACTCTAAATGAGTAGAATAAAGCTTTGAATAATAATTTAACTTATAAGAAAAAAATGTGTAATGTGTAACGTTTTAAGGCACACAAATCCTGTTGGTGAAAAGCTAGCTCACCACCAAGAGTGGTTTATGCCCTCATATATAGGATACTTTCCTATTAATTCACCACCTTCAGGTTTTGCATATTGTAATGATCATTGTGAGTATTATGATGTTTTACCAACGTCATTAAAAATGTTTGAAATCTTGTTTATTTGTTTCTTGTTATTATAATGAGACTGGGTTATGTTAATTTAAGTATACTATAATCATACAGTATTTAAGTAGTTTCTTGTTTTCTGTCATAGAAATACAGTATAATGGTCTATTTACTAAAAACAAACCACTGTTCAACAAGGGACGTTATAATTTGTGTATATTATTATTATTTAGTATCTAAAATTTAATAGTTTCTTGTTTTCTGTTTTAGAAATCCCGTATAAGGGCCGATGCTCTAAAGCAAACCACTGTTTAACAACCGATGCAGCATGTACAGCAACGACCTGTCTGTGTGAAACAGGTTTCTACCATGATACTGATAGTGATGCTTGCATGAAAAGTATGTGAATGTTCTGTTGCCATGGTTATTAAAGTGCACATAGTTTGTAAAGGAAGTAAAAGTTTAAGACAAAAGTAAAACTTACTTAGAAATATAGACACTCTTTTGATTCATATCAAAAGGTTGTTTTTATGAACTAAGTAAAAAATGTCCGCAAAAGTCCACAAACTTTTTGAACATACCTTGTATTTATAGATTATAAAGAATAATGTTGATGGAAAAAAGCTTTTGCACATATTTATTGACAAGATAGATTTACGGCGTTGAAATTATTTTTACTTATCTATTTATAATAATGAAGCAAAGTTTATAATAAAGTTGCTTTATCAAAAGAATACAAACCATGCCAAAAGGTGGGTCATTGATACAATTATATTATGTTTACTGAAAAGTACAGTTTCATAATGTTTACTGTTAAGTAAGGAATTTGAGTTTTAAGAACTTCCAACTGGTAAACTACTGTTATAGTCCAGAAGTTACACCACATAAATAGACTGAGGAAATGTATACAAATATTATAATGTTTTTTTTTTTTCTTTCAGTCAAGGAATTTGGTGCAGATTGCACCTCTTATATGGCGTGTCCAACAAGCAGCAAGTGTACTTCTGGGAAATGTGCTTGCCCTGATGGCATGTTTGAAGATACAGATAAATGTAGCGCCAGTAAGTCGTAGCTCACTTTAATCTTAATACCACGCTAATTATCTTAAATGAACTTGTCCCATCTTTTAATTTGGACAAAACCATTTAACTTTTTAGGGAAAATCTTGAAGTAAGTTTTTACTGAATAGGAAACAGCACAGACTCGGCACTTGGGTGGCAGGGGTATATTCCGTCTTATAGCCCAGGCTAAGCTTGGAAAATCTAGGACACAAATACAGCAGGTTAAGGGCTCTATAATCCTTTTCAGATTTTAATACCTCACTGTTCTTGATGCATTTACTATTTTCTTAAATAAATCTTTTGATAAACTGAAACAATTTTGGTTTGTTTGTTTTTTCGTTTAATCAAAAAAAAGCATTAGTGTTAATAAATAAAGCTGAAACATGTATATTTTTTCTTTGAAAATTGAAATTTAGACAATATTCTACGAATTTGAATCCAGTTTTTGCAAGTTTTGAACTTAAGTTTTGTGAAATCACAACAGTGATAATTTAAATATACTTTAGTTCTTATGACAATGTAAAACAAAGAGGTTGATTGACTGTTGAAACATTTCTCCTTGTATATCTCATATATTGAATATTTCGTACAAATTAATTTATTCACCCTTGACAGAAAAAAAGAATAAAGAAGCATGTATGAATAAAGGACAGTGCTTGTTTGATTATGCTGAATGTGACAATGTGTGCCAATGTCCAGCAGGCAGATTTGAAGATGGTGACAGTTGTGAACCACGTATGTTTAGTCTTATTTCTTAATTAATCACATACCCGTGCCGCTTTTGCGACTCCGTAAATATGATATTGCTTGGCCATGCATATATTTTGATTTGATGTATCTTGAGTTATACAAAAATAGCAATTATGACACGCAGAATGTAAGTGTTACACTATAGGGGTTACAATGAAAAATGATTCTTTATTTTAGGTATGTGATAAATAGAATATTATATTTGTGTATAAGGTTCGTAACTTATTTTATTGAACTTGTTGACTAAAGTAATTTTATGTGAGCCAGAGGCTCGTTCAATAAATTCATTATTGAATCTTCACTTATTAATATCCTCTATTTATTTTTTGATAAAATAAAATAAGCATTGTGAGTGAAAATTCATACAATTCTAAAAATCTTGAAATTTTTTTTTTTGCTCTCTCGAAAATTGATTACAATGAGAAAAAGATTTGCTCTAGTTACAGAAAGTGTTACTATGGGTAAGTGACAAAGGAGAACAGAAGCCTTAGTTTGGAAATTATTCATTACCACATTGTCAATTTTAAAAAAATGTTGTATGTGACAAGTATCTCAATTAAGAATGAAAAATAAGTTTTGTACAAAAGTAAACACTGTTTTTTTTCTCAGTGATTTGCCAAATAAATGAATTATATTTAAAGTGTGGGGTATTATTTATGGCATATACCATTAACTTTCTGTGTTATGGGCCTATAATGTCAATGCCTTAGATTAACAAATACTTTTGCTTTTCCTATTTCAGAGGTAGGAAACGGAAATACATGTAAAGGAGACCTACTAAAAGAATGTTTAATCGAGGGTGCCATCTGCAGTGAAACAGAAAAAGTCTGTGGATGCCCAGAGACTAAATTCTTAAGTGGTGAAAAATGTATTGAAAGTAAGTCCATCATACTTTTTTCACAAAAAAACAACAACAACAAACACACCTTTTGTTTTAAAGTTATATACCTTGTTACTCTGTATGTTTCATTGTTTTTTTGTCCTATGTACCCACATTAATAAATATGGATGTCTTTTTACTGTTTTCTGGTGACTGTCTTAATTTAACTGTGCATTTATCTGGAAGTAGATTTTATTCTGTCCTTTTTAACCTGAGGTTCTCAACAAGAACTGGGTTATTGTAATGCTGAAGTTGGCAGGCAGGCTGGTTCAGGCAGGCAGGTGTCAACTTTTGGTTTCTGCTCAATAACTTTAGTTTGTGTGGGTAGCTTGTATCAAGAGGCAGCTTGGGATTGCTATCCAGGTGTCTGTAATTAAAGTCAAGGTCACTGTTGCTAAAAGTAGAATTGAGTTTCTGCTCAATAACTTCAGTTTGCTTTGGCCTATTGACACAAAACTTGATGTGTTGGTGTGTTGGTAGCTTATATCAAAAGGCAGCTTGGGATTGCTACCAAGGTGTCTGTGATCAAGGTCTAGATCACTGTTGCTAAAGATAAAATTCAGTTTCCACATAATAACTTTTGAGTAATCTGAGACCTATTGACAGCAAATTTGGTGTGTGGGTAGCTTACATCAAGAGACAGTTTGTGATTGCTACCCAGGTGTCTGTGATGTGTGTGTTGCTAAAGATAAAATTCAGTCTCTACATAATAACTTGAGTTTACTGAGACCTTTTGACACCAAATTAAGTATGTTGATAACTTGTATCAACACGCAACTTTGGATCGTAACCCAGGTGTCTGTGAACAAGGTCAAGGTCACTGTTGCTTAAAAAAAAGAAATTCAGTTTTCACGTAATAGTTTGAGTTTTCTTTGACCTATTAACACAAATTTTATTGCTGTGTGGGTAGCTCATATTAAGATGCAGCTTGGGATTGCTTCTTAGATATCTGGGAGCAAGGTCAAGGCCACTTTGTTTACAATAGAATTTCATCTACTACTCTATGACTTCAGTACACTTGACTTATTGAAACTTAACTTGGCATGACGTGTGTAGCTTACATGAAAATACACTCTGACATTTATACCCAGGTATCTGGTATATTTTATTTTGAACTATTGAAACCAACTTTTTGTGTTGGTACAAGTAACAGCATCATTTTTACTTCACTGCCATATTTCATCCTAATTCCTATCACATCAATACTTGGTGGTTGAAAACCTGGTATTTCGTCACATTGTGGCACTTCTTGTTCTAGACATGTACACTATTGACAAATATTGAATTATGTTGTTATGCCACCGCAGCATGTGCGATGCGGTGGCATATAGCGATTCACCTGTGTGTGTGTTTGTATGTGTGTTATAATAGATTATATAGTGAACTGTGAAAAACCACTGGTTCAATTTCAACCAAACTTGGCAGGATTGATCCTTGGGTGAAGGCCCCAAAGTTAATCAAAGAATTTCATTCCATGCAGAAATCTGGTTGCCATGGCAACCAAAAGGAATTAGAAGAATAAATTAAAAAAAATCTTCTTGTAAAGACCCACAAGGCCTAGAGCTTAGATATTTTGCATAAGGCATTGTTTGGTAGACCTCTACCTAGATTGTTCAAATTATAGCCCTGGGGTCAAAATTGGTCCGCCCCGGGGGTCATTGATTTTCACTATATGTACATATAGTAAAATCTTACAAAATCATCTTCTCGAAATTGACAAAGGCTAGAGGCTAGATATTTTGCATGAAACATTGTGTAGTGAACCTCTAGCAAGATTGTTCAAATTATAGCCCTTGGGTCAAAATTGGCCCTGCCCTGGGGGTCATTGATTTTCACTATGTACATATAGTAGAACCAGAGCTCCAGATAGCGTGCGTATAAGCGTAAAATACGCATAGAAAATCTAAAATACGCATCACTTTCAAAATTCGTGCGTCAATGTTACGCACAACAAAATGAAAATACGCTTGTATGTCAAAATCTAAGCGTAAAAGAATAGAAGTGTAAACATTAGATATTCAGATAGAGGATGTTTTGAGCATAAAAATACAATATATTTCCATTTTATTGCATTGAAAACTAAAAGTTCTGTTGTCAACAACGCATGTTAAAAACGAAAGTAGCAGGAAGTACAGAAGGGAGGCAACTCCCGTAGATCAACCTGTGAAATTATTGATATAAATTTTTGCCAGACAATCATCGTAGGAAAAAACATAGTATTAAGTTTGTTTAGGCATCTATTGACATGCTTATGTCTCAATATAAACAAAACTATATTTTAATTTCTTTCACTTTTGTTGTTGGAACAAAATAACATGTTTTTCACCTGCAGTTTTGTACTCAATATTTTCGTACCCAGACTACAGTTACGGACAATTTTCTCTCAGACCAATACTTTTTTAAGGAAAGATACAAAATCTTGTTATACCCCCGCACAACAAAGTTGTAAGGGGGGTATACTGGAATCAGCTTGTCCGTCCGTCCGTCCGGCCATCCGGCCGTCCGTCGGTTTTTAGCTCGACTTTTCTATGAAAAGGGGAGCTATCCTACTCGCCCCGGCGTCGGCGTCGGCGTTGGCGTCACACCTTGGTTAAGTTTTTCGTACCACCCCACTTTATTTCAGAAGTATTACAAGTATGGCTTTGAAACTTACCATACTTGTTCACCATCATAACCTCCATCTACAGACAAGAGTACATAACTCTGTCAAGGTTTTTGACAGAATTATGGCCCTTTTTTGACTTAGAAAGTGTATTGAGCTTGGTTAAGTTTTTTGTACCACCTCACTTTATTTCAAAACCATTGGAGGTATTGCTTTGAAACTGACCATACTTGTTTACCATCACGACCTTCATCAACAGACAAGAGGACATAACTCTGTCAAGGTTTTTGACAGAATTATGCCCCTTTTTGACTTAGAAAATACATTGAATATGGGTAAAATCCACTTATTGCCTTAACCCTTTGAGATATTGCTTTTGAAACTTTTAATGCTATTTCACATCATTACCCCCATCTGTACGCAAGAGAAGGTAACTCTGTCAAGGATTTGTTTTAAAAATTAAGGCCTTTTATCGACTTAGAATCTTGGTTAAGTTTTTAGTACCAGTCCACTTTTTGACTGAACTGTTTGAGATATTAATTTGAAAGTTGGAATACTTGTTTACAATCATGATTCCCAAACATGTCCAGGAGAAGGTAATTCTGTCAAAGATTTTATTTGAATTATGGCCCTTAACTCTTTTGACTTAAACATTTCAAACTTTGCTGCAGTGTTCAAGGGTATCACACAATTCAGTAAAATAATTCTTCACTAAATATCTTAATGCTCATGGCCATTGTTCACTTTAAAAATACAGAGATTCTTGTATTGCCTTTTACTGCAAAAACTTTTTTTATTGGCAAGCAATAAAAAAGTCGAGCGCGCTGTCTTACGGACAGCTCTTGTTTCTTGTCCGCCCAATAACTTAAGATTCCTTTGACCCTTAGTCTTCATATTTGGCATGGAGGTTAGTCATGATTAGTAGATGACCCCTATTGATTTTGAGGTCACTAGGTCAAAGGTCAAGGTCACAGGGGCCTTGACTTCAAAAAGCTTGTCCGCCCAATAACTTAAGATTCCTTTGACCCACAGTCTTCATATTTGGCATGGAGGTTAGTCATGATTAGTAGATGACCCCTATTGATTTTGAGGTCACCAGGTCAAAGGTCAAGGTCACAGGGGCCTTGACTTCAAAAACCTTGTCCGCCCAATAACTTAAGATTCCTATGACCCACTGTCTTCATATTTGGCATGGTGGTTAGTCATGATTAGTAAATGACCCCTATTGATTTTGAGGTCACCAGGTCAAAGGTCAAGGTCACAGGGGCCTTGACTTCAAAAACCTTGTCCGCCCAATAACTTAAGATTCCTATGACCCACTGTCTTCATATTTGGCATGGAGGTTAGTCATGATTAGTAGATGACCCTTATTGATTTTGAGGTCACCAGGTCAAAGGTGAAGGTCACAGGGGCCTTGACTTCAAAAACCTTGTCCTCCCAATAACTTAAGATTCCAATGACCCACTGTCTTCATATTTGGCATGGAGGTTAGTCATGATTAGTAGATGACCCTTATTGATTTTGAGGTCACCAGGTCAAAGGTCAAGGTCACAGGGGCCTTGACTCCAAAAAGCTTGTTCGCCCAATAATTTAAGATTCCTTTGACCCACAGTCTTCATATTTGGAATGGAGGTTAGTCATGATAAGTAGATGACCCCTACTTATTTTGAGGTCACCAGGTCAAAGGTCAAGGTCACAGGGGCCTTGACTTCAAAAAGCTTGTCCGCCCAATAACTTAAGATTCCTTTGACCCACAGTCTTCATATTTGGAATGGAGGTTAGTCATGATGAGTAGATGACCCCTATTGATTTTGAGATCACCAGGTCAAAGGTCAAGGTCACAGGGACTTTGACTTCAAAAAATTTGTCCACCCATTTATGACCCACAGTCTTCATATTTGGCATGGATGTTGATCATGACTATAAGGTGACCCCTATTGATTTTGAGGTCACTGGGTCAAAGGTCAAGGTCACAGGGACCTTGACAAAAAGCTTTTCTTCTTAACTGTTAAAGAATGTCCTGTCTGCAATGTATTGATTTTGACATTTTCACATTTGAAGCATGTAGAATACATAACTTAGCAATGCACTGGCTTAGTAACCTCAGATTTGGCAGGGAGGTTGTCCTTGAGCTCTAAATGGCCACTGTTGATTCTGACAAAGTGGTATGCGGGGGTATTCACGCCATGATAGTGGCAGTTCTAGTTTATTTTTCTTTAATTCTAATTTCAACTATAATTGTTCAAACTGGAGCACATGATATGCTACATGCCAACAGAAATAAAGAAAGAAAAATATTGACTCCTAAAAAATATATTAATTTTAGGGCTTCCACTAGTGGAAGTTTGGGAGTCATTTATTCCTTCATTTTGGCATGTGACTTCCGAAAATCTAATACTTTTCCTTCTTTACCAATATAATGTGACTTCCAATATCAGAGATTTTGAAGTCTTTGACTTCCAAATTTTGAAAATGGAAGCCCTGATAATTTTGCTGTGTATCCTGAACTTGAGTTCCAGTATACTCTGGAAGTCTGACTTTACAGGGCACGTTTTGTATTGCTTCACATTGAATCAGTATTTTATTTTTAAAGGTTTTTCTAAAAAAAGAAAATAAACAAACAAACAAACAACAATAAGTTTAATTTGTTTATAAAAAATGCAAAATGCTTTTTTGACAGATTTTACCCCTTAAGTTTTTCAGATTTTACATTTTACCCCTCACTCTAAATTTTGAGGGGTAAAAACCCCTTGGCCAAAAAAATTATCTGGAGCTCTGTAGAACATTAAAAAATCTTATTGTCTGAAGGTACAAGGCTTAGAGCTTTGATATTTGGTATATGATATCATCTATAGGCACTCTAACAATGTTGTTCAAATTTTGCCTCTAGTGTCAAAATTAGCCCCGCCCCAGGCCCCGTGTTCACAAATATTTAAGGATCAAGATCAGGATCAAATTAAAAAATTCTTCATTGTTTATCTTCATAGATTAAATATCTAATATTAATTTGATAAAACTTGACTTGCAATAGCAAGTTTACTGAAATTTTAGAATAAATTTATTGTTATTTTTGCAAGATTTGGACATTTTACAGTTGATCCAAATATTGATCCTGATCCTAAAATTGATCCTTATTTTGATCCGAATATTTTTGTATTTGTTTTGTTATTTGTTGATTTTATCCCAAAATAGTTTGGTTTCTTTGCAAATCAGCAATTTTTTACATTTTGAATATTTACCATTTAATTCTAGCAAAACACGATTAATTTTAGTAACATAAAACAATGAAAATAAAATCAGGATCACTTGATCCTGATCCTGATCTTTTCTTAGTGAACACGGGGCCAGGGGTCATAGGTTTTCTTTACATGTATATAGTAAAAACTTCAAAAAAGCATCTTCTCTTATAGACAAAAGCTAGGGGTTAGATATTTTGTTGTGAACCTCTAGCAAGGTTGTTCAAATTATAGCCCTTGGGTCAAAATTGGCCCGCCCGGGGGTCATGAGTTTCAGTCACTATGTCATAAAGTAAAACATTTTCTTGTCTAAAGGTACTAATCTGATAATAACAATTAGATAGGTCAGTAATCTATGCATTATGGCAATCTCCAATTGTATAGAAACTATTACTATATTAGTATTGTATTAATGCGGTGGCATAGCATTTTTCACATATGCAATCTTGTTTTTCCTAAAGATGCACACTATGATAGATATTGTATCAAGTTTTCCCCCCCTAAAGATGCCCACTCTGACAAATGGTGTATCTGATAGGGTTTGAAATTGCAACTATTGACCCATAAATATGCTATATGAGTTCACCAATTAACCCTGTCGCCACTATTGTGTATTTGTCTTATCAGTTGAGTATATTCTTACATACTTCATGATAACTGTACAAAAATATACATATATGATATAATAAATTTTTCTTCCAGAAACTGGGAATGGACAAAAATGTATAACAGAAACTGAGTGCAAGTATGGGTTTGCAAATTGTATCTCAGAATTCTGTACATGTCCTGAAGACAGATATGCGGACCTAACCACAGAAACTTGTGAGCTTAGTAAGTAGACTTTCTTAAGTGTTTAAGACAATAGAAGAGAATAAGTAAGAAAAGTTGAGAAGAGTTTGGAAACAGTTGGGTTGGTTAACTTTATAAAAATAGACATCTGGAGAAGTGATTAACTAATGTCTACCAAATTTCCATTTTAATCTATTATGTCATGTTACATGATGGAGGGTGTAGAGAAGGGACTAATTGATTCAGTTCAGGTGTTTATTTTGTAATCTAGATTTAGCTGTTAAAATAAAATGTGTAAGTTTTCATACCTCTTTGATCTGTAGAAGACCTATTTTTAACGTTATATTCATGTTTACAACACTTTTAAGGTCCTCTATTATTAGAATAGGGAGAGTTTTACACTCATACAGATGTGTGCTTCACATTTTTGTTAAGTTTTTTGCATGCAAGTTGGTAGTTCCAAAAAATAATGAAAGGAATGGATGTAAACTCAACACACTTTTTTGAGGGCATAGCAGGTCACTTTCCAAGGTCTGTAACTCTGACAAGGACTTTAACAGAATTTAATGGCCCCATTTGAACTTAAATTATTTTATATCATTCCTGACTCTTGTTATACTATCAAAGACAGAGAATTGTCAAGCACGCTGTCCTACCGACGGCTCTTGTTATGATTTGTCTAACAATTCTAATTATTTTATTTCAGAGGTTGGTCTGAATGAAGAATGTAAAAGCGACACAGCGTGCAGGTTTGATGGGGCAAAATGTAGCTTGGAAACAAGTAAATGTGTATGTTTAGACAATACATACATAGAAGGAGAAGCTTGTAAAGAACGTAAGTTTATTTACACCTTTATCTCTCTAAATTTTGTTGTAGCTTTTGGAAAGTTGGTGGTTCTACTCTTGTGCCCACTTGTACCTGACATGATGCACCTGAGGTCTATCTCCACAAGGAAAGCAGGAAAATTTACATATGTTAGAATAACTTAAAATAAAAAACTATTATCTTGTGTAATATGTAAGCTATAATTCTAAATAATACTTAGAAATACATTTTTGTGAAAAATGGTATCTCCAAAACTCCTGAAGGAAATGGGTTGAAACTTTACACATATGTTCTCTGTGATTATATAACATGATGGGCACAGTTTCCATAACTTAAAGTTATCTCTTTACTGAGTTATGCCCCTTTTCTTACTATCAAGCACTGAGAATAGTTGCATACAGCCCCTGTTCAGTTGAAGGAATATGTATTATCACAAAATTAATGATTTTATTGTGTCAAAATTGTATTACAATTAAAATTGTTGTTAGCTCCTAAAAGTTTTGGTTTTTAATGCTTGATGTATATTCAAAGTAAATATATTTATAATATTATTTCAGGAAAAGTGTATGGTGTTGAGTGTGGGGATGTATCACAATGTGGAACTGGGTTAGCCATTTGTTCAGGAATACCTAAGATATGCACCTGTGATGTGGGGTTTTATCATGATGCTGAGACTGACACATGCTTGCCAGGTAGGGATAGGCAAATGATTTGAATAATTTCTAAATTGTGATATCACTTTAAATTGAGGTATTTTGTGAAAGAAAAGCACCCAATGAGAATTCAGTATTGTACTCAACAAATAACAACCTCATATTATTGGATATATCACCTTGTTTCTGCCTTGAAGGGACACGCTCTACTAAAGTCAAAAAGCCCAATAACGTAAAATTCTTACATAGATTAAGTGAAGCACTTAAAAGTCTGCTTAGGATAGTAAAGAAGGATATTCAAATTTAAATTGTATATCATTTGTAGCCCTAGTTAGTAAAAAGTGTTGAAACATTTTTCGTGTTTGGGCCATTTGCACAATAAAACTGATTATTCTGGATAAAATGGTGTGAGGGAATGGTCTTGAAATTTGTACAGAAGTTATTTGTCCAGACCAACATCAAATGGTACACAAATCTGAGAAAATATTCCTATAACCATTATGTAAAAAAACCACAATAACCCCTTTAAGCTTTTAGCTTTCAAAGGATTTGTTTTAGATGTTTGTCAGTTTTTCAATTATAATGAAGACAAATGAAACTAAGATGTAAAATCTCCAACTTGTAAGGTACATTTTTGTTATGTTTATTTCAGTGAAAGGTTTTGGTGATGTGTGTAAAACAGATGACATGTGCTCCATGAACATTAAATGTATTAATACAAAATGTGCATGTCCATCTGGTTACTATGAGGACAACGACATGTGTTCTGAGAGTAAGATACTTCTGTTTTGTTCAGTTTTTATCTTTAGATCAATTCTTAATGAGAATAAAGTTTCTGTTTTGTTCAATATTTAAAACAAAAAGTGTAATGAGATTAAAATTTCTTATCAGTAGTGAGAGTAAAATTTCTGTTTTGTTTCATTTTTATCTCTGCCTGCCTATGGAATCAAGATATGTTACAAAGTTACAGAAGAGGTATTTTTCATGTAATGGTGTGCTTTTTTGTAGTGTGTTATTTGGCTAGCCTACTAGTTGAGAAAAGGTTGGTATTTCAACCCAGGTTCTTTATTTATCTCAGCTTCATTATGATACATGTAATAGCTTGAATCTTATTTGAACTACAGTGTAACTTCCGAATTCCGGAACTTCTGAAATCCGGAAACTTCTAAAAACCGAACATTTTTTTCGGTCCCGATTTTTTCCCTTCTATTTTCTATAAATATAATACTTCTGAATTCCGGAACTTCTAAATTCTGAATTCCGAACGATATTTTCGTAAAATTAGAGTCAAATCAATGCAATTTTACCTCCAAAAACCGGAAATATCCAAAGGTGTGAAATACATTGTAATATGAGAATTTTACCCTGCAGGAAGATTTAATCTCCCTATCGATTGTTTACTAATTAGCGGTGATCGTGTAATTTGACATGCGTTAAAATCACAAACTGTGAAATGGTATGTTTGAAGTGTTGCGGTTAATCAAAGTAATTTAAGGCGGTCAGTTAATATGGAGTGTTTATTAGCGGATTAAATGACAATTAATTGGACAATGTATGCATCAAATGTCTTAAGGGTTTTATTGCATTTTATGTAATATTATTAATTAACTAGCATCGGACGATATGTAAGTTTATGCAATTAACAACATTTCTACAAACTGATAGAAATTCAAAAGCATTTGCAGGTAAAATAAAAATGTATTCTTTTCATGCACATCTTTATCTTGATTAAAAGACTATTATATATGATAATACAGTAATGGACACATCTTCCTTGACATTTAGTGATATTAAGTGGCTTAGTCTTGTCCACATTATCATAAACCTCTGAATTCCGGAAACCTCTGAAATCCGAATTTTTTGACAAGTCCCATGGGTGTTCGGTTTTCGGAAGTTACACTGTACTCTAGTCAGTCCTAGGTTCCTGGAAATAACCAGTAATAGTACATGTCACAAGAAGAAACATTGTTGTGACCCTAGAAGAGCTTGAATCAGTGACCCTTTGGTTGAGAGGTAGACACATTAACCACTAGGCTACAATTCCAAGATTCCTTATTCCCATAGTAATGTCAAGATGTGTTCATAAAGCTGTTTCTGTAACTTACACCGTTGTAGTTGTAAACAATGGGCTTTACTTCATCTTATATTCACTTGTATATTTTTTCCATGCAGAAAAACCTAACCAAGTTGTTTGTAAAAAAAAGGAAGAATGTTTGATCATTGATGCAGAATGTAACCAGGTGTGCTTCTGTCCGAGTGGTACATACGAAGACGGTTTGTTCTGTAAAGAATGTAAGTTGGCGCTTTTCCTATTTTCTATTATGGTGCAATGCTTTCTTAACTTTCTGTCATTTTCTTACAGTTGCATGCAGTTATATATCAAAACAAATGCTACATGATTTGAATTGTTTATTGGATAATATTGTGATATTTAGACAGGTGTATTTCAATTTATGCCCAGTGCAAATTTGGATGAAATGAAGAAAAAAAAAGTTAATGAATAATTTGAAAATGAAATTTTACATTGGAGAAGATACACTATAATTCTGCTGTATTACGCTTTCTTTAGTGATTCTGTTTTTCTCTATTCTATAAAATTTTCCGTAATTTTGTAGCTAACCCCTTAACAAGTTTGTGATTATTTAGTTAGTGATTATTTAGTTGAAAATAGGATGTCATGCTCATGAAAACTGTGTGCTAAATGATATATGATCATTCATAGAAACTTGTGAATCACCTTCCTGCATCAATAAATCTAGATATCGGCCATTTACATTGTTGATGTGGCCTAAAACTCAACAAAAATTAAAATAATGATAATAAAATATATATTATGTTACATGATGCAACTATGAATCGTAATTATCAAAATAACAATTTATTTTTTTTGTATTACAGTGGTTGCCTATGAGGTTGAATGCAAAATGACCCCAGCTTGTAAGACCAAATTTGCCGAGTGTAGTGACGCCACAAAGACCTGTCTATGTCCGATAACAATGTTCCGAGATATTGATACTGACACATGCCGTGAAAGTAGGTTTTGATATCTTTATCACATTTTCTAACAGTGTTAACAACGCATGCAGTGCTTTTGTTATAAAATGTAGTGTGCGATAATTGTCATTGTGTTGAGAAAGGGCCGGCCATCTTGGTGGTGGTCAGTTTTGCAGTATTTCTACCATGATTGTGTATCACTAGAATGGCCTGTATTTGAATTTAAACATGTTCACTTTTGTTTGGTCACACAATGAACCTGTTTTCACATACAAATCACACAACTCTTAGATCACACACCCAACAGAGTGAACAGACACTACATATTATACCTTAACCTAGATTAGAATACTCGGTGCCTAACATCTGGAACAAATTGCCATTATATAATTATCAGGTTATCAAACAGTCTTGCACTATTCAAAAAAACATATTTAACATGGTGGTTCTGTGGTGGAAACCTCTGCTTAGATGCTTAGTGTAAATTATTGTTTTTACATTGGTTTGAATATGTTTGTTTTATAAAATGCCAGTTTTCAATTTTGATATCACCCAATTGTTGAATGTATGTATATATTATTAACTCATGACATTACAACTATATGCATATTTGCTTTCATTTTTTCTTTCCTTTGATTTTCTGTTTTCAAGGTTGATCTTGTGTATTTCTTTGTTGGATAATAATCTTGTGTTATTATTTGATCTGTTATTGATGTAAATTCACAGTATAAAATAAACTGTTTATTACATTGTTAAGACTCACAGGGAAGAGTCAGGGCTTTCCCAACTGTGTTGCCTCATTAAAAATACTTACTTACTTAAAAAAACTTGTCTGCAGTTTTGGTTTTTACCCAGATGAAATGGTTTTCATTTTTTTATTTTTGTGTTATGCTAAAAAAATGGGATGAGAGAATAATCTGAAAATTGGGACACAAGTTATTGGTCCAGATCTGCATCAAATGGTTACCTCAAATCTCCAAAAATAATTTCAGTCCCATCATGTCAGAAACCTACATGGAACCTATAGTTAATTTCTTAATTAATTATTAAAAGAAAACATCATAAATTCTAAACTATCCTTCTTCCATGGCACAGTACTTGACTCAAAGTGTGAATTTTACACTTTACTTGATTTGAATTCTTGTAACGTTATTATAGAGTAAAAAAATATTTTTTTCTCTGATAGTGGGTTCAGAGGTTGTTACTGTTAAGAACACTTGCAGTACTATATCTTTTTTTAAAACATAATAAAAAACACCATATAGCTGAATGAAATATTTACATCATTAAAAGAAAAGTTAAGACTGTATTAACACTAACTATTAAGGATTTTAAATGTAATTTTTTTTTTATTATTACAGGGGCTGGTGATGGTGGAACATGTGAAAATGATGACGGCTGCTCATTCGGTGGTGCCGTCTGCACATCTGATAATTGTGCATGTCCTGAAGGCAAATTTGCAAATACCCAAACAAACTCTTGTGACAATAGTATGTATTGTTGTTTTCATTTTCATTTGATTGAAAATTTCTTAATGTAAGACTTAAAATAGGTATATGTTTAGATTGAAAGTAAAAAGAAACATTTGTATTTGTATGTATTTGTATAGGTACATGAAATAAATAGAATGCAACATGATAGGTTTGTTGCATACAGTCTTTATGTAAATTTACAACCAATGAAATAAATCTAAGGAAACAAAGTTTAACTGGTTATTTAGCTTTTTTGAATAACTGAGAAAATCAAATTAAAAATCATTTACCAGGGCAATTCCTATGATCCAACTTTCATGATGTAAATATGAATTACAGAGAGGCCTATAGGCGGAGCATGTACAGACCGAAGTCAGTGTATTACTGGTAAAGCTCTCTGTGATGGCAGCAAGTGCGCATGTTCTTCAACAACATTTGAAAAAGATGGACAATGTGTAGACAGTAAGTGGCACTCAGAAAACTTTTCTGAACACGTGTTTCTCTGAATTAAATGTGCCCTCCCTCGACAACTACATTTTTTGCAAAAAAAACTTGATTTTTTTTGCTTTACTTACAACTACATCACTGTTTGACTTTGGATTCTTTCATGTGAGGAGCTATTCTGAGCTAGCTTATGGGACATTTGTGGTTTTACTCAGATGCCTGTTTGTGCCTTAAATAATGCACGAAAGGGCACCTGAGGTCTTTCCTCCACCAATAAAGCTGGAATGTCGTCATACCACCTATGCTGTATCGATGTGAGGTAACATCCAATCAAGCAAAATAAACATGCATCACTGTTAACCCTTGTCTTGCTGAAACCTAAAATGTGATTGCCAAAAGTGGAAAGGCAGACCAGCTGCACATCTGTGTAGCATGACACCCTCGGCTGACCAACATACTTTTTTTAACCTGGAGCCAACCAGAGGACATCTCAAAATTGCCAAAAATCACTATTTAGCATTGATTTTTTTCCATCAAAACTTATTTCATAGTACTTCCACTTCTCAATAGATTGTGATAGAGTGAAAGGCTTTTCAGTGTTGGTTACATGTTACATTAAGTTCGTCCATTTTTAGCCTCTCAAGTCCAAAATTTTCTTTGTAATAAGGGGGGGGGGTGGCTGCAGCTCCCCTTCAAACCCCTAAGCACATCCCTCCTTTGGCACCTCCATGAATCTTTTTGATAGAGGATGGGGCCAAAAAGGTGATCATGAAAACAAGTGTTTTGGGTCTAAAAAGTACATTTTTTTCACTTTTTGAGGCCTCAAAAAAAAAGGGGGGGGGGTTTATAAGACGTCTATATGAAATGATAGGTTAAGGGTTGTTTATTGGCATTATCACCTTTCTAAGTTGTGAACTGATGTAGAAGGATGCCAAAGGAACTTGGCAAAGACTGTGACATATTCATGTACATTTTATTTTATTTTACAGAGAGGTCCAGTGATGGGGATTATTGTAACAATGAAATATATATATTTTGTTTTACGTTCACAGAGAGTCCAAATGGGGGATATTGTGACAACGCAGGGGATTGTTTGGCCGGGAATGCACTGTGTAAGGAAAATGTGTGCACCTGTGCTGATACAGACTACTTAAAGGATGATGAATGCCTGAACAGTAAGTAGTCTTTTCTCTCCCTGCATAAAGATGACTATTTCCCATAGATTTGATAAAATTTTGCCCTCTACAAAATTGAAAACATATCATCACCTCAGTGTAGTATATTAACTCCTAATTTAATTTAACAGGAGTTAAACAGTTCTTGCACTAAGGTGACAATATATCGATGATTTTACCAATGCTTGGTTTACAATTCTTATAATTGCATAAGATTAAAGTTTTTGATCTGTATCTATTTTCCTTTTACATATAATCTTGGTTATTGATAGAAGAGGGAAGGAAATGGGATCAGGAAAGGGGGTTTGCTTATCCTCCTTTTGCCACACCTGCCTACAGTTCCTAATTGACCGTATATTCATTAATTGATGCCTAAAATATTATGGTACCTTAATATATGGATCAGTACCACTTTTTAGTGGGGTTTGAGGTTGATGCTGTCAAGATTATTTACACTACTACATTTCCATATAGATTCTTCATTATTGTGGGGCATTTATTGGTACCACTTACTGTTTCTTAAACCCTATCCATGCTATATGTAAAAAAAAGGTCAAATTTTTTTTAACAAACTTGTCCATCATTCCACTTGGACACAACCAACCATCATTTTAAGGAAATTTTTATAATACTGACTGAACAGCAAACGGTGCTCACCATGATCTGTGCCAGCTTGGTTTGCGAGGGTCACAAAGGAAAATTCATTGCGCTAAAACGGTCTCAAAGAACCAAAATTGTATTTAAAGCGTTTAAAGATTGAAATCATATATGGTCATAATTCAGAACTGAATTTCATATAGTTAATACTTTATGAAGTGGAAATTGTTTTGTATGTATGATCATATAGCATTAAACACAATGAACTGCATATGTTGATGTGTAATTTTGTTCTGATATTTTTTCATTTTCTTCATTTTTACAGAGAAAGAAAATGATAAAGAATGCGGTGGTATGGAGGAATGTTTATACGGAGGGGCTGTCTGTGAGGCGACGTGTCAATGTCCGGAACTGTATAAGCTTATGGGTACAACCTGCATGAAACGTAAGATCTGATATTTTTTTTATATAAAGATGGAGAAATTTTCTTGAATGGCATTTAACATATATGAATAATGCAAGGTGTTATGATCATGACATAACAGATCATGTAAAGAATAATGATTCTTTTATCATGTAAAGAATAATGATTCTTTTTAAGTTAAAAAAAAGAGGAATGCTCTGAAGCTGAAAAAGAGAATTTTTCATCGTCTTTATAACAGAGAATATGTTCCGTCTTAATGACGTTATTAGCTTTATCATTAAGGCAGTAAATTATCTTGAATTCTGGAGAGTCCTTAGTATATTCTAAGTCCTAGGAAATAGGATCAATTTAAGGACTTATCTTAGGGCCCTTTAAATTAACATTTTTATGTTAGGTTGATGATATTAGACTTTTATCAAGTTTTTTATACCCCCGCACAACAAAGTTGTAAGGGGGGTATACTGGAATCAGCTTGTCCGTCCGGCTGTCCGTCCGTCGGTTTTTTCTTGTCCGCCCAATAACTTAAGATTCCTTTCACCCTTAGTCTTCATATTTGGCATGGAGGTTAGTCATGATTAGTAGATGACCCCTATTGATTTTGAGGTCACTAGGTCAAAGGTCAAGGTCACAGGGGCCTTGACTTCAAAAAGCTTGTCCGCCCAATAACTTAAGATTCCTTTGACCCTTAGTCTTCATATTTGGCATGGAGGTTAGTCATGATAAGTAGATGACCCCTATTGATTTTGAGGTCACTAGGTCAAAGGTCAAGGTCACAGGGGCCTTGACTTCAAAAAGCTTGTCCGCCCAATAACTTAAGATTCCTTTGACCCTTAGTCATCATATTTGGCATGGAGGTTAGTCATGATTAGTAGATGACCCCTATTGATTTTGAGGTCACCAGGTCAAAGGTCAAGGTCACAGGGGCCTTGACTTCAAAAAGCTTGTCCGCCCAATAACTTAAGATTCCTTTGACCCTTAGTCTTCATATTTGGCATGGAGGTTAGTCATGATTAGTAGATGACCCCTTTTGATTTTGAGGTCACTGGATCAAAGGTCAAGGTCATAGGGACTTTGACTTCAAATAGGTTGTCCACCCATTAACTTAAGATTCCTTTGACCGACAGTCTTCATATTTGGTATGGATGTTGATCATGACTATAAGGTGACCCCTATTGATTTTGAGGTCACTGGGTCAAAGGTCAAGGTCACAGGGACCTTGACAAAAAAAAGCTTTCTTCTCAATTGCTAAAGAATGTCCTGTCCGCAATGTATTGATTTTGACATTTTCACATTTGAAGCATGTAGAATACATGACTTAGCAATGCACTGGCTTAGTAACTTCAGATTTGGCAGGGAGGTTGTCCTTGAGCTCTAAATGGCCACTGTTGATTCTGACAAAGTGGTATGCGGGGGTATTCACGCCATGATAGTGGCAGTTCTAGTTTTCTTAGGAAAAAATAAAAATCTACAATAGCACACTCTTCAACCCACAAAATGTTCATGTTCAGCTGCATTGCTGTATGGTATTAGATAGTCATATGATAGGAGTCTTAAGTAGGGACATTTTCTTTTCAATACAAAATTGTCTCAAGATTTGTCTTCAAACTTAGGACTTTCTATGAAAGGCAACCCAGATTATTAGAATGCAGTTAATAATACACAATTAATAAAACATAACTAAAATTGACCACTGCTACTTTACCATTGGTTTTCAGTGAGACAGCCCAAAACTTGTTATTTGTAACAGTCGAAGGCCAGGATAAAGACTTGCACTGCTGTGCTGTCTTTTCTTACTAAAATTTTTGATAAAGTTTTCTGCATCACTTGTGCTATTGTTTTTAGTTAATTTTTCCCCTTAAACTTGCACATTCCTGGTTACCAATGTTCTATCTGTTCATCTTCTGACAGTCTTCATTAGAAACGTAATTATTTCTTGAATTTTTAAGTAATAAAAAGATCTCTGGCCAAGACACATTCAACTATAGCATGGATTTTCCCATATTTTTATGTGTGCCTTCTGTTATAGTGCTTTTCTTATGGATTCATCATAGTTCAATTCATGAATATTCTGCCTTTTAAGACTGTGTTAATTATTTTGTTTATTTAGTAATACCGTATAAAAGTGAATGCAGTGATGTTGAGCTTTGTAAGACTACAGACTCTATTTGTGCCGGGGATCAGACTAACATATGTTCATGTGCTGAGGGCAAATATTATGACAGTAACCTTGATTCCTGCAAGCCATGTAAGTCTCCTGTACATTATTTAAGACTGTTGACTTCATTGATTTTACAATCTTGTAGTATTTGATTGGCATTTTTTAGCTTGATGCTATGAAGGGAGAGCTATTGTTCTCACCCTGGTGAAGGGTATAGCCATCACACTTTGGTTAAGGATTTTGCATGCAAGTTGCACTAAATCTACAAGAGGGAATGGGTTTAAACTTATACATGCACATCCTCTCTGATTATCTTGCAAGATGGACACTTGTCTTAAAACTGAGTAATCTTGTTACAGAGTTATGCCCCTTTTCTTACTGTCAAGCTCTGAGAATAGTTGGGCATGCTGTAATGCGGACAGCTATTGTTTTTAATAAAATTCTAAAATGGTACGAGTTGTTATAAAATAATTTAGATTTTACAATTTATTGAAATTTTCAGGTAACTTAGACATAAAATTTAATTTACCAAGTGATACTTGTCCAAGTTCTTTATAAGATACCAATTGTATGTGCAGATGAAGCATTTTTAGCTCGACTATACGAAGTATATGGAGAGCTGTCCTACTCGCCCCGGCGTCGGCGTCCGCGTCCGCGTCCAGATTTTAGATTAAAGTTTTGGTGCAGTAAAATATTTTTCACTATAACTTTGTCATTTCTTAAGGTATCAACTTCAAACTTCAAATATATGTTCCTTATCATCAACCACATCTTATGTGACAAGGTTCATAACTCTAGCACCAATATTTTCAGATTTATCTCCCCTTGAACTTAGAATTTTCCTTAAAAAATATTATTTTTTACTGTAACTTATTTATTTCTTAAGGGATCAACCTCATACTTCAAATATATCTACGTTATCATCATCCACATCTTATGTGACAAGGTTCATAACTCTAGCACCAATATTGCAAGAATTATCTCCCCATAAACTTAGATTTATTTACTAGAAAAATGTTATTTTTTATTTTAACTTTTTTATTTTTAAAGGTATCTACCTCAAACTTCAAATACTTATTCCTTATCATCAATTACATTTTATGTGACAATGTTCATAACTCTTGAAGCAATATTTACAGATTTATCTCTCTTTGAACTTAGGATTTTCTTTAAGTTATATAATAACTTCTTTACTTTTTAAGGTATCTACTTCAAACTTCAAATATATATTTCTTATCATTGCACAAATGTTGTGTGGCAAGATCCATAACTCTAGCATGACTATTTCTAGAATTATTCCCCTTGATCTTGGAATTTATGTTAACAAATGTTATTTTTTTACTATAACTTAATACATAATTATACATAATTGATTTTTCTTTCATAGTTTTGTCCTCCTTACTGTGTCCAGTTTTTTATTAGTCGAGCTTCGCTGTCTCCTGTGACAGCTCTTGTTATAGAATAGTCTCTCGGATGCACCTCCTGTGCAATAGTCAGAAAGTAGAGAAAAAGAAAAATTGTATGCCTCAATTTATTTTGTAAATTGTTCGTTATTGTTAGCTTGTCTGTTTTGAATAAAAAGTTGAGCTATTATGAATGCTACTGTGTCATTGCTGTGCACATATTTTAATATAGCTCATATAATAGTTTTAAAGGATATGAAACTTGGAATACTTGCTTATCATGACAAATGGCATATGTAAGCCAAGGGACATGATTCTAAAAGCTATATTTTATCTTCCTTATATTGTTGTTACTTCACTTACCAACTTGCTTGCTTGCGGAACATCAGTTCTACTCAGGTGCCTGCTTGAAATAATGCACGGAATGGCACCTGAGGCTTTCCTCCACCAGTAAAGCTGGAAAGTTGATGTATGACCTACACTGGTGTTGGTGTGACATAAAACTCAATCAAAACAAAACAAAAGAAACAAACAAGCTTCACTTACCAGAATAATACAGAAAGTTCTTTTGTATGATTTAGTGTTGGAGCAGGGAGAAAGTGGCTGTTTGGATGCACAACAACAGTGTACCACAGACGACGCTGTTTGTGTGGACGGGAAGTGTAGCTGCTCACCTGGAACATACTATTTAAGTGGAAAATGTAACCCAGGTTGGTGAAACTTTGCAAATTACAAAGAAATCTGCCTAACAATCACACTGTTCCCTTGACCAATCTGCTGTTATGACCCTGATCAATTTAAATATTAAGAGCACATACTTCGCAACTCGTTTCATTGGTCTAATCTAAAGATGAAACCACCCAATTATAACAGTACCCCATTTTCTTCAGAACAATTATTCTTTTGTATGTATCCTGTCCCTGTTATGGAGATCCCACCTCAATGATTGTAAAAAAAGACCATGTCAACATTCATTATCAGACACAAATTTGTATGATTGTAATTTGTGTTCTGAATTTTGCTCTTATTTTTTACCAATGTTTTCATGATCATAAACTGTTTAACGAAGCTAGTTGATTCAGACCTCACCATTATCAAGACCCCTCATTTTAAAGACCACACATGGTATTGTTAAAAGAGTTTTATGGTATTGTCATACTTTGACTTTTGTGCACCAAAATAATGAATCCTTCTTAATGTCATTGGTGATATGTGAAATGATGAATTACCTCCCTTTTCATAGTCCATGAATGTATAATGCTTGGATGATATGTTTTATTGCAATGTGTTCCTATACTCTAAATTGGCAGGAGATGGGGGCATATAGATTTGCCCTTGTCCATGTCTGTCACGCTGTCCATCAGAAGACTGACGAAACAGTGGAATGTTGGTGCACCAGTGTCCCATGGACACATTTCTGGTTATTTATTTTTTTTATCTCATTAACACTTCTAACAAAGTTAGTATACATTTGTATATGTAGATGTGTTTTTGAAGTGGCAAGTTAGTTTTTGTTCTGTGCTAGATTAGTAAAGGAAGAGGTTTTTTATTTCAGGAAAAGATAATGGTGAGGCATGTGGTACGACTGAGTGGTGTAAAATAAGTGGTGCTGTCTGCGAGGCTATTTGTAAATGTGAAGATGGATATTATAGTGATGGTTGGGCATGTCTTGAAAGTAAGTAAAGTTTGTCATTTATAAGTTAATTCAAATTAAGTTTTTTGGTTATATACCACAGTTACCTGTGTATATCTATAATGTTTACTGATATAATCAGTTTAATGTAATGCCTGTGTATATTTATAATGTGTGCACAGTGATGCTATGCCTATTTTTGCATATAAAAAGAGCCGGGTACGTCCACTTTTGTGTGCCATAAATGATGTCAGTAAATACTGTGCTTATGGTTTGGGTCAGGGAAGTTCTAAAACTTCTGTCTGTAATGGCTGGACTCAGGGAAGTACTTTGTATTTCTGTGCGCTACAGCTATGCGTCACTGAAAACTAAAATTTCTTTGTGTTGAGGAATTTTCAAGTGTTATGATTGGGGAAAATTTTGGTTGATATTGATGTGAAGGATTTTGGAGATTAGGTATAAAGTTTACTTGTCATTTATATTTGTTTGTTAGAAATTAATAGAAAACTAAGTAACAAATGCATTCTTGTTCAAATTTTATCAGAGGTACCATTTGACGCACCTTGTACACAGGAGGGCATGTGTAGGACATCCAGTGGAAAATGTGTCATTGGAAAGTGTGGATGTGGTGAAAATTATTATCACGATCCTCAAACAGACAAATGTTTGATAAGTAAGTTACTCTATGAATATAATGTTTGGCCAATATTTTTCTTGATGAAAACCATTTTGTGTATGTGTTGATATTTGTAAACAATTTTATGTTTAATCTCAAGATGACTCAGTGAAATAGTTTTATTTATTGATAATCTAGCCATAGTGTTTTAATCTATATTTGAAAATTACTTTCCAATGAATGTACAACGTATAATGTTAAAAATATTAACAAAGTAAATGACTCTTAAAATACTTGTGGGCAATAATATCTTGCCTATGTCACAGAGTTATATATTTAAATGGAAAGAAAGCTATGATGGTCATACAATTCTGTATCAGGGATTTATTATCACGCAAGTTCACACTTTTTGCGAGATTTTCCGAGGCTAATGTAGAAATTGATATGAAATGTTTGGACTTGTAAAATCAGGCTAAATAGTGTACAATATGTAGAGCTGTCATTGATATAGTGCAAAGCATATCAAAATACAGTCTACTCCACTTATAACGAGATCGGTTTTAACGAGGTACCGCTTACAACGTACATTCTACTGTGTCTCGACCTTTTTCCTTCTATTTTCCTTTCATTTTTTATCGTTTATAACGAGATCGGTTTTAGCGAGATATCGGTTGCAACGTACATAATTTTCGCCGTCCCATGCGTATTTTTCAGAATTTTAACGAGGTCACTTCATTTGCACTTCGTCTGCATCAGTTTGTCACCTTGAGAAAAATAATGATGACCAATAATAAAGGTCTATTAAGGAAGAAATTATTGACGCGGGACGAGATAATGGGTCAAGCAATTAGCGATCAAATGTGTCAGCCTTGTTTTGTCAGCGCTCCAGGCTAAATTGTCCTTAAGGTGATAAAATGTCATAACAAAACAATTTCATTGAGTGATAAGCATAAAGGAAGCGGCTAATTTCTTGCGGTGTTATTGGGTGTTCGTGAGAAATACACTGCGTGACTTTTGAAAACAAATTTTAGAATGTACATATTAATGAAAAAAACACATGCGGTTAGACGTTGGTTGTGTTTTCATGTTTTGTTTAAATTCTATGATAGCTAGATATATTTATATACATGTATATTTAAATAAAACAAAAACATTTTTAAAAAAGTTTTTAATCCCATTATATTCTTAAAAAGGGGTGCAGGGAAAAAGCAAAAGTAAATTTAAATGTGTAACGGTTTAAATTTTCTCAATTTGTTCTGCCCCGGTTAAACAAGACCGGTTTAACGGGGAATCAGCAAGTCCGACTCCTTTGTATGGGAGTGCTTGTTATCATATTGGATGAAAAATCAACAATACTCTGATATAATCGATAAATACTTAATTATTGTTTCCCTTCATTTTCAACCTGTTTAAATGATTTTTAAAATACATGTTCTTTTTCGTTTTTTGTAAAAATGCCTTGCATATTTTTTTTCCTGGCCATTTTTTGTCATCATCTATAAATGTGTCCATAAGTAAAAACGTTAGTGTTGACAGGGAAACCCCTGTTTTTATTTTGGGGAATTTTTAATAATTTTAGACTATTAAAATAATTAATCAAAGTTATTGATTTTTTTCAAATGTGTATTGAAAATTGATTGACAGAAAAATATCAACGATACACCAATATCCTCTCTGTTGATGACAGCTCTAACAATATGAACAGAATTAAAGTGAACCAAATGTTAACTTTGTTACATATAAATTGTCAGTTAAATATGCATACATACTATTTTTTTTTTTAATTAATTAATTAATTAATTAATTAATTAAATGTTACCGTCTACTTGCAGAGATAGGTTACAATGAAACATGTGTTGATAGAATACAGTGTATAACAGGGAATGCTGATTGTAACGGAAACTTATGTCTCTGTCCAGTTGGAAAATACCTGGCGGATGTCAGCTGTGAAGACAGTAAGTAGTATATACATTGTATAAATATCAAAAATATGTTTTGGGAAATGCAGAATATAAATTAAGTTAGATTTTTATATGTTTATTTCTGTAAGCACTTTCAGTGCTTTTACATATCATACGATATATGATATGTAGAAGCACTGAAAGTGCTTACAGAAATAAACATATAAAAAGATATGTAAAAGCACTGAAAATGCTTACAGAAATAAATGTATTAATCGATATGAAAAAGCATTGAAAGTGCTTACAGAAATGATTGTATAAAAAGATATGTAAAAGCATTCTAAAAGCCGTTTTGCTGCATTCTTACTGTGAATTGTAATGCCAAATGGAATATTAATTATCTCTTATTTCATGTAATTTTTTGTCAAATATGTGAATTTTGTAATATTCATGTTTAGGATCATAAATGGAAATTTCATTGCTCCCATTACATAAAAGAAGCAAATAGACTGACCATTGTTCCATTGTTCGTCTGACCCACTGTCACATTTTCCCCGGGTAGACTTAGCAAAAGTAGCGGAATGTTGGGTCATCTGAGTCCAATCCTATGACACATTTTGAGATATATTGTAAAATTGACATCTGTGTGGTTTTGTGAATTTAATAGAGAAAGGTTATGGTGAGCTATGTGAATCATCAGAGGAATGTGATGATGGTGGGCTAGTCTGTGATGTCATAGAGTGCTTGTGTCCAGAAGGCATGTACTACGACGGCATTTGCAAACAAAGTAAGCATATAGATTTTACTATGACATTAAAGAAACTCCACTGAGGTTTAAAGGCTAAAAAAATAAAATTTGAATATCATACAAATATCAAGTGAAGCACTTAAAATGGAAAAATCAGCAAAGAAATATACATGTATACACAGAATTAAATTGAAAATCAATTTTATATGTGATTATGAGCTATACTGGTGAGAAAAGCATCAAGCCTTTTCATTTTTATGCTCTTTTTTCACAATAAAAATGATAATTCTCGAAAAACAGAATGAGGGAATAACAAGTTTACACAATGCTTAATGAATTAAATTAATGGGGACCAAATCCGAAAAAAAAAATTTTTAGCCTTCATGTCAAAAAATCTGTCTCAGTCCCCCTTTAAAATTTTTTTTTTTAAATACAGTATTTTATAGGGTATTAACCCTTTTAAATTTTTATTTAAAATTTTTTAGTAATTAAGTGTAGAGTTAAAATAATTTATTGAAATCTTGCTTGTGAAAAATATATACAGAAATCATGTTTGATCACCATAATATTATTTAGGAGATTGGTTTGTTTACATTATATACAGAAATCATGTTTGATCATCACCATAATATTATTTCGGAGGTTTTTTTTTTTTTTTAAATGTGTACAGAAATCATGTTTGATCACCATCATGTTATTTGGGAGGTTAATTTGTTGTAAAATGTTTACAGAAATCATGTTTGATCACCATAATGTTATTTTGAAAGGTTGGTTTATGTAAAATGTGTTCAGAAATCATGTTTGATCACCATAATATTATTTAGGAGATTGGTTAGTTTAAAATATGTACATAAATCTTGTTTAATCATTTGATCACCATAATATTATTAAGGAGACTGGTTTGTTTAAAATATGTACATAAAACTTGTTTGATCACCATAAGGTTATTTTGGGAGGTTTATTTGTGTAAATGTTTTACACAAATCATGTTTGATGACCATCATGTTATTTCAGGGGTTGGTTTGGGGGAATCCTGTAAAGATAAAGATCATTGCTCTTTCACGAAAGCGGAGTGTGAATCTGAATTGTGTGCTTGTCCTGCCGGAACCTATCCATCGGGCACATCTTGTATGCCAGGTAAGATTCAAACCTACACATAAAGGTTCTTGAAACTTTTGTAGAATTGATTTATTACTATGCAATTGATATGTTTTCCTGATTATTTTGAAGCATGCTACTCATCTGACCAGATGAAATCTCTGGTATGGATTTATCTATCGGAAACAGCAGTCTTATGGTCAAGAATTGTTAATCCATACTTTTTAGTCTAGAGAATGCCTAATGGGTAAAAAGTGTCTGCATGGGTATAACTAATGGAAAGACCAGTCCTATTGGCAAGAATTGTTATAATCCACACCTTCTAGTATTGAGATGGCCTTGCAGTTAAGTGTCTGCTACTCTACCCAGGGATGGTGTATTTGAACTCATGACCATGTGTCCTCATTTGACATAATTGCTAGTTAGTTCCAGGAAACAGACTTGAAAGTGATAAATACAAGTTGCAAGAACTGTACCTTCACAAAAACTTAATTAAAAAATGTTTATTTCTTAGATGACATGGTAAAATGTTGCAAGATTTTTGTTTGCACAGTTAAAGATATAGAGAAAGCCTTAAACCACTAATTAAGGAATTCATCTTGCCTATTTGTTATATTTCAGTGAAATCTCATGGTTCGTCTTGTGATACCAATGGAGAGTGTAAAACACAAAACTGTGTAAAGAACACGTGCAGTTGCTTAGCAACTCAGTACTTTGACACTGAAAGTGAAACCTGTACAACAAGTATGTTTTTCAATTTTCAAATTTTTTCCTTCATTTACATTTCATAGTGATAATGACAGTTTGAAATTTGACACCGTAGATTATGTATTGAACAAAGTTTTTTGGAAAAAAAAGAAAGAATAAAAGCTTTTTTTCTCAGGAAAAAAAACAAAAGCTGTGAGAGACAAGTGACTATTTGACACAGTGTTCTAAGATCAATTGCAGAAAAGTATTTGCTAAATTGCCATATGATTCATGTATTTTTATTTGAAATCTTGCCCAGTTTAAGATATATATGTACATAATATTTTCTCCCTGCAGAGGTGGCATATAATGACACATGCTCAGACGTTGGCCAGTGCAGTACTGGCTCTGTAGAATGTACTACAGGCAAATGTGTATGCTCCGACAACCACTTCTTTGACAGTGACAGCAACTCTTGTTTCATAAGTAAGTGGGACACATATCATATTGTACATAAGTTTTAGATAGATAATATCAATTAATAATAATGTGACAACGTAAGTGAAAGCATGTAAAAAGTAGTGCGCAAAAACCTCGGATTGCCCATGAAAGCCTGAAGGCTTATTTCCAATTTCAACACTAAAATAACTAAATTTTTTAGACTGTTTTTTTTTTAAACTTGGGCAGTATAGCAATGTTTGTGAATTTATTTTATAGTAATTTGAATAATTGATATGATTTCTTTCATGTTGTAATTGAGGTTGTTACCACACTTAAGTGAAATTTTATATATGTACAGTGTAACTTCCGAATTCCGGAACTTCTGAAATCCGGAAACTTCTAAAAACCGAACAATTTTTTCGGTCCCGATTTTTTCCCTTCTATTTTCTATTAATATAATACTTCTGAATTCCGGAACTTCTAAATTCTGAATTCCGGACGATATTTTCGTAAAATTAGAGTCAAATCAATGCAATTTTACCTCCGAAAACCGGAAATATCCAAAGGTGTGAAATACATTGTAAATCGAGAATGTTTACCCTGCAGGAAGATTTAATCTCCCTATCAATTGTTTACTAATTAGCGGTGATCGTGTAATTTGACACACGTTAAAATCACAAACTGTGAAAGTGATGCGGTTAATCAAAGTAATTTACCGCGGTCAGTTAATTTGAAGTGTTTATTAGCGGATTAAATCACAATTAGTTGGGACAATGTATGCATCAAACGTCTTTAGGGATTTTATTGCATTTGATGTAATAATTAATTAACTAGCATCGGACGATATGTAAGTTTATGCAATTAACAACATTTCTACAAACTGATAGAAATTCAAAAGCATTTGCAGGTGTAAGATAAAAATGTATTCTTTTCATTCACATCTTTATCTTGATTAAAAGACTATTATATATGATATTACAGTAATGGCCACATCTTCCTTGACATTTAGTGATATTAAGTGGCTTAGTCTTGTCCACATTATCATAAACCTCTGAATTCCGGAAACCTCTGAAATCCGAACTTTTTGACAAGTCCCATGGGTGTTCGGTTTTCGGAAGTTACACTGTATATAATTATGCTTATAAAACAATTTTCAAACATCGAAGAATATGTAAAATATGTACTGCAAATATTTTTGCACATTAAATGTAATCATTAAAATATATGCATTCATTTCTTATTGAAAAATTTGACTTAGACTTTATAGAAAATAAAGGAGTATGTTCAAGTATAGTGAAAATCGGCCCAAATTTTAATTTTGATAAAACTTGAGCATATGACATAAAAATATGTCCCAAGTAGGTTTTTGTTGATTTTTGCATCATTTTTTCTAATTTTTCAATTTTTAGGCTCTATACTTGACCCCATTGTAACGTATTTTGACGTCAAAATTGCAACGTCAATCAACGACGCCGTAACGTCATATTAATATTTGTAATATGAAACGCTGGTATATGACTCATAAATCTCTTTTCAGTTACGGAGAGAAAAAAATTGTTTCTTTCATTTACTAAAATATTATAAAAACACAATATTCACTTTAAAATGAATGAAACATAAATGAAAACAAACTCGTTCAGTTTACGTAATATATTTCAATGACGGGAGGTGTTAAATGAATTATTTATTTACATAATAATCTGTTTATCACATGTCAAAGATGAAAATTGTTTACAGTCAAAAATAGTATTATTTTTTCATTGACACACTTATAGTGTAACGCTAACATTTCATGCGTCTTTACGCTATGATCGTATAACGCAAAGGACGACACGTCAAAATATATGCCCTGCCGTGCAATACTATTTTACTGTAACAGCAAAAGCGGCATGTGATATGTGATAAAGTTATGTTACACACTGAATCATTTACTTTAGTGTAACAGCTACGTAAACTGACATGAATTCATCATCTAACAATACAGAATTATAAACAAAACGAAATAAAAATAATAAGGTGATCCCTCAAAATGCCCATCACACAAAATAAACAATCTAGCATACTTTATAACAGGTGTGACATTCAAATTACTGCTGCATAAACTATTGGATAGTGTCCATCTTTTATTCTGAAGAAAATCTATTTACATTTAACGACCACAAAGATTTTCAAAAATATGCAATAGAATTTGCATGCACATACATGTATAAATTTTCTGCATATAGTTTACGGCAATAAACTTTGATGTTGTTTTTAAATATATAGTTAGTACAACTTAAACATAATAAGATAATAAGATGCAGAAACAGATATTACATCAATCGGAACATGTCGGCAATGTTTCATAAATACACATAGTCTTATCCGAAGAATGACGGAAAAGGCCGAAAAGTTAGAGTAAAACGTTAAATATATTTTATAACATTCAAGACATTCTAAATAACGCAGTAACAAAATCATTGCATTTTGCCACTTATAACTATTAATATTCAAATGTCTCGAAAAATATCAAATAAAAAATTACAGCATGTTTAGGACGCAACAAATATTTTATTACAATCTCATTCATCACAACATTTAAACATTTAAACTTGTCTCTTCTCAAATACATCAACAACCTAGATTAATTTCATAATAACTAATGACTAGCCTTATGTTTCAAAAACGAGGACTAATGTGGAAATGAAACACTAACAAGTCAATATTATGTAAAGCGATTGTCAAGATATGAAGTATTTCACCTGTCTATGGTATCTATGGTACTATTCTATCAATATCATGCCTAACATGAATATGTTTTGTCAGCGGCCTTTTAAAGGCACAGTATGACTCAGAAATGAATAATATTTACCTTTTTTTAAAAGATCAAAGATGTTTTTATACCTTTTAAATAATGGTTTAGAGCATGTAAGATGCTTGTTACCTAAACAAAAGACCGGTAAATATACTAATATGTCATTAATGTAGCAATGAAAAAAAGTAATGAAAACAAGTAATATTTTGACTTCAATACAAATTACTAAGTTATTATATATGTACTTATTGCCTGAAAGTAACAAATGAAGAAGACCAATGAGTAACTTGTTTGAAACTAAAAAATATTTTGAGAAATAAAAATGAAAGTATTGCATTTCGGGTACATAAAGGGGCCTTTAAAAGTATACTATTCACGATGACGTCAGCGGTCTGAAAAAAAAATATCGTCTGAGCGAGGACTATTATAGTGCGTAACGGTGAGGAAAATAAAAAAGCGTACTTAATATAAGCTGAATGCCAATAATTTTCATTGAACTTTAAAAGAAGTTTTGTGATTTAAACAATATGATTTCCAACTTTTACAATAATGTTATATTAAATAAGAAATAATTCAATGTATATCGGAAACCTCTATCGACAACGAAAATATCATCCTTCTGAATAAAGTCCCTTATCTCTTCAGTACTTGTTTTCAACATATGATTCAGGATAGAAGCATCATTGTTCTTTGAATCAGCAAAATAAGGGCCCATCACTGTAACAAAGTATCCGGTTGTTGTGACAATAACCATGGGCTTCACTAATGGACGACCTTTGTGCATTGAATATGAACGTCTTTGAAAGCTAAAATTATTACTTTTCTGAATATAAACATAAGTTCCATCAAGAACTAAAATAACTTTCCCATCATTTGCATCAAAAAGAGACTTGGCTAACGGTCTAGTGTGATGGTTTATAATATCTTCCCTTGTTATGCTTTCAAAACCAAGATATAACGGCACAAATCCTCTCATCATCGCATGTTTTGTGGCAACAATCGCTCTCCGTACACTTGACTTGCTAATTCCAAATAGAGTAGACAATAGCTTATTTGACAAGCCCGATTTCATCTTCAGGAGAAAAATGCCTAGAGATGTTCTGGAAGAACGTGATGGAGAGTTAAGAATTTTGTCGGCAACATGACGAAAAACATCATCAAACTGAGAACGTGAAAGCCCTGTTAAGTTTTCATATTCTACGTCGTTTAAGACATCAAAATTCAATTTGTTTTGTTTGTAGCAGCATATTTCTCTTCAATGTTTTATAAGTTTTAGGACATATGTCCTGTTTAGAAATGCTGTTTCTATTATCGGCACATTCTCTAAGGAATCTGAACAAAGCAGGCCTTCATGTATGTGTACTGGACAGCACATCTGGCCTCTGAAGACAGAACAACTAATTTTGGCCCTGGTCTTTTGCAGACTAAACATCTTGAATGTGTTTTACTGGTAGTTTTTATATTTAATGATACCGATGGCGGACTAGTCGGTGTTTTTGTTCCCTTTGATTGAGAAGTTGAAACAGGTGGAACATAATCTGGATCTGACTGGTTGTTGTTTTTTCTTGTAAAAGATGATGATTCTAATGCATAGTATTTATGTCTACATTTGTTACAAATTATTTCATTGTCTTAACATCAACAAATAACCGTGTTTGAAGATATTTTATTATAGGTTTGCTTATGTGTCTTCTTTCTTTTGGTTTAGTTCTTTTCTTGCACGCCGCACAGGCATAAAACTTTGGACCCGATCCAGGCATCCTGAAAAAAATACTTAGTACATCAAATATTTGACAGAAAAAATATTTCCTCCTGTACTTTGGTTTTATTAACTAACAATAAACTTTTAATTTCATTTTTTTTTTCATTCATTAGATCTATCTAAATGAATAATGATTTTAAATAATAAACTCTCATTTAATACTTACAAAAAAAAAAGATTAAAAATTTTGTTTTACCTCGTTCAGGGGTCGAACCACCAGACGGAACTGATCAGTCATATAAAACGATCATGCGCCGGGCACTTAGACCACTACGACATCGCCACAACTGTAATTAAAATGTTTTACATTTACTACTTAATGTCGATACGTGACTAAATATTTATAAGTAAACGGATGGGATACTTTAAATTAAATATTCTATCTTTTCGACGCAGATTTCAATTTGTTATTCTGGCAATTACTTGATAAATATACATTACCTTGACACTTTTTCTAACTCTATTTAATACTGAGCTCTACTATTACTAAGATAATGTCGACTTTAAATTATGCAGACGAAAAACAGATTTTGACAATTTCATGGATAAAACTATACTTACTTGGTTACTCCCTGTCACGGTAATCACCAAGTCATATCTGGACTGGAATACATTCCTAGATCCGAGAATAAATCCTCACAAAATAAACAAACAAACGTTATTGACTGTTTTAAACCAGCAGATCTAGGTGATATCTAGATTTACTAGGTAAAGTGTAAACAATGGCTTTGTTGTTGTTGTCGTCGTCGTTGTCATCATCCGCTGGATTTTCACTTTTCATTCAATAAGTTAACAAAAACAGACAGAAAAGAAGACATATTTTATTTGACTAATGATTATTGCTTTCGATCTCAATGTTTGACCGCAAAAACAAGAAATAATTTATAAAAATACAGAAAAAATCTTTGATGTTCTATGCATTTGATTTGCTTTTGCACAGACACCAGGGGAAGGAAAATATAAATTTTCATAAAGGGCACAGGCCTCGACCAAAATTATTGATATGTTTTTGTAAATTATAAATACCCACAATGACAATGACGTATTTTGTTTTTTGGTCGAGACCTGTGCCCCATTCAAATTTTTCAATTTATCGTCGAAAACTGATACAAAATACCGGAAAACGGGTTTTAGCCCTTACTTCAAGCGCATTTTATTGCACGAAACGGATGTATTATCTTTACTGTTTTTCATATATATCAACAAGCTAAAGATGTTCTTCCAGAAAATTGTTTCATTTCTTGAAAATTTGAAGTTTTATAAAATACAAAATATTTAGGCATATTTCATGCATAAGCGAATCTAGTCCTTTCTAATTACCTCCTTTAATTTACATGAGATGTTAAATTTGGTTATATCTTTATAAATAATGCTTTCTGGAACTTACAATATTGATAAATCTTAATTTGATCATGTTTATGATATAAAACCATAAAAAAATTGCGTTACATGATTTTTAAGCATGCATAACATGTTTTGAAAATATTACAAACATGTTACAGTAATCATTGCTTATGGCAAACACACTAATAATGGACATTCAAAATATGTACCTTATATCTTGAGATCACTGGAACCATATAGCAAATTGCACAATGATTTTGTGCATGATTTTTGATTTTTTTCCCCCACAGTTATGGGCCCTTGATGGTGAATTTTTTTTTTTAGTAAAATTGGCTTAGACTATTTCTCCTACTACACTTCTAATGGAAATTCAGTTAAATTTTGGGAATGATATTTATCAAAGGCGGTAGGGGTTATATTACCAGTATTTTGGCATATATGTCGAATTTTATGTAGAAGCTTATTTTAGGGGACATAAGTCACTTTTCAGTGACAGCTCTTGTTATTAGATATGACCGTTTAAAATGAAAAGTAATTTCTTTGAAATATTATTATGAACATTTATAATGCTTGTAATGACCACAGACATTGGGGATGGAGGAAGCTGTACTGACCCAAGTTCATGTGCTACTGGGAATGCTGAATGTTTGGGAGGAACTTGTACCTGCGGAACTGATAAATTCCTGAACACCTTCGCAAACTCATGTGATGACAGTAAGTTTAGAAATCTTTTATAATGGAATTAATAATTTTGAGACCAAATATTTCTTTCCTGACAGTAAGTTTAGAAATCTTTTATTACAGAATTAATGATTTTGTGACTTTTTTCACTGAAGTAATTGGAATTTGAAAATGAAATTCTAGGTGTGATATATTATCAATATAAAGCTAAATATCTCCAGACCAGTGAACAAAATTTAAAAGTATAAAAACTTAGAAATATACAGTGAAACCTGTGTTAAAGATCACCTCTGAATAAAGATAACCTTGCAAATAAAGGTCACTTTTTGCTATAAACCTTTCATTGATAAAATGGAATGCAACCTCCAATTAAAGACCACCAAGTCTTGTCTATAAAGACCATTACTTGTATTTCATCTGGTTGTTCACAGTTTTGACTGTATAAAGAGTTATAAAAATGTATATTAAATTTTATTTGAAATTCATTTGACATTACAGTACATGTCTTTTTATTACCTAGGTTTGCTTCAAGAGTTTAAATACTAGTTATTGAATTAGTGTAAATTTGGCAGGCATTAGTGCAGGTGTCAATATCTTTGTCTATGCACAATTTTTCTAACAGTATAGGTTGCTTACACATTCTCACTTAACTTAAATTCTTTAAAACTTTCAGAGAAGGGAAATGGGGACCCATGTAGCGAATTCAATGAATGCAAAGACGGATTTGATTGTGATGGGGTATGCAAATGCCCAACCAGTATGTACCTTTCTGATACAACTTGTTTGCCACGTAAGTTGTTTTATTTTTGTCTCCTTATTTTGTGAAGTTAGGACTTGTTGAATTATACCTCATAGATGTTCAATATTTTGACAGTCGATATTTTTCTTGATAGTATCATATCAGTGCTTTCTCCACACCACTGTGGGTATGAATTTGCTAGCGTCTGGATTCATCAATGTGAGGAAGCTATCCAGCTAGCTAACAAAACATTTGTGGTTCTACTTAAAAGTCACCATATTACCTCTACTGCCTTCGTGCGATGTAAAACCAGATCAAACCAAAAAAAAAAAAAAAAAAAAAAAATCTGTAACAAATCGGTGTATTACTTAAAATGGAATCATTTTTATCAAATGAATAATTCTGTCGATATTCTTTACTGCTCTACAATGTTAAAATTAAGGTAGTACTACTGTAATGTTTTTCGGCCAACAAATTCTAACATCATCCAATATCGTAGCAAATCGGTTATTTCCGGAACATTATTTTTTCGAAATACTGGGCATTAAATTATTTACAATCCCTCATCCTAGCACTTTTTACTAAATTCTGTTATAAATGGTTAATTATATAATACCCAAGATTGTGAAAAATAATGTTCCGGAAATGACCGATTTATTATGATATTGGCCCGTGTTAGAAACTTTTTTGGGGGAAAGCATTACAGTAAGACTACCTTAATAGTCTGGCAATCTGATTCTGCTCTTATTAAAATTTGTTTTCTAAATAAATTTGAATACCAAGAGAAATAGAATTATCATAGTAAGGAAGTAACTTTTTTGCAGAAGAATACCAAAGGAAATGATTTAATCAAGGGAATTAACCTTTTTTATGTTAGAAGAATATCAAGGGAATCAACCATTTTTATGTAGAAGAATATCAAGGGAAATAACTTTTCTATGGTGAAGAATATCAAGGGAGATAACTTTTCTATGGTGAAGAATATCAAGGGAGATAACTTGTTTTTTATATATGATACAGGCAAGGAGAATGGTTTAACATGTGAAGATGTGGGACAATGTATTGTAGAAAATACAGGATGTCTTGAAGGAATTTGTAACTGTTCTGTGACCATGTTCTTGTCCAATGGTGCATGCATAACCAGTAAGTACTATTCTACTTGTCATTCTGTCACAATTTAGTTCCTTAACTCTTATCCTGCTAATGCTAACAGGAAGCTAACCATGTGACCAGTGCCATCTGATCATGGTCTGCACTGGTCTAGTTTTTCAGTCCCTAAAAATGATAAATAGTTATCATCCAGATTGGAAGATGTACACCTCCATTTTATGATATTTAGGGTGGTAATGGTTAAGTTTGTACTAGTGATAATATTTTTTTTTGTCAATGGAAGTTTTAAGGTCAAAGGTCAAACACACCAGTTGATTGCCTTTTTTACAAATTAAAAGTTTTTGTCATTGTATTTATTGTAAGATTCAGATTAAAGCTTTTAAACTGACTAAATATTAGCGTGTGAAGTAAGGTCAAAATTAATTAACTTTGTTTAAGGTCAAAGGTCACAAAGGTTATTTTTCTATTGTATTGTTTTTCCATTTCGTAGAAAACTTTAATAATATGGAAGTTTTTCTGTTTTTTCCTATTCATAGTCTTAATTTATAATACTTATCATACAGTTTTATTTGAGTAATTCAGCATTTGTTTTTCATTTTTTAGGATTAAACCACGGACTTACATGTGAGGCAGACGGAAATTGTAATGAAAAGTTTGTATGCAAGGATTCCGCATGCAGCTGTCAAGATGGTTACATGTATGAAGAGGACTCTTCCACCTGCATTATGAGTATGTCATTTTGTTTTTGTTATGCTCCCCGAAGAGTGAGCATATTATAGTCACCGCTGTGTTCGTCTGTCTGCTATTCTTGTCCGAAATTTAACTTTGAATCAACATGAAACTTTGTAGGTAGATCTCATTGTGTAGAAGTGCAGTGCAAAAGAACCATAACTCTTTCTTGCCTAATTTTGGAGCTACAGTGTAACTTCCGAAAACCGAACACCCATGGGACTTGTCAAAAAGTTCGGATTTCAGAGGTTTCCGGAATTCAGAGGTTTATGATAATGTGGACAAGACTAAGCCACTTAATATCACTAAATGTCAAGGAAGATGTGGCCATTACTGTAATATCATATATAATAGTCTTTTAATCAAGATAAAGATGTGAATGAAAAGAATACATTTTTATCTTACACCTGCAAATGCTTTTGAATTTCTATCAGTTTGTAGAAATGTTGTTAATTGCATAAACTTACATATCATCCGATGCTAGTTAATTAATTATTACATCAAATGCAATAAAATCCCTAAAGACGTTTGATGCATACATTGTCCCAACTAATTGTGATTTAATCCGCTAATAAACACTTCAAATTAACTGACCGCGGTAAATTACTTTGATTAACCGCATCACTTTCACAGTTTGTGATTTTAACGCGTGTCAAATTACACGATCACCGCTAATTAGTAAACAATTGATAGGGAGATTAAATCTTCCTGCAGGGTAAACATTCTCGATTTACAATGTATTTCACATCTTTGGATATTTCCGGTTTTCGGAGGTAAAATTGCATTGATTTGACTCTAATTTTACGAAAATATCGTCCGGAATTCAGAATTTAGAAGTTCCGGAATTCAGAAGTATTATATTAATAGAAAATAGAAGGGAAAAAATCGGGACCGAAAAAATTGTTCGGTTTTTAGAAGTTTCCGGATTTCAGAAGTTCCGGAATTCGGAAGTTACACTGTATTGCCTTTTGTTCATTTTTACACTTTGAACATTGTCCAGGAACATAGATCTTAAAGATATAAACAAGACACTTTGTAGGTAGATATATCTCATTGGGTAGATGTGCATTGCAAAAGAACCATAACGCTGCCTTGCCTTATTTTGGAGTTATTTCTCTTTGTCTTTTTATAAATTTTTTATACACTTTGGACTTTGTCTGTTACATAAGTCTGACACTGCAAGAGGTAATTATTACTTTCCTGTGTCCAAAACCTATTAGGGGGAGCATCACCCGGTTTAACTGGCTCTTGTTTCTTTTATGTAAACCAGTCTTCAATTTCTGATATGACAGAACAATAATCCTGCTTTGAAATAATCAATGTTTTGTATGTTTGATCTATGAATTCATCAATATTTTGTATGTACTATAGAATCTTTGAATTCACCAATGCTTTGTATGTTTGACCTTTGAATTCACCAACGTTTTGTATGTTTTACATTTGAATTCACCAACATTTTGTATGTTTGACTTTTGAATTTACCAATGTTTTGTATGTTTGACCTTTGAATTTACCAATGTTTTGTATGTTTGACCTTTGAATTTACCAAAGTTTTGTATGTTTGACCTTTGAATTTACCAAAGTTTTGTATGTTTGACCTTAAATTCACCAGTTTTTGTCGTTAAGTCCTTTGAAATTATCTAAGTTGGACCTTATATATTGATTTGCCAAGGTTAAAACTTTTTTTAGTCTATAGAGCTTTTCTGACATTGCTCTGGTATTGCTAAATAATAGGGATGTGAATTGAAGCAAACATTCTGTAAAATTTCAGTTGTAACAACTACAGCAGCACCAACAACTATGGCTCCAGATGAAGAAGTTGTCATTAGTAAGTTTGTCTCTGCTTTGTTGAACATGCATTTTTATAATGTGATTTTAGACATTATCAGGTATAAAAATAAATTTTAAGTTTTTCTTAAAAAGGAAAAACATTTTATATTATTTAGGTCTATTTGTGTTCAGTATTTTTAGATTGATAAGTATTTGTAAAGGCACAGTTCAGAGATTAACATTTGTGATATACAGTCGACATTGTATTAAGAGACCACTCAAGGGACTGCCAAAAAGTGGTCTCTTAATAAAGTGGTCTCTCAATAGAATTCTGGAAAATTCGAGACTTTTTATTACAAGTCATAGATATAATAACATCTTTTTTTTATAAAAACAAAAACTATACAATATTATGTATGTATTAAAGTTTAATAATTACATTTATGCCTTTCTTTAAAAAAAAGTCATCAATATTGTTTTTTTGTTTGTTTGTTTTTTTTTTAGTAGAAATGTGTGTACAAATGTGATCTACGCTCATAATACTGTCAACAGGTCATTTTGACCATGAAACAAAGCATAATGTCTTATATTTTTAATATGTTCATACACATCTCCTGCTGAACATACTTTAGAATCATCAGCCAGGGCTCCAGATAATTTTTTATGCAATGAGTTTTAAACTACTTGATTTTTTCAACAATTAGTTTTCACACTACCCCGATTTCAAATTCAATAAGATTGTTAGAGATCTAGGATTTTTTTGTCTTTTTTTTGTCGAAGAGTCATATTTAATGGGGTACTACATGTATTTTATAAAGCATCAGATGAGCACCTACACCATCAGCAATGAAAGGCTCGGTTCTGTAATGTTTAGTCCACTACGTTTCATGATTTTATTTCGACTACAATCGATGACGTTTGCTATTTACTCAGACTCAATTCCATGCACGATTTCCTCATACAATTTATCCGGTCTTATTAGTTGTCTGTCTTTTTATCGCTCGATCCGACGTCATTTTCGATAAGGGAGGTCACTCTGAGCACATGACAAAACTATGCAAATGCGGTGTTGTGATACGTTATTGCTCTGACAAAATATGTCACAATAAATATTACGATCGGAAAATCCGATTTTGAAACGATTGCAATTGTTATTCATTTTGTTTTTAAACGACAATTATTTGTGACCAATGACCATGGAAAAATTTGTTTGTTTGCTTGTACACATCTAACCTACTCGCTAATTACACAGGTGAGAATGCTCGCAGGGACGATTGTTTGTCACGGCCGTTTAATAGATACTTTAACACTTAATTTTGTACATTTGGGCCGACATTCAGTGGCCGCTGGCCGCGATATGAAATAGTCGTTTAATGGAATTAAATTAAATAGTAAAAATCATCGGGAGGGATTTTATGCGGCCGCTTAATAAAAAAGTTGCTTAATAAAGGTGGACGCAAGTACAATGCCGACTGTACTAAGTGTGAGATATACTTTTATGTAACCTTCACATTTGTAAATGTGACAATGGATATTATAGTGATGGTTTGGCATGCCATGAAAGTAAGTTAGTCATTTATAAGTTAATTTTGAAAAGTTTATTTGTTCAACCACAGTTACCTGTGTATATTTATAATGCGAACAGATATAATCAATTATATGTAAGACCTGCTTTGCATATTTTTCATAAAGAAAAGGCATTAGAGGGAGGTTATATAATTTAACGGTAAACACTAGCTTGAAATATAGACTATAACAGTCTTTTATACAGAGGGTAAGTTTTATGTTTTATATAGATTGCTCATTTTGTCTTAAATTACAGCGACAGAGGGTAAGCTGGTGTCCAATGAAACATTTTCCGATGATCTTTCTGATCCAAACAGTGAGCTGTTCATAAGGAAAAAAGAGGAAATTGAGAGTTCCGTAAGTTATTTTGTCATTTTCTTAACCCTTTTAATACTTCATGCTTGACCTGAATTTAGAAATGTCCCTTGTAAGACAAAAAAAGGTGTGTTTTTTCTGATCTCTGGCCCAGAAATAAGGTAGAGTAGGTAAGAATTTCATTTTTTATATGCCAGAAGAAACTGTCCATCCATCTGTCTGTCCACACTACCACATTGGGATAGGGGACCATTTAACTGTAAACAGAACAGAAGAGTACAATATAGTTCATTCTGTAACGATAAAATAAGGAGCAAATGACCTGTATTAAGAAATGGTCCTGCATGTCTGTCAGTCCAACTTAGACAGTTGGTTACCAAAGATTAACATTTGAAGGATTTCATTGATTGTGTTTATATTTAGCAAATAAGTATGTTATGTCAAAACAAAGACCAAGCTTGATTTTTGCTGCTATAAACTTACTATTGATAAAAGTTATGCCCCATTTTAAAATAAAAATGTCTGTAAAATTATTGGTTTCTGCAGGATAACTATTGAAAGAATTCAGTGATTGTGTTCATAATTGACAATTGATTATGGTATGTCAAAGCACAGACTCAGTATGATTTTTGTTGCAATAAACTTATTATTGATGGAGTTATGCCCCTTTTAAACCAAATTTTCTGTGAGGATTAGTTTTGAAGGATTTCATTGATTGTGTTTTTATACTTGGCACATCAGTTTTTTTTCTGAGCTAAGAAATTATGTTTATTTTTTTAAGAAGTAAATCTGATACAGTCAAACTTTGTTCCCTTGTACTCAGATAGCTGGAATACCTCTCTTCACTCCAACTCATCGGCCAAGCCGGGCAAAATTCCTATATAATACATATGAGCCGCGTCACAACGAAACCGACATAATGGGTTTGCGACCAGCATGGATCCAGATCAGGATCCATGCTGTTCGCTATCAGTTTCTCTACCTGTAATAGAGTTGATAAGCGAACAGCATGGATCCTGATCAGACTGCACGGATGCGCAGTCTGGTCTGGATCCATGCTGGTCGCAAACCCATTATGTTGGTTTTGTCGTGACGCGGCTCATATTGTTCTACCTCCGATTGCTAGAACACGGATCGCTCGAACTCTCAAACTTGATCTCTGGTCCCTTCGGCAGTTAGAGAGTGAAAATCACACCTTTTCGGTTGAATGTAAAAAGACAATAAAAATAAAACATTCTGAATTAGTGCAAGTCAAGAAATAATGTTAACCTGGTAAATGTTCAAGTCAATGCGTTGTTGATTATCTATTTATAGAATGATACCTGTTGGTGTTAATTTTAGTAAATGACTGCAAATAGATGCTGGGAAAAAATATTTGTTTATCTTTTAGAAATTCATATTTCTATTTCTATCTAAAATCATATATTCATCCAATGATATACATATAAATATATTCTTACATTGTTCAGCAAGTTGAAAATTGCTGGAAAATGATTGCCCATTGAATGCAACCAATTACAATATGCATGAATATAGATTTACAGATTGTACCATTAATACTCATTTCTTACCAGAGATATGTATTTCTCCGACAATAATACATAATATTGAGAAGAAATGACGTTTTTGACAAAGTGTTATACAAACAAACAATTATGTAGATGAATTTATTATTCGCCCGATGTCACTGGAAAAACTTAAGGCCTATGTCCTAAGTGAAATATGATCATTTAAAACATGATGATAGTTCAACCTTGGTTAGCTTGAACAAATTTATGCAGGTCTTCCAAGTTTGAGCAAACGATGTTTGACTGTTTTTTAATCAGATTGCTGTTCTAGGAAACATTTAATTTGATATTAAATACGTGAATATATGTTTGTCTTACAGTTAGCTGAGACGCTTGAAGAAGGTACAACAGGGGAGGTTGTTGGATTCGAGTAAGTTATACCAAATTTAATCTTGTTTTTATTGTTTAGAAATTAATCAATAAAAATAATGTAAGCTTCATCATTTCAAGGTAATGTTACTGGTAGTGTAACCTAGTATTTTACAAAAGTCTTCTGTTTGAGTCTTATATATGTTGTACAGATTTCTCTACTGTACAACATATATATATCAGCGCCTACTTTTTTTTTTTTTTTTTACGCTTCTGAAAAATGGAATCAATGGAGAGACAAATTTTCTATATTTAAAATGTTAAAGGAACTCCATTGAGATCCAAAATCGTGAAATTTGAAAATCTTATACGTGAAATGGGAGTGCTCTTCATCAAATGATATGTAGGGAACTTTCAAACATGGTTATTTGATCTAACATTGTATAACATTTTTAGCTCACCTGTCACAAAGTGACAAGGTGAGCTTTTGTGATCGCTTTTTGTCCGGCATCCATAAGTTCGCCCGTCTTCCATTAACTTTTATTTTAAATGACATCTCCTCATTAACTGCTAAGCCAATCTCATCCAAACTTCACAGTAATATTTCTTCAGTGGTCACCTTTGAAAATTGTTCATAGAATGTAATTCCATGCTGTACTTTGGTTGCACAACCAAAAGAAAAAACTGAAAAAAAATCATCTTTTAAAAGTCAAAGAGGCTAGAGCAATGATATTAAGCATGAAACATCTTCTAGTGTGTGTCTACCAAGTTTGTACAAATAAAAGCCCTAGGGTCAAATTTTGCCCCGCCCAAGGGGTTATTGAATTTTCTTTAATGTATATGGTAAAAACTTTAAAAATATTCTTTTAAAAAACCCAAAGGACTATAGCTTTGATATTTCGCATGAAGCATTGTCTAGTTTGTGTCTACCAAGTTTGTTCAAATAAAAAAGCCCTGGCCCCGTGTTCACAAAGAAAAGATCAGGATCAGGATCAACTGATCCTGATTTTATTTTCATTGTTTTATAAAACTAAAACTGATTGTATTATGCTATAAGTAAATGATACTTAATCGAAATGAAAATAATTGCTTATTTGCAAAGAAACCAACCTATTTTGGGATAAAATCAACAAATAACAAAACAAATACAAAAAGAATCGGATCAAAATGTGGATCAATTTTAGGATCAAGATATAAATTTGGATCAACTGTAAAATGCCTGTATCTTGTAAAAATAACAATAGATTTATTCTAAAATTTCATAAACATGCTATTTCAAGTCCAGTTTTATCAAGTTAATATGGAATATTAAATCTATGAGGATAAATAATGGAGAATGTTTGAGTTTTTGAATTTGTTCCTTATCTTGATCCTGATCCTTAAATCTTTGTGAACACGGGGCCTCGGGTAAAAATTGGCCCTGCCCCAGGGTACATTAATTTTCCTTAAATGTATTTAATGAAAACTGAAAAATCACTTCGATATTAAGATATTAAGCATGAAACATTTGTTCAAATAAAAGCCCTAGAGTTAAAATCATTCTTATTCATGGAGAGTTTTTATATACAGGTGAGCGATTTCAGGGCCATCATGGCCCTCTTGTTTTGAATTACTTAGAAAATCTTTTCAAAAATACTTACACAAATATAGAAACATTTTTCCTGCAAAATTTCAAATTGTTATGGTCCCTTTAAAAGAGACTGTAATTAGGTGAATTTGTGTGGAAAGTTTAGTAACTTTAATCCCCAAATAGTGCTCATAATAGACAATTTTTATTGAAGTTGTTATTTTTCAGGGAGGGAAGTATACAAATAATTATCATGTTTACTGTGAGTAAGGATCAGATATCAATAGAAGCAGACATACAGACAGATGACATACAGGAAGCTGGTCAACAAATAGCGACAACTTTGCTCAGGAAAATGGCTAATGAAGTATCAAACTTAGCAAAGAAGCTTCAAGAGAAAGGTGTTTTTGAGGATGTTGCTGTACCAGAGAATTCGGTCCAGATTGAAAAAAGTAAGTGCTTTTGATTGAAATGTTTCAACAAGTGGAATCTGTAATTCCATTACAATTTGTCATACATGGATATATTTTGCTTTAATTAGATTGTAACAGTACCTTGCTTGCACAAAAAATAACCCAGATTGAACACTCAAAAGGTCAAGGTCTTACAAAGGTGTTATAGGTCAAACATTAATTGGTATATTTATAATGTTAGTGTGGCAGAGGGGTTGCCTTTAAGAGTTGAGGCATTAGAATTACAGCCACTGTTTATCACTGTATGATTATAAGAGGTGACTAAATGGGTTCTAATTACCGGAGTCTTTGCATTTCTAGCTCCAGGTGAGGTGGTTTTGACCCCTGTTGTTGCTTTAAGTTTGTAACACCCAAGGTTAGCTGAAATCTTCTTTCATGTTGCAGCGCCATATGACCTAAATTGTCTTGGTGCACCATAAAACCAAACTTAACAAACAAAATATATAGGGAATTTACAAAAAACCAAGTACAAAATTAATGTTCTTGATGTCAATCACAGGAAGAATGTGTTTAGAAAAATGGTCAAGGTCAAATATTAAGAGTTGGAATAAACTATTTCTCTGGACCATCATTCACTTATTACATGTACAGCATTTGAAGTTATATTTGACACACCTGTTCTTGACTCAGAGTCATGAGTGTAGATCGAAGGTACTATTTTAGAGCTCATCTTAGTGTTAAACATCATATGTCTGACTGTTAGAATTGTCTGTTTTGATGCAACAGTATGTTTAACATGAAACATCAATGGGCTTCCATTAAGTTTTAAAATTTGGAAGTCAGAGGACATTGGAGGTCACACTATGTGGGTAAAGAAGGAAAAGCATTATATTTTGGAAGTCACAAGCCCAACACAAGCAGTAAATGACTCCCAAACTTCCACTAATGGAAGCCCTGACATTTTGTAAGAAGCTTTTAAGTCAAAGCCAAATCATTATCTAAGAAAAGAGACTATTAACTTTAAACGTTTGGCTGTTGGAGGGGCTTTATATATTTTACTCAATTTGAATACTGTATTCCTAGAAAAGATTTCGCGCATTTTAAGTTAGCGGTTTTCGCGGTAAGCATGATTCCGGGAATCTTTATAGCCGCGAATATGTCACTTATAACAAATCCGCGAACATTTCTAGCTTCAACCAAATATAACATAAAAAGTGCAGAATATTTATTATAATCTACTTACACAAAACAACATATAAAGAAAGATGTTAGAGAAATGTGTACAGAATTATTTATGTATGTTATTGATACTAGTTTTCACGCTGAAAAAGAAAATATCAATTAACATGCTTATTGACGTTATTTGCTAGTCACGGCGTTGACAAACACATTTACAGTTTGCGAACATTGAATGACTTGGATTTCATTTGCTTGGAGTAGGTGTAATCCTTTGTTAAAAGTACAATAGCGATCAAGTGCTACATTGATGTTGTTATAATGAAAGCTATGTACAGTCCGATAATGTGTAAAAAAATATGTATCGACATTTTGGAGATAAAGTCAGTTATGACTCAAATGAGAATAAAAGCTAACGGGTCTGACTAAATCTTACTTAATAACATAATGAAAAGGTAAGGAAATATGAAAGTGTTCACGGAACAACCGTCCTTGTTCGACTACATGAACATGTATCGAGTAACATTGCGCTTTAGGCGCGACTTGTCAAAAAATAAAATAATTAAAAGCACCCAACAGGCAAGGTCATGCATCAAAAACGTAACCTCCAAAAACTGCAATTTAGACCGTAGCGACTTAACATTCGCGGAATTCGCGGTTACTACATATCCGCGAAAGTTTGTCTCCGCGAACATTTCTAGGAATACAGTATGATTAGTTGATTTAGAATCTAGAGATATAAGAGGTGAATTTTATGATTACAGAACCTTGTCTTGATGATGTCCTGATAGCTAAACGAGCAGAAAAGGACATTTGTGGATCAGTTCTACGGAAACTTCAGGGTCTTGCCAACAGTCCTAGTAAAAGATGCAGGTAAATCAATGAATTCCTGGATATAAATTAGTCACAAACTTTTTTCAATGATTATTTGCAGTCTTAAAGCAGCATGCCTTCAGATTTTTGCAAATTTTCATAAAAAAAAAAACAAACTTAAAAACATGTATTTAAATGTAAAATATTGTGGATTGAACAAAAAAAAGATTAACATATTTCAAACAGCACTTGCAAACCATGTGGGTTACTAAAAAGGGGAAAATAAGCAAAAATAGCCCTTAGTGCATTGCAGTAGAAATATGATGATAAATACTTAAAAATCAGCCCTTAATCACACATAACATGCAAGTTATTCCTTGAATCTTAAATCTTTATACTGTTATAAGAATCATCTTTCTCAAGTGTAATTTTATGAAATATTTTGGCTCATCTTGTGACATGCAGCTTAAATCTACCGGGTAATTTTAGTTGTAGATTGAATTCAAATAAAACTAACTTGGGCAGCAGACTATTTCTTAATAAAGATAACTTTTGGAACATTCTGTTACTAATAATCTTCCTGTTTAATTGTTTATAAATAGTTTCATGCTGTGTTTTGATTGATGACGAGATGCAAATTGACTTCTTTTAGGGAAACCACCAATTAATAAAAAACCATCTTTATTATACTTAAACAATGCTTGTCAGCCAAAATTGAATTTTTTTAGGCAAATGAATGACTTTTGTTGTCCACAAGATTTTTTTCTGATATGATTAGATGATTATTTAGATTGATCAAATGATTTTTGATTCCTAAAAAAATTTGTATGTATAGAAATTTTTGCTCTTTAAGTAAAAATGAAATTTTTATATGCAAATTATCTAAATATGCCTGCTATGAATTTCATATTTTTTCATTACAATTGAAATGAAACATCAAAGGCTATAAAGTAATATGCAATGAAATATTTTATTTTTATAAGATTTATTAATAGTAAGGTTATAAAGTTACTAAAATCTTATGGTTGATTCATAAAAGAGGTCTCTGTTATTCAACACTGCAAATATTGTATGAAAACAGGATAAAATGTTCCAAAACAAAAATTATGCTCCTATTTTAAGTAGGGTTTTTAATCATTCAGAAATTTTATTGTGCATGTGCCATTCACTGTTAAGGAAATATACATGTACAATGTATTTACATTAATATTTCCTTCATACAGATATTTTGGAAGTATTCTTTTTCAAAATTAAATAGCATATACATAGCTGTGTAAGTCACCACACATTATTTGTTTGTTTATACAGAATTTATTTTTGTTTGATTGTGCTTGCCTCAGATAGAATGTTTTTGTTTTGTTTTTCAGTGCCTACAATGACATGTTGAATTGTATAGCCCTCCAATTTGAATTTTCAAACACCAATTGTCCATGGAACAATTTTAGGACAAATTTTGAAAAATTTATATTACCTCTCCTAAAGCTTGAAGAAAAAACATTTAAACCATGCATCAAAGGTCAGTAAAGTATCTTTAAATATTCTTGTTTTTGTTAATTTCAAAAATTAAAATCTTGTTTTTGTTCAGATGAGCATTTTCGTTGTCAGACACATAGATTAGTTTAGTTTGTAATACTTTATTTTGATTGTGTTGTATAACTAAACACTCTTGAATCTGTTCCTGGAACCAAGCAGTACTAAGTAATGACAGAAAAGTTTTTCTATTAAATTAACATAGAAACAACATAATTACACTAAATATGAAACACTTATAATGAAAAAATCATTAATTATTGCAGGAAATTTTTTCAACTTTTTCCCCATCGGTGGGACAGTATCAGTTACAAACCCATGTAAAGATGTTACAGCTATGAAAATGGTGGCCAAATATGAATGTAGTTCAGAATATTCTGTCATATCCATGGTGACAGGAAGGAAAGACCTTGTTTGCAGGTATATTAAATGCTCATTTTGTAAAAGTTCCGTCCCAGGTTGATCTGCTTAAGCTTTTAAAAATAGATCTACTTCCTGTTTTACATTTTGAAAATTCCATTGCAAATTTCATCGTTGAAATAAAAAATAATTGAAGAAAGGGTAGCTACCTGTCTGTGACATTTTTAAGGGATAACCCTTTTTATATTCACATATCACAGAGCAGTGCATCTTTTTTAAACAGAAAAGAATTATTCTAACCAGCATGTACAGAGTAACCTCTACAAAGAGGCCTCCAGTAGACCAGTGAATTCTACTGAATTAACTCATTTTAAAGTCGGACTTCACTTTAAATTTAAAATATTTTGAGCTGCTTGTTTTAACAACAATGAATATATTTGTCTTCTAACATGTCTAATGCAGAAGAGGCTGTAGAGTAATTGATAAGATAGTCTGCTCCTTGAAAAGACAGGTTTAAACCCCTTAGTTGTCAGATAAAAAAATTATGTGTACGACAACTACCTCCCACCCCTAGGCCCCTTACCCCCTCCACCCCCTTGAAAAAATGATAAGAAACAAATAATAAAATAAGCATTGGATACAACATGGATTTCATATATGATGATTATTATTATTATTCATCTTCTTTGTGCAAAAATATAACTGAAAATTTCTGTTATCTAAAATTGTACATGTTTGTTTGTTACTGTTGTTTTTTTTCCAGCTATGCTCTATCAATGGAGGCTTGCGTTCAAACTGTGTTGATACAGAAGTTTAAAGATCAGTACCTGTCCTGTGAAGCTGAAGCAGATGTTAAACTTAGCCTCACATTAATGATAGATACTGAACATGACTTTTTCGAATCTAAAAAAGTTGCGCTGGAAGAATGTAAGTTAAAACAGTCACTGCATTGTTATGAACCTTTCTTCTTTTCTTTTTTTATCCAAAAGTTTTATATAACTTTAACGAATAATATTGTAAAAATTTATTTTATATGTGAAAATGATTCTTGTACTAAGTGTTTTTTTTCTGTTAAATCTTTAATGTTGATAAGTTTAATGAAAGAAAAATAATCTATTATAATACTGAATACATTTTTTATGAAACTGAAGGCTTAAGGTTATAGTTAAGGGGGTAATTTTAACGATTTGTTGCTGATTATATGTCTGGCTCATTTATTTCTTCTATACTTTTTCCATTGTTACCTTTGGAGACAGCAGAAAAAAGAAGAAAAGCATAAGTACAGTGATTTCAGAACAATTCGAATAGAATAGGCAGTATTGTATTGACTGTATAGTATAGGACGCTGCTGAACAGTGCTTAACTGAGAAAATAAAAAGAGAGAGCAGAAATGAAACAGAATGCAGATCATTTGTAAAGGACAAACCTTATAGGAATGATGGATATTTTCGTGATCATATATATAAAAAAAACACTATATTTTCTTTATCACAGGTACTAAAAGCCTGTGGCTTTAATGCGTTGTTTTCTTCTAGCCTTTGTCCATGGATATTATGGACTGTTTTTCTCTTGAACCATACTCCATGGATTTATGGATTGTTTTTCTCTTGAACCATACTCCATGGATTTATGGATTGTTTTACTCTTAAGCCATACATAGCTCATTGATTTTAATTTTTCAATCCTTAGGTGAATTCTGCTTACCACCAAATGTTTTCCACATTTTCACAACAAAATGTGGGCGGAGCATGAATAGTATGGCAACTGTGTCTCAGGGTGAGGCATGTGGGTAAGTACATATGAGTTTTTATTTAATTATAACATTTAGGGAGGTATGGTAGAGGGTGTGGTGTAAAGAAAGGATTTACAGGTAGATACAATTTAGGTTAAAATATCCTAGATAGCAGGTATGTGTCAAATAGAAAACAGACTAGTTTGTCGTCTGCTTGTCTGAATTAACAACCGAGAATAGTTGAAAATGTTTTTGATCTTTATTATATTAAAATATTATATCCTAGTACAGATCATCCTGCTTCTTTACAAGGCATTTATCGGTTTTTATGCTCCCCGAAAAATTTCGGGGGAGCATATAGTCCCAATTCGTGTCCGGCCCATAACGTAGTAATATGAAGTCGGATTTTAAAACTATTTCACAGAAATGATCACCATATTGAGACGACGTGTCGCGCGCAACATTTGGGTCGCTACCTTGAAGGTCAAGGTCACAGCATGACCTTGCATCAAAATCGTGTCCGGTCTGTAACTTCTTTATTTGAAGTAGGATTTTAAAACTATTTCCCAGAAATGATAACCATATTGAGATGATGTGTTGCGCGCAATATTTGGGTCGCTACCTTGAAGGTCAAGGTCACAGCATGACCTTGCAGCAAAATCCTGTCCAGCCCATAACTTCATTATTTGAAGTCGGATTTTAAAACTATTTCACAGAAATGATCACCATATTGAGACGACGTGTCGCACCCAACATTTGGGTCGCTACCTTGAAGGTCAAGGTCACAGCATGACCTTGCAGCAAAATCCTGTCCAGCCCATAACTTCATTATTTGAAGTCAGATTTTAAAACTATTTCACAGAAATGATCACCATATTAAGACTTCGTGTCACACGCAACATTTGGGTCGCTACTTTGAAGGACAAGGTCACAGCATGACCTTGCAGCAAAATCATGTCCAGCCCATAACTTCATTATTTGAAGTCGGATTTTAAAACTATTTCACAGAAATGATCACCATATTAAGACAACGTGTCGCGCCCAACATTTGGGTCGCTACTTTGAAGGTCAAGGTCACAGCATGACCTTGCAGCAAAATCTTGTCCGGCCCATAACTTTGTTATTTGAAGTCAGATTTTAAAAATATTTTACAGAAATGATCACAATATTGAGATGATGTGTCGCGCGCAACATTTGGGTTGCTATCTTGAAGGTCAAGGTCACAGCATGACCTTGCAGCAAAATCGCGTTCGGCCAGTAACTTCGTTCCTTGAAGTCGGATTTAACAACTATTTCACAGGGATGATCACCATATTGAATTGACGTGTCACATGCAACATTTGGGTTGCTACCTTGAAGGTCAAGGTCACAGCATGACCTTGCAGCAAAATCGTGTCTAGCCCATAACTTCCTTATTTGAAGTCTGATTTTACAACTATTTCACAGAAATGATCACCATATTGAGACAATGTGTCATGCACAACATTTGGGTTGTTTTTACACTTTGAACTTTGTCTGTGACATAATTCTGACACTACAAGAGGTATACCTACCTGTGTCCAAAACCTATTTGGGGAGCATCACCCGGTTCAACCGGCTCTTGTTTAGAGAAAATTTCAGAATAAAAAACTGACTGAATAGCGAACAGTGCCGACCATGATCAGATGGCATGGACGTATTGGCTGATTTATGTCTGCAATGGTCACATTGGTAGATTCTGAGGCCACCAATACTCTAAGAGGGTTAATAAAAGTATTTGAAGTTGAAAAAAGCATTATAAATACTTATGGATTTTTTTTTTTACTCTTTGCCGTTTAGGATGCTACATCAAGAGATGCAGTGTATAGAGACATATTTGAAGACATGGTCTGAAAAACATGAATGTACAATGGACAAGTTAAAGGAAATGTTTATGACAGACAAACGATTCCTAGAATATGGACAAAAATACTTGGAATGGTTAAATAAGGAAAATTTTGCAGAATGTTTAGGTGATTATTGTTTTCCATTTTCTTTACATAGTCTTACAAAAGGAAAACACATTTAAATCTTCTTCTCTTGAAGTACATTGCCCACAACACAGCTATTTTTAAATTTTGGCATTGCTGAGTGGTTCTCTACAAAAGATTTTTTAGGTAAAATGCCTAAGGGACAAAAGTGGCCCTATATATGGATCACTATTTGAAAAAGCTTTTAAAAATTGTTCTCTTTGAATAAAAATGGCCCAGAGATTAGATGTTTGATATGAAGAATAACCTACAATGCAAACATTGAGTTTTTTGTTACCTTTGGCACATATAAAAGGCAAATCTTTTGTTTTTGTTGTTCTAGCATCTGAAATGCAGTATCTGGGACCAGCAGAACCTACAAGTATTTGTGAGAATCAGAACTATGTTTACTACAAGCTGAGATTTTCCCAATGTTTTACATACATCATAGAGGCAACAACTGGGGGCTGTCCGTAAGTTATCATCATTATTATTATGTGTTTGTTTTTTTGTGTTTTTTTTCCATAGCCAAGTGATATGGGATGTAGGTAGTATATGATAATTTTAGTCATATTATCATTTTTGAATAGTTCTGGCCTCTGTAGTCAAGTGGTGACTTATTTTGAATTCTTTTATAGGGGCAAATTATCCAATTATCCAAGTGTAGGACAAAAGCCCTCCCAGACATAAGTCCTCTGGTCGGGCAGACAAAAGCCCTCGTGTGAAAATGATAAAGCTTTTTTTGTTGTTTTCCAAATTATCCAGCTCACTTACAAAAGGTTGATGGCTCATTCTAGATACTAGTACATCATGTTTTTGACTATAACAGTGTTTTAGTGACTTAAAACCAATAGAATTGTTGTGAACGAGTCTTAATTTGTGACCATGGAAGTTATATAAAGAACATAATTTATTGGAAGCTACTGAATTTGTGAAATGGCCTTGTCCAGCATTGAATTTTGGCATTGTCTATAATTACCCAAAGGCAATTTTAGTATAAAATATGGATTTTTTTAAATTATGAGGCAGTCCAGCTAGTTTACCAAAGGTTATTGGTTGTAAATGGGTGCCCACTTGTACCGGAAATGATAAACGCTATCAGTTTTAAAGATTCCTGACAGCTTATTAATGCCCCTATATAAACAGTTGTCTGCATATAAAACCAAAGCCTCTTTACCTTTTTTTTTTTAGGAAATAAATGTGATCTCTTCATAAATTGGCAGCTAGCAGGCATTTATATAAAACTATATAAACATCCATGATAACCCAATGAAAAGCGGCGTCACAAAACATGCAGTATTATATAACAGCGATATATGAATGTACTGACTAAAAAGATATTCACATATTTCTGTCACCTCCTCATAACTCAATTCATCACATATAGACAAGGAACCTCATTAATTATTTCAGCTCACTTTATCAAGCTGTTGAGTGTGTGAGGACATTGTTAGAGAAAGAGGACATAACTTGCCAGTATAAAGTCTTGGAGAAGAGTATCTTAAAGATGAGTACTGAATACAAGACTATCTCGTCTGTTATTGAACCAGGAGGATCTATGGGAGGCTGCATAAGTAAGCATATAAACTTATTGGAAATGGAAAATGAAACTTTTATTATACATGTGTACAATTTACAAATGTTGGGATATTTTAATTCCAGAGTATTGTAGAACAATAAAAAGAACTTATTGTATTTGATTAAGAGTATTAGCAGTTTTAATCTTGCTTCATTAAAAGTTCTAGGCAGGATTATAAGTATGTTTTTTACCATATGACATTGTCATGTTCTATTTGGATGTGACCTGAATATTAGAATGTTCAGCATCGGTTTTATAATGTTGTTTTGATAATTGTTTAGAGCATGTTCAATGCCTATCACCTGAAGGTAAAGTGTGAAATTATTTGTCATAAAAGCAAAGTAGTTATAATTTTGACATCCATACGAAATACCAATTCACAAGAACTGTACTAATTGCCAAAATGCATTAGAAACCAAAGATGGTAAATAAGGTAATTGCTTGATGCATACATTAAATTTTTGGATTTTTGTTAATGTACCATGCAAATAATAAACAGATTTTGAGAAATAAAAACTTTTCTCTGAAATGATGGGCCTTTAAAAATCTGAATAAAGTGTGATCCTCGGAAGCAGTAATTACAACATAATAATAAGAAAATTGCAGACTCTGTTTGAACTAAGGGATAAAAATGGCTTTGTATTTTTAGTGGAAACTGCTGAAAATGCCTGTCAGAGCGCCATACATTTTATAGCAGTGACAAAGGGAGAGGATATTATACGAACATGTCTTTATAACCTTCAAAGTGTTCTCTATCTACAAGAACCACAATTCATAAAACCATACAATTCCGATAAAGGGTCATTGGTTTGTGAGTAAGTACATCATTTCTTTACATATTATGTATGTTGCTTTTTGTTGTTTGTTGTGTCCCCTTGAAAAAGGCAACATATATGGGGTTATTTTTGTCAGAGTTGTGAAGTGACAGCTATTCTGTTCACAAGGCGACACATCCGACTCGCTGTGTTCTAGTTTTTTTTATGCCTCCACAATGTGGGAGCATATAGCGTTGCACTTGTCCGTCCGTCCGTCAGTCCGTTCGACTTCTCGAATTCTTGTGAACGCAACTCCTCTTAAACCGGATGGCAGATTTTGCTTAAACTTACAGGGATAAACAACCTTAATGTGTAGATGGTAGTAAAGGAAGGAATTTTTGCTGCAACCAAATTTAACAGAATAAAGGCCCTTTGTTGATTTTTTCACTATATACTATGTAGAAATTTTGTGAATGCAACTCCTCTTAAACCGGATGGCAGATTAAGCTTAAACTTACAGGGATGAACAACCTTAATGTGTAGATGGTAGTAAAGGAAGGAATTTTTGCTGCGACCAAATTTTATAGAATTATGGCCCTTTGTTGATTTTTTCACTATATACTATGTAGAAATTTTGTGAATGCAACTCCTCTTAAACCGGATGGCAGATTTTGCTTTAACTTCCAGGGATGAACAACCTTAATGTGTAGATGGCAGTAAAGGAATGACTTTTTGCTGCAACCAAATTTAACAGAATTATGGCCCTTTGTTGATTTTTTCATTATATACTATGTAGAAATTTTGTGAATGCAACTCCTCTTAAACCGGATGGCAGATTTTGCTTAAACTTCCAGGGATGAACAACCTTAATGTGTAGATGGTTGTAAAGGATGCAATTTTTGCTGCGACCAAATTAAACAGAATTATGGCCCTTTGTTGATTTTTAGTTTTCAACTTGTGGCACACGTAGTCCAAAAAATATTTGACCTAGAGTCATAAGATTGACAGAACAGTGGCGTGTAGGGGCATCCGTGTCCTATGGACACATTTCTAGTTTTAATTTACTTGCCTTTTAGACGGATCACTTATAACACAGGGGTCCTTATTGATACAATTATATTAAAATGTAACCTAAGCTTATAAATCAGATTTTATTTGCATAAAATTGTTGACATATGCCTTATGGTCTGTCAAGAAATTATATTGTACAATGTACAATTCAATACAATTGTTTTATTTGATTGAAAGAAGAACAAAAAATGAAAACAAAGATTTATACCTGTCGTGTATTTAGGTAATATTAAAGTTATGATAATAAGACAAAAATTAAGATTATAAACATGTAGTGTTTTAAATTCAGCCAGACACCTTTAACTATAATTTATAAGAGAATAGTCCAACACAAAACAATTATGGTCAATCATTTACGATGTTTTTACAGGGAACATCAGGGCACTTTCATGGAGCGATAACTTCCCTCATCCACTTATATTTACAAAGATCAAAATAGAACAAATACAAAATTGTAGTATACAATGTACAGTCGACATTGTATTAAGAGACCACTCAAGGGACTGCCAAAAAGTGGTCTCTTAATAAAGTGGTCTCTCAATAGAATTATGGAAAATTCGAGACTTTTTTTATTACAAGTCATTGATATAATAAAATCTATTTATAAAAACAAAAAATGTACAATATTATGTATGTATTACAGTTTCATAATAACATTTATGCCTTTTTTTTAAAAAAAAGTAATCAATTTATACATGCTATATGTGTTTGTTTTTTAGTAGAAATTTGTGTACAAATGTGATCTACGCTCATAATACTATTTACAGGTCATTTTGACCATGAAACAAAGCATATTGTCTTACATATTTTTCCTATGTTCATACACATTTCCTGCTTAACATACTTTCGAATCATCAGCCAGAGCTCCAGATAATTTTTATAATTTTTTATGCAATGAGATTTAAACTTCTTGAATTTTTCAGCAATTAGTTTTCACACTACCCCGATTTCAAATTCAATAAGGTTTTCAGAGATCTAGGATTTTTTGTCTTTTTTTGTGGAAGGGTCATATTTAATTGGGTACTACATGTATTTTATAAAGCATCAGATGAGCACCTACACCATCAGCTCTGTTCTGTAATGTTTAGTCTACTACGTTTCACGATTTTATTTCGACTACAAACGATGACATTTGCTATTTACTCAGACACAATTCCATGCACAATTTCCTCATTCAATTTATCCGGTCTTATTAGTTGTCTGTCATTTTTTCGCTCGTTCCGACGTCTTTTTCAATAAGGGAGATCACTCTGAGCACATGACAAAACTATGCAAATGCGGTGTTGTGATACGTTCTTGCTCTGACAAAATATGTCACAATAAATATTACGATCGGAAAATCCGATTTTGAAACGATTGCAATTGTTATTCAATTATTTTTTAAACAACAATTATTTGTGACCAATGACCATGAAAAATATTTGTTTGTTTGCTTGTACACATCAAACCTATTGCTGATTACACAGGTGAAAATGCCCGTAGGGACGATTGTTTGTCACGGCCGTTTAATAGATACTTTAACACTTAATTTTGTACATTTGGGCCGACATTTAGTGGCCGCTGGCCGGGATATAAAATCGTCATTTATTGGAATTAAATTATATAGTAAAAATCATAGGGAGGGATTTTATGCGGCCGCTTAATAAAAAAGTCGCTTAATAAAGGTGGACGCAAGTACGATGCCGACTGTAGTATGTAATGTATATACATGTATTTTACAAAAAATGTTAGAAGTCCGTCACTTATTTTCCAAATTTTTTTTCCGTCGAAAAAGATCATACAAAATGAACCCATAATATTTATTGTACCTTGATAAAATTCCATTATTTTTACTTTGATTACATTACCAATGTGTTTAATGTCTGAAATTGTTTTCAGTGTTTTACAACAAGGAACTCTGTGTACTTATGGAATATTTGCAACAGGATTCCAAGTATGTACATTCAGGCAAGCATACATGTATATTAAAGAGACATTACCAGAACTTGTACAAATCATGGTTGCAGCTATAGAAGACCCTGCTGAGAAGCCAGGAACTAGTGTAGATGTCTTCCATAAATGCCCAGGTAAGTTAATTTGGTCTCCTTTTGTTTTTTTTAGACAAGTACTATTGCATTATCAGTAATTGATTTCACTTTAAAAGCTGATAAAGCTGATGGCCTGACCATAATCTTTTTTTTTAAACGTCTTTTCTTTACAATACACAGTAGTAAAGTCTTTTAAACCGAACCCTGCTCGGGCTTAATCAAAAGTCCAGTTTTCTGTGGATTCTTGTTTTCTGAGGTTTTATACATTTATTGATCTTTATATGTTGTTTATACATTGTCTTTGTTTAAATATTTTTTTGTGCCCCCACTTTTGTGGCGGGCATTTACATTTACCCTTGTCCGTCTGTCCATCCATCCGTTCTTTTTTGTGTCATATAATTCAAAAAGTATTTGACTTAGAGTCATGAAACTGTATAGGAATGTTGATCAGCATGTGTTGTTGTGCATCTGGGTATTTTTGTCTGGATATTTTTAGTATTTTTAGAGTTGTTGCCCTTGACTTAGTAAAATTTTGCAATTTTCAACTTGTGTTGCATGTTACTCAAAAGTATTTGACCTAGAGTCATGAAACTTTACAGGAATGTTTATCAGCATGTGTAGTTGTGCACCTGGGTATTTTTGTCTAGATTTATTTAGTATTTTTAGAGTAATTGCCCTTGACTTAGTAAAATTTTGCAATTTTCAACTTGTGTCGCATGTAATTTAAAAAGGATTTGACATAGAGTCATGAAACTTTACAGGAATATTGATCAGCATGTGTAGTTTTGCACCTGGGCATTTTCGTCTAGATTTATTTAGTATTTTTAGATTTATTGCCCTTGACTTAGAAAATTTTTGCAATTTTCAACTTGTCGCATGTCACTGGAAAAGGATTTGACATAGAGTCATTAAACCTTACGGGAAGGTTGCTCAGCATATTTAGTTTTGCACCTGGGGTTTCATTTGTGGATTTATCCAGTATTTGTAGAGTTATTTCCCTTGACTTAGTAAAAACCGTTTCATTATGTTGTTATTTGTTCCTTGAGTGCTTGAGTAGAATCAACCAACTTTACAGGAATAATGATTCACATCACTGTGAAGCTATGCACCTGGGACTTAACATGTGGATTTTTTTTCAGTTTTGTTAGAGTTATTGCTTTTGTCTTACAGTAGTATAAATTTGCAATTTTCAACTTGTTCAGGCATAGCTCAAAAAGTATTTCACTTGTAGGCCTGAAAGTTTACAAGAATGTTGGTCAGCATGTGTACTTATGCACCTTGGGGTTTTCTTGTTGATTTATTCAGTATTTGTAAAGTTCTTACCCTTAACTTAGTAAAAGATTTTTAGTTTTCAAAAAATATTTGACCTAGAGTCATAAGATTGACAAAACAGTGGCGCGGTGGGGGCACCCGTGTCCTAAGAACACATTTCTAGTTTAATTTCTTTTGTATCTACTGATTAACCCTTGTGTCTTTATGGTCGTGTTTGAATTTCTTTTTGCAATAAATTTCTGGAGTAATTCATTGTAGAATTTAGATTATTAGAAACAAAACAATACCTAATCTGAGAAGGACCTTTTTTTATAACTTTTTGAAATATATAATAAGTGTAAGTTATTCTTATGGTAGGGGGAAATTATTCAAGTGTAGGACAAATTTAAAAGCCCTCCTTTCAGAAATCAACAAATTTACAGAATTTCTCAACTAAAATATTTCCCAATTGTAAGTTCCTGTACCAATTTTCAAGAGGATAGAAAAGAACACCGCAGGTAGCTCAAAGAAGAAAAAAATTTACTCAAAATATTTTTCTTATTGATTTTTTGTTTTAGTTGACTTTGCAAAAGCGGAAGATTTTGACTGTAAGGGTGAGTCTGCAGTCTTGACGTCAGTGACTGCATCATGTGCACCACTAGTCATGTATGCAGAGGACAAATGTGTGTAAGTAAATCACCATTATACCTACTTAATACTACATCGTTATTTTTATTGCAAAGTGAATAAGTTATTACTATATCGATAGGCTAGTCTTTTTATACAAATTTATGAAAATGTATGAACATATTTATAATAGAAAAAAAAAAAAAAAAAAAAAAAAAAAAAAAAAAAAAAAAAAAAAAAAAAATTTATTTTGTAATTTTTTGGAAATTTGCCCCAAGAAAGTCCCCCCCCCCTTAAATTGGGCCCCCCCCTTTTTTCATTGGGGGAATTTCCCCTTATAATTTTTAACAACAATTGCGATTTTTAAACACTTTTTAAAAAAATGAAAATTAAACCAAAATTGGGCTTTTTGTAAAAATGGCTTTTTTTTAAAAAGTCCTTTTTTGCTGGGCCAAAAAAGGGCCCCCCCTTTAAAATAAAATCCCATATTTTTTTTTGGGGTTAAAATTTTTTTTTGTTTTTGAATTTCATTAAATATTTTACCTTTTTTTTTTCGTGTAAAAAGCGTGGTTAGATATAACCTTACAATATACAAAGTGTAAATGATGTTAAGTCTTTATCAAATATTTTGTGAATATCTTACCCATTTATTTCAGTACATTTGAGGGATGTGTGGATGGAGCTAAAGAATGGCATGAAACAATTCCAATATGCCCTGGATATGTAGAATCACTTGAGAGTGGTCAATTTAACTCAGACATGGCAAATTATTTCTATGAAGTGTCCAAATTCCAGTGGATGACTTGTTTTGAAGAAGCATGTGAGTAAAACAGTTTTCAAAGATTTCCTGATAAGGCATTTCAAAATTCACTTCCTAACCCATATTTAAGACTAGATCTTGGAAGAGGCATTCCAACACCCAATTTCTAACCCATATATAGGAATAGATATGGTAAGGAGCATTTCAACACCAACCTCATAGCACACATAAAGGACAAAATCTGGGAAAGGGCATGAGATATAACAATTCAAGGAAACATGATAAATTTAAAGTGGTGGTATGGCCGATTTGTTAATGCATCGGACAAGTAATCTAATGATCACTAGCCGCATGGGTTCAAACCCAATCAGGGGCAAGTCATTTTTTCCTTGAACAAGAAACTTTACACTCGTTGCTCAGTACTGGTTGGCTTCAGGAACACTGATTCCAAAGTGTGTCTATAAGCTTATAGCTTGCTACACAATCGAACTGAAATAAATTCTGTATAAACCAAATTAAATACTCTTATATTTATTATCAGCAGTGACATCATCATCAATTTTTGCTGGTTTATTGCTGACATTTTTATCATCATCATAATTAATCATCAGCATTGTTATAATAGAATATATCTCTTGTTTATTACAGTTGATCATGATGTGGCATTTAGTTTCCGGAAGGATGACTTCAATGATGACTATTATGATTTAGACTCACCAGCTGCCAAAAAATATATAGACGAAAAATTACCATTGGTAAAAAAATTTTTGTTCAAATTAGTTAAATTAATACAGTGATTTTTTTTTTCAATTTTCAAATAAAATTTTCATCTTTCTGAAGCCAGAGGGTAAAATTATAGCACAATTAATCAGAAAAAGGGTGAAAAACTGAAATCAAATTCTAGCAACTAAGTATGAAATTTACCCACACATTTTATAAAATTTTCAATTTCTATTCAATATTTTACATTCATGATACATAGTGGAGGTCATCTCGAGGGCTTAACGCAATAAGGGCGTAACTACATTTTTTTCCAAAAATGGTTTTATATCTAAGTTATATTTAGAATGTATACTTTCATATCACAAAACAAAGTAATGTAATGGGAATATACAGAAACAAGAAAAAGAGTTTTTTTTGCTCTACTGTAAAATTTTCAAAAATGTAGTTACGCCCTTATTGCGTTAAGCCATCGATCTATAGGGACAGCTTTCTGTCATTTCAGTCAATTAAATTAACTTCAAGCTGATATAAGTAAGCTGCTGTTAAGTCACGGTTCTTGTGAAGAATGTGCACAGGACATTTCAGGGGAAAAGTATAGCATTCTCATAACTATGATGAGTTAGGGGAAGTAGCCTTTTGTTGGGAGCAGCCTTTATGTGGCTGTAAAATATAGGGGGATAAACAACACATAGAGCAAGCTGTCTTAACATCTATTTTATCAGGGTTGTTAAAAAAGAAATAGGACTGCAGTCTACTGTTCCTATATTTATACCCCCAAAAACGAAGTTTGGGGGGTATATAGGAGTCATCTGGTGGTCAGTCGGTCGGTCGGTCGGTCCAGACGTCCGTTGCATTTTCCTTGTCCGGACCATAACTTGAAGACTAATGATTGGAATTCAATATAACTACACACAATGGTCAAGCACATTGAGAGGAAGTGCAGTGCACAAGAGCCATAACTCTATCTTGACTAATTACAGAGTTATTGCCCTTTGTTACTTTTCTATGTCCTGGGCATAACTTGAAAACTACTGGTTGGAATTCAAAACAACTTCATACAATTGTCAAACACAATAAGGGGAAGTGCAGTGCACAAGAACCATAACTCTATCTAAAGTAATTACAGAGTTATTGCCCTTTGTTACTTTTCCATTGCTTTCTTTTGTCCGGAGCATAACTTGAAGACTAATTGTAGGAATTCATTATAACTTAATACTATGGTCAAGCGCATTGAGAGGAAGTGCAGTGCACAAGAACCATAACTCCATCTTGACTTATTACAGAGTTATTGCCCTTTGTTACTTTTCTGTGTCCGGGGCATAACTTAAAAACTACTGGTTGGAATTCAAAACAACTTCATACATATGTCAAACACAATAAGGGGAAGTGAAGTGCACAATAACCATAACTCTATCTAAAGTAATTACAGAGTTATTGCCCTTTGTTACTTTTCCATTGCTTTCTTTTGTCCAGACAATAACTTGAAGACTAATTGATGGAATTCATTATAACTTAATACAATGGTTAAGCACATTGAGAGGAAGTGCAGTGCACAAGAACCATAACTCCATCTTGACTAATTACAGAGTTACTGCCCTTTGTTACTTTTCCTTGTCCAGAGCATAATTTGAAAACTACTGTTTGAAATTCAATACAACTTCATACAGTTGTCAAGGACATTAAAAGGAAGTGCAGTGCACAAGAGCCATAACTCCATTTTGACAAAATACAGAGTTACTGCCCTTTGATACTTTTCCTTGTCCGGAGCATAACTTAAAACTTACTGGTTGGAATTCAAAACAACTTCATACAATGGTCAAGCACAATAAGAGGAAGTGCAGTGCACAAGAACTATAACTCCCTCTTCAGTATTTATAGAGTTATTGCCCTTTGTTTCTTTTCCTTGTCTTTCTGGACTTATTACAGAGTAATTCAATAAATCTTCATCAATGGCCAACCACATTGAAAGGAAATGCAACATACAAGAACCACAACTATCTTTAATTGCCCACAACCATAACTCTATATTTCAATTCTTTTACAAGGTATTCTGTTACTAGTAACATCCTCATTTCTGAAGCAGTTTTGTGGGGGTATTAATCACATTTAGTGATAGTTCTAGTTTTATTTATGTAGACACATATACTTTCTCACTCCACACTCTTTATAGAAAAGCCCTGGAGATTGTCATTCTCCACTATTTTCTTTTTTAATTTGAGTTATTTCATCAATCCACTGTCAGACCTGTAATGTGAATGACATAGTGAGAAATATTAATTTTCACATGTCATTGTGTGAACTTAAACGATATAAACATATGTACAGTAAAATAAAAATACTTATCAATTGAAAATAATACCTTCTACTAACACAAAATTAAATGCACATGCCTCTGAAATGAATAAGTTTTTCCAATTACAAGTTTTTTAACATAAACGTTTTAGACATGTTAGCTTATCACTTTTCACATCTTTTGCAGATTTTCCCATAGCAAGTGCATCACTTGATATACACAAGCATTTCAAATTTTATGGGTTTTTTTAAAAAGTTTTTTGGCCTCAGTGGAGCTCCTTTAAACTTATCAACAAACAGTAGACAGCCTTTCATTTTAGTATCCATGCATAATCAAACAAAAGACCTATTAATACAGATTTTCAACCTAATCAAGGAGCTATTCATACCTTTTTTTCTTGTCTTTATCAAGGACCTATGCAAACAGCATTTTCATTTCATGATTGAAATAGATAATCATGATTAATTAGAAATTTAATGAACATTTTTCATCTATAATGATTGAAAATTCATTTTAATTCACAATTGCATAATATCTAATACTGATTTTTTTTGTTTTTAGTTACAATGGATCACAGAAGGGAGACCAGTTGAAGTCAATGAAATTGCTCCAATGGGAAGACGTAAAAGGTTAGAATATTGAGAATTGCAGATCTGATTTTAAAGTATTAAATTTTTTTTTTTTTAAAAAGAACGATATGCACCTAACCCTGTGATTTATCATTGACCGCCTCAGTGTCCAAGTGGTTGTAGTTCAGGACATTGAATCACTCTCCCCTCACAAATGTTGGCTCAAATCTTTCAGGGACTTCAGACTTTTTTATATGGCCAAAGATCTGGTTCTACTCGGTGCTTGTATATAAGACGCAAATGACAATTGTTTTTCTGTATTGTACCTAATATGCCATGTTTGTTGTCTATCTTGCACCAAATTCCATGTCTATTTTTTGTCTGTCACCAAATGCCATAAAATATTTCCTGTCTTGTACCAAATGCTGTAAGTTTTTCCTGTATGGCATTAAGTGTCATTTGACTTTCTTGTCTGGCACTAAGGCTATGTGTATTTCTTGCTAAGCTTGTAATGTGGTAACACATGTTTTTAACAAGACAAGAATTTTCCAGTAATAAAGATTGGTTTGAATAAATACGAGGAAAATTGTCATACCAATTCAACTATGAACAGTATAACTGTTCATTAAAGAAAATACTCAAAAGGAATGTACATATCACCCCACCTTCCTTGTGTTGATTTAAATATTACCCCTTGTGTTATTTTCAGAGAAGCGGATGAAAACGATGAAACTGGTACAGAAATTTCTGCTACAGTGAAGGGGCCTAGAAACATGCCACAGATTATGAAAAAACGGGCAAAAGACCTTCCAGCTAGTCAGAGAAACAACTTTGATGCAAAATTAATCTCATCAAAAGATGGTAAGCAGTATTCAATCTGTTTTACTACATACAGTCGACATTGTATTAAGAGACCACTCAAGGGACTGCCAAAAAGTGGTCTCTTAATAAAGTGGTCTCTCAATAGAATTCTGGAAAATTCAAGACTTTTTTATGTTACAAGTCATAGATATAATAACATCTTTATATAAAAACAAAAACTATACAATTTTATATATTTATTACAGTTTCATAATTACATATATGCCTTTCGTTTAAAAAAGTCATAAATATGTGTTTGTTTTTTAAAAAAGAAATTTTAAGAAATTTGTGTACAAATATGATCTACGCTCATAATACTATTAACAGGTCATTTTGACCTTGAAACAAAGCATATTGTCATATATCATTAATATGTTCATACACATCTCCTGCTAAACATACTTTCAAATCATCAGCCAGACCTTTAGATAATTTTTCATTCAATGAGTTGTAAACTTCTTGTTTTTGTCAGCAATTTAGTTTTCACACTACCCCGATTACAAAACATTAAAGATTTTGAGATCTTTCATTATTTTTTTTGTCAAAGGAACATATTTAATGGGGTACTACATGTATTTTATAAAGCATCAGATGAGCACCTATTACACCATCAGCAATGAAAGGGCTCGGTTCTGTAATGTTTAGTCCACTACGTTTCACGATTTTATTTCGACTACAACGATGGTATTTGCTATTTACTCAGACTCAAATTCCTATGCGCGATTTCCTCATTCAATTATCCCGGTATAATTAGTTGTCTGTCATTTTTTTCGCTCGTTTTCGACGTCATTTTCGATTTGATTTTTCTGGAAGGGAGGTCACTTTGTGCACATGACAAAAATGTGCCAATGCGGTGTTGTGATAAGTTATTGCTCTGACAAAAATATGTCACAACTAAATATTACTATTGGAAAACTATTTCTTTTCTTTCAATTTTGAAAACGATTGCAATTGTTATCAATTCGTTTTTAAACGACAATTATTTTGTGACGGTCTAATTGACGGCCGTTTAATACATACTTTAAGGACCAATGACCATGAAAAATATTTGTTTTGTTCAAAAACCTACTCGCTAATTACACAGGTGAGAATGTCCGTAGTGACGATTTGTTTGTCACGGCCGTTTATAGATACTTTAATACACTGAATTTTGTACATTTGGGCCGACATTTAGTGGCCGCTGGCCGCGATATAAAATCGTCGTTTAATGGAATTAACTTATATAGTAAAAATCATCGGGAGGGATTTTATGCGGCCGCTTAATAAAAAAGTCGCTCAATAAAGGTGGACGCAAGTACGATGCCGACTGTAGTATTAAATATCATTTCATATATTTTTTTTTTAATTTTGAGATCCCAAGTTGGTTTCTAATATCCAATGCAAGAATTGTCAACAGCTGATGACTTGCTGGTTGCAAGTGAGGATAAAAACATAAACATATGTATATACATGTATATTAATATTATTTGTTTTACAGAGTTTTGGCATGTTTTTTTTTTGACCCTATATAAATGGTTTGCATATAATAACCAGAGCCACTTGACAAGTGTTATATTACCAAAAACTGTTATTATATGGTCATATAACCTGTGAAGAATCTTTTTAACAAATTAATAATACTGCAAACTTCCTTATTTAGAAAAAAAAGAGATATCTTTATCTTAATAAATTGAAAGTAGAGCTGTGTATATAAAACTACACATATATGAATGCCATGATTATCCATCCAATGAAAAGCGATGTTAAAAGTGTGCAGATACCGCCTCCGTGGTCGAGGGGTTAGAGTCGATGACTTCTAATCCAGTTACCTCTCTGGCGTGGGTTCGATCCCTGGGAGATGCTTTGGTAGTTTAGCGCAGAGGAAGGTAGTTTAGTACTGGTGTAACTCTCCAGGAACAATGGTTAGGAAACTACCCGCCTATATGACTGAAATACTGTTGGAAAAAGGCGTAAAATGAATCAAACAAACAAACAAACAAACAAAAGTGTGCAGATATATATAATATAAAAGCAGTGTACAAATTGTATTCTTTTGATTGTCAGGGACACTGACCTATAACTGTTGCAGGATTGGTCATTGAATTATTACCCTTTGTGAACCTGCAAAATTTCTAGTTATGGCTTTGCATATTAACTCACCACAATCATGGAAGGTATTGAAAGGTTCATTTTCATTGATATCACACATATTACAGGGTGACAATAATGTGCGTTGTGATCTGGTATGGAACTTGAAATCATTAAAATACTGTGTACAATGTATATGGGCACTTACCATTTTCTCTCATAATTAATGAATAGTTCTAAAGCAAGACACATTTCTTAATTTAAAAAAAAAAAAATATGGACATGAATGTTGTGTATATGTTATATAATTTTATGTTTTCATAAAAAAATAGGTTCACATCCTGGCACTTGTCCTGCTGTAGAGTCTTACGATAAAGTATGTTCTGACTTCCTGGACCAATGTTCCGAAGATAGTGAGTGTAACAGTAATCAAAAATGTTGCAAAGATGGATCTGCGTACTTCTGTGTTGATCCTGTCACTGAAGGTTTGTTGATTTTTTAATACTTAAAAGAAAACGTGAGAAAATAAAATATTCCAGATGATATAAACATTTATGGGTAAGATAAAACATTAGCATTATTAAAACTATGTTCATAAGTATTTGGACACAACTGTCTGTTATTTTTAACTTGGATTATAAAAGAGTACACACTGTCATTTAACTGACATATTACTCTTTGTGCCTTTTAATTTATAAAGGACCTTTGAATGTATGAAGGACATTTGAATGTATGAAGGACCTTTGAATGAATAAAGGGCCTTTGAAAGTATGAAGGACCTTTGAATGTATAAAGGACCTTTGAAAGTATAAAGAACCTTTGAATGTATGAAGAACCTTTGAATGTATTAAGGACCTTTGAATGTATGAAGGACCTTTGAATGTATGAAGAACCTTTGAATGTATTAAGGACCTTTAAATGTATGAAGGACCTTTGAATGTATGAATGACTTTTGAATGAATAAAGGATCTTTGAATGTATAAAGGACCTTTGAATGTATAAAGAACCTTTGAATGTATAAAGGACCCTTGAATGTATGAAGGACCTTTCAATGTATGAATGACCTTTGAATGTATGAAGGACCTTTGAATGCATGAAGAACCTTTGAATGTATGAAGAACCTTTGAATGTATAAAGGACCTTTGAATGTATGAAGGTCCTTTTGAATGTATAAAGGACCTTTGAATGTATAAATGACCTTTGAATGTATGAAGGACCTTTAAATGAATGAATGACCTTTGAATGTATGAAGAACCTTTGAATGTAAAAAGGACCTTTGAATGTATGAAGGACCTTTGAATGTATAAAGGACCTTTGAATGTATGAAGGACCTTTGAATGTATAAAGGACCTTTGAATGTATGAAAGACCTTTGAATGTATGAAGGACCTTTGAATGTATAAAGGACCTTTGAATGTATGAATGACCTTTGGACCTTTGAATGTATGAAGGACCTTTGAATGTATGAATGACCTTTGAATGTATGAAGAACCTTTGAATGTATAAAGGACATTTGAATGTATGAAGGACCTTTGAATGTATAAGGACCTTTGAATGTATGAATGACCTTTGAATGTATAAAGGACCTTTGAATGTTTGAAGGACCTTTGAATGTATAAAGGACCTTTGAATATATGAATGATCTTTGAATGTATGAAGGACCTTTGAATGTATAAAGGACCTTTGAATGTATGAAGGACCTTTGAATGTATAAAGGACCTTTGAATGTATAAAGGACCTTTGAAGGTATAAAGGACCTTTGAATGTATGAATGACCTTTGAATGTATAAAGGACCTTTGAATGTATGAAGAACCTTTGAATGTATGAAGATTCTATGAATGTATGAAGGACCTTTGAATGTATATTGGACGTTTGATTGTGTAAAGGATCATTGAGTGAAAAAAAAAGACCCAAGAATGTTTAAAGGCCTCAACAGACGGTAGGATTTTGAAGTACAACACCAATTAAAACTAAGCTGTACAGACAAATCTTAATGTGTGAAGGCTACTATTTCTTGATTTCGGAAACCTTAAGTCTAGATTTAAGGGATAGGACATGTTCTATTTTGAAAATCTTGTTGTACAGATTTTTACAGACCTCTCACAATGACAAGTAACAGATAACCAAATTATCTCCTGATAATGGGTGAAATGAATGAAATTCCAGAACAATTTAGGGCTAAAAGGTAAACATTAGTAGTAAGATTGGGTAAAAATGATTGTTGAAAAACTCTTCAGGAGACCCAAAAGTTGTGTTATGTTCGAATCCCAAATTATTCCGAAAATGATTATGTCACGGTATTGAATTGTTCTCTAATTAGGGGAGGGGAGGTAGTTTGTAGGCGGCCAGATAGCTTAGTAAGTAGAGCCACAGTACTGTATTCCGAGGGTGCCATGTTCGAGTCTCATTAAAAAAAAAAATAATTTTTAAATGGAGGTGTTTCAATCATTCCTCATGGCGAAAAAAGTATTTAGTGAGTAAAGTATGTAAAGGATCAATGAAAAGGGATCCTTTTTAGGGGAAACCTCAGATGATTCTTACAGTGTAGAATTACCGTCTGAATGCAAGTGTTGTATAGCTTTGAAAATTGTACATCATATCTCTAATTAGTGCTGTACAACTAAATCCTACCGTCTGTTGAGGCCTTAAGGGACCTTTGAATGTATAAAAGGAAAATGTATAAAAGGAACTTGGAATGCATAAAGGATCTCAAAATGTGTAAATGACAATGGATATCCATTTGATATTGATAGTCCTTGGATGGTATATATGCATTTGAAAGACACTGGACCTTAGAATATATAAACGACCCAGGTTCGATTCCCGGAGTTAGCAGGTCACATTTGTTGAGATTGATCATGAAATCCTCAACGGTCATTCGCACAGTACTTTTGCTCTGTCATGTACAGAAGTTTCAGTTCCTTGCTAAAGTGAAGGCAACTAGTACTGGTAAACTGCTTGATAGCCTGCCCAGGAACGATGTGGTGGTTGAACTATGCTCTGGTGAATTCAGTGTGGCTTACTGTCGTGATCGGGAGTGAAAACTAACAACACCACCAGGTGTTTGTATCATACTGTATGCATAACATGATTGTTTTACAGCTGCAGAGTATACGGTAGAGTTAACATTGAAAGATGTAACATGGACAGAGGAAATGACAAATGACAAAGAGGCACAACAAAATTCAATAGGGAAATACAGTACAATGGTAAAACTATTTACTTAGATTTTAACTGAATTTAGGCTTGTTGATTTAAAGGAATTCCATTGAGATTACATAAAAATTTGAAGATCTTACATAGATCAACTGGGGCACTTAGAACAATGTGAAAAAGATAATAAAAAAAAGATAATAAAGAAATATAGTCTAAATAAAAAATCTATATTTAGTGCATTTTTACTTGTCAGTTTTATGTCTAAACTTATGTCTATAGCATTAGTCAAGAACTAGCTAAGGGCAACATATTTTATGTTTGAAAGAAAAAAATGAATGCGTGTTGAAGCTGAAATTGTCAGGAATTCATTGACTTCTTTTCAGAAAATTTTTGAAAAAATGTAAAACTTTAAGCAAAAAAGCATTTTGCTTTATTGTTAACTTGCATTTTATTTAATATCTTTTGTTTGTTTGTTTTTAGCTTGGCAGTTTGTTAGAAGATTTTGACCATGATTTACAGGATTTAAGGTATGTACACAGATTACAAACATGTTATCAAATATTTATGCTTGCAATAGAATATTAAAAACAGAATGTTATGTTACTCTTATCTGCCCTTAAAAATCAATAATGATTGGTTAATTGCACCAGTAGAAATTAAAGCCACCTAGTCACGCTAATGTACATGTATATTGATGGACTGTGGGCGGTTCTTCTCATTTATCTGTTTGCAGATGAAATTATATATATGGAGAGGCACCTTAGGTTTTCCTCAATCGTACTGCTTAGAAATTTGGCCTGTTTTATAAACTTGCAGTCTGTACTACAGTGTCTATAAATAGATAGAATAGAAGTCAGCATATGACTATATTCTAATTTCAAAGGAAGATAACTCCATGATATAAATTTTACTTGGTAGAAGCAGGCATACATTCTACAGCAGTGGTTTCAGGTTATAATGTGGATTTTATTTGTTTTGTAGGCCAAACAGAGAAAACAAAATGAACTTGGTTTATAGTGTACATGCTTTTGAGAACCCAAGATCAGTGTTAGAAGAGCAACTTAAAGGCATCAATTTTATTTCCCTGAGTGCCATCACTTTTGTTTCGCAGGAATATGGTAAGTTGTTTTTTTCCACTTTAAATTGGGATTTTTTTGCAGATGATTATGATATAAAGTCTTTGCTTTGTCAAGAGAGTGCCCTAAATGTTTTCCCATTTTAAATGTTAAATTAAATGTTTGTTAAATTTTACCCACCCCTGGAGCTGGAAATGGTTAAATATTTTTATTATATAACCTTTACTTACTTTATAATTTTAGAAGCGAAAGATCATTGCCCAAAGAACTTGTTAGTGGTAGACAACATATTGAAATGTATTGATGACCAGTATACTGACAATAGACTAGGATACCAGGACTTTGAAGTGTGCAGGTAAAAAAAGTGATAGGTGGTTTTATGGATGGTTTTATTCTTTACAGAAATATTTGCAAGGATGGGCACTTTTGCCCACTTTTCTTTATCAATTTTTTAGCTCACCTGTCACAAAGTGACAGGGTGAGATTTTGTGATTGCTTTTCGTCCGTCCGTCCGTCCATCGTCCGTCCGTAAACTTTTACTTTAAATGACATCTCCTCATAAACCACTAAGCCAATTTCATCCAAACTTCACAGGAATGTTCCTATGGTGGTCACCTTTAAAAATTGTTCAAAGAATTTAATTCCATGCAGAACTCTGGTTGCCATGGCAACCGAAAGAAAAAAAACTTTAAATATCTTCTTTTAAAAGACCCAAAGAGCTAGAGCTTAGATATTTGGCATGAAACATCTTCTAGTGAGTGTCTACAAAGTTTGTTCAAATAAAAGCCCTGGGGTCAAAATTCGCCCCGCCCCAGGGGGTCATTGATTTTCCCTATATGCATTTCGTAAAAACTTCAAAAATCTTCTTTTAAAGAACCAAAAGAGCTAGAGCTAAGATATTTAGCATGAAACATGTTTTAATGAGTGTCTACCAAGTTTGTTGAAATAAAAGCCCTGGGGTCAAAATTGGCCCCTCCCCAGGGGGTCATTGATTTTCCTTATATGCATATAGTAAAAACTTTAAAAAATCTTCTTTTAAAGAACTAAAGAGCTAGAGCTAAGATATTTAGCATGAAAAATGTTCTAATGGGTGTCTACCAAGTTTGTTCAAATAAAAACCCTTGGGTCAAAATTGGCCCCGCCCCAGGGGTGTCATTGTTTTTAAGTATATGTGTATAGTAAAAACTTAAAAATCTTCTTTTAAAAACCCAATGAGCTACAGCTTAGATGTTTAGCATGAAACATCTTCTTATGGGTCATGGGTCATTGATTTTCCTTATATATGTGTATAGCAAAAACTTAAAAAATCTTCTTTGAAAAAACCTAAATAGCTAGAGTTTAGATATTTGGCATGAAACATGTTCTAGTAAGTGTCTACAATGTTTGTTCAAATAAAAGCCCCGGGGTCAAAACTGGCCCCGCCCCAGGGGTGTCATTGCTTTTAACTATATGTGTATAGTAAAAACTTAAAAAATCTTCTTTGAAAAAACCTAAATAGCTAGAGTTTAGATATTAAGCATGAAACATCTTCTAGTGAGTGTATACAAAGTTTGTTCAGATAAAAGCCCTGGGGTCAAAATTGGCCCTGCCCCGGGGGTCATTGATTTTCCTTATATGTGTATAGCAAAAACTTAAAATTCTTCTCTGAAAAAACCCAAATAGCTAGAGTTTAGATATTAAGCATGAAACATGTTCTAGTAAGTGTCTACAAAGTTTGTTCAAATAAAAGCCCCGGGGTCAAAACTGCCCCGCCCCAGGGGGTCATTGTTTTTAACTATATGTGTATTAGTAAAAACTTAAAAATCTTCTTTTAAAAAACCCAATGAGCTAGAGCTTAGATGTTTTGCATGAAGCATCTTCTTATGGGTGTCCATCAAGTTTGTTCAAATAAGCCCTTGGGTTAAAATTGGCCCTGCCTGGGGGGGGGGGGGGGGCAGATCATTGTTTTTCATTATATGTGTGTAGTAAAAACTTAACATCATGAAACATCTTCTTATGGGTGTCTTCCAAGTTTGTTCAAATAAAAGCCCTGGGGTTTAAACTGGCCCAGCTCTGGGGGCCTATATACAGGTGAGCGACCTCAGGGCCATCATGGCCCTCTTGTTTAAGGTGAGAAGGTGTTTTCCAATTCAGCACCACTTGTCACCGTACTATTACTACTTGCCGGCCTCCATTCACTGATGATTTTTTTTATATCTTGAAGACTGGTGTAAGAAAGTTCATCTAGTTAAATATGTACATTGGCCATGAAAAAATGTATTAATAAACTACATAATCAAGTATTTTAACTGCACTTTATCTCTATGTAGTCACATGATATGCTATATAAAATATGTAAAATGTACATGTACCGAACTTTTTAAAATTTCTCTAATCACTATACATTCTCTATAATTATTTAGTTAGATATTTTACTTTGTAGTCAAATATTTTGACTTGACTATTTATATGTTGTCAGATATTTTACTATGTATTCAGATATTTTGACTTGGCTATTTCTAAATTCTATGTAGTCAGATATTTTACTATGCAGTCAGATATTTTACTATGTAGTCAGATATTTTGACTTGACCATTTCTATGTAGTCAGATATTTTACTATGTAGTCAGCTATTTAGACTTGACTATTTCTATGTAGTGAGATATTTTACTATGTAGTCAGATATTTTATTTTGTAGTCAGATATTTTGACTTGACCATTTCTATGTAGTCTGATATTTTACTATGTAGTCAGATATTTAACTATGTAGTCAGCTATTTAGACTTGACTATTTCTATGTAGTGAGATATTTTACTATGTAGTCAGATATTTTATTTTGTAGTCAGATATTTTGACTGTACATTAAAATTTTTTTCTCTATGTAGTCAGATATTTTGACTTGACTATTTCTATGTCGCCAGATACTTTTACCACATTTTTTCTCTTATGTAGTCAGATATTTTGTATTGTATAGTCAGACATGCTATCATGTAGTCACATTTATTTGACTATATTATTTCAGTACTGTAGGTTACCTGACTTCCTGTGCTGCTAACAAATGTCGCAATCAGGATGTCACTGGATGTAGTGCAGAAGATGTGCAGAACAAAATCATGAATGAAAAGGAATCCATTTTAAAGAGAATAAGATCACATGATTTTGAAACTGGCAGCATTTCAAGAATAGTTATCATGCTGGAAAAATATGATAGAAATCAATGTTCAAGTAGGTAGCCTAAACTTTTGATAGTTACTGATGTTTTCTATAAAGTTATCACCAAAACATAAATTTAGCTAGATCATAATTTCGTACATTAAAAAAAGTAGTTTTTGACAAATTAAAAAATGTTATGTTTAGATCATTTCATGCTTTAATCTACACTGCTTCATTTTTCAACAAGTCCTAGACAGGTCAGTGTGCATTATTGTAAAGTCTAATCAAGGTCTATATTTGTTGTCTGATCATCTTCCACATTGTCATGGTGATAGCCTAAAAATTTGATAAAAGATGTAGAAGATTTTACTTAACTTCCCACGTGAATGCATGAAGGAAAGAAGGTAGAAAAGTCACGACCATTAAAAAAGAATTATCTGTTCATGTGGTCTTGGCACAACAAGTACAACAAGACCATTTTAACAAGCTCACATCATGTTTTATTTACTCAAAGTATAGTCACAGCTCAGTAAAAGTATAGTCTACTTACAGAAAGGAATAAAGTCATGGACTGTCCAAAATGTATATGAGGGCAATGCCATTCTCATTTGTGGAGACATTGGTAATTACTGGTTAAGTTATCCTGGAAAATCTGTTTTGTAAACTGACTGTTCAGCTATGACCAAAAAAAATGTGTTAACATCGGCATAAAAACTAAACAAAAACAAACTTAATTGAATAAGGTCAAAAGTTTAACAGATATTCAGCTGCGTCACGACAAAACCAACATAATGGGTTTGCGACCAGCATGGATCCAGACCAGCCTGCGCATCCGTTTCTCTACTTGTTATAGAGTTGGTATGCGAACAGCGTGGATCCTGATCAAACTGCGCAGATGCGCAGGCTGGTCTGGATCCATGCTGGTCGCAAACCCATTATGTTGGTTTTGTCGTGACGCGGCTCATTTCTCTTGACGTTCTGAATAGCAAGACCAATGGTTTTGTATTTTAGTTTCAGCTGATGTTAATCCTTGTTATGATAGAGACATGATAATGACTGATATGGAGAAATGTAAAGATCATCTGCTATCAGTAAATGCTGATGAACCATTAGGTGTTGACTTCTGCAGGTACAGTCTTTCAACTCCTTATATTAATTTTAATATACATTTTCAAAGTTTTCATGAAAATAAGCATGAATCTGTAGGCATGCTGCTTTGAAGGCATATCCTGCAGTTACATGTAGATATACAAGTAGAATGAAAATTGTAAATAAGGAATTTATATGATTTTAGAAGATTTGATGTTATTTATGTCAACATTATTCAACTTGTATACAAATTTGAAAGTTTGATATTTTAAAGTAGTTGTAAGTTTTGAACTATTTGAAACAAGACTAATGAATAAGCTGTTAATGGGTACAGTTTTCGAATAAAAGAGTAAATAAGTTTTCTGGTAAATTAAAATAAAGGAGCTAGTCTTTACTGTATTTATTCTTGCTAATGCCCCAGTATTGATTATAACTTAACTAGTTTATACGTAGACTGTCTAATTCAAATTATCAGATAAGTGCATTTAAATAAGAATTTCACCACAACCTATTTGTTCACAAAAGCATGCAATTGTCAATGTTTATGGTTTAATATTTTATTATGCAAATAGAAGGTCAGAGAAGGGATCTATCAATTGTATATGTATAAAGATTTCTTTAATTATGATGTTTAGGATAACTTATTTTCTAACTCTTTGAATACCAAACAAGCATTATTCAAATACTGTAGAAGAGAATAATTATGTGCATTTCATCCTATTTTTGATATTTTTCTTTAGTGTTTTTGATAAGTTCTCTTCCTGTGTGGTGGTAAACGTACGGGCTAGAGGAGCCCAGTGGTGTGGAGACCATGAAATAAGGGAGCAGTTGATCAGATTGCTTGCACTTCCACCTTATTCATTTGCTATGTCAAGCTTTGATGAAAAATGTAGAGGTTTGTTCTTTGTTTGTTTGTACTTCATAACTCCATCATTATTGTACCTCATATTCCCACCATTATTGTACCTCATACACCCAACATTATTGTACCTCATACATCAATCATTATTGTATCTCATAACTCTCATCAGTATTGTACCTCATACCTCAGTCATGATTGTACCTCATATCCCCACCATTATTGTGCCTCATACCTCCACCATTATTGTTCCTCATACCTCCCATCAATATTGTCCCTCATACTTCAACCATTATTGTACCTCATACCTCCATCATAATTGTACCTCATATCCCGTCATTATTGTACCTCATACCTCCATCATTATTGTACCTCATACCTCCACCATTATTATGCCTCATACCTCCACAATTATTGTGCCTCATACCTCTCATCAATATTGTACCTCATACTTCAACCATTATTGTACATAATACCTCCATCATTATTGTACCTCATACCTCCATCATTATTGTACCTCATACCTCCATCATTATTGAACCTCATACCCCCACCATTATTGTACCTCATACCTCCACCATTATTGTACCTTATACCTCCATCATTATTGTACCTCATATCCCGCCATTATTATACCTCATACCTCCAATCATTATTTGACCTCATACCTCCACCATTATTATGCCTCATACCTCCACAATTAAATTTGTGCCTCATACCTCTCATCAATATTGTACCTCATACTTCAACCATTATTGTACATAATACCTCCATCATTATTGTACCTCATACCTCCATCATTATTGTGCCTCATACCTCCACCATTATTGTACCTCATACTTCCATCATTATTGTACCTCATACCTACTTCATTATTGTACCTTATACCTCCTTCATTATTGTACCTCATATCCCGCCATTATTATACCTCATACCTCCATCATTATTGTACCTCATACTTTCACCATTATTGTGCCTCATTCCTCCACAATTATTGTGCCTCATACCTCTCATCAATATTGTACATCATACTTCAACCATTATTGTACCTCATACTTCAGCCATTATTTGTACCTCATACCTCTATCATTATTGTACCTCATACCTCTATCATTATTGTACCTTATACCTCAATCATTATTGTACATCATATCTTTACCATTTTTGTACCTCATACCTCCATCATTACTGTACCTCATATCTCAGTCATTATTGTACCTCATACCTCCACCATTGTTATATCTCATAGGTATAAATGCATTTCGAAAATTAGAAAAAAGCCAACTGGCAATTAATGCTGTACTTTGTTCCTAAACCTTAGGATGATTTTATGAACTTGACATAACTTAGGGTGCTTTTGTGTATTTGACATTGTATCCTTGCATGTTTTCTTCTGTTCCGTTGTTGCCATGATAATTATTATTGAAGATTCATACAATGTAGAATGTATTTGTTATTAGAAACATAAATATTGTACATCAACAGCATAAAATCTCTCAGAACAAAATATTTGCCAGCTATTTTAAGAAAGGTTCTAGCCATTTATCAATTATTTGTAAGTGCTATCTACACCAAAGGAAATATTCAAAAACATGTCATTCATAAATTTATTTTAAAGTATTTTCCAACTTTCAAAAAGAAAGAAAAAAGGAAAGAAATTAGCAGAGATATAGCTTTATACACTTTAATTTCTAGTGTATATTATTCTAAAGTGAAGAAAATTTAATTGATTTCCATTTTAGACGCAGAAAAGACATTTTGCACATTTTCAAGACTAAGGGAACTTTCTTGGTCCCAGTGCAAACCAAGACCTTACATACACGACGGGGTTTGTAGGTGAGTAACAAATTATAATATTGGTTTTTCATATAAACAAGAAAAATATTACATACATTCGTATGTAATATAGGTACGATTGCATACTACTTTTTGTGAAAGACTTTATGATTGCTGAATTAAAGGTGTATGTAAAAATGAATCAAACATGTCAAAGGATATTTTATATCTTTAAACATTTTCATGGAATGTAATTAACTGTTATCACCATATTAAAGTTGCATGCCTTCAGATGAGAAAAATGATTTTCACAGGAAACAAAATATGAAAAGAAAATTCACGGTCAATGACTGCTTTGAAGCATAATCCACAAAATAAATTTACAGGAAATTAAAAACCTTTTTTTAATACACTTAAAGTAGAATTTCATTGTAAATCATAGTCAAAATTTGAGATATGATTAATTATTCATATTAACCTCATTATTGGTTATATATTGATAAAAAACCCCGAAAGACACAGTTTGTAATATTTATTACAATAAAATATGAAAAGGTAATACGCGCCGAGGTTAGGCTATAATTAAAATTTTTCCGCGCTAAGTCGCAAGGGTGTGCTTGGGACAATCACTTGATACTGTAAATGGAAAGCCATTTTACGATACGAACCCTCGAAACTTTTTTCTGCCGAAAAGATATAAAAACTATTTGCAATTAAAAGTTGTCACATAAAGTTATCGATTTATTTTGCCCTTTTTTTTCTCCCGAGTTTAAAAATTTTTACTTTTCTTGGTTAAACCATACGTTACCAATAAAATGAGGTGTAAACTAATTTTGTTTCTTTAAAAAATTTTTCCCCTTTTTTTAATAAATAAAAATTTTTTTCAATAAAATTGATAAAACAACAATCCAAAAGCATTTAAATAATAACTATTGGAAAAAAAAAAAGATATAAATTGTAAAAAATTTTTATCAAACCAACCCCCCAAACAAAAAAAAATGATCAACCAAAAAGCGCCCTGCTTCTTCACCAACATGTAGTTTTCGCTATTAGCAATTTCCCCACCAAATCTATAAATAAACCTATTTTAAAAAATACTGACCCCAGCAGATTTTACAGAAAAAGATTTGTTGTAAGTCAAAATTTACTTTTTTTGAAAATACCGGTTTGTGGGTAAAAATGGGTTTAGCTTTAATAAAGAAGGATTTGTGGTTATTGTCAGTCTAAGAAAGACCTTGGTTTGAATATATTAGGCATTTTTAGTAAAAAATAACTTTTTATAGCAATGGTTTTTATTTTGGGGTTTAGTAGGGCATCAAAGTTTTGACCATGCTTAGCTAAATGAGAATTTTGGAAAAGAAATTATTAAACATTTGGGGCAATTTAAAAAATTTAAGGGGTTAAGTGGGGTTTTTTCCCCTTGGTTTTAAATGTGGGACTTTGTGGGGGAAAAAAATTTTTGCATTTTTGATTAAATGAGGGTTTTTTAGCATTTTTTATTTAAAAGAGGGGTTTTTGGGGTAATTTCATGAGGGGAAATTTTTGGGGGGAAACAAAAGTTTAATAGATTGGTTTTTATTAAAGAGGGGATTTTTGCTAAACCACAAAAGGGTTTATTGATTTAAAAAAACATAGGGTTTGAGGTAAGGGAAAAGTTTATACATTGTTTGACTAAAAAGGGAATTGCAGGGAGGTCAAGTTTTGCCCTTTTTGACATTTTCAGTTGAGGATTTTTTCACAGATTTAAGCATTTATTTGACTAAAAATTTAAAGACTTTCTTTTAAGGAAATGGTTTTTCATTTTTTTGATTACTTAAGGGGGTTTTTTGTTAGGGGGCTGGTTTATTTGGTTGATTGCATGAGGGTTAATTTGGGGAAATACAGTTATCCTTATTATTGAAAAAAGAAAGTAGTAAAATCAAATTTTTAAATGTGGGGTAAAAAATTTTTTAGTGACTTTTTTGAGTACTCACTGGAATTTAATGATTATTTGGTGTACAGTAGTATATGCTTAGTAAAGTCAGTCAATATTTTGTGTTTGGCACTTTTTAAAACCAATGTTAATTTTAATGACTAAATTAACCTTGCAATTGTTTGAGCATACAAAAATTTATAGTTTTTTTTTATGTGCAGTTTTACCCTTTATTTTAATTTTCTTTTTCAGTAATGAGACAGTAAAAGAGATGTTTACTGGTTTTATGGCATGTGTGCGTATATATTCATTGAGAGATAAAAATGATTGCTCAGAGGAGGACATTATTAATATTGTTAAAAGTGATAGGTATCATCTTGGACTTATTCGTCAGGGAGAGGATATAACAACATGTTTTTCAGGTTAGAATTGTTTTTGTTGAATTTTCATCCTCGGGGCATATAAAATAAAATGCTGCCCTTTCCATAAAATTTTTTTTATTTGAGTGAAACCCCCCCCCCCCTTAAACATTCAAGTTCATTTTTACCGCGGGCTTCTTAATTTGGGCATTTTTTTTTCCCCACTACAAATTCTGTGATCTTGGCAAGTTCATAACTTATGCTGCCATTTTTCCCCAGTTTTTTTGTTTTTGTTTGAAAAAGAGACAGTTAAGGTATAATTTGTACCAGTTGCCCATTCTACACACAAAGAACATGATCTTGGCAAGTTACATCACTGTTCCTTCCATTTTCCACAAGATATTTCCATTTCTATCATTTCGAAAAAAAAAATATATATAAACAGTGTTCAATCTAGAACAAATTCCCAGGGGGCCCTTCGGGCCCATAAACTTTTCGAAAGGGGGTCATTTGAGAAAAAAGGGGGCCCACACTTAAAATGAACATCAAATTCAAATAAGGTATTGTATCTTTAAAGTTACTTGTTCACGTACCATATTTAGACCAAAAAACTGTTTTGCAAAATTCCAAAACAACTCAAACTAAAAAAATATGACATTAGCGTTGATACAGGCCTCAATTTTAAGAACCTGATTAGGTAAAGAGAAATGCGATGACATAATGTCAAAAAAAATATGAATCTTATTTTAATGTTACCCAGGGCGTATTTGATAATTAATGTTCAGTTTTTTAAAATCAGCGGCCGATCGATAAAAGGGGAAATTCAATATTTTGAAATCAGCTTTGTTTATGAAGAATATAAACTCTCACAAATAGTCGCTAAAAAAACATTACCTTCTCAATATATCCCAAGCGAAAAACAAAGTGTCAACAGGTGCTAAGGACAATGAATATTGACATACCGGTACCTTTTTGATCTTTAGTCAGGGCAGCAGTTCTTACGTTCACGCTTAAGATGTCTGTATGATTAATGATATGCACAATGTTTTAGCGCCGACCAGCCAAAGACCAATCAAAGTTAATTTTACTTTAATTGTCAGACAGCTCCCTAGCCAATCTGTGTTTGATTGCTCCATCTTTTAAGACTTTTTTAATTGGATGAAGGCGTTTCGTAATAATTTATGCACATTCTCTATAATTAACTCGCACTTTTCACAAATATATAATATATTTTTTTCCTTTGAAAGTTATACATATTTATTTGTTTTGACCGTGAAAAAACTTATAACTACACGCACCGTATTGGATTATCTGTGACAATTTGTTTCTTAAAAAAAAACTGTGACTCAAAAGGTATAGTAATAGTTACGGTACGAAGAACCAAGTCTACATAGTATTTACAGACGCACCGAGGAGAGCGTAGCGATAAAGGTTTTAAATGGATGTTACCGAGTGCGGTAAACTATCTTACCAACATGCTTTGTTTTTTCAATTACAAACTTCAGTTGTTGAATTCAGTATTATTATATTATTCACAAGAAACTTCTTTTATGTGACTAAATCAGGTTTAAGAAAGCATTCTAATGTCATTTAGGGCATTTTCTATGAGTGCGCCCGTCGGGCCCACAGTTGATTTTGTTTTGCGCCGGCGGCCTTTTCAGGGGGTCAATGGCGCAATGGCGCGCTCTAGATTGAACACTGTATAAACCTGGTATGGTATCAAGATTTATCTGTACCAATTGTTTCATACTGAATTACTCACTAACTTAGGCATACAAGGACATGATCTTGATATTAAATAGGCATTAATTTTTCTCCAATTACATCCCTTTTTATCACTCTGTATAAAGTTCCCTGTATGGTTTACCTACTCAAGTAGGTTTGGATAAATCTTATGTTTTTCCTAGCAATTTTTTTTCTTGACTGAAGTCCCTCATATATGGTTGGTAGATACCTAAAAGGTGGGCAAGGTTACTGGTGCTTTAAGTTTGAGCCGCGTCACGACAAAACCAACATAATGGGTTTGCGACCAGCATGGATCCAGACCAGCCTGGGCATCCGTGCGGTCTGATCAGGATCCATGCTGTTCGCTTACGATCCCTATAACAAGTAGAGAAACTGATAGCAAACAGCATGGATCCAGGTCAGACTGCGCAGATGTGCAGGCTGGTCTGGATCCATGCTGGTCGCAAACCCACTATGTTGGTTTTGTCATGGCACGGCTCGTTTGTATTGGCTGTGTTCAGATATTGACATGTTGATTGTTTTATTCTCAGATGAAGCCATGAATGCCATAAAAAGTGAATTGGAAAGTAGAGAGACTTTATGTAGCAGTTCTTTGGCGATGAAGCATTTCTATCATGATTGTTTTGACGATGATTGTAAGCTTGATTTAACACGTATAGAGGATACCAGTGCCCGATGCACGTATGTATAACTTGAATTATTCCATGTGTATAAATAGTTTTACCTTATGTGTTAATTTTTGTTTTAGAATAAGATCTTAAACAGTTTTTATCATGATTGTTTTGAGGATAAGTGTGCGCTTGATTAAATACTCATAGAGTACATCAGTCCCTGATGCACATACAGTGTATGTATGACTTGAATCATTCAATCTGTCTATGTAGTTTAATTTTTTAGTTCTTTTTTTTTATTGAGAATAAGATCTTTAACACTTAGCCTTTGAATTGATCATGGTTTTTATATTTCTGAAAGATTGCTTATTGTAAAACAGTATCACATTTCTTATGCTGATATTCCAATCACTTAGATCCACAAACTACACTATCCATGATTATTTATACAATATATGGTTTAATTCCATTTGTGTAAATCAAAACAAAACACTTTTAAAAATATGATAAAAAAATCAATTTCTTGAATGCTGTGTCATAGTGAAATACAGTGATTAAAACAAATTTGTGATTGTTTTTTTACTGAAAAGTAGTATTATACTCATTATAATTGTTTCAGAGGCGTATATATCTTTTTGTCTATCGATAATACAATAACATAGAGTGATTTACTAAGACGGTTTCAGCCAGATTGTTGATTTAAGAAACTTTCTTGAATGACTTTATTTAGACCTATTTTCCCCCGTAAAATTACTTCTTTGCCTTCAATCAGTTCTTATAAGGGGGCATAGACTGTAGCTTGTGATAACCATTACAGTCCATGGGCAGACTCAATCAAACCGAACCTGTAACATTTTCAATTTTTGCCATGTTGGGCTTTCTTTAGAGATTCTGTTTTTTTCTATGTGAAATCATCCTATTGTGATTCATTCAATGTGAGGAAATATCCAGGTAGCTTATTTGTGTCCTTGTTTATTCTTGATTTGTGAAGACGGGGCAACCAAGGTAAATTTCCTCGTCCTATAAAGCTAAAAAACTGGAACACAAAATGGGAATAAACTGAATTAAAAGTTCCTGTAGAACTCCTGGCATTTGTGTACAATATAAATACTGCATCATATTTATTTCAGGTTTTTGTATCAACAAATTTCCTGCATTGAGAAGAATATGAAAAATGAGACCTTTGTCTGCACCATTAACCAGTTAATGACCACCGCTGGTGGAATAAAAGACAAATCTTTCCCCCTGACACTTTCAAAAGAACAGCTAGACCCATGCATTGGTAAGTTGAAAGCCCTTTTATAAATTTCTTAAAATAGTCTAAGGCTGTTTTGTTATCATTTTTGTAACTGATAATTATTTTGGGGGGGGGGGGGTCTATACTTAGATTGGAAAATGATCATCAGTAGAATTTGTAAGTGTATACTTGTCAGTAATATTTAAACTTTCCATGAATTTACAAAGATACATTTCCAAGTCATTATTTGATAATTGATATATGGGAAAGATTATTTTACTTCATGAAAGCATTTTGCTAAGGGAGGGCCTTTTTGCTTAGATGATTATTTATAAAGATAAGTTTTAAAGTATTCTCAATTCTTTTCTTTACATTTTCTGTAATATATATGACAAAATGATTAAGCTAAAGGTAAATGAATGAAAATTGGTTAGTTATTTTTTATGATTGTGATTTGACAGAGAATATGGAAGCAGACGGCATGATGTCATGTGAGATCCCACTTCTCTCGAGGATGAACGGTAGCAAAGAATGTGTAGAACATCTTTTACCAGACCTTTCCAAATTAACTCAAGAACAGCAATGCAAGTAAGTTTAAGTATCTGATGTTTCTCCAAAAGGATACATTTCTGTGGACATAAAAAATGGACAAAGACATTTATGAATAAAGACAGGGAAAATTAACTTTGTCAATTTTCAATATTTTTTTTTACCATATATTACAAGTTTATAAGTTTTTGCTATTTTTTGGTGCAATAAATACCCTGAAAAAAAGATACGCTAAAATTTAGTAAAAGAAATTTGCAAGTTTCTGTAACTTAAATTTCATACTGTAAAAGTTTTATACAAACAGCATAGTCAATGATATTAGAAGTTGTGTAATCTATATGTCCATGTATGAAATACTAAAAGTATTATAATTTTGTGATAATAGCCATAATTATAATACTTTTAGTACATGTTAATCAACCGTGGGTATCCCAAGATGACTGGTATATAGCAATATGAATGTTATACAAATAGAGTGCTAGAATATAAAAGAATTTGGCAAAATAAATCTTTTAAACAAAATTCACTGAAACAAAATCTCTGCCAATATATCAAAATTTGATGTAAATGAAAATAATTACAGTACTTTTAAAGCTGTCATGAGCCAAGTATTATAATTAGATAGAATTGATTTTGAGAACTTTCAACTTATTGCTGAGAATCTTTATGCCTGAAGGGTGATATTTTAACACTTAACTCGAGTATGTAAAAAATATATGCCCTGCTTTGATTTTGCCAGAACATCCCATTAGAAATTTAGGGGATTTTAATTTTCAAAGTATAGGAATTGAAATACCAATATTATAGAGTCTGGTCAGACTGCTTTATGCTGGTGGCAAAGGCTAATCACTTTCAGTGCCATTATGGTAAGGACTTATGTTACAAAAAAATAAAGTCAATCATTGATATGATATACTTTTAACTCTAACAAAAGGGTGTCCATGGCGGAGTTGTTTGGAAGTTTTCTTCAAACTACTTGCCTCTTACCACTGTAGGTTCTAGCAACGCAAGAGTCTTTGGATTCTTTCATTTGAGAAAGCTTTCCAGCTAGCTTTGTGAATGGAATGGTTCTACTTGGGTGACTGTTTGTGCCTGAAAAAATACATGGAGAGTCACCTAAGGTCCTCCTTAACCCAATAAAGCTGGAAAATTATCATATGACCTATACTGTGTTGTTGGGACATAAAACCCAATAAAGAAAAACAAAACAAAAAATAATTTAACAATGTATTTTTGACAGATTGGTATCTGTTGGAGGAAGCTGTTTATCTGCTGTAACTGGAAAAGTTGATGCTACATGTGACAGTGACGGTACAGTGTCCGCCCTCAAACATATCATAGCTGCAACTTCTGTTGCAATGAGGCAATTGGAGTGCAAGTATGATGATAACGAACCAAAGACCTTCCCAGACTGTTATGGTATGTACCTCTTTGGCATTAATTTTTGTGGAAGTATATAATTAAAAAGAAAATATTGTTTTTTTATGAAGATTTCTAATCACTTCCAATATTCTTCTTCACATGCAAAAAGATGTCATTATCATTTATACTTGAATATAAATACTTTGCAGAGTTTTTTGAAATTACTGCACAACTTGGTATATTAATGTCTTTGATCATGTTTTCACACTATGCTCATATTTGAGTAAAATATTTCTATTGCAGAAATTTGTTGTAATCTTTTAAATTCTTACTGAATATGTTTCATTTAAATAAAAGAGCATACAAGCTATGTATAAGAAATCTGCATTCCTCATTACAAGTCAAGAAAAGCTGGTCCTTTTTAAAAACCTGCCAGTTTTGGTTTTTTTAATGACACTATAATTGTATTCATAGTGTGTCCACTTATAGCGTCTAGGATTTAAAGCATATTATATCTTCTACATGTGAAGTCAAAACATGTTTGTTTTAAAATTTTTTTAAAAAAAGGAGACCAAAAATGTAAAAATTAAATCAAATTTTCAAAATAAAATTTTTGATCAATATGTATTTTTATATATGAGCCGAAATCACGAAAAAAACCCAAAACAAAAAGGGGGTTTCAAAACCAGCATGGATCCAGACCAGCCTTTTGGCACCCGGGCGCGGGTTCTGAAAATAAGGCTGGTTTTTGGACCCCAGGGTTTTCAAACCCCTATAAAATTTTCCCTCTACTTGTATTGGGGTTCCCGGGCAAAAACCCCCCAAAACAACTGGACCCCTGTTTCAGACGCAGAGGATTTAAAAGGCGGGTCGGTTTCCTAGCTGGTTTTGGGCAAACGCTTTTAAATGTTGGTTTTTGTCTTTGACGCGTCCCCCATTTTATAATTTAAAATCTTACCTCCCCCAAAAATGATCTAAACCAACATTTGGGACCGGGTGTGATACAAGTGAAGTTGCATTTTTGATTAACCTTTTTAAAGTTAAAAAATTGTAACCCCCAATATGGAGGATGCAGAGAAGGGGCCCACATGCTTCTTGCCAGGGGGGACGGCATTCAGTGAGCAGACTCTCGTTTGTCGGTAAGGTACTTTATTTGTTTATAACATCTTTGTATTACCCCATGAGGGACGTCTATGGCCAAATGGTTTATGTTTCATTGTCTTCAAAACACTTTGCGTGCTCTCATTTCAAAAATCCTGCAAGGGACTTCAGATTCTTTCAGGTTTATGTCATTGTTTCTTCAAAACACTTTGCTCTTGTTCAAATCCTGCAAAGACTTCAGATTCTTTCAGGTTTATGTCATTGTCTTCAAAACACTTGCTCTTGTTTCAAATCCTGCAAGGGACTTCAGATTCTTTCAGGTTATTGTCATTGTCTTCAAAACACTTGCTCTTGTTCAATCCTGCAAGGGACTTTTCAGATTCTTTCAGGTTTATGTCATTTCTTCAAAAAACACTTGCCCTCTTGTTCAAATCCTGCAAGGGACTTCAGATTCTTTCAGGTTTATGTCATTGTCTTCAAAACACTTGCTCTTGTTCAAATCCTGCAAGGGACTTCAGATTCTTTCAGGTTATTGTCATTGTCTTCAAAACACTTGCTCTTGTTCAAATCCTGCAAGGGACTTCAGAGATTCTTTCAGCGTTATATTGTCATTGTCTTTCAAAACACACTTGCTCTTGTTTTCAAATCCTGCAAGGGACTTCAGATTCTTTCAGGTTATTGTCATTGTCTTCAAAACACTTGCTCTTGTTCAAATCCTGCAAGGGACTTCAGATTCTTTCATGTGAGGAAGCTCTCTTGGTAGCTTAATGGGAACTTTAGTTGTTCTACTTTGGGGGCCCTGTTGAACCCTGAAATAATCCATTTTTGGGGGCCCACCCGGGGACGGGTCTTCCTCTACCAAAGGGGGAAAAATTTCCCATTTTGGATTTATATGTAGATTTTAAAACCCCGACATAAAACCCCAATTTTAAAAAAAAAACGATGATGCCCCTTTAAAAAATTTTTTTTTATAGAAATCCCATGTATACCAAAATTATATTTTCTGGGTTTAAATATTTGGTCACCAACTATTTGGGGGGCTTTTTTAAATTTTGCTTTAAATTTCTGCATTAAAAAAATTTCTTTGTAAAGGATTGAAGAAAGGGGAGAAACAATTTGTGGGGCCCTTTTAGTTTTAGGAACTTATATAATTAATAAAAATAATAAAATTTCTTTCCCCATCCACTCTTTATTTTCCCAGGGAAAAATGGTCACCTAAAGGGGTAGAGGGGAAAAAGCAAAAAAATAATAAAGAAACCCAAATTTTCCCTTAAAAATTTTTTAATTTTGGGATTCCCTAAAAAGAAAATTGATTAAACTCCAATTTTAATTTCCCCCAAATTTTTTTAATTTTTTTGTTAAAAGTTTCGTTTTTTTTAAAAAAAAAAATTTTTTTGCCGTTTTTTTAAAATGTAAATTTTCCCTTTTCCTTAAAATTTTTAATGTTTTTGTTTTTAAAACCAAATTTTTTAATTTTTCCCGGTTTTTATTTATATTACTTATATTATAAAGGGTTATCTTGTTTTTTCATTTTTTTTTTATACATTTTTTTACATTTTCTGTTTTTGTTTTAAAAATAGGGAAATTTTGGTTTTAAGTTTTAAATTTAAGATTTCTAATCCCATATGTTTTTCAGTGGTTTGGGGACAGTTTTGTTATTCAGGGAAAGATTCCCTACCCTCCGGAAAGGGTTTAAAACTTTTTTTGTTGAGGGAATGCCCAACATGTGAAACAGGCCTTTTTTAATTTAGAACAATAAAAAAGGGGCAAAACTAGACAACCCCCCTTAACTAAAAAGTGTTTGTAAAAATTTTTTTGTAGAGGGTTTATGCTTTTAAAATTTTAAGTCCTTTGAACTTTTTTTTATGGACATTGTCTTGCTTTGAAATTTGGGACAGTTAAAATTAAATAATTAAAAGGGAAATTTTTTTTTTTTTATTTTTTAAAAATGTTTTTTTTTAATCCCCAACCCAATTTTTTTATTTTTTAAATCAGGGTTTTCCCAGGCATGGGTATCTGGAAATTTTTTTGTTTTTCTTATCCCAGTTTACCCCCAAATCAGTTCCATTAAAAAAACCCTGAGCTTTTTGATACTTAAAATTTGACATTTGAAAGGGGCCCCTTTAAAGGTTTAAGAACAGAAATGAAAAAAGGGCCCTTTTTGAGGCTATCTTCTGAAATTAATTGACCGGGGAGGGCCACCCCATTTGGGGGAAAAAAATTAGAAAAAATCTTTTGGGGGGGGTCGGGCTTTGGGCCCCAAAACTTTTTTAAATTTTTAAATTTCTTTTATTTGGGTCTCAGAATGGTCTTAAACCTAAATTTATTCTTATTACGGGGCCAAAAATTGGCAACAAAAAAAGGGTATTATAAGTATTTTCCATTATAAAAAGAAAGCATTCAGAGCATTTCTTTTAAGAATACGATTCAATATAATATAATTTTTGAGAAAATGTATTCATATTTTTGAGTAATGACACAATGTTTTCCTTAAAAATAGATGCATGCCAGGAAAGCCCATAATGACGACCGAGTAAAGAAAATGTGTTTCGGAGTAATAAGATAATGAACCCTGTATGAAACCCAATGGACATGCAAAGGTATGGAAAAAATGACTGAAAAAATTTTTTTATGAATCAAATTTTCAAATTCAAAGTCGTCAATTAAATATATTAATTAAGCTTTTAAATGATCAAAATTCTAGTCAATGTACAAATGTAAACTAGGCATTTTGATAATCAAAGTTTCTGTTAAAATACTAAATATGAACTTTTGCATTTTGATGATCAAAGTTTCTGTTTGAAAACAAAATATACTGGGCTTTTTGATAATCAAAGTTTTGTTTGAACACTAGATATAAGCTGGGCTTTTTGATGATGAAAATTTTGTTTGAACACTAGATATAAGCTGGGCTTTTTGATGATGAAAATTTTGTTTGAACACTTAATATAAACTGGGCTTTTTGATAATCAAAGTTTCTGTTAGAATACTAAATGATGAAAATCAAACTCTTTTCAAATAATTCAATTTATATTTGCAGACTTTATAATGCACTCTACCACTGTGTGAAATCAGGCCTGCCAGAAAACACTTGCACAGATGACAAGATTAAGGAACATCTCTTCCTAGCTCTCTATCATAGACATTATGATAACTTATTTACCAAATGTGAAGGTAGGTGTAGTTGTGATTCCCTAAACCCAGCTGAAAATCCAGTTTTGGCCAATTTCAGTCGTCACATGTTATTCAGTCGTCACATGTATGTGTCTGACATATTTCAGTGAAGATGTGTTTGTATATACATGTAATTACCAGATCCCTTTGAGGAGAGCGATGTGGCTGAGTGGATAATGCATCAGACTGGTAATCTAAGGATTGCTGGCCCCGTGTTCGAACCCCTTCAGGGGCAAGCCGTTGTTTCTGTGCATGCCTCCAGATGAGCCAAAATATTTCAAGAAAAAAAAAATTGACAAAAATGTTCTAAGATTTTAAGAAAAGTAAAAAGATTCAAGATTAAGGCAATAATTCATATGTTTCTATTTACGATTTATGTCTCATTTTGCAGTAATAAAATGAGTATTAATCATCATATTTCTTCTGTGTTACTAAACCAGTAAGGGCCATTTTTGCATTTTTTAACCTTTATTTGGTAATTAACAAGAAAGGGCTGTAAAGGGTTTGCAATGTGAAAATCACTTTCTTTGTTCACTTCACAATTTTTTACTTTCGGAAACATTTCCAAAGTTATTTCTGAAAATTATGAAATCTGGAGGTATGCTGCTTTTAAGTGCATCCAAAAAAGAATAAATCAAGAAAATTTGATTTGGGAATAAAACATGGATTATTTTGGGACTGGGAAAGTATTAGTTTATGGGACATGGGATAGTTAATTTTGGAAAAGAACAAAAGGGGTGAATATGGGGAATAGGGTGGGGGTTGGGGAACTTATGTTTTAAATTATATAAAATTTTCATGGGGATTTCGTGGAGGATAAAAAATCCCTTTGTTTTTTCCCCTGACATTGAAAAGTTTTAAACCCAAAATTTTTCCCGTCCTGTGGCAAGTTTAAAAAATATACTCAAGGGACACTTGCAGGTACATACATATTAACATATTGATTTAAAAGTTCCTCTGTGCTTATTTTTCGTTCATAATTAGTTTTTAAAGATAACAGACCCTATTGAATTGGTAAGTAGTCTTTAATTTTACAATTGGCCTGTTAATGATTTATCTATTTTGCTTTTTTTTATCAAATATTAAATTTTCTTTATTTAAAAAAAAACAGTTGTGGAACACAGATAATTATGTAATATTTGCAATTTTCTATCACTTAGTACAGAAACAATTTTCAAGAAAAATTATCATTTTTTCTTTATTTTGTTTTTAAGTGCTTCTAACAGGGAGGAAGCAATGGACTGCATGGCAAATGTAATAAGACTATATGATAATACTTGTGAGGAGACAGAGGTGGAGAAACAAGCCAAAATAGCTCTCTTGTACCAGGATATTAACTACGAAAAATAAAAAAAATTTTGAGACTGCTTCCTGGTTTTTTTTCAAAACCCCACTGATTTTAAATTTTTGGGAAAAGTAGGTTTTTTCCAGTTTTTTTGCTCCCCGGAAAAATTTGGGGGGGGCAATAGTCGCCCCGCCCCTTTTCCCTCCCCTCCGTTTTTTCCGTCCGTCCGTTTTTTTTGTTTGGACAAACTTTGAAAAAAACAAGAAAGGGATCAAAAAATGAAATTTTTTAAGGGGAGATTTGATTTTCATTTTAGAAAAGGTTTTTGCAGTGCACAAGAAAACCCTTTAACCCCTTCTTTTCTTTAAATTTTTTTTAAATTTTTCCTTTTTTGGGTTTTTTTTTTACACTTTTTAACTTTTGGGGCCCGGGAATTAAAATTCTAAAAGTTTTAAGAGGGGTTTTAAAATGAAACCCTTTTAGGGGAGATGATCTCATTAAGTAGGTTTGCAGGGGGAAAACAAGACTGAAAAACTTTTTCTTGCCTACTTTTTATATGGGCCCCAAAGAATTTCGTTGCATATTATGGGTTATACCCCCTGGCGTCCGTCTGACTTCATAGGATGAATGTTCATATTGGGTAGGAGACCCCTATTGATTTTGGGGTCACAAGGTCAAAGGTCAAGGTCACTATTACTTTAAAACTGAAAACAGTTTTCGGAGCATAACTTAAGGTCTATTTGGCCCCACAATATTCAAACTTCATGGGATGATTGTCCATATTGGGTAGAATTATCCCTATTTAATTTTGGGGTCACAAGGTCAAAGGTCAAGGGCACTATAACTTTAAAAACTGAAAACAGTTTCCGGAGCATAACTTAATTTCTATTTGGCCCACAATATTCAAACTTTATAGGAGGATTGCTATTGTAAAGAGGTAATAACTTTTATTTAATTTATGTAATGTCTTACAAATGCTTCATCCTTAATATAAAAAAAAAAACCACTTTCGGGCATATAATGCTCCGCCTAGCGGTGCTCTTGTTGAGTTATTGTCCTTTGTTTATTTTCACAAAATGAACTTTGTCCGTGACATTACTCTTAAAATTATAAGAGATATTTTCAACATGAAACTTGTAGATAGATAGCTCTCAAGTGCAGTGCCTAAAGAATCATTACTCTGCCTGTGCCTTATTTTGAAGTTATTGCCCCTTTGTTTATTTTTACTTTTTGACTTTTGTCCAGGACATAACTCTAAAACTATTTAAGATATATCAACATGAAACTTGTGAAGGTAGCTAAGATATCATTTGGATAGAACTGCAATGCTTAAAGAACCTAAACAAAGCCTTGTCTAATTTTGGAGTTATTTCCCTTAGTTCATTTTTACACTTTGAATTTTACCCGGGACATAACTCTGAAACTATTAAGAGATATCATCAGGAAACTTTATAGATAAATAGATCTCATTGAATAGAAAAGTGCAGTGCAAGAAAACATAACTCCACCTTGCCTAATTTTGGAGTTTTTGCCCTTTGTTCATTTTTTTATACTTTCCTGTGTCCAAAACCTTCTCGGGGAGCATCACCCGGTTCAACCGGTTCTTTTAGTTTGTCTATATTCAAAGAGAATGTCAAGCTTTTATGATCGTGTTCATGCAAAAACTTGTGTACTAGGATCCTTCATATTAACAGGACAATCAGTTTACCAGACAAAATCTATGAATGTGGAATAAGGCTTTATTTTTTTTTCCATTCAAAAATCATTTTCCCGGGCTGAATTTTCCAAAACACACTTTCAACCCCGAAAAAATATTTTTTGTGAAACTTTAAACCCGATCATTTTTTTTAAAAAATGTTTAAAAACTGTTTCCAAAAAAAAACTTTAAATTTTTATAATTTTTGGAATTTTTTTTATAGAAATACAACTTAAAAGTTTCAATTTTTTCAAAATTTTCCCTTGTAAATGTTTTTCTGCTATTTATTTGAAAAGGCTGGATTATTTTAAATCTTATGTTTAAAAAATTTATAGTTTTAAAAAAAAAACATTTTAAAATATTTTTTCCCCTTCCCAAAGAATTTTTTGGTGGTCCCCCCCCTTTTTAGCAAACCAGTTTGTGTATTGCCCTTTCCCCTTTTTTGTGAAAAAACATATAAGCCGCTCCAGACAAAAAACCAAAAATAATGCATTTGCGGGCCCAGGATGGGTCCAACCACCGGGCATCCGGAGTCTGATTCAGGATCCATTTCTGGGTTTGCTATCAGTTTCTCTACTTGTAATAGAGTTGGTAAGCGATCAGCATGGATCCTGATCAGACTGTGTGGATGCGCAGGCTGGTCTGCATCCATGCTGGTCGCAAACACACTATGTTGGTTTTGTCGTAAAGCGGCTCATATCGTATCGCCTCTACCCTGACAATACACAGGCCTACTTGCTTATCGTGACAAAGTGCAGTTATTTGACAAGGGTCATAATTCTGAAAACTACATTTTTTGGTGTTGTGTCCCTTTTTATGCCCCCACGAAGTGGGAGCATATAGCGTTGCACTTGTCCGTCCGTCCCGAAATCTTGTGAACGCAACTCCTCTTAAAGCGGATGGCAGATTTTGCTTAAACTTACAGGGATGAACAACCTTAATGTGTAGATGGTAGTAAAGGAAGGAATTTTCGCTGCGACCAAATTTAACAGAATTATGGCCCTTTGTTGATTTTTTCACTATATACTATGTAGATTTTTTGTGAACGAAACTCCTCTTAAATCGGATGGCAGATTTTGCTTAAACTTCCGGGGATTAACAACCTTAATATGTAGATGGTAGTAAAGGAAGGAATTTTTGCTGCAACCAAATTTAACAGAATTATGGCCCTTTGTTGATATTTAGTTTTCAACTTGTGGCACATGTAGTCCAAAAAATATTTGACCTAGAGTCATAAGATTGACAGAACAGTGGCGTGTGAGGGCATCCGTGTCCTATGGACACATTTCTAGTTAACTTAAAATCTTAGTCGTGCTCTTGTGTTTTTAGGACAAGTCCATATTGATTATCGGAGATATCATGAAAGCATTGTATAAATAATAGTAATTAACAATTCTGAAAAAATCGTATTGAAATAACATGTGTATAATTTAATTAGTATTTAAAAGTTAAAGAAAACAAAAACAAAACCAACAAAATAATCCTGCAAAAAAGAACAACATATGATTTTCTAAAATATTGATGGAATAAAAAGTTTTAAATTAGCAAGTAGATGTTTATTTTAATCGAAAGGAGAGAATGGATAAAATTTTGAAGCTGAAAAGTTTTAAATAAACCTGTAGTTAAAAAATTTCAAAGTTAACAATTTGATTTAAATTGTGTATTTAGATAGCAACAAGAACGGCTTTTGCCCACTGCAGCTGGCTACATCAGATTGCAGAGTGTGTGAAGATACTAGAGGGTCAGATGAATGTGGCTCGGATCTACAGTGTGAAGATGATGCCAAGTGCTGCTTCGATGGATGCAGTAGAAAATGTACAGGGCCAGCAAAGAATCCAAGTATGATATTCATATGAGACTTTTCTGATATTCATTTTATACTTATTTATTTTAGACTTATCTGATATTTATTTTATACTTTTTAGACTTTTGCTATATATTTATTTAAGACTTTTCTGATATTCATTTTAGACTTTTCCTATATTCATTTAAGCCTTTTCAAATATTCATTTTAGACTTTTCTGATATTCAGTTTTAGACTTTTCCTATATTCATTTAAGCCTTTTCCAATATTCATTTTAGACTTTTCCTATATTCATTTTAGACTTTTCCCACTAGAGATTTGTGTTTAATTTTATTAACTGAGTTCATTTTAGTGCCATTGTGATGAAAGCTTGAAGCTCATGTGAAACACCCTTGAGAAAATATTTCCAATCACTGATCATAGCACTTAAAAGTACTGATAGAATGATGATATTGGAATTATGAAATATTATTTAACAATATTTTTCTTAGTTCACACTAAAGTAATAATGTTTTTAATGGGAAATCAGTATGAATGGAATGAACAAAAAAAAACTTCTTGATTCTACAATGTGTCCTAACACCTGCCGCAGTAATTCTACAAAGGTCATGCTATGCTACTGTACTGATCAGGGGAGTTAACTGCTGCAGACAGTTTATATTCTCATTAGCTGAAGGATTTGTATGCCCTTGAAACAATTTTAGAGAGTGTTGTAGTATTTTCATAGAAAACTCCCACAAACTTGTTCTCTAGTATGTGTTTTACTAGGAAATTATATCTTAGTCTTTGTTTATGAATGAAAAACTACAATCAGTGATAGAGTTTTCAATAAAAATGAAGAAATTTCATAGTAATTTTAGTATTTTTCTTATTTCACTCTTTTCTGAAAAGTTATTATGAATAAGAAATTAAGGTCATAGTTTAGTTCTTGATTAGTTAGAGCTATAAATTGATAAAAAAAAAATGCAGAAAATACAGCAATTCATACAATAATGTTTTTTTTTTACAGTCATGTTAAGAACCGCTGTTTTGTTGGTCGATGAGCCCTGGAATGATAAATACTATTCAGCTGAGAATGAAGACACAATCGGTCTGAATAACAAGTATAAAAATATTGTAAGTTTAACCAGGAATTTTGTATGTTTGTTATCTTACTTGCCATACATTAGTTTCATATTCATTTATCATCAGTAAACTTTTTTAGTTTACATAAATAAATTCATTAATGTGATACAATTTTTGTATAAAAAAATAATAGTGTCACTGCAGCCAACAGGTGATAGCCTCCAATCATTCAAGGTGGAAGGTATTGGGAATAACCTTATAATCTGACAAATTGCTAGTCTATAGGCAACAAGGCTGATATAAGACAAGGCGCTAGCCAATGGGCACATGTCAGGCTTATTGTCTGCAAAAATATTGTTTAATAGATTAATATCTTGTAACAGTAAAAATGTTTAAGATGGATTTGAGGAGGTTGTTCTTTGAAACAGATGGTCACACAAATTCTGTCTATATATCCCATCTCTCTCACACTATGCTACATAAAATGTACATAACTATTTATCATTTTTTTCAACTTGGGAAGATCACAAAATCAGTTGGTGCTTAATTCAGATTTTTGGACTCAAAAGAATCTCTGCCATCAGCATAATGCTTTTGGCACATACATATCAAAGATATTGATACATTGTGAGAATTCTTAACAGTTGAATAGATCTTTAATATCTGCAATGGGTGTAAACACAGTGTTTAGTCAGTACTATATAGCAAGCGGTGCTGTGTATGTCCTCAGGACACAATATATTTTTGCTATAATTTCAAATAAGTACAGTGCTTTAACACACAACACTTTTGTTATAACACTTTCAATCACATCAAAATTTTGTGGCAGACGTCATGTATATTTCTTGCAATGTCCAACATTTTCACATTTTTGTGCACATTTTATTCTTACCTGTTAAATAATTTATTTTCAAAGTGCACCATGGAGGATGACTACGGTCATCTTAGTAACTCCAATCTAATGATTATGTTTGAAATTGACAATGTGAAAGTAAAAATTGGGTCATTAACCTCATCTATTGCCAACATATTACAAATTTCTGAAACAACTGCATAAATATAACCCAAAAATGTTAGGTTGTCAAGGAGTTTTAGGGATGTTCATCTCGGCCCTCATGTAATAAAAACATGTGACAATATTTTCAGCTGGAGAATCTGATGACTCATCTTGGTGATAAAGTGAAAACTACCTCTCCAAAATTTGATCTGAGGTTAGTTTAAATTTGTATCTTTTTTGTTGTTTTGCTAGTGAGGTTTCCAGCATTCAATGGTTTAGGTTTGCAGTCAGAAAATTCTTTTGGTCACATTTCTGTTGGTGTTGAATTAAAAAAAATAGAAAATGTTTTTTTAGGGAAAGCCATCGTACTAAAAAACTGAAAGTACTTCTACGCAGATATCTTTCACGTAAATCTTTCTACATTATATGTATATCGCAATTTGTAATCTTATGTTTTTTTCTGCATTATCGTATTTCACAATTTGTGATCTTGTGTATTTCTAGTATGTCATTAACAGGCTTGTCTACTTTTTACACAGGTGCTTGAAAACCTGTCTAATACACTGATGATTGCATCCTTAGGGTGACATCATTTGGAGGTTATGTAAATTAATGCAGATATAACTTATGAGAATAGTTGGACCATGATTGCATTTAAGTTCTCAATTTATAAATAAATACTTGTCACTATTGTGTTTAGATTGATAAAACTCACTTGTATGTGTTTGGTACATAAATAAATTTATTACATGCTTTTCGGTGGTTTATAGAAATATATCAGTGATATAAAACTGGTAATTTCACTGTTTGAAACAGTGAAATTACCACTTTGTAATTTCACTGTTTTGAATTTAAGCCCCCTTGCGTTGTTTCAGTGAAATACCAGCATGCACAGTACTGGGTACCAACTTAATGATGTTACGTCGTAAATGATGCCACGACGTCGTAAATGACGTCACGTTGTAATATTATTTGGAGTGCTTTTCATTCAGTATTAAGTTTAATGTCTTTTTAAAACGTTTCTTTGCATATAATAAAAAGAAAATTTGTTTAGTTTAGTGTAAGATCGAAATATATTTCACCTTGTGAACACCAAAAGTTCATATTTCACTTGTGGCTGCGCCACTCGTGAAATATACCTTTTGGTGCTCACTCGGTGAAATATATTCTGATCTTACATTGAACTAAAAAAATATCCTCTATGTAATAAAAAATTTGTAAAAATTGGTCACAAGTAATAATATCATTCTGTCATATTGTATAGCATGTCTTCCGAAACTGACAACATCGAGTTGAGATTTGATTTTGCGTCCTTTGTTCCGGATGACGAAATGAACACTATGATTGGCAGATACTTTGAAGAGAATGTCATGAACATAAAACCCTTATATACTGAATACATCAAAGATGGAGGTAAGACATTTTTTTAAGGCATAACCAAAAAAACCAGTTTCCTTACATATCCTTTTATTTGCTAGCCTAAGTTGCCTTTCTGCTTTTTCAAAATCTTCTCTTACATAACTATACAATACAGGTGACAGATAGGCCGTGTGCAGTGTTGAAATGAACAAAATCAAAAATCTTTAAGAAATAAAAATAAAAAACTTTTTTGGTATAAAAATAATAAGAATATAACTTAATATTTTGCCTCTTGGATCAAAGAAAAAGGAGAAACAAGTAACTTTCAAAGCAAATTATAGCAAAGTTTGCAGGACATAAACTATTAAAAAAATAGTTTGAAGGACATAAACTATTAAAAAAATAGTTTGAAGGACATTAACTATTAAAAAAATAGTTTGAAGGACATAAACTATTAAAAAAATAGTTTGAAGGACATAAACTATTAAAAAAATAGTTTGAAGGACATAAACTATTAAAAAAATAGTTTGAAGGACATAAACTATTAAAGAAATGGAGAATTTTTGTATCACACATTTTGTCCATGTATATTTTATTGTATATTGCTGTAGCAATGTTTTAATTGAAGGATTCTCTTTTTATTTGACAAGTTTTTTTATTCCGCGTGAACATCATTCCGTTTAGAGTATAGTTAAATGGACATTGAATCATTTGTTTTTTTATACATGTTACAAATGTCAATTATTCCTGAAGTAAACAAAACATTGCAAGCTAAAGAATAGCGTTTGTTTTCATTTAACTGATTATATAAGGCAAACTACAGTCATTTACAGTCATTATTTGTAAAGTTTACAAGACGTTTCAGATAAAGAGATTCGGAAATTGTCATTCAATACCATGTATGTTTCGGAGTAAATATGAGCTGCGCTGTAACAATTCCAACATAGTGCGTTTGCGACCAGCATGGATCCAGACCAGGCTGGGCATCCGCGCATTCTGATCAGGATCCATGCTGTTCGCTATCAGTTTCTCTACTTGTTAAAGGGTTTGTAAGCAAACAGCATGGATCCTGATCAGACTGCGCAGATGCGCAGGCTGGTCAGGATCCATGCTGGTCGCAAACGCACTATGTTTGTTTTGTTGTGACGCGGCTCATATCTTCTTGTTTCCTATATGAAGTGATTTTAATGTTTCCATCATTTTAGAAATAAGTATTGAGCTGGAGAAAGAGGGGACTTGTCCGAGGTTTTCGTTCGAGCTCAGCACCGGATACCACCAGCAGTGTTGCGATGATTTCTCGTGCAATGATGACAAGAAGTGCTGCAAGTTTTCAAGTTTTCAGCAAAACTGTGTCACACCTTTTGCAGGTGAGAAGGGTTGATTCTGTTTCGCAGTCTCACTTATTTGTCATGTTAATTACCGAAACATCCTTGCATTTCTCAATTTTTAAATTTTTAGATGAATTAATGAAATTGTGCGATAGTGGATATCAAAAATGCAAATTTAAAGTTGGGTCAGTTTCCAGTTTAAAGCCTAGTTGGTAAATAAACAGACTGATCTCTTTCTTTTATAGTGGCAAAGGTTTTATTGTCTTAATTTCAACTTTCTGGCAATTAATTTTTTTAGCCTTTTTTTGGTACATTGTATTAAATGAAATTCACTTTTTGTTTGGCAACATTTTTTTCCCTAGGAAACCTGGCAAATTGTGATGATCCAGAAGTACTTAAAGATGCATTGGAATCATGTCAGTTAAATTTGGCGGAATTGACCGTGTATGAGTGTTCGTAAGTAATTTTTCTCTTCTCTAATACTTCTTACTGTGTCACCATTTTAACCCTTAGCCTGCTAAATATCTTAAATGAACTTGTCCGTCTTGCAATCTGGACTAGACCATTCATTGTTTTTAGGGAAAACGGCAAAATATTTACTGACTGAATGGCAAACAGTGTAGAATTTGATCAAATGGCTCAAATGTGGCTGCTATTTTGGTCTGCACTGGCCACATGCATTTAATTAAGTTGCTGCCATCAGGCTTAAATTAAATGCATACTTTCACTTGAAGTAAATAAAAAAAATAATGATAGGCGAAACAATGTTTAAAATTTCATGGTATTATTGTATAATAGGTTAGTTGAAGCTAGAAATTGTTTTTTGTGTGTTTGTTATGTTTTAGCATATTTGTCACAAAGTGACAAGGTTATTTTAAATGATAGCAATTTGTCCAGCGTCTGTCTGAAAACTTTTACTTTAAATGACATCTCCTTATAAACCACTATGCAAATGTCACCCAAACTTCACAGGAATGTTTCATAAATGGTCACGTTTAAAAACTGTTCAAAGAATTGAATTCCATGCAGAAATCTGTATGGTTGCCATGGCAACAGGAAGAAAAAATCTTCTTTTAAGGAAAAACAAAGAGCTAGAGCTTAGATATTTAGCAAGAAACATCTTCTAGTAAGTGTCTACTAAGTTTGTTCAAATAAAAGCCCTGGGGTCAAAATTGCCCCCCCCCAGTGGGTCATTGATTTTCCTTATGTGTATATAGTAAAAATTAAAAAATCTTCGAAAAAACTCAAAGAGCTACAGCTGGGATATTCAGCATGACACATCTTATATTGAGTGTCTATCAAGTTTATAAAAGTAAAAACTCTGGGGTTGAAATTAGCTCCTTTTAAGTAGTAATAATGTAGTAAAATTTTTTAAAAAACTTCTTTTAAAAAAACCCAAGAAGCATAATTATCAAGCAAAGAACATCTTCTAGTGAATGTCTATTAAGTTTGTTTAAATTTAAGTCTTGGGTTAAAATTGGCCCTGCCCCAGGGAGTCATTGATTTTCCCTATATAGTAAAAACACATACATACTGGGATCCTACATATTAACGGACAAAATATGAAGTTTTTAGTCCCCTACCGGTTTACCGGAGGGGACTTTAGGTTTACCCTCCGTCCGTCTGTCCGTCAGTCAGTCCGTCCGTCCGTCCGTCCACAAAACTGGATCCCGCAATAACACAAAAAGTACTGAAAATATTTTAATGAAACTTGATATATGGATAGATGGCAGTATGGAGATTATGCACGTCTTTTTCTTTTCTTCCTATGTTGAAAATTCTGGTTGCTATGGCAACAAATAGACTGAAAATATGGCAAATTTTACACATAACCTGGATCCCGCAATAACGCAAAAAGTACTGAAAATATTTTTATGAAACTTGATATATAGATTGATGGCAGTATGGAGATTATGCACGTCTTTTTCTTTTCTTCCTATGTTGAAAATTCTGGTTGCTATGGCAACAAATAGACTGAAAATATGGCAAATTTTACACATAACCTGGATCCAGTGATAACACAAAAAGTACTGAAAATATGTTTATGAAACTTGACATATGGGTATATGGCAGTATGGAAATTATGCACATCCTTTTTTATCTTCCTATGTTGAAAATTCTGGTTGCTATGGCAACAAATAGACTGAATTTCAAGATTTCTGATTCTAGTTTTTAAGTTTTTTCACTATAAGTTCTTTATTTCCTAAGGTATTTTCTTCAAACTTTAAATATAAGTTGCTTGTAATCAACCACATCATATGTGACAAGGTTTACAACTCTAGCACAAAATTTATCACAATTACCTCCCTTGAACTTAAAATTTTCATGAAAAAACATTGTTTTTTTTTTTAATAACTTCTTTTTCTGAATGTATCTACTTCAAACTTCATATAAATGTTTCTTATTATCACTCAACATTTGTGAGTGTTCAATACTCTAGCAAGACTATTTCCAGAATTATGCCCCTTTTGAACTTAGATTTTTTTTTTTGAGAAATTGTAATTTTTACTCCAACTTCTTCAGTCATAATAATGATAATGAAGTAAGTGAGGAATGGTGGGATAAGAAAAAAAGTAACAGTTGTTTCACTCCTAATATTGGAAGAGATAAATGTTTGGATGCTTATATAGATGCAGTAAAAGAAGAAATCTTAAAAGGTATGAAGAAAAAAGTAGTGCATAATATCTCTAGATTAGAAGAAATTGCGATGAAAGACCTCCTTGAAGATGAAACTATTGTTATTAGACCAGCAGATAAAGGATCAGGGATAGTGATACTAGACTCTGATAAATACAATGAAGATATTGAAAATGAATTAAAGGATGCAAGTACATATAAACATGTAAGTGAAGACCCAACAGCAATGATTTTAAAGACAACAAAGAAACTCATAAATAGAATGGATAAAGATAGAACTCTCCCTAAAAGACTTTCACAGTATTTAATTCCCGACAGCCCAAGACCAGGACAAATAAAAGGAAATCCCAAAATACATAAACCAGACAACCCCCTCCGACTAATCATAAGTGGTATTGGAACAGTGACAGAACGAGTGGCAGAACTAGCTGAGAAAGAATTAGATGAATTTGTAATTAATACGCCTAGTTATATAAAAGACACCTCCCACTTCCTTAATGAAATTAAAGACATAAAAAATCTACCAAAAAATGCAATACTATTTTGCTTTGATGTGGAGAAACTATATCCATCAATACCAAAGAATGATGGGCTAGAAGCATGCAAAGAAGCTTTAGCATACCGCAAGTCAAAACAAATTCCTGATGAAGAGATTCTGAATATGATACAGCTAGTTCTTGAAAACAACAACTTTGAGCATAATGGAAAACATTACATACAGGTTGATGGAACGGCTATCGGATCAAAGCTTGGGAAAAATTATGCTTGTACATACATGCGAATTTGGGATAGAAAGTTGTCAGAATTTAGGTTACAACCACTTATATACAAAAGATTCATAGATGATGGCTTTGGTATCTGGACACATGGAATAGAGACTTTACAGCAATTTACAGAATATGCAAATAACATCCATTCAAAAATAAACATAAAGCTACGACACAACCATAAACAAATCGAGTTTTTGGATACGTTGGTAATTTTAGAAAATGGAAACATTGAAACTGACCTTTATAGCAAAGAAACAGACAATCACATTTATCTACACAAAGATTCAGACCACCCCAGAAAATACAAAGCAAGCTATACCTCATGGCCTTGGAATCCGCTTGAAAAGAATATGCAGTGACGATAACAAATATTATAAACAAAGATCACTCCTCGGAGAACAGCTTAAAAGTAGAGGTTACAAGACAGAGTGGATAAACAGACATCTCAAAAGGGCGGACCAAACATCCAGAAAAGAAGCATTAGAAAAGAGAAATAAACCAATGGACCAAGGGAGAATCCCATTAGTGCTTACATATTCAAGCTACCTGCCAGATACACACAAAATTGTGAAGAAAAATATGAATATTCTGCAAAAATCTAAAAGGATGACAGATGTATTTAGGTCACCACCAATTGTAGCATACAAAAGATCAAAAAACTTTAGAGACATTTTAATTCATGGAAAACTAAAAAAACAGAAAGGCATAATACAGAGCAGCCGTTGTAGTGGTCCATGTGATACACCTGGATGTAAGACCTGCATGTTCCTACCACAGAGCGAAATATTTCAAGGCAAGGACACTACTATAGTATATATAGAGGTGGGAACTGTAACACCAAGAATGTAGTTTACCTGATAAGTTGCGGGAAATGTAATCAACCTGTATATGTGGGTGAAACAGGGAGGAGCATTAAAGAGAGGGTTAAAGAGCATATTTGGGATATAAGGGCATTCAGAGACAAACCTGTGTCTATCCACTTTAATTCATCAGCCCATTCAGAAAATGACATAAAATTCAACATCATCGAATCAATAAATAACAATAAAAGTACAATATACAGGCGGATCCGTGAAGAATTTTGGATAAATAAATTACAAACATGGTCACCTATTGGACTAAATATCAAAACAAAATAAGAGTTATCATTATCATTGTTGCCGTCATAATCACTTTGCTGGTATTGTTGTTGATATTGTTACTATTTTTCATAAGATGATTTGATAGTGATATGCACTTAAGGATTTATCAATATTATTATTGTTTTGATAGTTAGTATATTATGACAGTTATTATTGCATTCATCGGTATTTTTGTAAAACTGCGTTGTTGCAATCTAAATTTTAAATTTTTTTTCAATTATATTTTTCTAACTACTAAAACATGGTAATTTTAGTTAGACACTGCTTATCACGTGTCGCTTGTCATTATTACTATTATTATTATTATTATTACTATTATAATTATTATTATACCTTTTATTATTATTATTGCTGTTATTATTATTATTTAGTTTACGGTTATTTGCTGTTATGATTATTATGATTATTATTATTACGGTTATTTCCTACTATGATTATTATTATTATCATGATTATTATTATTTTCATGATTATTATTGTTATAATTATCATTATTATCATAATTATTATTACCATTATTGTTATTTTTATTACCATTGTTCTTTTCCTTATTATTATTGTTACGGTTATTTCCTATTATGATTATTATTATCATCATGGTTATTATTATTTTCTTTATTATTATTGTTGTAATTATTATTATTATTATCATTATTATTATTACCATTGTTGTTATCATTATTATCATTATTATCATTATTATTATTATTATTATTATTATTAATATTATTATTACCATTGTTATTATGATTATTACTATTATTATTTTTATTATTATTAAATTATTTGCTATTGTAAATATTATTGGAATGTTTTAGTAGAAATTTTTTTTTTAATAATAATAATTATTATTATTATTTTTAATGTATTTTCAATGAAATAAGTTTCATAATTCTTGCTATGTTAATATTATAAATAATATTAAATAAGGGGAGCAACGTTATGCAGTGGAACAATTTTGACGGAAAACGTCATCATCATATTTTGCGTAATTTTTATTGTTGACGTCAACGACGTCATTTCCTGTATGCATAACATAGTTAAAGATAAGACATGTAAGAAGATAAATATGTGATTTATATAAAAATAAACAGTAACTCCTTGATAAAGAGGGGTTTAACCCCTCGAAACGTTGGAGATAGAAAAGTTTGTGTAGTTGATAATTATATATTCTTCAGTCATGATAGGATTTTAAAAATGTTATATTTTGATAACAGGGATGTTTAAAAAATAACTTTAGAGTGTCCTTCAGTCCGTCTGTCTGTACATAAAAACTGTTTCCTGTGATCACTTTTAAAGAACTTTTTCCACAAATTTACTTAAAATAGGAACATAAGTAAATGGCCAATGGCCCTTCAGAATGTTGCTTGGGCTCTTACCGGTAGGGGACTTATGGATTGCTTGCAATACTATGATAATTGCTTGTTTTATCTGTAACTTTTATTTAAAATAAAAAAAAAATGAAATTTTACCCAAATAAGTTTGGGTTCTTAATGCACGTAAACATTCCTTTATCAAACATGATATTAACATTTGACCGTACAAAATAATGTGTCTTTAATGTAGGTCATTATAAGAGGAACAAAATTGTGTTAACAAATCTATTTACCGGACATTGTGTTTCAAAAGTTTTTGAAGACGTGAATTGAAATTAATCTTTTAATAATCAGCAAGAAAACTAAGGCTATTGAATGGCAAAGTTAAGATATTTGAAAAACCCAGTATGTCACGAGAGATAGATTCGGCAGTGATGCCTGTTATGAAGAGGCCAATATATAGGGTGTTATTGAAATTAACACTGTTACTTCGATTAATGTATTGATTCTTCATGATCCTTAAACGTATGACACATTTTGATATTGAAATGGAATTCTGTTCTTTGTCATACAGTTTTCTTTTGGTCATCATGTAGCATGTTACAAAAGCCATAAAATCTATTTTATTTACATTTCCCTCCCATGGGGGTAACCGTTTCCTTCTATGTTTTTTTAATTTGCACTTCTTTGTAAAAGACAACAGCGAGATACTGTTTAGAATAAATTTAAAATTACTTATTATCATTAAAATATGTTATGATTGTCTCTTGAGGTAACGTTGAAAAGAATTAAAAGTAAAACCTATCTAAAAAAAACCATTAAGGTCTCCATATTCGGGCCTGTGCAGAACAGATTAGTCCTGGGAGGCTGCATGACCAGGTCATGAAATAACTAGTAAACAAAAGGGCATGTTAGTAGATAAAGAACAGAATCAACAATATTTACCTGAGAGTGGTTTTGTTGTTATTTACTTTGAAATAGAAAGTGTGTGTACTATTCAGATTGTATGATTTTTTAATCGAAGCAAAAAATAAAGCACTATTCAGCAGGAATAGCTTTTGTCCGGTAAACTGATTGTCCGGTTAATATGTAGGATCTCAGTAGAGATTAAGTACAAATCCAGGAAAATTTTATTTGTCTGACACATTATATGAGCCGTGTCACGTCAAAACCAACATAGTGCGTTTGCGACCAGCATGGATCCAGACTGGTCATGTCAGTTTCTCCACTTGCAATAGAGTTGATAAGCGAACAGCATGGATCCTGATCAGACTGTGCGGATGCGCAGGCTGGTCTGGATTCATGCTGGTCGCAAACCCATTATGTTAGTTTTGTCATGGCGCGGCTCATATGTGTCTGAATCTTGAAATCAATAACTTATGATATTGACAAATATAAAAGATATTTTCTAGCATTTTAATTCACTTTCAGGGAACTGTATGGAACTAAGATGAAATGTGTGCTTGCCTTCTTTAACAAGGATCGTACGGAATTCACACAGTGTATTATGGGAGATTTGAGACTTGCAATCAACAGTACCATACCGAAGGAATCCAATACAATAGCAGCTAGAGCAAAGATTTTCGATTGTAGATGTAAGTCTTTGCAATTTTCGAATAAAGATATATTGTTGAAGTAGTAAGGTGATGTTGAAAAATTCAATGCTATCCTTTGCTATATTTTTCCAGGATGAGTTATTAAAATAGATATATCATACTGTTAAAAAAGAATTTCATTTTAACCTTTTCCCTCATATAGACGTGTTTTGATGGCTTTTGGTTCCCCTTTTTTGAGGCCTCAAACAGTGAAAAAATGCCCTATTTAGGCCCCAAACACTGTTTTTTGTTTGAGAAATGTTGTTTAAACAAGTGACCACTTTTTCTGCGTGGCCCCCCATCAAAATGATACATTAGGGGGTTGCCAGAAGGGGGATGTGACAGGCTAAAAATGGCCTCAGGTTGATCTTAAGGTGACATGTAACCAATGCTGAAAAATAATTGTGTAATTTCTTGAGTCTTGATGGATTTAAAAATTACTCTGCATAAATGTTTTGGACATAATGATGAAGTGTCGCACATTGAATCATGTGCCTACCTCTACAGTAAAAGTTACATTTGTAGCTCAACAATCATGGTATGAACTTTTTCATAAATCAGCATTGATGGTTGTGCCCAGTGAGCAATTCTGCCATATTCCTGCATTGATTTTAAGATAATTAAGTCATCAATGTGTAAGACATTATGATGATGTGTCACGTTTAAAGGTCAAGGTCACACTAGTATGTCAAACATGATGATTGTGAATAGATTTGTCACACACAAACACCAGGTTGACAATCTAAAAGTTTAGGTTATATTTGAATGTCAAAATAGTACATCGATGGTTGTGTGTGGTCATATCTTTGTCATTCATTTATGGATGCTTTTTTCAAAATAACATGACTCACTGAGAATATAGGAAAGTACTTGTTAATGTTCCTATTTTCTTGTAACACTATTTTTATAGTAACCATGACCTTTGACACAAGACAAAGGTCATGGTTCCTCTACTGGACCCTGCTTCGGGGTTGGGGGTGGGTTGTGGAGGCATTTGTCTGTTTCAAACGACAGTTGTTGTTTAACCCATAACTTCATGAGCATTTTGTGAAAAATGGTTGTTTTCATTGAAAAGAGTCCGGTTACAAGTTCAAATTGCTATAAAACTATAAAAACTGCTATAATACTAATCAAACTTGGCACAAATGTTAACTGGACCATTGCCTTTGTAACAACATGCCCATGCTTAAATTTCTTGTTACTATGGCAATGAGGGGAAATCTCAAAATTGCCAAAAATCACTATTTCGCGTTGATTTTTGTGCCCCCACGTTAGTGGCGGGCATTTAGATTTACCCTTGTCCGTCCGTCCTTCCGTCCGTCCTTCCGTCCGTCCTTCCGTCCGTCCGTTCACTTTTGTGTCGCACGTAACTCAAAAAGTATTTGACCTAGAGTCATGAAACTTTACAGGAATGTTGATCAGCATGTGTAGTTGTGCACCTGGGTATTTTCGTGTGGATATTTTTAGTATTTTTAGAGTTATTGCCCTTGACTTAGTAAAATTTTGCAATTTTCAACTTGTGTCGCATGTAACTCAAAAAGTATTTGACCTAGAGTCATGAAACTTTACAGGAATGTTGATCAGCATGTGTAGTTGTGCACCTGGGTATTTTCGTGTGGATATTTTTAGTATTTTTAGAGTTATTGCCCTTGACTTAGTAAAATTTTGCAATTTTCAACTTGTGTCGCATGTAACTCAAAAAGTATTTGACCTAGAGTCATGAAACTTTACAAGAATGTTGATCAGCATGTGTAGTTGTGCACCTGGGTACCTTCGTGTGGATTCGTTTGAGTATTTTTAGAGTTATTGCCCTTAACTTAGTAAAATTTTGCAATTTTCAACTTGTGTCGCATGTAACTCAAAAAGTATTTGACCTAGAGTCATGAAACTTTACAGGAATGTTGATCAGCATGTGTAGTTGTGCACCTGGGTATTTTTGTGTGGATATATTTAGTATTTTTAGAGTTATTGCCCTTGACTTAGTAAAATTTTGCAATTTTCAACTTGTGTCGCATGTAACTCAAAAAGTATTTGACCTAGAGTCATGAAACTTTACAGAAATGTTGATCAGCATGTGTAGTTGTGCACCTGGGTATTTTCGTGTGGATATTTTTAGTATTTTTAGAGTTATTGCCCTTGACTTAGTAAAATTTTGCAATTTTCAACTTGTGTCGCATGTAACTCAAAAAGTATTTGACCTAGAGTCATGAAACTTTACAGGAATGTTGATCAGCATGTGTTGTTGTGCACCTGGGTATTTTCGTGTGGATATTTTTAGTATTTTCAGAGTTATTGCCCTTGACTTAGTAAAATTTTGCAATTTTCAACTTGTGTCGCATGTAACTCAAAAAGTATTTGACTTAGAGTCATGTAACTTTACAGGAATATTGATCAGCATGTGCAGTTGTGTACCAGGGATTTTCGTCTGGATGTATTTAGTATTTTTAGAGCCCTTCACTTAGAAAATTTTTGCAATTTTCAACTTGTGTCTCAAGTTACTGAAAAAGGATTTGACATAGTCATTAAACCTTATGGGCAGGTTGCTCAGCATATTTAGATTTGCACCTGGGGTTTCGCTTGTGGATTTATCCAGTATTTGTAGAGTTATTTCCCTTGACTTAGTAAAAAGATTGACAGAACAGTGGCGCGGTGGGGGCACCCGTGTCCTATGGACACATTTCTAGTTTTCCATCAAAATTGATTTCAAAGTGCTGCAACTTCTCAGCGGATTGAGATAGGGTCAAATGCTTTTCAGCATTGGTTACACATTACCTTACGGTCGATCTGGGGTCATTTTTAGCCTCTCACAAGTCCCCAAACAGAAGGCGGCACATCCCCCTTCTGGCAGCCCCCTGATGTATCTTTTGGTTGGGGGCCTCTTTGAAAAAGTGGTCACCTTTTTAAACAACATTTCTCAAACAAAAATAAGTGTTTGGGGCCAAAATAAGGCATTTTTTCACCATTTGAGACAACAATAAAAGGGGGGGGGGGTGTGAAAAAGGCGTGTATATTGGGTAATGGGTTAACAATAAGGAGATATACTTTTGGTCAGTCTTGCATATAAATTCTTATATTTTGTAAGTATTTGTTCATTCTGCTTTTTTTTTTTTGAAATTGAGTGTGTTTTCATTCCTCCTAATTTAAAGAAAGATAACCTGCACAAAAGATTAGTGGTTTGCGAAGGTGTTTCCACCTAACTTTATTGTTTGTTTTTTTACAGACTGAAAGCCTTTGCCCTCGAATGTTTTTCTCCCCTTGTATGACCAATTACTAATTCAATGTTCTTTCTATTGAGGTTTCTTGGGTGCTAGCAAAAATGATTTTGATCCGCAAAAGTGTCTTTGAATTCTTTCATGTTCTATCAAGCTAGTTAATGGTATTTTGATGGTTCTACATAGGTGCTTGAAATAATGCACAAAGGGGCACCTGAGGTTTTCCACCTCCAGTAAAGCTGGAAAGTAGCCATGTGGCCTATACTTATTGTATTCTACATTAAAACCCAATGAAAATAAGAAAAGAAAACTTAAATGATTCCATGAAGTAAATAATAAAAAATTGCATTGTAACCATGATATCTTTTCTATATTTTTTTTTTATTTTAGTGTTAGAGGTGGCAATTACTGTAGAACTTCCCGAATGTGACAAAACCATTCCTGCATTTACAGAATATCAAACTAGACTTGAAAATGCTCTTGCAAAATTGGTAAGTATCTTTTGTTTCTTTGAAATTATCCAAATTACATTTTAAAAATTTCAATGTTTTTAATTTTTGATTTGTAAGATTTAAGTGTTTATGATAGACAAACTTGTAGAAAAATGCCTGAAGTTTTCAATTTCATTTTTATTACTATAACATAACTTCATCACATAAACCACATAACATGAGTGTAATAAAACCATTTCATAAAACGTATATATTACACTTCCGTATTTAACACTATGATTTGAGGTCTTTTGCATTACATACAAACAGCAAACAGTATTACACATTGGCGTATCAACAAAAAATGAGCTGCGTCATGACAAAACCAACATAATGGGTTTGCAACCGGCATGAATCCAGACCAGCCTGCGCATCCCCGCAGTCTGATTAGGATCCATGCTGTTCGCTTACAAACCCTATTACAAGTAGAGCTGATAGCAAACAGAATGGATCCTGATCAGACTGCGCAGATGCACAGGCTGGTCTGGATCAATGCTGGTCGCAAACCCACTATGTTGGTTTTGTCATGACGCTGCTCAAATATTTTTTTATGCCCCCGGGCATATAGTAATTGAACCGTCCGTCCGTCTGTCTGTACGAGGTTAACCTAGAACTTCAAGTTGGATTTTTCTTAAGTTCTACCTGTACAAATGGCTTCTAAGTTTACACACTTACTGATCAATACAAAGTACATGATCTGGGCAAGTTTCATAACTCTGGCTTTGATATTTACCAAGTTATTGCCCTTTTCAGCACTTAGAAAATGAATAATGGTTAACCTAAAACGGCAAGTTGGAAATATCTTAAGTTCTATCTATACTAATGGCTTTATAATTTCCACACTTACTTATCAATACAAAGTACATGATATTGCCAAGTTATATAACTGTGTCATCCATATTTCATAGTTATTTCCCTTTTTTCACTTTGAAAATAGGGCCTTGTCTGGTTAACCTATTTCGGCAAGTTGGATTTATCTTAAATTTCTCCTAATTGCTTAATTTCTTTAATGATATCTTTCATATTAGTAGGTGGATACCTTTGATGATCCTCTAATTTTTTTTTGAGTAAGCGGTCTCTACGGTCAAGGTCACTGGTTTAAAAAATAAATATAAACCTTTTTGCTCATACAGCCTTTATTTTTTAGTTGATGTCTTAGTTTAATACAAACACCTCCTTCTTTGGGTGTAGTATGGGGTCATTTGGGTCAAGGTCAATGTTACCAATGTCAAGGTCACCAATGTTAAAAATAGATTTTTACATTTTTACAGGTGTATTGAACTTATTCTATAGACAGATGTTATTTATAATTGATAGAAACATAAACTTTGATGGAGTTAGTTAGTGGTCAGTTGGGTGAAGGTCACCAGTGCTAAAAAGAGATTTTTACACATTTGCTCATACAGCCTTTATTAAGTGACCGATTTATTTTATATTTGGTAGGAAGATAACTTGCATGGTATTCATCCTTTTGATTGGGGTAGGGATCAGTGGGTCAAGGTCACTTGTGCTATAAATAGATTTTTACATTTTTGCCCATACAGCTTTTATTAGTCCCCTACCGGTTTACCGGAGGGGACTTTAGGTTTACCCTCCGTCTGTCCGTCCGTCCGTCCGTCCGTCCGTCTGTCCGTCCGTCAGTCCGTCCGTCCACAAAACTGGATCCCGCGATAACGCAAAAAGTACTGAAAATATTTTAATGAAACTTGATATATGGATAGATGGCGGTATGGAGATTATGCACGTCTTTTTCTTTTCTTACTATGTTGAAAATTCTGGTTGCTATGGCAACAAATAGACTGAAAATATGGCAAATTTTACACATAACCTGGATCCCGCGATACCGCAAAAAGTACTGAAAATATTTTTATGAAACTTGATATATGGATAGATGGCGGTATGGAGATTATGCACGTCTTTTTCTTTTCTTCCTATGTTGAAAATTCTGGTTGCTATGGCAACAAATAGACTGAAAATATGGCAAATTTTACACATAACCTGGATCCCGCGATAACGCAAAAAGTACTGAAAATATTTTTATGACACTTGATATATGGATAGATGGCAGTATGGAGATCATGCACGTCTTTTTCTTTACTTCCTATGTTGAAAATTCTGGTTGCTATGGCAACAAATAGACTGAAAATATGGCAAATTTTACACATAACCTGGATCCAGTGATAACACAAAAAGGACTGAAAATATGTTTATGAAACTTGACATATGGGTAGATGGCAGTATGGAAATTATGCACATCCTTTTTTATCTTCCTATGTTGAAAACTCTGGTTGCTATGGCAACAAATAGACTGAATTTCAAGATTTCTGATTCTAGTTTTTTCGCTATAAGTTCTTTATTTCTTAAGGTATTTTCTTCAAACTTTAAATATAAGTTGCTTGTCATCAACCACATCATATGTGACAAGGTTTACAACTCTAGCACAAAATTTATCAGAATTACCTCCCTTGAACTTAAAATTTGTGAAAAACCATTGTTTTTTTTTAATAACTTCTTTTTCTGAATGTATCTACTTCAAACTTCATATAAATGTTTCTTATTGTCACTTAACATTTGTGAGTGTTCAATACTCTAGCAAGACTATTTCCAGAATTATGCCCCTTTTGAACTTAGACTTTTTTTTTGAGAAATTGGTAATTTTTACTCAAACTTCTTCAATCATGAAAGGATTTTAAAAATGTTATATTTTGATAACAGGGATGTTTAAAAAATAACTTTAGAGTGTCCTTCAGTCCGTCTGTCTGTACATAAAAACTGTTTCCTGTGATCACTTTTAAAGAACTTTTTTAACAAATTTACATAAAATAGGAACCTAGGTGAATGGCCAATGGCCCTTCAGAATGTTGCTTTGGCCCTTACCGGTAGGGGACTTATGGATTGCTTGCAATACTATGATAATTGCTTGTTTATTGACAGTTGTATTTCATATTTGGTAGGAAGATAACTTGCATGGTATTCTTCCTTTGGATGGAGTAAGGGGTCAGTTGGGTCAAGGTCACAAGTGCTAAAAATAGATTTTTACACTTTTGCCCATACAGCCTTTATTTATTGACAGATGTATTTCATATTTGGTAGGAAGATAACTTACATGGTATTCTTCTTTTGGATAGAGTAAGGGGTCAGTTTGGTCAAGGTCACCAGAGCTCAAAATAGATTTTTACACTTTTGCCCATACAGCCGATGTATTTCATATTTGTTAGGAGTCTAACTTGCATAAAGTTAAATATTTTTCAACTTCATAAGTCAGAGCAATGACTTGGCAACTTATATTTTTCACAATTACAAAATGCCATGACTTGGTCACGCTATAAAACTTACAATTTTTTGGCGATTTTTCTGTCCATAACTGAGTGAACGGGTAAACATTTTTTGAAGTATTGCTACTGACAAGAATCTGAGCCGGGGGCATTTGTGTTTAACAAACACGTTCTTGTTTAATTATAAAATGTTCTCATTTTAGATAAGTAATAAATAGAATATTTATATTTTTGAAGATTTGATACTAAATTTTTTGAACTTGTTGAATAAAACAATATTGTGCTTGCCAGAGGATCACACAATATGATTTTATTCAACTCATTTAATAAATTTAGTATTAAATCTACACTTATTCAATATCCCCAATGTGCAAAATGTGGTTGCATGGCCCAGTGGTAAACAAGTTGGACCAATAATCTCAGGATCTTTAGCTGTTGGTTCAAATCCCTTTGTTTCATTTAGAAGGAAATTTAACGTTCATTTCTCAGAACTAATTGGTTCCAGGAACAGGTTTTAGAGCAGCTTCATAAGCTTATAACTTCCTACATGGCCAAACTAAAAAAATATTAATATTATGTATAAAGAAAAATGGGCTGTACATATCATACATGCATATCTGATGGAGCATTAGCAATTATGTTTTTTTTCCAAAGTGTTAGATGCAGGTGGTAAGATTTTTCAATACTTGAATGTAAAATTTCCTAAGAATCAGAAATGTTATTGTCCTTGTAAAGAGGTCATCGCTCTATACAGGGCCACTCTACAGGGGTTTGACTGTATTTCTTTGATAATGCAAAAAAAACACAAAAAAAACCCTTAAAATTTTAATGAAATTGATTTTGTATTTTAAGGCTAACTTTGAGAAAAAACAGGAGTATTGCAGATATCAAAAGTTCCGCACTATTGGACGTTTCTATACCGACGAAGATGTTTACACCATAGAAAACAATATCTATAATGACTTAAATACTATTGTTAGAAGAAAGCGAGAGTCAGATGACAACAATTTTTTGAAAGCAAATATAAGAGTCACAAATGGTGAGATATAATGTTGTTAATGTAGTCTTACTGCAAGGCTTTCCCGCCAAAAATTGTCACTTTAAGGCTTTTGATTGGTTTGGTTCTGTTAGTTTTCTTTGTTGCAAGTTGGTATCTACAATATTGTGAATGAAAGCAGGATGAAACTTAACACACTTAATTGAGAGCTTTATTTAATGTCACTGTCAGAGGCACCTTCCATAATTGGAATATGGATTTTGACAGGATTATGGACCTTTTTGAACGTAGAAAATTAAAGATTAGTAAGGCTCTTGTTTTACTATTGAGCACTAAAAATAGACAATCAAGCTGTCCTATTGACTGACAGATTTTTTTTTTAAAGCTTGAAATTTCATCCAATTCAAATGTAAAATATCTTCTAGTGTATTATTTTAGTTATCTTTCAGAAAACTTTGAAATAAACTGTTGGCTTGCCATTCAGCATGATTGTTTCAACATTTCCAAAATCTTTATTTTCTAAGATATTTGATGAAATATAATAGTTTTTTTATTTATGAATCTTTTTTCACAAATATTCAGTGGATCAACAAGGAATCGACTGGTGTAATAATGAAGAGTTGTCAAAGAATTTCGGGCTAAAATGTTTAACGGATGCAGCGCGCTGGAGTGATCAAGAATACAGGAAATGCGGGTAAGGCCTGTTTCCCACAGAATACTTATCCTTCTTCTTAATTTTTTAAAAAAATTTCTTGCATTTTAGTAAAATAATGCACAATTTATCATTCAAATGCTTTGTAATTAATCATTAAGGTAATTGGCCTTCATGATTATATTTCTAGGCATTTGAACTGAAACAGTGCATTATTCTACAACAATGCACTTAAAATTGATATCTATTTCCTATATCTAATTGGACATAGAGGATATTGAATGAGTGTAAGTTTAATACTGAATTTATTGAACTTGTCGAATAAAATTACATTATGGGAGCCTCTGGCGAGCAAAATATTATTTTATTCAACGAGTTCAATAAATTCATTGAATTTGTATCAAACTTACACAAATTTAATATTCCATTTATCACATACCAAAATACAGTTGACTCTCGATATCTTAAATTTCAAGGGACTAGGCATCTTAGTTCTAGAGAATGGAATTCGAATACCATGGCATTGCTGCCATTACATTCACTTTCGTACATGTACATGTGCCTGATTGAATGTCCAAAGTAGTAGGTTTGTTATTGTTGATAACGGCAATGTGCTAATTTAAGCGTTGAAATTACGGTCAATCACTTACAAGTTCAAATTATAGATGAACAGAAAGATATTATTTAAAATTTAACATATGTGTATGAATAGTGGAACATAAACACAAACATTCATAGCAATTACATAAATGCAAATCCAAGTTGGTCAGTATTCATCAGTTATAATATTAAACACATGTTTACAATAAGCACTCATTACTATAGAAGCACAATAACACTTTTAACTAAACAACAATAATTTTATGTTAATTACCTTGGCGAATGTGAACCATTGAGTGCGCTTCCTGAGTGACAACATCTCACCTTGATGTTGCTGACCATTGATCAGTCGGCTGTTTGCACACTTTGACTAATTGAAATGAGAATATGTTGGACTTTAATTGATAGGACCAAAAACTCCTTTGACCAAACAGAAGTCTCAGTAAGTTAAAATTTGACTTAAGCGGAGTTTAAGTACAAAGAAAAAGAATGAAATTTGACAGGACTTTAGAAATTCTTCGACTGACATGGAATTTCTAGTAAGGCTTTGACTTATCAAGAGTTAACTGTATAGACCGTTTAAATTTTTCATTTATGCACCTATAGTGTATGCTAATAATTAGCGCATCTTAATACTATGTTTATATCACGCAAGTGATGTCACATTAAAACATATGTATGGCAATGCAATACCATTTTTTCCGGAGCCGCAAAAACGGCGCGGGTATGTGATAAAGAAACATATAATGCCTTTGATACCAGCGTAGATCTAGGTCAACCTGTCTGGTCATGCCATCTGCACAGGCCTTATATTTAAGAAATAATATATCCCAAACAGTGATTTTATCACTCAATAACATCACTGTTTGGAGTTCGGATGCGAGGAATTATATCACGAGGGCGTAGCCAGAGTGATATAATGATGCGCATTCGAACGACAAACAGTGATGTTATCAAGCAATAAAAGCACTGATTTGGATATATTATTTCGATTCTAACATGACATCAACAAATAAATGTTGCAGTACTTGATAGATAAGCAAAATTGTGCCTGATTTGTTTCCGTACTTATTTTCAGTGCGTCGGATTTTTAGTGGTTACGTCACATGTATAATGATTATGTCACATGTCTAAATATAGAACGTCAAACTGTGCATCTGTTGCATAATAACACACACTTTCTTTTCTTCTATGTTCAATAGGGAAAAATGCGGGTCGTGTTAGAATGTTGTATCTTCTACACTGTATTTAAATTGCTAATCTTCTGAAATTCTTAAAATGGACTTGTCCAACTTTTAGTTACGAAAATTGCCCATTTATCAGTTTTAGGGATATCGGGATGAAAAGTTAATGTCAGATAACAGTCTATTGGTGGCTAAAGCTAATGTAATCACAGAGTAAGGGTTAAATTCTAAATGTGTCAATTGCATAAACATGATAAATTCCTTCCATGCAGTATAAAAGCTAACCAAGCAATGCCACTTTGTACTTATTTGCCTTCAGACCATTCTCTACTTTTGCCGCTCAAATCATTCTTTTTATTCTGAATTTCCTGAAACTTTCAAATATGAATAAGGGCAATTCCATTTTGCAAATGTAAGCTGTCACTATGAATGTAATATGTTTATTTATTCACTTCATATTGTTGTATCATGCAACTTACACTGATCTAACAAGGTTTCTATTTTTCTATTTCATGGCAACAGATTTGTTTTTGATTTCTTCGAATGTGTGGAAAACAAATTCAGAAAGATTCAAAATCGTGATACCTCTTATGACTGTGAAATGTCGGATGACATGCTAAAGGACTCTGTGATACCATATATCGAGACTGAAATGGAAAATATGGATGTAAATCAGAGAAATCTTGATAAACTGAAGATGTATGATTCGGACAAATGCCGTAAGTATTACTCTTTTTTTTCTTTTCATTCCACATTTAAATCTTTTAATCATTTGTTTTTGCTTCCTTGAAATAAATTTTTTGTGTTCATTTTTCAAGTTCAGCAGACATTTTCACAAAAAATCTTACGATTTATCTTAAGTTTTTCACTTACGATAATCGTAAGTTAAATCTTAAGTCATTTTCACAAAGCCACTCGTAAGTTAAAATTTTATCTTAAGATAAAAATTTCACTTACGATAAATCTTACGACAAAAACATCCCTAGCAATGTTCATTTAATAGTGATGTGCATGCTCTATATTTGATTCCGGTTTTAAAATCAAGTAATCAAGAGCTTGAAATATCTATTGTACACAATCAAATTTCAATAAGAACAAAAAAAGGATTCAAACTGATATAATTTATATCTTGATTGAAGATAATTATATATATCTAAAAGATTCAGAAAGAAGGTCTACTATGTTATTAATAAATAAAAAGGTACTACTAGTACATGCTGGCAATGAAATCGAACTCACCAATTGTACAAATTACAAGTTTTCAATAATACTACAGTAAAGTTCACATTTAAACTATTCATAACCCTCTCCATCGTGACGTCATCAAGTCATGACATCACCAATGTTTATGTTGAAAAATAATTATACCTCAATGTTATTTGTAGCATACTGTTTGCTTAATATTTATTTGTCCTCCAACGTTTTGTTTTTATTCAGTTTAGGTAAGAGCTACATGATATTTTACCCTTAAGAGAGAAAAAAATACACTTACGAACGGGGAAGACCTATCGTAAAGTTACGACAGATTTTGCACTTAAGATTTTCTTAAGATTTTTTGTGAAAAGGAGATTTATCGTAAGATTTCTCTTACGACAAAAAATTGTCGTAAGATTTTTTGTGAAAATGTCTGCTGCTCTTAAAATGTTTTGCCACAAATGAAGTATGTCCTATTTTCATTCTCCATTGTTGACAACCAATTATTTGCGACATTTCAATATTTATGTAATGCATATCAGTTTAGGCCCAAAGGAAGAACATTGAGGCCCTTTAAGCACAAGTGAATGAGATTTGAGTTCATGGCTGGACATTTTTATATGTAGCATTCTTGAATAATTCCTTAAATGACACTAAACCCATTCACTTCTGTTTAAATAACATTATGTTCAGAGATGAATTGAGGGAAAACAGGTCAATAGTGGTACAGTAAGTACTGTGTCAGGTCAGAACTGGTACAATGAGTACTGTTTCAGGTCAGAACTGGTACAGTAAGTACTGTGTCAGGTCAGTACTGGTACAATGAGTACTGTTTCAGGTCAGTACTGGTACAATGAGTACTGTTTCAGGTCAGTACTGGTACAGTAAGTACTGTTTCAGGGAAGTTACTGGTACAATAAGTACTGTTTCAGGTCAGTACTAGTACAATAAATACTAATTCAGGTCAGCACTGGTACAATAAGTACTGTTTCAAATCAGTACTGGTACAGTAAATACTGTTTCAGGGAAGTTACTGTTAGTCACTTAAGTATGGTAACTTCAATCAAATATGTGTTTGAAAAATGACCATTTTATCATTTTTTGTTATTGAAAAAATTTTTTAAATGACGCTAAAGTTTTGTTTTTTTCACACAGCGGATTATGATACAGATGTGAACCCCTGTTTTGATGATGACATGAGAGAAGAAGCTTACAATCAATGTCAGTCTCAATTTCCATTCCCAAATACGCTGGATATTTCGGATTCTAAAAATTGCAGGTAAACCTCTTTTGAAAAGGAAATATAATGATAGTGTATGACTGTAATGTAGAGTTCCATTATGACTGCTGCAAAAATTTTCTTGTAGCGCATCACTCAAACAATTTTAAAGGTATCAATATGAAACCTGGTATACTTGCTTATCATCACAAGGTGCAGTTGTAAGACAAGGGGCATTATCCTGAAAGCTACAGTTTTTGGTGCATATTTAGTAGAATGATTTTAAACCTATGAAAATATCAACACGAAACTTGAATTTCTTGTATATTATGATAACTTATAAAAGCACATTTGCTAAACAAGGGGGATTATTCTGGAGGGTTGTTGGTATTTTTGTCAAAATTGTTTATTACCTAGAATGATGTAACAATTGTGACAGATATCATCTTTAAACCTGAAATACCTGGAAATCATGACAATACAAAGCTGTAAGACAAGGGGTATTGTCCTGTAAGCAGAACTTAAAGGAGTTATGTCCTTTTTTATCTTGACTATTCAGCGTCACACTACATGTATATTGAATTTATGCATTTTTTGTGTGTTTTTTTTTCAAACATGGATTTTGACAGAATAATGCCCCTTTTTGAACGAACAAAATGTCTACATGTTCCTGGCTCTTTTTTAACTATCATCCACTGAGAATAGTTTAGCATTCTGTTAATTAAGATATATTGTTATAAAAATTGGCTATCGATCGTTGTTTGTGTTGTAAAGAGATGTGTGTTTACACCCATTTTGTGCTGTTGTTTTAATTTTGTTATTTGTTGATTTTTTTTTTTCCAGAAAATTCTATGATCTATCATTCTGTATGGCAACAAAGTTACGAGACAATGGAGCGCGATGTGGTTTCCAAGACATAGATGAACACTTGATGAATAAATTAATGGATGACCGCACAGAAGTGTCCAACGGTCCAAGATATTTTAACAACTGGATTTGTGCTGGTTGGTAGTTTTTGTTATGTCAGCATTTTATATTGAATAATTGGCATTTTTTATTGAACTGTTGGCATTTTATATTGAATTATTGGCATTTTTTATTGAACTGTTGGCATTTTATATTGAATTATTGGCATTTTATATTGAACTGATGGCATTTTATATTGAATTATTGGCATTTTATATTGAACTGTTGGCATTTTATATTGAATTATTGGCATTTTATATTGAACTGTTGGCATTTTATATTGAATTATTGGCATTTTATATTAAACTGTTGGCATTTTGTCTGAAATGGCTTACAAAACACTATATTTTGTTCAAATAATCATATAATTCAAGGTTTCCTTTTTAAGTTCATATAATTATGCAGATTATACAGTTCATTTTCTATATCATTAAGTACATGTACTCATTCTTTAGTTGCATACGCACTTAAAGCAACCTTCACGCATATACTTTTGATTTCTAAAATGTCATAATATAGAACAATGTAACTGAATATTCTTACTGTACTATATAATTAACCATTTGTTTCTCAAATTGTGGTAGCCTACCAAAGGTCCATGATTCTTCGCAGCGCCTGACATTTGTGCCTGCACTAATGCATTGCTTTACCTCCATCAGGAAAACTTGCAAGTCCTCATAATATTATAACAGTAAAAATGCTAATGAGACTTGAAACCTATTAAATCAATTTTGTTAAGTTTTATACAGTTTAATGGAAGATTTTAGAAAAAATGTATAATAAACCTATTTTGTAAATTTCTTTGAAAAACATTTTTTATTTTCTAGAACACAAACCAGTATGTAGTGCGAACAACATAATTGACAGCGTACATGGTGATTGTATGAGACATGATTATTATGCTGGTCCCTTTACCTGCAGGTAATAATGAGATTTATTTACTAGTCCCTTTAACTGCAGGTAAAAATGAGAGATTTATTTACTAGTCCCTTTAACTGCAGGTAATAATGAGAGATTTATTTACTAGTGCGTTTAACTGCAGGTAATAATGAGAGATTTATTTACTAGTCCCTTTAACTGCAGGTAAAAATGAGAGATTTATTTACTAGTCCCTTTAACTGCAGGTAATAATGAGAGATTTATTTACTAGTCCCTTTAACTGCAGGTAATAATGAGAGATTTATTTACTAGTCCCTTTAACTGCAGGTAAAAATGAGAGATTTATTTACTAGTCCCTTTAACTGCAGGTAATAATGAGAGATTTATTTACTAGTCCGTTTAACTGCAGGTAATAATGAAAGATTTATTTACTAGTCCCTTTAACTGCAGGTAATAATGAAAGATTTATTTACTAGTCCCTTTAACTGCAGGTAATAATGAGATTTATTTACTAGTCCCTTTAACTGCAGGTAATAATGAGAGATTTATTAACTAGTCCCTTTAACTGCAGGTAATAATGAGAGATTTATTAACTAGTCCCTTTAACTGCAGGTAATAATGAGATTTATTTACTAGTCCCTTTAACTGCAGGTAATAATGAGATTTATTTACTAGTCCCTTTAACTGCAGGTAATAATGAGAGATTTATTTACTAGTCCCTTTAACTGCAGGTAAAAATGAGAGATTTATTTACTAGTCCCTTTAACTGCAGGTAATAATGAGAGATTTATTTACTAGTCCGTTAAACTGCAGGTAATAATGAAAGATTTATTTACTAGTCCCTTTAACTGCAGGTAATAATGAGAGATTTATTTACTAGTCCCTTTAACTGCAGGTAATAATGAGATTTATTTACTAGTCCCTTTAACTGCAGGTAATAATGAGAGATTTATTTACTAGTCCCTTTAACTTCAGGTAATAATGAGAGATTTATTTACTAGTCCGTTTAACTGCAGGTAATAATGAGAGATTTATTTACTAGTCCCTTTAACTGCAGGTAATAATGAAAGATTTATTTACTAGTCCCTTTAACTGCAGGTAATAATGAGAGATTTATTTACTAGTCCGTTTAACTGCAGGTAATAATGAGAGATTTTTTTACTAGTCCGTTTAACTGCAGGTAAAAATGAGAGATTTATTTACTAGTCCGTTTAACTGCAGGTAATAATGAGAGATTTATTTACTAGTCCGTTTAACTGCAGGTAAATAATGAGAGATTTATTTACTAGTCCGTTTAACTGCAGGTAAAAATGAGAGATTTATTTACTAGTCCGTTTAACTGCAGGTAATAATGAGAGATTTATTTAGTAGTCCGTTTAACTGCAGGTAATAATGAGAGATTTATTTAATAGTCCGTTTAACTGCCGGTTTATAATGAGAGATTTATTTACTAGTCCCTTTAACTGCAGGTAATAATGAGAGATTTATTTACTAGTCCCTTTAACTTCAGGTAATAATGAAAGATTTATTTACTAGTCAGTTTAACTGCAGGTCATAATGAGAGATTTATTTACTAGTCCGTTTAACTGCAGGTAATAATGAGAGATTTATTTACTAGTCCGTTTAACTGCAGTTAAAAATGAGAGATTTATTTACTAGTCCGTTTAACTGCAGGTAATAATGAGAGATTTATTTACTAGTCCGTTTAACTGCAGGTAATAATGAGAGATTTATTTACTAGTCCGTTTAACTGCAGGTAATAATGAGAGATTTATTTACTAGTCCCTTTAACTGCAGGTAAAAATGAGAGATTTATTTACTAGTCCCTTTAACTGCAGGTAATAATGAGAAATTTATTTACTAGTCCCTTTAACTGCAGGTAATAATGAAAGATTTATTTACTAGTCCGTTTAAACTGCAGGTAAAAATGAGAGATTTATTTACTAGTCCCTTTAACTGCAGGTAATAATGAGAGATTTATTTACTAGTCCGTTTAACTGCAGGTAAAAATGAAGAGATTTATTTACTAGTCCTTTAACTGCAGGTAATAATGAGAGATTTTATTTACTAGTCCTTTAACTGCAGGTAAAAATGAGAGATTTTATTTACTCAGTCAATAATGAGAGATTTATTTACTAGTCCCTTTAACTGCAGGTAATATTAAATAATGAGAGATTTATTTACTAGTCCCTTTAACTACAGGTAATAATGAAAGATTTATTTACTAGTCCGTTTAACTTCAGGTAAAAATGAGAGATTTATTTACTAGTCCCTTTAACTGCAGGTAAAAATGAGAGATTTATTTACTAGTCCCTTTAACTGCAGGTAAAAATGAGAGATTTATTTACTAGTCCCTTTAACTGCAGGTAATAATGAGAGATTTATTTACTAGTCCTTTAACTGCAGGTAAATTAAATAATGAGAGATTTATTTACTAGTCCCTTTAACTACAGGTAATAATGAAAGATTTATTTACTAGTCCCTTTAACTGCAGGTAATAATGAGAGATTTATTTACTAGTCCCTTTAACTGCAGGTAAAAATGAGAGATTTATTTACTAGTCCCTTTAACTGCAGGTAATAATGAGAGATTTATTTACTAGTCCCTTTAACTGCAGGTAATAATGAAATATTTATTTACTAGTCTGTTTAACTGCAGGTAATAATGAGAGATTTATTTACTAGTCCCTTTAACTGCAGGTAATAATGAGAGATTTATTTACTAGTCCCTTTAACTGCAGGTAATAATGAGAGATTTATTTACTAGTCCGTTTAACTTCAGGTAATAATGAGAGATTTATTTACTAGTCCCTTTAACTGCAGGTAATATTGAAATATTTATTTACTAGTCACTTTAACTGCAGGTAATAATGAGAGATTTATTTACTAGTCCCTTTAACTGCAGGTAATAATGAGTGAATTTTTTACTAGAAAATATCAGTATAATTATACCGTATAAGTGGTTTTTTCTGAGAGAGGTTTATTGTTTTATTGATCACCTATTTGCCAGAGGGTTTTCTAAGAAATTATTATATTATTAATTAATATAATTATAAATATTTGTTATTAGTATTATAATAATTATATATGTTTCCAAATATGTTAGTATAATGATAATAATTGTCGATGGTATAATTTTCTTTATATTTTTTAATAATTATTATCATTATTATTAAATTATTATAATCAAAATTATTATTATAGAAAAGGCTAAAAGCCGTCAAATATACCGAAAATAACAGGGGCGTCATAAGCCGTCCCTATGGCAGTGAAAGGGTTAATTAAACTATTTTCGTTGTTTTTATGTTCCTAACATTAATCGTGTTTTGCTAGAATTAAATGGTTAATTCTGCTGATTTACAAAGTGACAAACTATTTTGGGATAAAGTCAACAAATAACAGAAAAAATACAAAAATATTGGATCAAAATGAGGATCAATTTTAGGATCAAGATCAAAATTGTGATCAGCTGTAAAATGCCCTTATCTTGCCAAAATAGCAATAAATTTATTCTAAAATTTCATAAACTTGCTATTACAAGTCCAGTATTATCAAATTTATAATTAGATATTTAATCTATGAGGATAAACAATGAAGAATATTAGAGTTTTAAATTTGATCCTGATCTTGATCCTTAAATCTTTGTGAACATGTGGCCTCAGGGCTTGACTTCAAGAGAGATTCAAACCAATTACCTCCAAATTAGGATTTGAGTTCTGTATCATGTCTACCTCTACACACCTCTTTCTCAAACACTGCCCAACATGAGAGTATAATATTTCTTTCAGTGACGAGAAAGGAAGAATGAAGTTCAGAAAGCTAGTATCATGCCTTGCCATAGATGGTTTGTTCAAGAAAGAGGTTGATTGTACAGTATCGAGGATCATGGAGATGATTAAGATGGACAAATACAATTTAGGCCTCATCAATTCAACTACTGGCATTGATATGTGCCTCTCAGGTAACCTGTGCTTGGAATGTAAAAATAGATTTGTCTCAGTCTTTAAAAATAAGATATTTAGCTAACTTGTATTACTTACTTGATCAATAATTATGTATTAAAGATATCTTTTTGAGCATAAGGATTGGTTAAACTATCATTTCTATATTTGTGTTTCATGAATTAGTACTCTCAAAATTTTTGGGAGACATGTTGTTTTGCCTTTCACCATCCATATATCCATATTCAGCTTGTTAGGCTTTCACAGGTCAAACTGCTGGCAGGATTTTAACAAAAAACCAACACTTGTTGCGCATACCTTTGGCATGTTTTACTTTTGCTGCACAAAATGGAGACAGGAGCTAAAAAAATAAAAACCTTATTGGCTTTCACCGGTCAAACTGCTGGTGGGATTTCAATGAAACTTTACATGATGGATCAATACAATCAATACTTTTACATATTGCTCTCACGTTTGCTTTTGCTGCACAAAATAGAAGCCAGAGCTAAAAAAAGAAAAATCTTTTCTGGCTTTTACAGTTCAAACTGCTGATTTCAACGGAACTCCACAGTTGAGACCAGTACCAACTTGTGTCATCATACTGTTTGCATGTATTTCTAATGAAATAAAAACATCTCGATCAAATATTTTTTGCATCTTGCATTTGAGAAAAAAATTACCATTTTGAAAAATATGTCAATATGATTAAACTTGATTAGTTTTAACATCACATATTTAAGCTTGATCGTGAAACAAGTTCTTGAAACTTATATTAACTTATAATTCACTTTTAAGTCCGCTTCCTGGAACTAAACAGTACTAGTACCATATGAGGGAACATGGGTAGAGCTGAACCCATGATACTTTCGTTAAGAGGTAGACATTAAACACTAGGCCACTCTCCCTTTAACTTAGTCAACGCTTTCAATACTAGGCCATAATTAACTCCCTGCTCCACTTAATAAAGTATGACAGTTGCTAGAGAAAATGTTTGACAGGTTCTTGATATGTCTTTTGTAACCAAAAGGTAACATTTTTAGTGAATAACAGTGCTTAATATCTTCTTCAGATGATGAACAATCTAACCTAGAACTTGAACTGAAATTAGGTGAAAATCTTTGTTCTTCTGGAACATTCGTTCAGTACATCGCATCCAATTGTTTGATGAGGAATGATAACGGAGATGTAGAACATCGTTGTTCCTATAGAGATGATGAAGATTCTGATGATTCAACAGCTTCCTGCAGGTAAAATTACCCCCTTACTGCTGGAACTACTTTTACAAAAAAGTAGTCCCAAAGTTTGATTGTTAATAATCCTATTTTCACCGTTGAACTGCAACACACTTCACTGTACGACTTTGAATTTATTGAATGCTTAGTATTTTACAAAATTGATTCCTTCCTGTTTATGTAATATAGAAAGGGTAATAATATTGGTCACTCTGACAATATTCATACCACTATTTTTATTTTCTGTCTAAGCTTTTTTCGATTATTTGTTCATAACTAATACAAAATTAGTTATATTTGGTGTAATTTAGAGTTCTTTGAAGGAATTTTAGTTCTTATTTCATGAAAATAATGTAATGTTATTTTTGCATTGTTATTTTTGCAGCTATCTTAAACAAGTCATGTCATGTGCAAAGAGGAATATCTCAGAATCAGTTGGTGTTGAATGCAGATTGGTTGACCTAGTAAACACAGACATATCTGTAGACAACATGCCCGAAATATCTAATTCTGATAAAGAGATGTGTGTAGGTAAGCAAGGGATATGAATCATTTTAAAAAAGCTGACCTCTAAAAATATATTTCAGGTAACAATCAGCCATATTAAACCATTGCAATAAATTCTGGCCTTCAGATTTTGGATTACAAATTCTGGCATTACACATTCTGGCCTTCAGATTTTGGATAACAAATTCTTGCATTACAAATTCAGTCTCTTCGGGTTTTGGATTGAAAATTCTGGCAATACTTATTATGTCCTTCAGATTTTGGATTACAAATTCTTTCAAATGATGAGTCTATCTACATGTAATAAAGTGTGACTTAAAACAAGCTAAATTATAAAAGATATTAGGCTTCAGATGACTACATTATACCATCATTTTCTTACCCATAAATTAGGAAAAAATGATCTTTATAACTTACTTGTTACTCATTTATTGGCTGTTTTTAGCTCACCTGTCACAAAGTGACAGGGTGAGCTTTTGTGATCGCTTTTCGTCCGGTGTCTGGCCGTCCGGTGTCCGTCCGTCGTCCGTCCGTAAACTTTTACTTTAAATGACATCTCCTCATAAACCACTAAGCCAATTTCATCCAAACTTCACAGGAATGTTCCTTTGGTGGTCACCTTTAAAAATTGTTCAAAGAATTTAATTCCATGCAGAACTCTGGTTGCCATGGCAACCAAAAGAAAAAACTTTAAATATCTTCTTTTAAAAAACCATAAGAGCTAGAGCTTAGATATTTGGCATGAAACATTTTTTAGTGAGTGTCTACCAAGTTTGTTCAAATAAAAGCCCTGGGGTCAAAATTGGCCCCGCCCCGGGGGGTCATTGATTTTCCTTATATGCATATAGTAAAAACTTAAAAAATCTTCTTTAAAAGAACCCAATGAGCTAGAGCTAAGATATTTATCATGAAACATGATTGTTCTAATGGGTGTCTACCAAGTTTGTTCAAATAAAAGCCCTGGGGTCAAAATTGGCCCCGCCCGGGGGGGGGGGTCATTGATTTTCCCTATATATGCATATAGTAAAAACTTAAAAAATCTTCTTTTAAAGAACTCAAAGAGCTATGGCTAAGATATTGAGCATCAAACATGTTCTTATAGGTGTCTACCAAGTTTGTTCAAATAAAAGCCCTGGGGTCAAAATTGGCCCCGCCCCAGGGGGTCATTGATTTTCCCTATATGCATATAGTAAAAACTTAAAAAATCTTCTTTTAAAGAACCAAAAGAGTTAGAGCTAAGATATTTAGCATGAAACATGTTCTAATAAGTGTCTACCAAGTTTGTTCAAATAAAAGCCCTGGGGTCAAAATTGGTCCCGCCCGGGGGGTCATTGATTTTCCCTATATGCATATAGTTAAAACTTATAAAATCTTCTTTTAAAGAACCCAAAGAGCTAGAGCTAAGATATTTAGCATGAAACATCTCTTAATAGGTGTCTATCAAGTTTGTTCAAATAAAAGCCCTGGGGTCAAAATTGGCCCAGCCCCAGGGGGTCATTGATTTTCCCTATATGCATATAGTAAAAACTTAAAAATATTCTTTTAAAGAACCCAAATAGCTAAAGCTAAGATATTTAGCATGAAACATGTTCTAATGAGTGTCTACCAAATTTGTTCAAATAAAAGCCCTAGGGTCAAAATTGGCCCCGCCCCGGGGGTCATTAATTTTTCTTATATGCATATAGTGAAAACTGATAAAATCTTCTTTTAAAGAACCCAAAGAGCTAGAGCTAAGATATTTAGCATGAACCATGTTCTAATGGGTGTCTACCAAATTTGTTCAAATAAGAGCCCTGGGGTCAAAATTTGCCCTGCTCCGGGGGTCATTGATTTTCCATATATGTGTAAAGCAAAAACTTTAAATTAAAAATTCTTTGAAAAAAAACAAATAGCTAGAGTTTAGATACTAAGCATGAAACATCTTCTAGTGAGTGTCAACAAAGTTTTTTCAAATAAAAGCCCTTGGGTCAAAATTGGCCCTGCCCCGGGATCGTTGATTTTATTTATGTGTAAAGCAAAAACTTATAAAATCTTCTTTGAAAAAACCCAAATAGCTAGAGTTAAGATATTTAGCATGAAACATCTTCCAGTTAGTGTCTTCAAAGTTTGTTCAAATAAAGCGTTAGGGTCAAAATTGGCCCTGCCCTGGGGGACATTGATTTTCCTTATATGTGTATAGCAAAAACTAAAAAATCTTTTTTAAAAAAAACAGAATAGCTAGAGTTTAGATATCAAGCATGAGACATCTTCTAGTGAGTGTCTCCAAAGTTTGTTCAAATAAAAGCCCTGGGGTCAAAACTGGCCCCGTCCTAGGGTGTCATTGCTTTTAACTATATGTGTATAGTTAAAACTTAAAAAATCTTTTTTTTTAAAAACTCAACGAGCTAGTTCCTAGCGTGTTTAGCGTGAAATATCTTCTAATGGGTGTCTACCAAGTTTGTTCAAATAAAAGCCCTGGGGTTTAAACTGGCCCCGCCCTGGGGGCCTATATACAGGTGAGCGACTTCAGGGCCATCATGGCCCTCTTGTTATATTTTATAAAAAGAGAGTCACCGGGTTAGAAAGTTTTATAATATACACCCACCACAAATTCTTGCCATAATGAAAAAATAAACATACTGTAATGAAGACAATCTAATGTATGTTGTAGACAAACTTGGGAATTCCAAATGTATACAAGATGACTTGACGGATAACTATCACGCTGCCCTACGTTGTGTGAAGGCTGCAAACTTCAGCTCTAGTATATTTTTGGAGGATGATTTGTCCGGAGAAGATGCACGATTATGCAGGTAATGATGTCAAGATAATAATGTCATTTTGGTCAGTTCATTTAATGAAGGCCTTTAAACTTCCATAATAATTCTGAATGATCTTGTTGCTGATCATGCATGCTTAGGAGTCTGTGAATATGCTATAAAAAGACATTGCATGTATTTAAATTCAGACTTACATGGTACAGCTTTGATTCTTAATCAGCGTAATGTGTGTAATAGATTTATCCTGCTTTGCAAATAACAATTTATCTTTTTTCCATATACCACATAAGCTTGGTTATTGAAGGGTGATATTTTGATCCAGGTTTTTAATTATTGTTATTATTTGATTATTTCTTTTCACAGATTCTAAAATTGTAACAATATTGCTGGAAGCAATAAAAGTATGTGGTAGAATAAGTTATGATGTGCAATAAAAATTGATAAAATTTTACAATGACTGTTTCTTATTGTGATGCAGAATAATGACTGTTTTTATGTCCCCACTGTTAGTAATACAGTACTGGTATAAAAGTTTTGGGTTTTGAATACTGGACTATAATAATAAAATCCTGTGAACAGAGACCAACTTAGGATAATACAAATCATGATATTTTTAGACAAGTGGTCTTTACTGAGAGGTTTCTTCATTATATTTTATCAATAAAGGATTATCAAAAGTTGTCTTTACACAGGTTTGACTATACATTATATGTTATTTTAGTTTTGGAGTGATATATGTGGATATATTACCTGCTAAGATTTTATATCACCCGAGCCGTTAGGCGAGGGTAATATTTTATCTTGGCAGGTAATATATCCACATATATCACTCCAAAACCAAAATAATAATTTTATTACCCTTCCCTGCCGAGTTAAGACGATTTTAACATAAAACATTGCTACTTCAAATGAAACGTCGAAATAAGATTCCCTTTAGGGTACCCCTTCACCACAACATGACGTCACATAAATACATGACGTAATTTCTTTCGAACCTAACAAATGTAAACAAGAGAAAAGGAGTAGTCTGTTGAACGCACTTTTTTGGAATTATTATCAAGCTTTCACAAGGTCATATTTGTTTTCAATACTGATGAGAATATATATCATTACTCTATTTTGGTAAATATTTATCATTTGACAGTTAAAAAGTGCTTGTAAATCGGAATTTACATCGCGTAAAATCAAACCGTACGCGCATCGCCACAGCGCAAGTTGTTTAAAAATTGGGGTATCCAACGGGGAAATTTAGTGTGTATATTACCCGTCTGGCTCGGTTATATCAATTTCTTTCAGGTGATCAATATCCAATCAAAAAGGCAGAAAAAATCTGGAAGGGTAATAAATATATATTCAACATTTTTAATGTGTGTATTTGCAGAATATTGGATTATTCATTGATCTGCTTGAGGTCGCTGATCTCTGAGACATGTACAGACTTTGATGAGAACGACCTATACATGGAATTTACTAGCTTAATGGAATACCTTGAACTGGACAGAAGCATGCGAGAATGTGTTGATTATAAAATGCCAGCCACATTTCAGACTTGTAAAGGTATCACTATATAGTTTAAACATTTTTATCTAAGGTTAAAAAAGGTATCACTATATAGTTTAAATATTTTTATCTAAGGTTAAACATGTTCTTGAAGCATATATTAAGGTAAATACCAGCCAGAATTACAGAGTGGTCACACTGTCTGACTGCAAATCCTGTGTTAACAAGTTTGATTTCCTTGCTACTCAAACTATAACGAAATAAAATGATACTGACAAGATTTTAAAAATCGGGTGCCGTGTAAAAGAACGTGTTGACTCTCCTGAAACAGTGTAATTTTAATACGCCAAGAATAATCTTGAGGTGTAATGTTATGCACCTGGTTGTGCGTCTGTCCCTTATAAAAAGATTATTTTTGATAACTTAAAACAAATTTGCTTTTGGGCGTATATTGCTATCCTATGCGGTTCTCTTGTTGTATCTGTAAATGTACTAGGCTCAAAAAATGAAATAACTGACAGTCCTCCGTCACCCATATGGGTTCCTTGTGGCCACTACAATTATATTTATATTACATGCTGCTGGAAGTAAAGTAAACATTGTCTGCAGATTAATGAAATTGTCTTGTAACAAATTTTGTCAAGAGAAATGATTTTATAAGATGGAAGTATGTTCACACCACTTCTTGTGCTTCAGTTAACCTGGGTCTTATGTTGTACTCTGTCATCTTACACAAATACCATTGGTTGGTCCCTTTTTGAGAACCATTCGAGCTCTTTGAGTCTATTTTTTCTCTTTGGACCAAAGCAATAAAAAATCATTAAAGTTATGATTATATGGATTAAATGATAATTTCATTGCTTCTTTTTTTAACAGCTTTATCAAGTGTGCTATCAACAGAGAATGATTGCCAAAATGCAGATTTTGTAACGGATGTTGTGATTGGTAACTGTGGCAGACAATTTAAAAGTCTGAACATTGGTGAAAACAAATGTTTGTAAGTATCCATATTACCCTTCATTATTTTCACAAAATTTACATATTTCTTGGATATCATTGCAAATGATAATTTGAAAATAAACTCCCATATGAATATATCCATTGTTTCACTTTCTTTTATCGATAGTTTTTGCTGGATTCCTGCTTTATGGAAACGAAAACATGGAAAAATCAAACGATGAAAAACTCTCCCCTCTTTGTTTTCTTAAAATAAACAAATATTCTATATTAATTATATTCTCATTTTTTATGTTACTGAAGTTGCCATCTTAGTTATGGTTCAATGAGATAACATGGTTTAATGAGATAAAATGGATAATGAGATAACATGTTTTATGTTATAACATGGTTTAATTTGATAACATGATTTATGTTATAACATGGTTCATGAGATAACATAATTTAATGAGATCACATGGTTTAATGAGATAAAATTGTTTAATGAGATAACATGATAAATGAGATTACACAAGTTTATGAGATAACATGATTTAATGACATAACATGGTTTAATGAGATAACATGGTTTATGTGATAACATGTTGTAATAAGATAACATGGTTTAATGAAGTAACATAATTCACTGAGATAACATTGAATATTTCAGAGGCTATCCAGGTTTACTGAGCTGTGGAATTGAAGGTACCAAAATGTTCCTCACTTCGAAGGATGATACGGGAAAAGATGGGATGGGATGTGAAAGAGATCAAATCATTTCTGCCTTACAATCGAAATCTCAAAGAGTTGCAGATTTTCTGTCATTGAATCCAAATGATTGTCAAGGTATGTCATTGATACACTGATTTAAGTTTAAGGTTGTGCTTAAACCCTAAACCTGCAGAATTTCTTTGTTAACCATTCATAATGCATATTTTCTAATTTTGGAAGAGCAAAAGTTGGTTTCAATTTTCCAGGAATTGTAATATTTTATTTCCCAGGGCTCATATTTCTCCATTTCCAAAGACAGGTAATTTTCCCATTTCCAAGGACATGTAATTTTCCCATTTCTGTAAGATACGTTATTTTTCAATTTCCAAGGACTTGTATTTTCTCATTTTTCCAGGATTTGTGATTTCAATTTTCCAAAGAAATGTTATTTTTTTAATTTCTAGGATTTTTTATTGTCTCCTATTTCTCAAGGACCTGTATTTTGTTCCATTTTCCAATCCTTGATTTTTTTCCCATTTCTTAGGACTTTTGCCATTTTCCATTTTTTAGGTTCCTTTAAAGCAGCACGCCTCCGGATTAATGTCAATTTTCATGAAAATTTTAAAAAAGTATTTAAAAGTGAAATATTGTGAGGTAAACAAATAAAGTAATTTACATATTGCAATCCGGCATTTACAATCCAAAAAATTTACCAAAATGTGGTCAACATATGTAAAAGAATTATGGCGACAAAATACCGCAAAATCAGTCTTAAACCGCACATAACATGAAAAATATAACTTGGATCTTGAATGTTTTTACCTTTCTTAAAATGTTAGTACATTTTGCTCAATATTGATATTTTTGAGATATTTTGACTCATCTGGAGGCGTGCAGCTTTAAGTATACTACTGTTATTTTTTATCAATATTTACACAGGTGACTGTTATGAGGATATTGAGCCAGTTTTGGTGAAATGTATAAACATGACACTTGGTCTGAGCTCTAGAATGAACTTAACATACAACAGTTGGCGGAACAGTTGCAGGTAGTTATAATATTATAATAAGCTGTCTTTCCTGTATGTACATGTTATTTTGGATTGGTTTAAACAGAATTTTAGTTCCACTGTCTTGGAAGCTAAAAGTTTATAGACACACTCTCAAATCCATTCCTGGAACAAAACCAGTACTGAGCAATGCGTGTAAAGTTTCATGCGCAAGGAAACAATGGCTCGTCTCTGACGCGGTTTGAACTCACATGGACAGTGATCCTTAGATTACTAAGAGCTTTCTGTAAAATTGATTGTAAATATTTCATGATTTTGAATGTTGTTTCTTAGCCATTTATGAAATTTTCATTGTCACTTTTCAAAAACCAACTCTAAATCAGTTTGATTTTGCTTTGGTGCACAAATTAATAGCTGTAGTGTATTTGTATACATTGTTATCTTTAATTACTTTCCATTGGTAAATCTGTGAAATGTTTCTGAAGGAAGTATATAAGTCTCAAACAATAATGTTAATATCTTTTTATACATCATGGATATTTTTTTGCAGGGCATACAAGTATAATCATGTACCATATTTTTTTGCAGGGCATACAAGTATTATTATGTACCATATTTTTTTGCAGGGCATACAAGTATTATTATGAACCATATTTTTTTGCAGGGCATACAAGTTAATCATGTACCATTTTTTTGCAGGGCATACAAGTATTATTATTAACCAAATTTTTTTGCAGGGCATACAAGTATATGTACCAATGTGTAGATCTAGAAAAACCAGGGTGTGATATGAATCTGAAGAAGACTGCCTTAGATACAGCAATAAGCAGACATGAATCAGAGGGCTTGTACAGAAACTGTATAGGTGTGTACACTACAAATATCAGTGTTCTTGTTCAAGATACGCATTGCAAGTTCTGCAGATTAAAATGAATCAGACTATGTATTAAAGCCTCTGAAAACTGGAATCCTCAGCAAACTGGATGTTTGGTCAAGTCCAGACAGGGTGAAGTTTTCAGAGTTTTAACTGTATATGTTATTGTCTGAGAGAAAACAAAATGTGACATTTCTTTGTCATTATGCAAACAGATTTAATTTGATGTAACCTGGACCCTAAGAGGTGAATAAATTGGTTAGAACTTCTGGAGTCTCTGCAACACTTAGCTCTAGTGTCTCTTTTAAGCTCACCTGTGACAAGGTGAGCTTTTGTGATCGCTTTTTTTTTTTTTGGCATAATAAAACCAATCCAAAAATTAAGAAAAAATATATACATGTATTTATAATCAAAACAGTACTTAATTTTTGTAATGTACTTGCCCTGCTTTGGATTAGAAATTGTTGTGGTTAATCTGATGAATTTAAATATCAAAGTTGTTGATATTTCATTAGATATTTATGCAGGCCTATCTATTTATAAGGAGAGGCAATTGTTAATACAAAGCATTTTGATATAAAAGAACTGAAGCAGAGCATTGAATAGAGGATTGTGTGACTATATTTCATTGATAATTAGGCTGATCTGGCTGTATACTAGTGGCACAAGCTAGTTTCAAGGAGGGTGCATTTACAGAGCTTGAATAAAAATGTTTTGCATTCATGAATTCAGACAGAGCTTGAATATTTTTTTTGTTTTTTACCATATTCAGATCCATCATCATTGGCAAAGTTGGATATGTGCAAGAATATGACAGATCTGATGGAGGTATCAGCCGGGCAATGTGGACGATATATACATGCCTTGCTTAACACAACAGCTAGTCTCCAATCACCAGGCAAATGCCTGTATGTGTGATTTTTCTATTATTTGAATTGATATTTGATTGTGGGTTTTTGTTTTTGGTTTGTTTTATTTTATAAAGAAATTTTGTTAAAGGAATATCATCCAAATTCTGGTACGCAGATATCATCCCAAATTCTGGTAAAGGAATGCCATTCAAAAGGATTTAACTCAATACAGGATTGGAGCAGTACCTCTAGATGCTTGCAGAAATCATGATCACAAAAACGAAAAATATCGTTTTTAACGAAAAATATCGGGTTTTTTTGGTGATTTTTACATTTTTTATTCTTTATCATACATAAATCGGTGTGAAAAGATGGATCAGACCTATGAAAGTTCATTCCGTCGAGTAAAAAGGCAAGATATTAGCATTTTATGATTCAAGCGCCTATATATACCGAAATACGGTATTTAGTGTGACTCCATTCAAAATCTGGTAAAGGAATATCATCCAAAATCTGGTAAAGGGAGATCATATAAAATCTGGTAAAGGGAGAGCATCCAAAATTTGATTAAGGGAGAGCATCCAATTCTGGTAAAAGAAGTTTGTAAAGGGATAGCATCCAAATTCTGGTCAAGGGAGAACACATAATATTTTAACAATATTGTGCACTTAAAATGTAGACTTTTGTTTTTGTGTTAAAAACAGAATGTTTAAAATTTTACAGCCCAAAATCTGTGAGTTACACATCTGAGGTTTTAACATCATAGTGGTATTTTTGTTTTTCTGCATTATATTACATGAATGATTATGAGCCATCATGAGTGGTAATCTAAGCCACATGGTCAAAATTTATTTCCTATTTAAGATTTTCAAAGCCTATAATTTCAGATTAGTTATCTGGACTTTTTTTTAACCCATGTTCTATTTCATTGTGTATATTATAATGTCTTGTTAAAAATTTGTTTAATCCAAACCTGTTTAAAGAAATTTTCTTGAAAAAATTTTTTTTAGAAACCAGACAGATCTTACATCATGCATGAAACATTTCTTGGAAGCCTACATGGAACAAGAACAACCTGAACAGGATATATGTGGAGAAGAGACAGACTCTGTTATTGGAAGAGCTGCCATGATCTATATTCGCAACCGATTCAGATATGATACTGGCGCCATGGAAATGAATTTGGAAACTTTAAAGACTTGTTTTGGTGTGTTTTATTTAAAATTTCACGCAGACGCCTGTCCATGATTAGTTTTATGATTAATATTGTAATATAGGATAAAACAAAATTGAAAATCTGTGGTAATCAAAAGAGAAAGAAATGAATATGTGTTGATTGTTTAACAGAATATGTGTTGATAGTTTAATGGAATATGTGTTGATTGTTTAATGGAATAAGTGTTGATTGTTTAACATTAGACACATGGTTAAATATTCCACAATTGATTTCAAAATTTACATGTTGTTGTAGAAACAAACTTTCATTTTTTGTAACGGTCAGCATTTGATATTGTTACAATTTATCATTTACGTAATTACATAATATACTTAGTAAATTACCTATACAACCGGGCATATATGTAATTAAAGTGACATTATACCCATCTAAAGGTATTCTACTGGTAGTGAGGGAACAGGTGAAAGTCAAAATAAGTTTACATTTTGCCATAATTCCTTTCAATTTTAAAATTTACTTTGCATGATGATGAGCAACAAATAACTCAATTGGCTTAAGGAAATTTCTGTAAATATCCATTGGAATTTACCAAGAATGTTCAATTCATAAAGAGAATATGGCAGTCTTTTTATATTTTAGCCAGATTTACATTTTATCTTAAAGTTTTTCCAATTGGTCAATGACAAGTTTAACAGTCCATCTTTTGAAATATATGATCATTTCCGCTCAATTTGGCAATGAAAAAATGAGCATAATATCACTTTTACTGGATATTCATATGAAATCCCACACATTTAAGCACGCTAATTTTAAGAATGTTAATTATACCCTTTAGAAGAGAAAGGGTCCATGTAGATTTGGCATATACTGGCCAGCAATACATCTGTTCATCTATCAATTTTTTGTCAGTCCGGTGTCTTTCACACCATTGTCTGTCATCATGGAATTGAGTGGTGCTTTTGGAACCTCAGCATCCAATATTGTTACATCTAATTAAAAATTTCCTTTGTCTAAGAATCATAACTCTTTTTTATGCAAAAATTTAGGAGTTATTTCCCTTTGTATTTTTTCATATTTTACTCTTGTATTTTGGCATAACAAAAAAGTATAGCAGGTGTTTACTGAAAACTTTAAATTAAAAGATTCATAATGATGTAGGGAAAAGGCAGTGTATTAGAACCATGATTCTCTTTCGCATAAATTTGGAGTTAATTGTATCAAAAAATATTTAAGGTATCAATATCAAAATGTTTTTAAAGAGTAATGCAGTGTATACTCCACAGTTAAATGAATATTTATGCTCAAAGTCTAAGTACATAATTCCATGAAGCTTCAGTGAAATTAAATTATTTGACGGGGCATATTGATACAATAAATTTGTTTGTTATGATCCTTTTATAGAACGAAATGTATATGAGCTTGATGAAAGTAGACTAAAGGTCTAAGGTTGCTATGAGAACAAAATGTAATTAAAAACAAAGTCAATATAGAAATTGATTCTGTAACATGCAAGTAGTTTAATATTTTTATATTTATTTTTTACTCACAGGTTTTACGGACAGGGAAGGACATTGTCCATATATAGACATAACAAGTTCTTACTCCGAAGGCCCTGTTACATGTGCCATTGATGATGACTGCAAGGATAGCGAACATAAATGCTGCTTTGATGGTCCAACATTTACTTGCAGGCCACCCACCACAATTAAAGGTAAGTTTGTTCTTCTGCCCTTTTAGCTCAATAGGGAGAGCATCAGATTCGTAATCCAGTGGTCCCTGGTTCGATCCTCTGGCAGGGTGATATTTCTTATTGACTGTCCGCATAATGAGTCTAATGGTCATTTGTCTCTTACTGCTGATTCAGAAATCATGTAGGATAAGAAGTCCGTCACTTGCAGGGAAATTGGTGATTACTGGTTATTTATCCAGGAAAGCTGGTTAGGTTTACCTACAGCCACAGCCAAGTTACGACCAAAAATATGTTACAGTTGGGGTAGAAACAAAATCAACGAACAAAGTTTTTAACAAACATTTTATTTGTTAATCATTGATGTACCAGGTTTACACAGTTTATTACATGCTTTTCGGTGGTTTATAGAAATATATCAGTGATATAAAACTGGTAATTTCACTGTTTGAAACAGTGAAATTACCACTTTGATAATTTCACTGTTTTGAATTTGAAGCCCCTTACGTTGTTTCAGTGAAATACCAGCGTGCACAGTACTGGGTACCAACTTAATGACGTGACGTCGTAAATGAAGTCACGTTGTATTATTATTTGGCGCGCTTTTTCAATCAGTATTAGGTTAAATGTCTTTTTAAAACGTTTCTTTGCATGTAATAAAAAGAAAATTTGTTTAGTTTAGTGTAAGATTGAAATATATTTCACCCTGTGAACACCAAAAGTTAATATTTTACTCGTGGCTGCGCCACTCGTGAAATACACATTTTGGTGCTCACTCGGTGAAATATATTCCGATCTTACACTGAACTAAACAAATATCCTCTATTTAATGAGGATCAGGTTTTCTCATCAAACTTTATATTTTAATGTCTGTCTCCTCTGGACTTTCCTACTCCATTTCTATGGTTACTCGATCATAATTACCCATAACTCTAGCATGGATTGTTATTATTAGATTATTCCCCTTTGTTTTGATATCAAACACAGATAGTCTAGTTTACAGTAGTCTTGTTTTAGGTGACTTTTTATTTTATGTACAAAATCTTTTTATAACTAACAATTCATGTTTACTTTTAACTTCAACAGCTGTTGAAAATAGGAACAACCAAATTTTTTGTTACCAAACCTGTACAGTGTCTGAAAATTATATAAAATATTATTCATACTTTTTTCCAGAAAAATTCGCAGTGGCACTACAGCTTTTGAATGTTGAATGGAAGGAGGAGTATAATAGTATGGATGATCCAGAAACCGAAACCATGATTGCTCAACATCTTCAATGGGTAAGAGCCTTTCAAACGTACTGTCAAACTCCTCGCAGCAGTTACTTCCCTTTATGAGTACACTTCGTCGAAGAATTAAGGGGAGATCACTGTGTGGAGATTGACGTACTGTATAATCTTCAAAGTCATCAGTCTGATCAGCAAATACTTTCTGATTCTTATTTCTTCTTTTGTTTATGTTATGCCTAATAATGTTGACAAACTATTTAGACTGTATATGTATTTTAAAATACTTCAAAACAGCTTTGTTTTACATAAATGGTACAAATAAAAAATATATTTCTTAACTAAAAAACATGAATTTTACATTAGTTTGCGGTAAAATTGGAAAGTATTTATAAGATTAATTTGTACTTCGGATATAATGAACAATGTTTAAATGTTCATTTGAGTTCATTATAAGCGGAGTCGACTGTACTTGTGTAGAGAATTGTGCATGATGAAACCTTGTGATGTGGTAGTTGACCTTTACCTTTACTAGAGGTCAAGGTCAAATACATTTATAGTTCAGAAATTGTCATTAAGACAGAAGACTTTAGACACCTGATTTGATAATTGCAGATTGAGGAAATTTGTGAAGAAAAGGGATGGTCTTGCGGAGAATATTATCTATCCCCAAATAAAAACAAGAGAAGGAAAAGGTTTGTCGAAGAAAAGTTTCTTTCCTGTGTGTGTTTTTTTAGCATTTTTTTAGCAAAGCTTTGCTCAGTATAACTCAAAATACACTTGTGACTGTTTTGTAGGTAGATATCAAGACTTGAAGGTCAGTAAATGATCTTTTAAATGTTATTTTATGTAGTGTAAAAGATTTGTGTGCGATGTTTAATGTTGTTTTAATTGTTTATTCTGACCTTGAACTAAATTTTAATATAAATAAACCAGGAAAATAATCTTTGTTCAAAATGATGGTTTATATTCTTTGCCTTTTTTTTATGAGTAGTGTTTCTGAAGACTTCACATCTAACTTCATTTACTTTAAGCCAATTTACGAAGAAGTAATTCTGAAAATTTCTTAATACCTGACTTGACTGAGTTAGTCGGCTATTGTATCAAGCAGTAAAGCTTTAGCATGTTACCAAATTGTTTGCTTTTCCAGGCAAGCAGAGCAGTTGTCATGGACAAACCTGAATTTTGTAGTACAGTCAGTAAATAATCCACTTATGATATTTAGAAGGGCAATACAAATGGAGGGAAAAGAGAACACCTACAAAGCATCTTCCTTCCTTATACATCGTATGTTTTTATTCTATATAATTTAATAACTTTGTTTAAGTCTAATGTCTTAGCACTATCGATATATATGTATATAAACATATATTCCTATTACTTTTATGATGATTTTTATATAAAAAAAAACACCAAAAAAAACTTGTTAAAGTTAGTTAATTTCTTTGACAAATCAATTTAAAACCTAGGTTACATACATTTTTCAGTCAGTATAGAGCCAGGCTTGCCTGCACATCAGATTCAGTCTAACCTGGCACTGTACTGTTGGTACTTAAACTTTTTTATATTCATACTAATTTCCCTAATGATTAAATGGACTGTTCCAAATTCAAAGTAGGGCAAATCCATTACACAAATTCTGCAGGTTACATTTACAAAGCTTATTTTTTAAACAAAAAACGTATTTTAACAGAGATAAATCTTGATTTTAGGGGAATCTCCTGGCATATGTCCTCCACATAATTATAACTCCTGCAATGCCACCGAGAATCGACCATACTGTGGCAATGATCAGTCATGCAGGGCTCGGCTAGGAGCCGGCTACAAATGCTGTGATAATTGCGGAAATTATTGTACGAAGATAGGAGATCCAGGTAAGAAACCCCAGTAGTGCAACTTTGATTTTAGAAATTATTTTGTGTATGGAATACTATTTCAGTGTTCAAGTATTTAGTATGTGTTAGACATATTATGTAATGTGTATTAGACCTCTTACCCATAAAGAGAATTGGTACAGTGAAATACTGCCTTGACTTTCAAATTTTGATGACTACTACATGGAGCACTGTTAGCTACTTAAAAAACACATGTAAAACAGATAGCAATTTAGTCAGACTTAAATTGTCATGATTTAGTCAGACTTAAATTGACACAGAAAAAATATGGAGAGAAAGTTTATTTTTGCTGGTATGTATTCAATAAGACTGGAATTAGGAATAGGCTGTATCTTAGGTCAGTCATATGTTGATATTTTGATTTTGCAGCAAGTTTTGTTAGTTTTAAAATGTTTCATGCTGCAAAGATTTTTGACAGATTAATGATTTAGATTAATGGTTTTTAATATACATTAATGAGCCACGTTATGACAAAACCAACATAGTGCGTTTACCAACCCTATTACAAGTAGAGAAACTGATAGCAAACAGCATGGATCCTGATCAGACTGCGCGGATGTGCAGGCTGGTTTTGTCGTGACGCGGCTCATTTGGTGATACTTGGCTATGGAAACCTTCACAAATGATTTTATTTTTACACAGGAATGTTATCCAATCTATTAACAAATGAATAAATCCTGTCCTGTATGATTTGAACATCTGAAAATTACTTTATTGCATGATAACTGGTTAATGGGATTCAGGCATTGATAATTTTTGTTTTTTTCATAGCATACACACTGTTATGTACAGGCATATCACTGTTACTGGTTGTTTAGTTTCTGATAGTGTGATTTGACAAACAGAAGCACATAAAAAATCTGGAACCTAGACTAGGTCACACTCAGATAAAGCACAGTTACTTTCTATCAGTTTATAAGCAGTTATGTTTGGTTGAAAAACTCATTGTTGCTAATAGTATATCGAGTTTTTTTACTGTATTATATTCTGGATACCTTTTTTACAGATGTATGTTATCCAATCTACTCACAAGTGAATGTGTCCTGTGCTGATGAATGGAAACACGACTTCAGTGACATATCAACCGATGGACAATGGACTATAGATCAGTGCAGGTAATTTATTAAAACATCTGTGTAAAATAGGCTATTTTCTGGCAGTTTGTAATTACAATGTCCTTAAATTTGCATGAAAATGGCAAGAAATTTTATTACTGGTTGTAAAAGAAATATGTTTAAAGTATACATGTATAACTTGCATTTTTTTGTTGTTGTTTTTTTATAGGAATCTGGATAGCATTGCACATTGTTTGAACGGGAAAGACAGTGAAAAGAAATGCAGTTTTATGTACTTTAAAGAGCAAGCATTTAATGACATTGTTATGAGTATGGACAATAATTACGATTATAACTTCCCTAAAAGCTGTACCGGTAAGTATTGTAATAAACGTTTTTCATTTATATAGTCAAGTCTAAAACCTTTACCCCAAGTTAGGATTAAAACCTTTACCCTAAGTGTTATTTCTAAAACCTATATCCCAAGTTATGTCCAAATTGTCTTAAATCTTTACCCAACTAATGTGACTAATCTTTGCTGTCAGTATAGGGCCAGACTAGCCAGAGTATCCTTGTAGTAAGGCCAGGCATTATACTGTTGGCTGACCAACTTTAAATTATTTATTTTGATATGCCTAAATTTGGTCATGGACATTACTAAAATTTCAGATAGACAAGTGTAGTTTTGAAGTTCAGCAGGTTAAGGGTTTAAGATAAAAGAGTGTGCCTAAATAAGAACAATGTGTCACCTTAAGGCAATAACTGGTTAACACCTATTTAATTTAGAAGGACTTAACCCGTTACTGCACTAGGGTGACAATTTATGGTTTAACCTAAGATTTTCATTATTTCCAGGCTTGTTACATAATATAATATTACACAGATTTTGTATCATAAAACAATGAAGACGTGTTCCTAGACTAAAACTTGCTGATTAGTTTTGTTTTTAATTTAAGATATTTTTCCGGACACAAAAAGTGATATATCTTTTTTAAGAATGTTTTATCGAGAGGGGAGGGGCATAGATTTGAATAAAATATTTCCCTTTTGTGAACATAAAAAAAACTTTGCTCAATCTCCAAGACTGCTAACTATGTATGTCAAGTACTTTCTTTGAATGAAAATCTTTTTTGTTTGTTAATTTGTACATGAACAAGGTTCTTGTCTTGCTATCATCCCCTTAGAATAGTCAAGTACACGCTGTCCAACTGACAGCTCTTTGGCTTCTTTTTTGTTTTGCTCATTTTATTTTTTCTAAAAGAAATTCTGTCATTAAACTTGCAAGCTTACAACAAGAAAATATTGACTGTTGCAGTGGCCATCATATAAGAAATGCTGTTTGTTTGATATTCAGTTGTAGAAGGTTTTTTTTTCTCTGTTTATCATTTTAAATTATGATGAAAAAGAATTCAAATGTATTATTTATATAACAAAATGTTGGAAAAGATTTAAATTATTTAGTATGAACATTTATATGACTTATAATAATAATAATATTTTGTTCTTGAACAATTTATTATCTGCTTTATATAGATATGTAATATCTGATCATGTATCTCACACTAAGCATATAATTTATCATGTTACAGAAGATGAAGGTCCCACGTATTGTGAAGATACTGATATCGTATACAAAAGTGTTGTAGACAAATGTGTTGGCATGATTTATGAAATTTTCAATGCTGAGGAGATGTCTCTAGAAAAATGCGGGTAAAACTTTGTGAATATAAATCAAAATGAGAATACAATTTTATAAATGATCAAGATGTTGGTTATAAATATTTGTTTTTGATATGTTAAACTTAGATATGCCATGGGTTTGTGGTAACCAATGTAGGTTACTCAAATCCTTGCCTTGAGTTAAGTGTGCAAAGTGTCTCTGTAATGTAAATATCTTCTTGTCAAAAAACTCAAGGCGTAGGGCTTTGATATGTGGGCCACTACCAAGTTCAAATCATGACCCTTCTAGTATTAGGCATCATATTAATATATGTTATCTAGTTATATAACACAGGGCTTCTACCAATGGCTTGATTTGTGACAATCTCTAGATATCGACAATGACAACATTGTCTCTGTGACAACAACCTGTGATCAAAATAATGTCATGAGGGAGAAGAATGTTAAAACAGCACATATGCTTAGTTGGTAGTGCCCAAGTGTATTTTTAGATTGTGGGGTTTAAGTCTCCCCTTGTGGCTGAGGGGTTTTCTTTACAGAATTGCAGCCATTAATGTTTAACCCTGCATGATCGAAAGAGGCAACTAAATGGGTTAAGATAACTAGAGTCTATGCATCTCTTAGCCCCAGCAGGTGAGGTAATTTTGACCCCTGGTGTTGCTTTAAGTTGTAACACTGGACGTTACCCAAAATCAGCTTTTCTGTTTTGGCATGATATGACCGAAATTGTGTTGGAACCCTGTAAAACAAAACAAGTAAGTACCAATCAGGCTGCTCATGTTTCTTATCGTGTGACAAGTGTTCATACTTTATGAGGTTTATGTCAGTCAGGAATTTGATGATATTATAAAACAAGATGAATACTTTATATTTCAAAACAAATAATTTCAATTTTACAGGGTATATAAAGAATTTAAAGACTGTATCAAGGAGGATTTGTCCACATGTGATCAATGGTCACTTGATAATCTCATTGATGACAGGATTTATGAAATTTTCAACCGTTTAAAAGAGGACGGGAAGTTAGATGATGAATATGAACCTTTAGATGCTGATACCTGTAAAAGTAAGTGAAACATAAGCAAGTGCTATCCTTAACCTTAGAATTCTGGTAACAGTAAAGCCTTTGCAACCAGTAAAACATTTGACCACCTAAAACATCAGACCAGCTGTAATGTTAAACCAGCTGTAATGTCAAACCAGCTGTAATGTAAGACATGTCATGTCAAACCACCTGTAAAAAAATTAATGTCAGACATGTAAAGTTAAACCATCTGTAATGTCAAACAACCTGTAACATCAGATGAGCTGTAATGTCTGGCCACCTGTAATGTCAGACATGTAATGCCAAGCGACTGTAATGTCAAACCAGCTGTTATGTCGGACCTGTAATGTCAAACCACCTGTTACATCAGATGAACTGTAACATCAAACCATCTGTAATGCCAAACCACTTGTAATGTCAAACCACCTGTTATGTCAAACCACCCGTAATGTCAAACCACCTGTAATGTGGGACCTGTAATGTTAAACAACCTGTTATGGCAAACCACCTCTAATGTCAGACCTGTTATGTCAAACCACCTGTAATGTTGGATCTGAAATGCCAAACCGCTTGTAAAGTCAAACCACCTGTTATGTCAAACCACCCGTAATGTTAAACAACCTGTAAAGGCAAACCACTTCTAATGTTGGATCTGTAATGTCAAACCACCTGTAATGTCGGATCTGTAATGCCAAACCACTTGTAATGTCAAACCACATGTAATGTCAAACCATCTGTAATGTCAAACCACTTGTAATGTCAAACCATCATTAATGTCAACTACATGTAATGTCAAACCTGTAATGTCAACCCACATGTAATGTCAAATCACCTGTAATGTCAAACCACCTGTAATGCCAACTATCTGTAATGTCGAACATGTAATGTCAAACCACCTGTAACATCTGATAGGCTAATTAAAATGTCAGACCATATGTAACATCAGGCCACCTGTAATATCAGACCACTGATCATGTTTACAGTCTGACAAAGCTTTATACTGTTAGATTACTTACTTCTATATTTTCATCTTCATGTCATTTATAATGGACATTTCTGAATATTCAAGTTTTGCATCCAATCTCATAATTAACACAACACATATTTTTATACCCCCACCACAAAATGTGGGGGGGCTATAATGGATTCGCTTTGTCGCGTCGGTCGGTCGGTCGGTCGGTCCGTCGGTCGGTCGGTCCGTCTCCATTTTCGTGTCCGCTCTATAACTCCTATACCAATTGAAGGATTTTCTTCAAACTTGGCTCAAATGTTCACCTCAACAAGGGGATGTGCAGAACCCATATTGCCCATGTGTCAGCTCAAGGTCAAGGTCACAATTGAAGGTCAAATATCAAACACTATCAAATATTACACAGTATGTCGTGTCCGCTCTGTAAGTCCTACACTACTTGAAAGATTTTCTTAAAACTTGGCTCAAATGTTCACCTCAACCAGGGGATGTGCAGAACCCATGTCGCCCATGTGTCAGCTCAAGGTCAAGGTCACAATTGAAGGTCAAATATCAAACAATTAAATATTTTACAGTATGTCGTGTCCGCTCTGTAAGTCCTACACTTCTTGAAAGATTTTCTTCAAACTTGGCTCAAGTATTCACCTCAACAAGGGGATGTGCAGAACCCATGTTGCCCATGTGTCAGCTCAAGGTCAAGGTCACAATTGAAGGTCAAATATCAAACACTATCAAATATTACACAGTATGTCGTGTCCGCTCTGTAAGTCCTACACTACTTGAAAGATTTTCTTCAAACTTGGCTCAAATGTTCACCTCAACCAGGGGATGTGCAGAACCCATGTTGCCCATGTGCCAGCTCAAGGTCAAGGTCACAATTGAAGGTCAAATATCAAATATTACACATTATGTTGTGTCCGCTCTGTAAGTCCTACACTAATTGAAAGATTTTCTTGAAACTTGGCTCAAATATTCAACTCAACAAGGGGATGTGCAGAACCCATGTTGCCCATGTGTCAGCTCAAGGTCAAGGTCACAATTGAAGGTCAAATATCTAACACTATCAAATATTACACAGTATGTCGTGTCCGCTCTGTAAGTCCTACACTACTTGAAAGATTTTCTTCAAACTTGGCTCAAATGTTTAACTCAACAAGGGGATGTGCAGAACCCATGGTGCCCATGTGCCAGGTCAAGGGCACAATTGAAGGTCAAATATCAAACAATCAAATATTACACAGTATGTTGTGTCCACTCTGTAAGTCCTACACTAATTGAAAGATTTTCTTCAAACTTGACTCAAATATTCACCTCAACCAGGGGATATGCAGAACCTATGTTGCCCATGTGTCAGCTCAAGGTCAAGGTCACAATTGAAGGTCAAATATCAAACAATCTAATATTACACAGTATGTCATGTCTGCTCAGTTTGTCCTACACTAATTGAAAGATTTTCTTCAATCTTGGCTCAAATGTTCATCTCAACCAGGGGATGTGCAGAACTTATGTCACTCTTTTGCTGGCTTAAGGTCAAGGTCACACTTGAAGGTCAAAAATTGAAAATATTCTTAAATTTTAACATTTATTTGAATATTTCTAAATCTAGAAAAGGTATTTGCTTGAAACTTAAAATATTTTTGAAGGGTCACAATTCCGATATGCTGTTCGTTCAAGTTTCATAACTCCTCTGTATTGCATTTTAACAAAGTTATGCCCCTTTTTAAGTCTTCAAATTTACATACAATCAAATATTAGACAATATGTTGTGTCCGCTCTATAAATCCTATACTAATGGAAGAATTTTCTTCAAACTTTACTCATATTTTCACCTCAACAAGGTTATGTGCAGAATCCTTGTCACCTTTGTGCCGGCTAAAGGTCAAGGTCACACTTGAAAGTCAAAAATTGACTTAGAAAATGTTCTTAAATTTTAACATGTACTTGAATAATTCTGAAACTAGCGCAGGCATTTGCTTGAAACTTAAAAGATATATGAGGTGTGGCAAATAAGATATGCAGGTCAAGTTTCATTACTCTGTATTGCATTTTGTCAAAGTTATGCCCCTTTTTTTAGTCTTCAAATTTACATACAACCAATACTAGACAATATATTGGGTCTACTCTATAAATTCTATACTAATGGAAGGATTTTCTTCAAACTTTACTCAAATGTTCAACCAAACTGGGTGATGTGCAAAACCCATCTTACCCTTGTGCCAGATTAAGGTCAAGGCCACACTTGAAGGTCAAAAATTGACTTATAAATAAAGTGTTTAATACATTGGGAAAATGAAAGGTTATTTGTAACTGTTTCGAACATGATTTGATAATATATATTTATACTATTACCTGTACAATTAATCTTTTTTTCACCAGAGATAATTTCTTTTTATGTATTTGTGCCACATAAGTTATTCCCTTTACCACCTTTCAAAGTGGTCTTCTGTCAAGGACATTGGTGGGGGTATGAATCGCATTCAGCGATAGTTCTAGTAGTACTAGGTTATTTGGAAGGATTAATCTTTATCATCATAGCTACCAGTTCTTTGTACTGAAATGCATTGATTAACAAAATTTCATGAAGTAGAATGTATGTATTTGTTGTTGTTGTTGTAGGTAATGTATGCTGGTCAGATGTACATGTTCTCAATGCAACAATGGTAAATTGTATGGGAGATTTGAAAGCACTTTCAGGAGTGTCATCAATGAGCACCGATGATTGTATGTAAGTAATCATACAGCTGATAATTATATACCATATATGCATGGGATAAAACTTTCTTCTTTGCTTTGTTTTGAGAGCAAATACTTCGTATAATGGCAAAATAGTCTTGTAGTGAAATGTATCAAAGTTCTTGTACGTATAATAACTTTTAGGAATAAGACTTGAATCTTTACCATCCCAACAACTGTAAATTGACCAAAACCTTACAGGAGGAATTGCTGAGCCTATTATATAGGAATCTAACAGTAACACACTCTGATTGTCATTATAAACTGCAATATCTACTTCTTTTTAATGCAGCATGCCTACAGATTCATGCTTATTTTCATAAAAAAATTGAAAATGTATTAACATACAATATTGTGAAGTGAACAAATAAAGGAATTAACACACTTCAAACCGCACAGTAAATCCATGTAAATTACCAAAATATAGGTCAAAATTTGCAATAATAGCCCTTACTGTGCTAGTCATGCAGAATGTTTTATTTTTTAATGTTTGAGGAATTAATCATTTTGTCAATGTATTCTTGTGTCATATTTCAGGAAAGTGTTTTCATTGACAAAATGCATCACTGATGCCCTTTATCAGAGAGTCTGGCGTAAATGTGACAGTGAAGATATTGAGACTGTATTTGAGAAAGTCAGACATTCAGAACGATTTCAGATGTTAGCAAGGAATAATTCCCTGGATTTATCAAACCTAGATATCAAAATGTGTGAAGGTTAGTAATTACTTTAATATGCGGTACTTTTTATTTTCATAATTTGACAAATTTGATATTTACTGTATCAGATTCTTTTAGTTGAACTTTCCAACACAGTTAAAATTTATGAAAGAATTTCAATGTGGTATTGGGCATCATTATATATAAATTTTTATAGATCTATAATTATCGTTTTATGTGTTATGTGTTTTATTTTCAGTTCTATTACATGTTATTCTAAAATTGATTTGCATTTTTGTCCAAAGTTAAGCATTTAGTTTTAGTGTATGCAGAATTTATTTTAGTTTGTGTAGGAATATGTTTGGCTATAGACACACTCTTGAACCAATTTCAGAACCAACCAGAACTTAGCAATGATTGTAAAGTTTCTTGCTCAAAGAAATGACACCTTGCTGCCAAGGTGGTTTGAACCAACATAGCCAGCAATCCATAGATTTTTACTCCAATGTGTTTATCACCAGCAGACCAAGTCTAAAAATTTCATTTGCTATTCTACATTGCCTTTAATTTTTTGTTTCTTCAATAACGCTCCAAAAAAAATAAATAATATAAGCTGTATATAGTATTTGTAGATCTATGAGGTTCTTGTTTGAAATTTTCAAGACTATACATGCATAACCTGATAATCAATTGGATACCCTTCTGTAGACTGTAGGCTTGAAAGCATTTCCTCGGGCTAATATATGGTAGCACTGATAAATTGGCCAATAGAGTAACTGTTTAAGAAGAACAATGTTGTTACTCCAATTCAAGTTTTATCAACTTTTCTCCTTGTAAATAAGTAATTCATTTACTTAGAAAATTGATTAAATATATGTGATTGGGTAAATTCCAAATTTTGTACTGCAGCAAAAGTTTGCCATCCGAAGCAATTGACAAGATTTGCAGAAACCAACTGCAGTAAAGCTTTTGAAGCATACATGAAAGATGGATACTGTTTGTAAGTAACAAGCTGATATTTGAATCTTGAATCTTGTAACACTTGTTTTGTTACCAAACACTGTTGATTCAATCATTTTCTGGCTTGACTATTCAAAGAAGAGGCAGAGCTTTTATACTCATTCAGTTGTTGGTGTTCCACTTTGATTAAGTCTTTGGGTGCAAGTTGATGTCCCCAATAACTAGTGAAGGGAATGGTTTGAAACTTTTACACTTATTTGAGAGCACAATAGGAGGTCATTGTCCAAAGCTCATAACTTGATCAAAGGTTTTGACAGAATTATCCTTTTTGAACTTAGAAAATTCTTATCCAAGCTCCTGTTTTACTATCAAGCACTGAGAATAGTCCAACAACTTTTGTTACGATGTGAAATTCTCATATATTGTCACCTGAGTGCTGTAACGGTCAATAAGTCCTTGTAAATTTAATAGCAGTTTATCAGTTATAGCACTAAGGTGTCAATATGAAGATGTATTCTAGCCAACTTTTCCATAGAAATTTGATGGTATTACAAAGATGTCTTACACCAGAAACAGTTTACATGAGAACTCCAGAGGGTATTCTTTACAAGTCAAACAGGACATTATAGGTCACCATCTTGCATTTACAAAGAATGTGTGATTCTCAAACATGGAATGTTATAAAACCTTCAAATAAATATTTCAGACCCCTAAATGTTAAAGGACCTCTCTGGAGTCCCTTTGAAAGTTTGTTCTTACATGTATTAAACTAAATAAAAAAAGATCTATTGCTTTTAAAATGTTAAGGTACAGTAATACCATTATACATTATATTTTGATGTTCATTAATACCATTTCTTGTGTTTTTGTGTTGTCTTTTAAGTTTTAAGAAAAACTGATGCCACTTGTTTCAGTCACGTTGAAATGTTTGCGGGTTGTGCCAAATTCCAAAGATTGTTCAGTGAGGAGTCATGTACAATTAAGGAAATCATATTTGTGTTGAAAAAATGGGGAGGAGAAATTATTAAAAAGTTAGATAAAGATGATACACTTGAAAATCCGGATGACAGGAAGTTCGAAAGTTGTGCAGGTATGTTCTGTTGTTCAGGAATATTTTGTACAGTATTACACTATTTAAAAATATTGAAACTTCCGCTATTAATTCATTACATGTCAACTTTATTTTTTTCTAACACATAGGTTTGAAGGAAAAAAAAAAAAGTTTTATGAATATATACAGTTGAAATATACATTGTATTGTTGCTTACAAATTAAAAAGAAAAGAAACATTGGTGAAAGATTGCATTTTACCAGTGATTTTACCAGTGACCTATTTTGCCAATAGACATTAACACCATCTACAAACCAGCTCTTGTGACACTTTGCATTAAGACCTAAGCTATTTAACATGCTACATTGTAGACCTTACATTAGGGCTTTCGCCTGTTATGCACCAGGTCATTGGTTCATCCTGTGGTATGGTTGTGCCATGACCATTATTAGATTGGTACTAGAATCCTAGTTGCTTGAAAGGAGTGGTTTGCTTTAGTGTTCGAAGATATATTGTCAACTTCGTGCAGTAATAGGTTTACTCCTTGTATAATTTAATAGGAGTTAACCTGTTACTGCACTAAGGTAATGATATGACATATAACAAAATGATGTTTGTTTTTCTCTATTTCTGCTTTATAACAGGTGATGAGGAGTTGGAAACATTTGAGAACAATTTCCCAAAATCAAGCAGCGACATCTGCTCCTATTATGGTGTCAACCATTACAATTTCAGATACAATTGCTTGTCAAATGTAAAGTCGACATTCCTGAAAAATGATGAACAATGCATGTACGCACAATTTTGTTTTATTTTCTAATTATTACCACAAAGTTACAGCTCTTATGAAATTTTATGATTGAAAGCTGTCAGCTGTCCTTCATGGTTTTTTTTCTGAAATAAAATCTCTCCTGCTAGGAATAGGTTTTGAAGAAAACTTTTTCACCATGTGTATAATGTCAAGAACCAAGATCTTTTGTTATGCAATCTTTTGCAACAAATTTTTGTAGACCTCTACCAATGTGATATTAAACCCATAATTAACCTATTGGTACCAAGAGTGATCAGCCTTTGCCACCAGTATAGAGCAAGGCTAGCCTATTCATCTGTATAATCTGACCAAGCTCTATACTGTTTTATGACTTATTATGCCCCCACTTCAAAGAAGAGGGGGTATATTGCTTTGCATTTGTCTGTCGGTCATGACCAGTAGATAACCCTTATTAATTTTTTGTTCACTGGGTCAAAAGTCATGCATAATAACCTGATCACATGACTAGTTGGCTGCCGATAGGGGGCATACATGTTTTACAAACATATCTTGTTTTAAATTTTCATCTTAATTATCCCCTAATTGTTAAATGACAGGTCCAAAAATGGAAGCTGGTCCTTTTAATGATAGTTTAGATCATGCTAACTGTGAAGGACTTTGATGACAACTTTAGAAAAATGGTTTGTAACAAATCTGAAACCAGAAGCAATGAAACAACAATATCATTATAAAAATTGCAGACTTTTGATTAAATCTGTTCATGAGAGATAATGTAGAAGTGCAACTCTCTTTCCCCAGAGCAATGGCTTAAGCAGTGTTCAGTCTGCAACACTAGCATGCTGGAATCAATGATCCCGAAGATCGTGAAAAATATAACAGCACGGAAGTGAAGAATGGGGCAAAGGTTTACAGCTGCCTCACAGCACCTCACAGCTGTTGTGCAGTATAAAAAAGTGGAAAAGGGTCTATGCATCTGAAGCAATGAAACAAAAATGCAGACTTGGTGTGATTGAGTCTGTACATGAGAGATCATGTAAATGTGCTAAATCAACATGAAGACTTCAAATTAAGGCATTGCTTGTGTCAATAAAAAAGAAAGTTCTGCCAAATTTGATTCATTTCAATTGTCACCCACTATTAAAAATGTCTGTGTTTACATTATCATTATTTATGATTTTGATGGTGTTTTTTATTTACAGATACAAAGAATATTCAACAGGGTGTTTGTATGAATCAATGAAGGACTTTGGCTGTACATTTGATAATGCGAAGACAGCCATTGCAAACCCACAAGTATTGATGGGAATGTTTAGTGACAATTTGGATTGTGGTAAGTACTAGTTCTTTAACAATTTGAGCCGCGTCACGACAAAACCAACACAGTGCGTTTGCGACCAGCATGGATCCAGACCAGCCTGCGCGTCCCCATGGTCTGATCAGGATCCATGCTGTTTGCTATCAGTTTCTCTACTTGTAATAGAGTTGGTAAGCAAACAGCATAGATCCTGATCAGACTGCGTGGATGCACATGCTGGTCTGGATCCATGCTGGTTGCAAACGCATTATGTTGGTTTTGTCGTGACGCAACTCAATTATATGTTATACAAGAATAGCTCTATCATTGAACTTTTCAACTCACAGTATGTTTGCCCACTTGTGCTGAATATATATATCTATAGATCTATTTAAGTGATGAGATCGCCTCCGTGGTCGAGGGGTTAGAGTCGTTGACTTCTAATCTAGTTACCTCTCTGGCGTGGGATTGATCCCCGGGAGATGCTTTGGTAGTTTAGCGCGGAGGAAGGTAGTCTAGTACTGGTGTAACTCTCCAGGAACGATGGTTAGGAAACTACCCACCTATATGTCTGAAATACTGTTGGAAAAAGGCGTAAAATGGAACAAACAAACAATTTAAGTGATGCATGGCATTTTCATTACCATTTCAGATGCAGTTTTAGAGGGGCTAAATGATTGTGACAAACATATATTGTACATTGGTAGAGGTCCTACAGATCATTGTTTAATGCCCATCACAGGCTTCACAAATTACAGGGTTTATGGACTTGATGTTAATGTTGATGATCAAAAGACTGTAAATGAAGACAAACTTTTAAAATGCAGGTTAGAATATTGAATCCCATGTTTCAATGAACATTGTCTCATGATATCATATTTATACATTAAAAAAGGTTAACAGACTACAGAATCATCAAATTAACACTTTCCATGTTAAGAAATGGCTCCATATCCTTTTGACGGCCATCCGCTATACCCGTAGGACGGCCAAAGCGTTAGAAAACGTATCGAATTTTTACATTTCTGAAAGTCAGTCTTATTTTACGACAGACGTCCATAGCTTAGTAAAACTTATCAAAAATATACGTTTCTAGAAACCGTAGCGTAAATCAGGGTAAAACTTGAATTTTGTGTCATGCAAACCCGTAAAAACCTCGTTTTCGTACATTCTGGTTTTTTAATGTGTTTAAAGCCATACCGTATAACACTGTTAATATTACGTTCAACTGCAATAAACAGACTCACAATCCTTGTTTTTTAAAACAAGTTCTGAACGTTTTAAAACGGTAAATTTTACGTTATTTACCTTTATAGCCCATTAGAATACCGTGTTGAGTAAAACGTCCACAACGTTTTAAAACGTAATTATTGAATATCAATGAAAATCAATTTTTCTCAGGAAGGGTGATTGATATTATGCTTTTCAACGTGAATTTTGTAAGTTCAACTCATTTTTGTTTCAAATAAGAGAACTGCTTACAGAAACTTTGTTTGATGTATCAATAAATGCATTTTAAAATACTATACCATTTAGAAGATTTTCTTCAATTAATTTGGATATCGATTTGATTACCTCATTAATCAAAAAGTGTACTGTATATCTAAACATTTACTATATCTGCCAATATGGGCACTATACAATTAACATATTTGGTGTTTTTATTTGAACAACATTTAACAGAATGAAATAAATGAAAGGTAAACTTCAAGAATTTAGTCATTTAAAACTAAATTTTGGTGGCCTTCCTACGACAAAACAGTAGTGGCTTTCAGGAAGCCAAAATTTTATACCGGTTTATTACGTTATAGCCTTCTTATGACTATAGCGCCCGGCTTTTGAGAAGTTGATTTTTCAGTACGTTTTATTACGCTATGGCCGTTGAAAGGATATAAAGAAACTAGCTCTTGGCTTCAGTAGTGTAGGAGAGACAGGTGAAATGTGGGAAACCTAAGTGACTGTTGGTTTAGAGATATAGTTTAGTCAAACGACAGTATACACTTATCATAAGCAGTGTAGAATGTGGGCAAGCACTTGTTTGTTTTCTTAAAGTAATTTAAGCAAAGTAGGGACCGTTTTTCATTATGAGGTGATACGTATTTTTTACTTTGATAAATGTTTATTTCACTATATTGGAAAAGTATATTATTCGATGTGTGTTTATTTGACCATATTGCCAAAGTATGATAATATAAGTTTATTTGACCATATTGGAAGAAAGAATTATATTTAATGTGTGTTAATTTGACCATATTGGAAGAGAATATTATTTGATGTGTGTCTTTTTTGGAAATATTGGAAAAGTATGATAATCAATATGCGTTTATTTGACCATATTGGAAGGAAAATTATAATAGGACTATATGAGAAGAAGAATTATATTAGAGATGTGTTTATTTGACCATAATGGAAAAGAATAATATTTGATGTGTGTTTATTTGATCATTAAGTTATGTACACTTGTTATGTAATGTTTTGTTTTTTAGCTTACTGGAGGACGCAGCTGCTTGTTTTGAAAAGAAGACACCTTACACTGGTAGTGGAGTTTGTAACGCAGCTTCATTTAAGAAAATAATTAACTATGAAGTTAGATTGTACCAAGAAGTAGTTAAGCGTACATTAAGTCCAGATGGTGAAGAAAACTTTGTACCAGTTGATTTTGACGAGTGTACTATACGTAAGTTCATTTAACTTACATTCAATGCACAGAATTTTCAAAATATTTTTTTTTCCAGTTTTTCCTATAATGGCTTTGGAATAACCAGTTGTTAACAATATCAGGAATTTATGAAGATCTGAAATTTAGAAGTTCCACTGTAATAGCTTACAATTTTTGTTGCTGAATTTTTAAAGTTTAAAGCTTTTCATATAATACATAGAAAAAATACCTATTAAGGTTTTATTAAAAATTTTGTGACCATTCATATAGTTGAGTGGTTAATATCCTTGTCTCGAAAAATCTTGCCCCTCATCTCTTTGAATATCAGGAATTTGGGACTCTTCCTTATGACAAGTTACGTGGCTAGTTTATGCCAGGCTTGAGTGTTGAGTGTCCAGCTAGCTTGCTTACTGAAATGATGCACTAAATGGGCACTTGAGGTAGTCTTCTACCAGTTGAATTGAAAATCACAATATTACTTTTGCAGTGGTGATGTGTATTAAAACCAAACAAATTGATTAATTTACATAAAATTATTATGTTTTGCATTCATTTTGCAGCTGGTGACTTGGACATAAACTTTGGAGAATGCCCTGAAGATAATGTTATTGCAGATCTATTAGTGGCTGTCTGTGCTCCAAGATTTATGATCGTACAGTTGCTATATCCACAAACATCAACGTGCATGTAAGTACTGGATGTGATATCTATGTACAATGATATTGCTTTCCAAAATTTCCTGTTAAAGCATTCACTTGTACATTTTTCTTTATGTCCTACCCTCTTTGTGTCACTTGCTATTACTTGTGCCTTGTATCTTTTGTACCAATGGTAGAAAATAAGACAGCAATATAAATCAGAATGTGAGGATGAGTATAGGGCAGAATTTGGCTTCCTCAGACAAAGGTCAAGGTCATTCAAAATTCTATGCAAGAAAAATTCAAAGTGAATAAACTGTAATTAATGATGAAATTTTTATTTATATCAATCCCCTTGTGGCTGACAGATTGCCTTTAGCAGTTGAGACATCTGAATTGCAGCCACTGCTTAACCCTGTGTGATCATAAGAGGCGACCTAAATGGGTTCAAATAACTGGAGTCTATGCACCTCTTATCTCCAGCAGGTGAGGTGGTTTTGACTGCTGGTGTTGCTTTAAGTTTGTAACACATGAAGTTAGACAAAATCATCTTTCCTGTTTCAGTGCAATATGACCTTAATTGTGTTGGTGCCCCATAAAACCGAACAGATATTTACATCAAGGAGAGAATGCTCAATGATTACAGTGAATTACCTTAATGCTATATTGCAAAGCAACAGTATGACCATTTACTTAGAATTAAGATAACGAGATTATATTTAAAAAAAAAGTATTTTTAACATTTAAGTTAAAAAGGAAATCAAGTTGTATTTTAATGATCTTACATAAGATTCTGTGGAAACCTTTTTTCAAATTTTTAGCTCGACTATTCGATAAGAATAAGTAGAGCTATTGCAGTCACCCGAGCGTCGGCGTCGGCGTAACCACTTATGTTAAAGTTTTTGTAATAGTTCAAATATTTTCAAAGTCCATAGACATATGGCTTTGAAACTTTGCACACTTGTTCACCATCATGACCCCAACCTGTAGACAGGAGGAGGTAACTCTATCAGGCATTTTGACAGAATTATGCCCCTTTTTCGACTTAGAATTTACGTTAAAGTTTTTGTAATAGTTCAAATATTTTCAAAGTCCATTGACATATGGCTTTGAAACTTTGCACACTTGTTCAACATCATGACCCCAACCTGTAAACAGGAGGAGGTAACTCTATCAAGCATTTTGACAGAATTATGCCCCTTTTTTTACTTAGAATTTACGTTAAAGTTTTTGTAATAGTTCAAATATTTTCAAAGTCCATTGACATATGGCTTTGAAACTTTACACACTTGTTCACCATCATGACACCAACCTGGAAACAGGAGGAGGTAACTCTATCAAGCATTTTGACAGAATTATGCCCCTTTTTCGACTTAGAATTTACGTTAAAGTTTTTGTAATAGTTCAAATATTTTCAAAGTCCATTTACATATGGCTTTGAAACTTTGCACACTTGTTCACCATCATGACCCCAACCTGTAAACAGGAGGAGGTAACTCTATCAAGCATTTTGACAGAATTATGCCCCTTTTTCGACTTAGAATTTACATTAAAGTTTTTGTAATAGTTCAAATATTTTCAAAGTCCATTGACATATGGTTTTGAAACTTTGCACACTTGTTCACCATCATGACCCCAACCTGTAAACAGGAGGAGGTAACTCTATCAAGCATTTTTTTTACTATCAAGCACTAAGAATAGTCGAGCGTTGCTGTCCTACCGACAGCTCTTGTTTAAAATGAAAACTGATAATCCATCATTCTGGCCATCAAGTTTTGGTTGTCTGTGTCAGCCTAACTACAAGAAAATTATGTTTACTCTTAATAATAATATTCTTCCTCTGATGTGTTTGACTTTAGAAATAAGAAAAAGACGAACATAGCACCTGCTAGGTGGTGGCTTTTGTTGATTGGTTAGAGAGTAATGGTCCAACTTTGGGTGTTGTTGTAAACTTTATATTATTTCATTTGTTTTTTTCCCCAGATATTCATTTGCTGTAACAGAATGTTATGAAAACTCTCATATTGCAAGACTTGAAAAATGTAGCAATGAGAGGAAGAAGAATGCATTAATGACCAATGATGATTATATGTCTTCGCTCAGTAACGGATTCAGCTTTGAGAAATGCTTTGGTTAGTATTCTTTTATATATTCATATGATATAAATACTCGTATTGAGAGGTTATTTCCTCACCCATTTGTATGTTTGAAGGCTACTTTTGTTTCAAAATTATTTCCAAGTTTCTCCATATGATCTAAACAATATGGATGTGACTTAAAACAAACAGAAAAAAAAAGAAATGTTGCTTTTTTCTTAAAGAAAATAATTTGTTATTTAGTTTTAATCAAGAAATCTTTTCTTGGTGAATGTCTGCTGATGAACATGTAATAGGTTTAGTTCTTCTTAATTCAATAGGAGTTAACCAGTTATTGCATGTAAGGTGATAAAATAGTTTACTCTGTACCAAATAAAAAAAAAGACAACAATCATTATATCAATGGCAGTGTTTACCCTGACATATCTGTATTTAATAATTTTTAGAGTTAGACAAAGGAAATGAAGAAGGCATAACTTAAATTTCATCTTTAGACTTAGTACATTGTTAACCATGAAGATGTAGTATATATATATATAATTACATTGCGTATATTGTATATATCATTTATACTTAATTTACGTGTCATCGTTGTTACCCACCGGAAGTGACTCTGCTAACTACATTCATGCGAATGAAGTGTACATGTTACAAGTACTGTTAGCCTGGGTTACCAAGGTTTTACAGAGGATAACACTAAGTGTTAAGATAAGACATTCAATGATACTTTAATGGTTGTGTGTGTGTTTCCAGGTTATACAAGCTGTCTTGAGAAATTTAGCCAGAACACTGACTGCCTTTATAAGTACATTTCCCTACATCTTATTGCTGACCAGATGACTGCCAGTCAGAAGTGCACGTAAGTCATTATAGAACGTAGTCAACCCTTCTTGCTGTTGCTCAGCACATATCTCCCGGTTTCTAAGCAACATCAAACAGTATTTAATAAAGATTTCAGCAGAAATAAAAGTTATATTTCTAATAAATGGTGGTTGAACATTAACTTTATTTTATACATGGCATGCAGCAGCAAAATTTATTAGGATTATAATGTATATTGCCAATAGACGTCCAATTTGATTTTACCTATGTAATCTAAGGGCATGAACATTTATTGTTTAGCTTCATGGTGCACTATACCATTCACAACAAAATAATCAAAATATGTTTTCAATTATTTTCAATAATAATTATATCACTATCAATTAATGCAACACTTCAAAGTTATAAATGTAATTAGGATTAATTTGTAAAAACTTGTATTTATATAAGAACTCAAGAGTATCTCTATTCAACATTTATTTTGGAAATGGCATGTATTTGACTTTGTGTGAAGTATATACATTTATTTATAATTTGTTCACTGCTTCAGAATGTTGACTTACTATAGAGAACAGACAATAAAATGCTATGGAGAGAGAATTCCTACTTGTGGTAAACACGCAAATGAATATTTATCAGCATTTGTGGATACTAGAGATGAAATAATGAAAACCTTCCCTGATCGTGAACAATGTAAACGTATGTATTCAACCACTTTTTAGCTTAAACTAAGTGTCTTTTAATTTGCTATTGTTGCAAAAATGTTTTTTAACAAGACACTGCTTGAAGTGTATCTAGAAATGATATTTCAAGTCTATGAAATAAAGAAGGATTTACAACAGTTTAGTGATCAACCTTCGATTTGAGCTATACTGCTTATTAATTCTTGAGCAATACATCTGGATAATCTGTGAAAATTTAGACATATACATAAAATATCAATAATCATTTAGACATTCACTTAAATATCAGTAACGAAGGTTGTCAGGAAAATTTGTATAATTTCTTGATCAAATGCTCACAGAACAAATTACATAATTGTTAACTTCAACATTTTTAATATATTAGATCTGTAATATTTAGAAAGATATTACACAGTGGTGAGAGGCAAGTGGCTTTAAGTCATCAAACTCAACCATGCGGCCAAATTGGGAGCCCTCGGTTGTTTTTTAACAGAAAAGTACATGATGATATGTAAAGATTATAAGGTATAATACTCTCACTCGTTATTTTGCAAGAAATCAGGTATTGCAATAATTTTATCTGTTTCTATAAATGTATAACATATTCTATTAATTTCTGTAGAAACATACATGGTTGGATTAGGACTGCCTAATGAACCTTATAATGAAGATTATGCTGATAAAAATAGTGATGCCTTCAAGAATTTGATAACCAGGGTTGAGGCTATGGTAAGCTGAATTTATGCTTAGTACATGATGTTTTGGTAAAATGTTTTTTTAGCTTGATTGTTAGTTTATTCTACGTACATATGAGCTGCGTCAAGACAAAACCAACATACTGCGTTTGTGACCAGCATGGATCTGGACCAGCCTGCACATCCGCCCAGTCTGATCAGGATCCATGCTGTTCGCTATCAGTTTCTTAATGTTAGAGTTGGTAAGCGAACAGCATGGATCCTGATCAGACTGCGCGGATGTGCAGGCTGTTCTGGATCTACTCTGGTCGAAACCCATTATGTTGGTTTTGTCGTGACGCGCTTCAAACATATCTTTTAAACCATAATGGTAAACATCTATCAAAGAGCTCTAGTTTGGAGGTTGAGAAGCTAAAATGGCTTTTTTGGAAATCCTGTTCAATGTATGTGTGCAAAATCTACCCAACCACTGAAAGTTTTCACACGACTCTCAAGGTCTAATTGTATGGGTCAGACCCATAACTCTAGTATAGAAACTTCAAGTAGAACAAACAATAAAGAAATGCAAAAGTAATCTCTATCTTCTTTTAAGGTTAAAACAATATCTCAATTTACATGCCAGGAAACTTTTCTATAATGCCTATATTTTACCTCATATAGAATATTGCTGTTCAATTTGGGGAAATTGCTCAAAAGAACTTCTTGAGAGAATACTAAAATTTCAAAAACGAGCAGCTCGCATTATCCTAGATAAAGCTGCAGATGCACCATCTGAACCTCTTTTCAAAGAATTAAGATGGATGAAATTTAATGACAGGGTTGAGTACAAAAAGGCAATCCTGATATACAAATCATTACATGAAGAAAAATCACCATGCTACATGAAAGAAAAATTTCATTTTATCTCAACTTTACATAACAGAAATCTTAGATCAACAAACAATCTTAATCTACATGCCCTAAACCTAATCTTGAGTTTTACCGTTAATCACTTTCTTATTCTGGAACAAAAATCTGGAATAATATACCACTCTATGTACGTCAGTCTGAAAGTACTGAAAAATTCAAAAAAGCTTACATAAAATGGAAGTACTCTGGTTAAACCAGTACCATAGTATTATGTTTGTATAATTATGTTTACTGCAGTTTTCATTGTTAATGGTTAATATTATGTTTAGTTTGTCATTGCATTTATAACTAGTTAATACCATGTTTTATAATATTACATTGTCTTTTGTATAATTATTTGATGTAAATATGTTGTAAATATGTTGAGGTACATATGGAAGATCGTTTTGGCGAATATGTAGCCTCTTTAAATAAAGCCTTTATTAGTCCCCTACTGGTTTAACCGGAGGGGACTTTAGGTTTACCCTCCGTCCGTCTGTCCGTCTGTCTGTCTGTTCGTCTGTCTGTCAGTCTGTCAGTCAGTCAGTCCGTCCGTCCACAAAACTGGATCCCGCGATAACGCAAAAAGTACTGAAAATATTTTTATGAAACTTGATATATGGATATAAAGCAGTACCAGGACATTATGCACGTCTTTTTTTCTTCCTATGTTGAAAATTCTGGTTGCTATGGCAACAAATAGTCTGAAAATATGACAAATTTAACACATAAACTGAATCAAGTGATAACTCAAAAAGTACTGAAAATATTTTTATAAAACTTGAAATATGGGTAGATGGCAGTCTGGAGATTATGCACATCTTTTTCTTTTCTTCCTATGGTGAAAATTCTGGTTGCCTTGACAACAAATAGCCTGAATTTCAAGATTTCTGATTTAAATTTTTCAGCTTTTTCACTATAAGTTCTTTATTTCTTAAGGTGTTTACTTCAAACTTTAAATATAAAGTTCTGGTCATCAACCACATCATATGTGACAAGGTTTATAACTCTAGCACAAAAAATATCAGTATTACCGCCCTTGAACTTAGATTTTTTAGGGGAAAAAATGTTGTCTTTTTTAAATAACTTCTTTATTTCCTAATGTATCTACTTCAAACTTCATATATATGTTTCTTATTATCACTCGACATTTTTGAGAAGGTTAAATACTCTAGCAAGACTATTTCCAGATTTATGTCCCTCTTGAACTTAGATTTTTTTCGAGAAACTGGTATTTTCACTTCAACTTCTTCATTCCTTATAGGATTTACTTTAAAATCCCACATCGTAATAATATGACAAAGTTGTATAAACATAATTTCCTTACTAAGCATGGAAACTTAACACATTACTGTGATATAGACAAACTTATTTTATTATGTTTTGTGGTTGATATTTTCAAATACAGACTTCATCCTCAAATTCATTATAAATGGCAATACACAGGAGTGTATGACAATTAAAGAACTTTTTGAGGGACCGGTAGGGGACTACTGTATTGCCCGCAATACTATCAAATGCTTGTTATTATTATTATTATTTTTATTATTAGTATCCTCGTTTCTTTGTGTTACAAAAGACACTGAGAAGCCATTAGCTAAATACCTTTAATCTAAAAAAAAATTCAAAGAATGAAAGATTAAATATAATTGGAACTATGATAAAACATTTAGGCAACTCAATAAACCTTCTCACTCGTAGTTAACGCCTTTGGGTGGAGGGGTTAGAATCGATGACTTCTAATCCAGTTACCTCTCTGGCGTGGGTTTGATCCCCGGGAATTGCTTTGGTAGTTTAGCACGGAGGATGGTAGTCTAGTACTGGTGTAACTCTCCAGGAACGATGGTTAGGAAACTATCCGCCTATATGACTGAAATACTGTTGGGAAAAGGCGTAAAATGAAACAAACAAACAAACAAAACTCACTCCTTGTTTATGACAAATATTTATTATTTGTACTTTAACTAAATGTTAACAAATAGGGTCTGCAAATGTGGGAGTAGTTTCCTGATGTGGTCTTTGATTTCTGCTTATGGTTCATGAAATGAGTTAATAAAAAGACAAAATGTTATATTATATCTACAGCTAAATGCATTGTTTAAAGAAAATGGCTATGACTACCAAGTAGCTGGTGCTTCTCAAATTGATCCAAATAGAAAGAAAAGGTAAGTTCTACATATCAAATATATTACATTTGCTATTCTTATGGGTTATATTGCTGCTTGTAAAGTTGTATTTTCCACAAGCATGTATATTTTATTATAAATATTTTGTTTTTAGAGTATTGTTTGTTGTGCATAATACTATATCAAGTGTGGCATTGTATAAATTTTACATTGTCAAAAAAAATATAATTTCATATTATTAAATACGAATAAGTGCAAAGTTTTATGTCCAAGATGAGGGTAAAGATCACAGGCAAAAGTAGTTGGGGAAGAGGGAAAATTGAGCATTTATTCAAAATATCATGAAATAATCTTAATAAAACTAATTACACAAAGTGATAATATTATTATATAATAATATGGTTTAATATACAATTTCCTGAGTAAATTTTAATTGGGTGCAAAGAAACACAAAACTAAAACTACCACTGTTAATGTTACAAAGTTTTATATCTTACAAGTTTGAAAGAAGTATTTCTGCTTTTGTCCTTACGAGAAAAAAACTTATGCAGGAAACTGTTGGTAAACAGTGATAATCCTATCTAAAACAACAGCACAATATATTGTTCAGTAACATTTTATTCTATTAACATACGCTATTTTTGAATGGAAGATTCAATAACAGGGATATTCTATGTTACAACTTTTTATGAAATTTACCATGGGATTACTGAAACAACGTGAATTCACAGTTTTAGAATTCTTTTAAATTTTTTTTCAGATTTAGCATAATACCTTTTAAGAGCAAAGGAAACCAAAATTTTTTTCTAGGAATAACAAGAACTGTTACATTTCTAGTGCTCCATAGCAAACCTTTATTAATTATGAATATTCTAACTTTATTTTATCTACACTAGACAAGCTGATCCTGATGGAAATACTGAAGAAATACTGACTTTGCTTCATCTCTTGGTAACTTCAAGTGGAAACCCAGCACAGAATATCGAAGAAATACTTGATAACAGTCCTAACCTTCGCGAAGCATTCCAATTTATGTCATCTCAGTTACAAGGTCAGTTTTAAATTTTATATAATTTTAAATCCACTCTATTATATTTAAGCTGTCTTTCCCTATGTAATTACTAGTTTTAGTGTAAGATGAAACCATTTATTTGAGGACAGACAGTAATTCGTAATTTTTGAAATCTTGAAATCTGCATGCATCTCATTCATGTGTATTTTTTGCTTTTTGCTTACTTTTCTAAGTCATCTACATTTCTGTAATTAGAAAACAAATTTGAGTAATCAACTTCTGTATATTTTAAAGGTTTGATAACTTATATAAACCAAAAAGGTTGTTTTGATAACTTAAGGGCCATCTGTGGCAGAGTGGTTAAGGTGGCCGACTTTGAATTACATGCCCTTCGTTGCTGTGGGTTTGAATCCAATCAGTGGCTTCAAATTCTTTTATATAATAAAGCTATCCAGGTAGATTATACAGAAGGTCTATGGTTCAACTCACATGCTCACTTGTGCCTAAAATAATGCATGGAGCAGCCCCTCAAGTCTTTTTCCGCCAGTTAAGGTAGAAAGTCGCCATATGGCCTATAAAAGAGTTGGTATGACTTAAAATCAAACAAAACAAACACACAATTGATCAGGTCCAGATGATATGTTTATCATGTATTATATTGTAATTGATTAAAAAGGGTTAAAATGCAAATGTTTGTTTCACGTTATTCCTATAGAGTCAAGTATAGATTTATGTGATGCAAAAGAACAGTTTGGCATCATGGAATGTGGCTGGGAGATGCTAGACCAAGATAGATCAGACTTGAATTGTCGGTAAGTAATTTGTTAAAAAAACCTTTGAATAACATTTGAGCCGCGTCATGACATGAATAACATTTGAGCCGCGTCATGACAAAACCAACAAAACCAGCCTGCGCTTCCACATAGTCTGATCAGAATCCATGCTGTTCGCTATCGGCTATCAGTTTCTCGTCTTGTTATATGGCTTGAAAGCGAACGGCATGGATCCTGATCAGATGTGCAAGCTGGTCTGGATCCATGCTGGTCGCAAACACACTATGTTGGTTTTGTCGTGACGGGGCTCATTTATTGTACAAACGTGCATGTGAAGTAATGACAATTTTGTTTAAACCAATTCCTAGATAGATCTATAAAATTGTATGTTATGTGAAATTTAAACCTGACAAAAGAATAGTATACATGTAAATATACTGTATTTACTTGCAACAGGTTAAGAAGATGTTTTGCTAGTCTTAAATTGCCAGAGGAATGTAAAGATGAAGACAGACAAGACCTTGCGGAACGAGTTATCCTAGAGACATATGCCTATACTATAGGGTCTTGTGAAGGTATTTTATTTTTTATATTTTTAGAAACTTGTAAAATTTAGTTCAGAGGATTATGCATGACAATTTTAAATTTTTATTTTATTCAATGTAAAATTTGTCTGGTTTAAAACTCATTAACCAGCAATAACAAATAAAGAGTTCTTAATTTGCCATCTGAAAAAAGTGTTAAAATGCTCCAGCAGTTATTCTGCCACTGTCATTTGTATTGACTAATCGGAGACTATCTTGTAATAAAATTGAATTTTCATGTAAGGAACATTGATAATGCACTTATTTAGAAACCTCAATTTAAACTTTTAATTGTAATTTTTAATTTTGTTTATAGTTTTTTGTAAAATGGACTTGAAGTACTCTGTAAGGAAAAACTTAAAAACTTTGACATAGCAAATAAATGGACACATACAAATTTTTACAAGGTTTTTATGAAGAATATACATCAGGGAAAATTAGGACTTGATTTTGACTTCAACACATCTAAATCTACTACATGTAATAATTGAAATTTGACACATAGAAATTTTACTGTAGTAGGTGTTAAGTGAAGGAAGAGAAGGAAATAAGTATTATAGATTTTATTTTCATTCTTCACAGAATTTTCTCCATCACCTTGTGGTATGAACTACTTCCATACAGCCTCTACTGATTCATGTGATGAGAGTTGGTCAGCTTATATGGAGACTAAAGAGTGCAAGTGAGAAAATTATATATGACTATTTTATTTATTTTAATATTTTAAGGAATGATAGGTTCATGTTTGTGCCTTTTCAACTAAATCCAAGCCAGGTAGCAAAATCTGGCTTAACTTTGATATATCAGTAAATCTGTTTTTCTTTATATAACATGAGTTTAAACAAAAGAATGGAGACTTAACAGTGCAAGTGAGTTTTTTTTATCCTTTTACTAAAAGGGAATAAAATTTCTTTGTACATATCATTCTGCCTTTTCTTCTGAAAATTTCAAACATCTAGCATGAAAATGGGTAGTGTCATTTAATCCCCATTGTTCGTTCTATACCTTGGAGATATATCGTTAAAGATTAAACAAATGTCAACCAGGGTGATGAAAGTTTAATAATGCAATCACTTCAAACCACTCTACATAAATGAGCCGCGTCAAGACAAAACCAACATAGTGCGTTTGCGACCAGCATGGATCCAGACCAGTCTGCGTGTCCACGCAGTCTGATCAGGATCCATGCTGTTTGCTATCAGTTTCTCTACTTGTTACAGGGTTTGTAAACGACCAGCATGGATCCTGATCAGACTGCACAGATGCACAGGCTGGTCTGGATCTATGCTGGTCGAAAACCCATTATGTCGGTTTTGTCGTGGTGCGGCTCAAATAGTGCTTACCACTATGGATTGAGTTTTTCATTGGCCTAAGCTCTGTCCCTTATTATCATTCATTTCCCTAAGTTTGAGTTTGTAACAAAATATTTCATGACTAACAAAAAGGAGAGTCAATCTGATTGTTTTAAAATTGAAAACAATTATTTAGATAGTAATTTTTCAATTGTTTAGTTGATTATTTGAAATTAAGATAAAACAAAAATTACAAATCTTTCATTTTTATATTTTTTTGCATGTATCTATGTCCAGAGTATTCAATGAAGTTTAAGTTTTCTTCCACTTGTAATTTATGCTTATGGTTCAAAACACCATTTTGAATAAATATGTTATTGCATTATTATAGGGAATACCAAGATTTTGTAAGCTGTATCGGTTTCATGGCCGTTTTAAAAGGAGAATTTTGTGAACCTCTATCCATACACAAGAACATTGCTGAAGATGTACAAAAGTATAATTTATCCCAAGAAACTACCTGCAGTAAGTAAAAGAGACATGTTGTTTTTAGATTAATTCTTGAATATTTGTAAGTGTAATTTTTAAGCATAATCAAATTCTATTTATTGTTTTTTTTTTGTATCACTGACATCATGTATAAAGCTATATATGTTTGCTGTATGTTGTTAACAAAATTTTTGTTATACTTTGACAAAAAAATAATTCCAAAATACTTGTATGAAAGAAATAATTACCCGTATTGTTAAGAGCTAATGCGGCATTATTATACGGTGCCAAGTCATTGCTAAATTGTTAAAAACCCTGCTTAAAATACCAGCATTATATTTTATTCCATTAGTTTACATACAGTAATTGTTAATGGGTTTTGAGAATCTAACATAAGATTATGAATGAAAACAATATAATTTTACTTTTAATAAATTAAGAAAAAAAAATTCATTAGATAAAGCTAAATACCCTTTAAATTTACTAGTATTGTGGGTGTGTGTGTTTTTTTTCCCCCTGTGTATGTTTTGACCTTCATGACTGCTTTTTTTATTACTACTTTTATGTTTTCACAGTTGACAGCTTGCAAGACTTAAAGGTGGCTTACAGTAAAGAAGACATATGTATGAATGGACTTTCTAATGCATATTTGCTAAAATACTTCTGTTTAAATGACGAATACTTTACCACTGTAAACACAGAGCAAAGATGCATGTAAGTAAAAATCTTTTAGAAAGAAGGCAAGAATGACCTGTTTGTTAGTTTGGAGTAAAGTTTGGGTTGTTGAATAATGTTCTATTTTATATGTAGATATTTAATATTAAAGCAGCATGCCTCCAGATTCATGTTAATATTCATGGAAATTTTGAAAATGTATTTAAAAGTAAACTATTGCGAAGTGAACAAAGAAAATAATTTACACATTGCAAACAGCACGCAAATAACCAAAAAGAGGTCGAAATATACATAAATACCTCTTACCTTGTTAGTAATGCAGTAGAATTATAGTGATTGATACTGCAAAATGAGTCATTAATCGCACATAATGTGTAAATAATTAATTAAATATTGAACTTTTTTACTTTTCTTAAGATCTTAATACATTTTTCTTAAGATTGAATTTCTTGAAATATTTTGGCTCATCTGTAGGCGTACAGCTTTAATAATCATAAAATGATTTCTATGTCCAGTTTTTGCAAAAATAGTAAAGATAACTAACTATAAACTCCTGTCCTTGCATTGCATGAGCAACTGCATTTATTATAATCCTCTCAAACCATTAATTTCCTTTTGAATCATGATAACACTTGAAAAAGTTTGGATTAGATTTTTTTGGTAAGGTTTTTTGTGCCCACAACAAGAGATATTAACTTAAAACGTTACCTGTCTCTGTAGCATTGATTTTCACCATTTTTCCCTTATAACAATAATAATGAACTTCAAAAAAACCTTGCACTACTATAAAGCACTGTGAATTGTTAAGATTCATGAGCAACTAACATATTTTGTTATGTTTTACATTGAATAAACTAGCTAAGTGACAGTTTTTGTAAACTTTTTACATATTTTTTGTTGTTTTTATTAAGGATGGAGATAAAGATGCAGCATTGTATGTTTACCTTGACTTCTCATCTTGCTGCTTGCCATAATTTCACAAAAACAACCGAGGCATTTAAATCTGAAGAGGTACAAAACATCCTGAACAATCCAGAACATCAATGTGGTAAATATCTTCTTCCAATTCTGCATCGTCAATTGGGTTAACAAATATTTCTTTGCATAATAGAAGATAGTTTGTGTTGTTTTCAAGATGCTTTGCAAGAACATGTAAAATCTTAATTTGTTTTTACCTAATTTAGAATTTGCAGTTTATGGCACCACTGATTTTTAAAAAAGCTCAATATTAAAACTGTTTTTCCAATAGGTTTTCTTTTTCAAATAAACTTTGTACACTTTTTCGCAATTCCTGCTTGACATTTTGATATCATTTTACCTTTTTACATTAAAGAACTGACCTGTCAAAGATATATGATGTTAAACATGGGAGCAGCTATTAAAAAGACCTGCTTACATAATCCAAGAAGTATTTTGTACCTAAGTAATCTTCCAGATATTCCTGTATATGGCGATCAGGATCATTCTTTCCCATGCATGTAAGTGTCTGTTTTTATTAACCATATACGTTGTTTATAAAAATAGTGAAAAATCAGAGAGCAACAGAAGTAAATCACAATTTGTTCATGGTTTGTATTTATTGGTAAAAATTTTGCGGTACAGTTTTAAATATGTCAGAAATTTAATAATCTATATATAGTTTTAATGATATTGATCAATTTTAAGGTAATTTTTAGTTTTTGCTTTTTTGGTCATATTTATCAATAGCATGTTGTCTTTATAAAACAAAAGCCTCTTTTAAGCACTATTGTGTCATATAATAGGGCTGATTATCATACCAGATTATCTTGATCTTAAAATTGTGTTCATCTTGATAAGACTTAGATATCAGGAGGTGTAAATATGTTCTAGAAACATTCACAAGAGTCAAATACAAGTAATAGATCAATAGATCACGATTCTCCTATGATAGTGATTTTACTTTAAACCTTCCTGAACTAAAACTACATATTCAACCTTATTGTAATTGGTATAATGTCACTACATATTCAACCTTATTGTAATTGGTATAATGTCACTACATATTCAACCTTATTGTAATTGGTATAATGTCACTACATATTCAAACTTATTGTAATTGGTATAATGTCACTACATATTCAAACTTATTGTAATTGGTATAATGTCACTACACATTCAACCTTATTGTAATTGGTATAATGTCACTACATATTCAACCTTATTGTAATTGGTATAATGTCACTACATATTCAACCTTATTGTAATTGGTATAATGTCACTACATATTCAAACTTATTGTAATTGGTATAATGCCACTACATATTCAACCTTATTGTAATTGGTATAATGTCACTACATATTCAACCTTATTGTAATTGGTATAATGCCACTACATATTCAACCTTATTGTAATTGGTATAATGTCACTACATATTCAACCTTATTGTAATTGGTATAATGTCACTACATATTCAAACTTATTGTAATTGGTATAATGTCACTACACATTCAACCTTATTGTAATTGGTATAATGTCACTACATATTCAACCTTATTGTAATTGGTATAATGTCACTACATATTCAAACTTATTGTAATTGGTATAATGTCACTACATATTCAACCTTATTGTAATTGGTATAATGTCACTACATATTCAACCTTATTGTAATTGGTATAATGTCACTACATATTCAAACTTATCGCAATTGGTATAATTTGTCACTACATATTCAACCTTATTGTAATTGGTATAATGTCACTACACATTCAACCTTATTGTAATTGGTATAATGCCACTACATATTCAACCTTATTGTAATTGGTATAATGTCACTACATATTCAACCTTATTGTAATTGGTATAATGCCACTACATATTCAACCTTATTGTAATTGGTATAATGTCACTACATATTCAACCTTATTGTAATTGGTATAATGTCAGCAAGGTTATTCTGAATCACTTGCATATGCAATAGTTTGTCATTTACTTTCATCCTGTGATTTACAATAATACATGTAATTACATTACTCTTATTTAGAAGATTTTATAACTGACAACATTGCAGGGTATATTTGGACGCAGCATACTGCAGTCATATGGTATATGAGGACATGTCTACTGGTGGTCAATATTGCACCGAAGACGAATTCAGTGATGTTTTAAAACAAAATTTACCTGATTTGATAGAAATCATGGTCAAAGATGGCCAGTTAATGGGTATGCCAGAACCATCATATTCTGTCGAGGAAATTTATCCTCAATGCAATGGTAGGTAGATCACATGTCAGTTTTCGTTCTGTCATTACTGTTTTCAGTCATGAATTTGAACTGCGTTAAAAGATGATCGTTATATTTCAATACCAAAATCTTATCTAATTATCTTTCAAGAAATGAATCTTTTTTATCTGTTTTGTTATTTTCATAAAACATTAATTTTTAGAGTATAGAGCTTTTATTATGTGATGTGTAATTTAGCATTTTTGACTACTTCACATTTTCTTGGACAGTCTTGATATTGTATCTTAAAGGTTTAAATTTTTAGCTCGACTATTCGATAAGAATAAGTAGAGCTATTGTAGTCACCCGAGCGTCAGGGTCCGCGTCGGCGTAACCACTTATGTTAAAGTTTTTGTAATAGTTCAAATATTTTCAAAGTCCATAGAATAGTCAAGCGTTGCTGTCCTACGGAAAGCTCTTGTTTATTGTTGGAATGGATTAGGGATTTATCTCATTACATCTTATCACAAAGATTTGTTAACTTACTTCTGAAGAAAATATTTCACTAACATTGGAATTAAGGTATATGCGGATATGTTTGAAAATTATCAGGGAGTCTCTAATAATTGTGACAGAAGGGGGAATATGAATGTCTACATATTATAATGTACTTTAATAGTAGCATAATTGTATGAGGATATAAAATTTAACAGGAAAAGAGAAAAACACTTCTGATATTTCAGTTTGATGTATTATAATTGTAATGTCTCTGTTACAGACAAAATATTCCCATTACCTGAACCTGGAAACTGTTTGGATGGTGACCAGATGGTGAATACATTAACGGCTTCATGTGCAGTTTATGCTGAAGGTTCCCTTGGTGGAGCAACATCTTTCTCTGACAAATGCAGGCAAGTTTTATTTGGGATAATTAAGTTGCAGTTATAACAGCGTATTGTCCAAAATACATGAATGTTTTATTTTTATTTTGAATAATTAGGATGCAGTTATGACAGCAAATTGCAGAATACATAACTTAGCAGTGCACTGGCTTAATACCCTCAGATTAGAGTCCTTGGGCTCTAAATGACCACTGTTGATTTTGACAATGTGGTATGGGGGATATTCACTGCATAACAGTTCTAGTAAATGGTTTTAAATACAGGTTTACCACCCCAATGCAGGGTTGTAAATAATATTAAATAATGTTGTGCATTTTTGAAGCTATATTTTGCAAGACACATGTTTGAATTAATTCCTTTTGTATCATTTTTTGTTTATAACAGAGCACTAAGTTCCTGTGTTGATGGAATAATAGACTGGTACAAAATGCACCCAGTCTGTCCAGGTTACATAGAAGCCTTCATGCAGAACCAAAAGAACCCAGCATATGCTGAACACTTTGAAAATATAACCGGACTAGACTGGTTAGAATGTGATTCTGATGAGGAAGATGAAGATGGTAAGAATTTTATAAATGATTCAGCGAAAATTTCAGTTTTTAAAAACAATCATCTGTACAGTACTAAAGGAGTTATATGCATCATACTAGCTTGAAAATTTTATATGTATGGTAGTTTTAGTTGTAAAATAGGAGTGTTCTCGAGTATAAGCTGCTTAACCAGTTTTCATTTTTGTGCTTTTGAAAATTGGAATTGTGTTAAGGAATTAAACATTGCTGACTTTGATATTTTGATCCTGTAAGAAATTTAAACTGTGGGCATATAAAGTTCTTCAATAAGTTTAGCATGAATATATTGTTTATACTTTTTAATATTTGGTAATTTTGATTTATTGATCAACATTTTAGTTACTTGAAAAATGCCATGTAGGGCCAAGAAGCACAGAGAATATTATTGAATCATTAAAAACAAAGAATATTTTAAGTACAGAAATTACTAAAATGTAACTCCTGAAAAAAGTTTGACCACTTTTTACTTTCAATGAATGTATCTGACATCAACAATATCAAATGAAAGCTTAGAATATTATTAATATATTTACTATAGTTGTAAATACTTTAAAGTATCAAAATAACACATACATAATGATGGTTGTTGTTTTTTTCAGACTGTGTTCAGATATTTAACGAAAACGAAGATTGCTCAATACAATACCGGTCTCTATATCTCATTTCGGACAAGATGACCGATAGTCAGAAGTGCACGTATGTTATTCTAAAATCTTTTTCTTCTTTTAGGTGGTTCCTGTCAAAGGAAATATTGACTGTGTTCAAATGTACCTAAACTAACTTTGAATGATGAATTTAACGCTGTTTAAAAACTTCTTGAAATGACATGAAATTTGTGTAATAATTTAAATTTATATGTTAATATAACAAAAAAAATAAAAATATATATAATCAATATTTTTTTTATGTTTCTTGAAGATAATTACTTGCTGTGATATATTTCTATAGTTTTTATTGTGGTTTTCCCTGCAGAATGTTAACTCACTACCGAGCAAAGACAATGAAATGTTTTGAAGAGAAAAGTCCAGTTTGTGGTAAACATGCGAATGAATACATATCGGACCTAGTTGATACGAGAGACGAAATAACAAAAGCCTTCCCTGATCGTGATCAATGTACAAGTATGTATCCAACAAGAAAGGATATTATATATTTTGCAATACTGTAAAATTGATATATATTCAGGCAAGATTTTCAGATGGATGAATTACATGTGATTTTGTTTTCTCCATTTAATTAAGACCACATTAGTTTTAATATCTGATGAATTAAAAGAAAATATAAATTGTTTCCTACATAAAATGCATTTGATGATAAGAAAAAAGATATATTTGTTACACCTTCAGTCCTTCCAACCCATTGCAAAAAAATAAAGAAATGAAATAATTTCCACTTCTTCTGTTGCTATACAATATAACTTATTTTATTAATTTCTTTAGAAACATACGAGGTTGCATTAGGTCTTCGTAAAGAACCTTATAATGAAGATTATGCTGACGAAAATAGTGATGCCTCCAAGAACTTGATTGCCAGGGTTGAGCCTTTGGTAAGCTGATTTGAGATTAAATAATTCTGTGGTAAAACATAAATATAGCTGTATTTATGGAAGAATGTTGGGGATACTCTACGTACCTGTGTGTTAGCTAAAATCTTTGTTGTATGCAACTTCAAATATACATGTAATAAAACATATAAAGTATTCAGACTGATCAAAGTTAGTTACAGAATGATTATTTATGTCATTATTTAATTATTATGTCTCCCCCACCTCGGGGGGAGACATATTGTTTTTGCCCTGTCCGTCCGTCAGTCCGTCCGTCTGTCAGTCCGTCAGTCCGTCCGTCCATTCTTCGTTTCCGGACGATAACTAGAGTTCCTTTTGACCTACAGCTCTCAAACTTCATAGGATGAATGGTCTTATTGAGCAGATGATCCCTATTGTTTTTGGGGTCAGTAGTTCAAAGGTCAAGGTCACAGTGACCGTTGGTCAATTTCTCGTTTCCGGATGATAACGAGAGTTCATTTTGACCTACAGCCCTCAAACTTCATAGGATGATTGGTCTTATAGAGCTGATGATCCCTATTGTTTTTGGGGTCAGTAGGTCAAAGGTCAAGGTCACACTGACCGTTGGTCAATTTCTCGTTTCCGATGATAACTAGAGTTCCTTTAGACCTACAGACCTCAAACTTCATAGGATGATTGGTCTTATTGAGCAGATGATCCCTATTGTTTTGGGGTCAGTAGTTCAAAGGTCAAGGTCACAGTGACCGTTGGTCAATTTCTCGTTTCCGGATGATAACTAGAGTTCCTTTTGACCTACAGCCCTCAAACTTCATAGGATGATTGGTCTTATAGAGCAGATGATCCCTATTGTTTTTGGGGTCAGTAGGTCAAAGGTCAAGGTCACAGTGACCGTTGGTCAATTTCTCATTTCCGGATGATAACTAGAGTTCCTTTTGACCTACAACCCTCAAACTGGGGGGAGACATATTGTTTTTGCCCTGTCCGTCCGTCAGTCCGTCCGTCGAGCAGACACAATTTCCTTTAATTTCGTTTGTGAAACTATATATGATATGACATTCAAGTGTCAAGTAGACCTTGACCTTGGAACCAGCCATACGAAACATGTACTCTACACGTTCTCTGGATGTGGTGAATTTTTGTTTCAAGTATCTACCAGAGAGGCTTCATTGTGAAAACGAGTGGAGTCATCCCAACACACTACAGTTATCATGATTTTACATACATTGTAATTTGAGTTGTCTTTCAATAGTGTAAAAAAAAATCTGACAATATGAACGTTTGTTTCAAGTATCATCAAAATCCTTTAAAGGTTTGAAGAATTATGGAGCAGACACAATTTCATTTAATTTCATTTGTGAAACTATATATGATATGACCATCAAGTGCAATTTCATTTGACGCCCGCCTGCCATACGCTGATTGAATAACCAGGATTTTCAAAATTGAATACCTGGTTAAAAACAAACAGTTTAGGAAGCATCTTCTCATACAACCTTAACAATAGAAACCATCCATAGACAGCCTTCATTGAAGTGACTACCGGGTATTTACATTATCTTATCTCCATTTCCATTCCTGTTTCCATTCACAGTTATTCTCAGCAGTGGGGGAGACATGCGCTTTTTTACAAAAGCATCCTCTAGTTTTATAACAATTTCTTTATCCTGTAAGTTTGGTAAATTTTTTTCAAAACGGCTTATATCAAGTTCTTTTGATATATATGATCAGTGCATGTGCTGGGATTGACAAAATTTTATTTGGATTTTAAAGGCGTTTTGAGCTCCACACCCCAAGTGTCTGTGATCAAAGTTAATTACGGAATGATTATGTCAAATTATTTAATTATTTTATAATTTCTTTATCCTGTATGTTAAGTTAATAGAACAGGAGAATATTCCTTATTTGATATGCATGATAAGTCTTTACAGCCACTGAAGGTATGCACTTGTGATCAGGGTTTTCATTGAAGGTGATTTACTAAGAACTCTAGAAATGATATTTTTAGAAAATTCCCTTTTGTGTACTTTAAGAATGATGTGTTACAACGTAGTACTGAGAAAAACCCAGTGCTCTAAATGTTTGTTTGCTGACTCAGTCATATTCAATTGTGAACTCTTATTTTATTCTAAAGCACGACTTGCTGTGCATATCATCAATCTTGCTCCAAATTTTGTCAATTTTTTGCTATCATTGAAATACCACATAAGAGTTTATAAACGTTGTAGTTATAGGATAAATTTAGTTTTAATGCTTTCTAGTTTGCCAGTATTTCATGAAATTAGTGATTGATAAATAAATGTAATGTATGTTATGTATACATTACAGCTTGATGCATTGTTGAGTAATAATGGTTATGATTACAAAGTAACTGGGGCTACTCAAATGGTACCCAGAAGGAAGAAACGGTAACAATTTATTATATTCTCATACATCATTTCAATAATGTAATGTTACGTTAATCGATACGATACGTTACATAATATTGTTATGTTACATCAGCAATTATCATGGTAGGCAATTTATACAACTTAGTTTTATATCATATCAGAATATTTTATGTGTATGCTCCATCATCCAATGCCATGTTGATTATTGGTTTTTTTACATTTGAGCCGCGTCTCGACAAGACCAACATAGTGTGTGTGCGACCAGCATGGATCCAGACCAGCCTGCGCATCTGCGCAGTCTGATCAGGATCCATGCTGTTTGCTATCAGTTTCTCTGCTTGTAATAGAGTTGGTAAGTGAAAAGCATGGATCCTGATTAGACTGCGTGGATGCTCTGGCTGGTCTGAATCCATGCTGGTTGCAAACACACTATGTTGGTTTTGTCATGGTGTGGCTCATTTCTCCATGGGTGGCTTATTTGATCCATAGGCTAGGCAAAATTTCTTCTGGACAATTGATCGCATACATTTAATCTTACAGTCATTTGTCTCTTAATGGTGACTTAAAAATAATGTTGGATTATTTGATAACTCCTTTTGGAGAAATTGGTTATTACTGGCAAGTTACACAGGAATGCTGTCAGGTTAACCAACCTCTGATATATGACCAAAAAAGTGTTAAAATCAGCATAAGCACTTAACCCATTACTTCATGAGCATTTTGTAAAAAATGGCTGTTTTCATTGAAAAGTCTCCCGTTACAAGTTCAAATTGCTATAATACTATAAAAACTGCTTCAACACTAATCAAACTTGGCACAAATGTTGACTGGACCATTGTCCTTGCAACAACATGCTCAGGCTTAAATTTTCTGTTACCATGGCAACGAGGGGACATCTCAAAATTGCCAAAAATCACTATTTTGCGTTGATTTTTTCCATCAAAATTTATTTCAAAGTGCTGCAACTTCTCAATGGATTGAGATAGAGTCAAATGCTTTTCAGCGTTGGTTAAACGTTACCTTATGATCAATCTGGGGTCATTTACAGCCTCTCACAAGTCCAAAATTTTCTTGGCGATGAAGGGGACTCCACCCCCCTTCAAACCCCCCCAAACAGAAGGGGGCACATCCCCCTTCTGGCAACCCCCTGATGTATCTTTTGGTTGGGGGGCCGCGCCAAAAAAAAGGTCACTTTTTTAACAACATTTCTCAAACAAAAACAAGTGTTTTGGGCCTAAATAAGGCATTTTTTCATCATTTGAGACAACAAAAAGGGGGGGGGGGTGAAAAAGGCGTTAAAAGGCGTGTATATGAAGTAATGGGTTAAAGAAACATACCAAAATAATACAGTGTCATATTATTTATTCATTTTTCGAAATTTTTCATGTTTGCAATATTATTGGGTTTTCTTCTTTATTTAATTTACTTAGAAAATTTTAATGATCCAGTTATTTATGTTTTTAATTTTTTTTATCTACACTAGACAAACTGATCCTGATGGAAATAATGAAGAAATACTGACTTTGCTTCATCTCTTGATAACTTCGAGTGAAAACCCAGCACAGGATATCAGAGAAATACTTGATAACAATCCTAACCTTCAGGAAGCATTCCAATTTATATCATCTCAGTTACAAGGTCAGTTTTGATTCAGACATACTCTTGAATTTCAGACTATATTTCAATGTGATTCCAGAATTTAGAATTTGCATATTCATTATTGTGTTTGAGTTGAAGTCATATTCATGTATCAAGCAACAAATATGTGTAATTTCTTTTAAGATTTTGATGGGCATTTAACAATAAATATTTCCTTCTGTACAAGTATAAGGTTGTCAGTTTACTTCTTATACATTCAAAGTTTGTTTTTCATGATGTTTTTCTTTATTTGATGAATGGGTTAAGGAAGATTAAGATTTAATACAGGTCAAGTTCATTACATGAAAAAAAATTGGAAGATAAAAGCATAAATGCACACTACTTGGGGGAATCGAACATTTTTTGTATTATTTACTAATGTCCATTTATTATATCTTCACAGAAGCAAGTATAGATTTATGTGATGCAAAGGAGCTATTTGGCATCATGGAATGTGGCTGGTCAATGCTTGAACCGGACCATCCAGATTTGAACTGTCGGTAAGTGTTCTGTTGCATTACATTTTGTTTTATATTGTACGTTATAAGTGCACATACTGAATGTGAAAAAAGTGTCTTAGAAATTCATAAGTTTGATTTTGAGGATTATTTTTAAAGTGTAGCATAATTATACTATATTTACTGGCAACAGGTTAAGAGGATGTTTTGCTAGTCTCAAATTGCCGGAGGAATGTAAAGATGAAGACAGACAAGACCTTGCAGAAAGAGTTATCAAAGAAACATATGGTTATACTATTGGATCTTGTGAAGGTATTTTGTTTTTACTATTTTAAGCTAGTTGATGACTTATTTGCTAACATGTTCAAATATTCAGGAATGCCATTTGTACTGATTTATATATCAGAGCTCCAGATAGCGTGCGTATAAGCGTAAAATACGCATGTAAAATCTAAAATACGCATCACTTTCAAAATTAGTGCGTCAAAGATACGCACAACAAAATGAAAATACGCTTGTATGTCAAAATTTAAGCGTAAAAGAATAGAAGTGTAAACATTTGATACTCAGATTGAGGATGTTTTGAGCATAAAAATACAATATATTTCCATTTTATTGCATTGAAAACTAAAAGTTCTGTTATCAACAACGCATGTTAAAAACGAAAGTAGCAGGAAGTACAGAAGAGTGTAACGCCCGTAGATCAACCTGTGAAATTATTGATATAAATTTTTGCCAGATAATCATCGTAGCAGTCAACATAGTATTAAGTTTGTTTAGGCATCTATTGACATGCTTATGTCTCAATATAAACAAAAATATATTTTAATTTCTTTCACTTTTGATGTTGAAACAAAATAACATGTTTTTCACTTTCAGTTTTGTACCCCAGTCTACAGTTACGGACAATTTTCTCTCAGACCAATACTTTTTTTAATTGTTTTTTTTTTTCTTTAATTCTACATGTAATTTCAACTATAATTGTTAAAACTGGAGCATATGATAAGCTACATGCCAACAGAAATAAAGAAAGAAAAATATTGACTCCTAGAAAATATATTTATTAATATTTCAGGGCTTCCAATAGTGGAAGTTTGGGAGTCATTTACTCCTTCATTTTGGCATGTGACTTCCGAAAATTTAATACTTTTCCTTCTTTACCAATATAATGTGACTTCCAATATCAGAGATTTTGAAGTCTTTGACTTCCAAATTTTGAAAATGGAAGCCCTGATAATTTTGCTGTGTATCCTAAACTTGAGTTCCAGTATACTCTGGAAGTCCGACTTTACAGGGCATGTTTTGTATTGCTTCACATTGAATCAGTATTTTATTTTTAAAGGTTTTTCTAAAAAAAGAAAATAAACAAACAAACAAAAACAATAAGTTTAATTTGTTTATAAAAAATGCAAAATGCTTTTTGACAGATTTTACCCCTTAATTTTTTCAAATTTTACATTTTACCCCTCACTCTAAATTTTGAGGGGTAAAAACCCATTGGCCAAAAAAATTATCTGGAGCTCTGTATATTCAGTTGTTGTGTTGTGTATTTGTTGTGCCAGCAATAAAAATGTTGTAAAATGTTGCTTTTGGGTCTTTATTTGCATAGGTTAGCCTGGGCCGCCTCTCTATATTGAGATAAAATTTTCATTTTAGGATCATTTATTCAGAAAATCTTAGTGTTTAAAAGTTTTCATTTCATGTTTATCCCATTTATATGTCTCACATATAAAAACTACAAAGAAGTAAAATAGTAGGTATATAAGGGGATAATTGAAAATAAGTATTACAGATTTTATTTTCATTTTACACAGAATTTTCTCCATCACCTTGTGGTGTGAACTATTTCCATACAGCCTCTACTGATACATGTGAAGAGAGTTGGTTAGCTTATATGGAGACTAAAGAGTGCAAGTAAGAAAATTTTATGTACTCAGATTTATTATTTTATCTTTTTAATACATAAAAAGAATGATAGGTTCTCTGAGATTGATCAAAAGTAAAAATAATGGTATAAATGCACATATTACAATATATAAAAGTTAAAATCACCTCACAGATCCAATAACTTCTCCTGTTGTTGAAAAAAAAAAGTGATTGTTCTACTAGGGTAGTTTTTCAAAGCTTGAATTATTGCTGAAAAGCAGAAATGACATTTTCTTCTAATGATAATTTATTTTATTTATTAAATATTGTTTAGGGATTCTGTATTTATCTATTTTTTTAAAAACATCTCTTTATTTTAAACCTTTACCCGTATTCTTGTAGGGAATACCAAGATTTTGTAAGCTGTATCAGTTTTATGGGCGTTTTAAGAGGAGAATTTTGTGAACCTCTATCTATACACAAGAACATGGTTCTAGAACTACAACAGACATATAATATATCAGTAGACCCTACCTGCAGTAAGTAACTGAGATACATGTATTTATTCTTGAATATTTGTTAGAAATTTAGTGTAATTGTTGTTTTTAAGCATAACCAAATTATTTTTACTGTTTCTAATCAGTGACATTCTTTTATTGGTGTTTTTGTTGACAGTGTGTTTGTTGACCTTCAAATGAACATGTTTATTTTTGTTACCTTTTTTTCATAGTTGCTAGCTTGCAAGACTTAAAGGTGGCTAACAGTAAAAAAGACATATGTGTGAATGGACTTTCTAATGCATATTTGTTGAAATACTTCTGTTTGAATGAGGAATACTTTACCACAGAAAACACAGATGAAAAATGCATGTAAGTTGAAATCATCTAGAAAGATGGCAAGAATAACTTGTTAGTTAATACGGAGTATTAAGATAGTGTTCCATGAAAAACTAGAGTAGGGTTAGGATTATTATTAAATAATGTTCCATTTTATCTATGAATGTGTTATATTATTACATGAAGTGATTTCTAGCACCATTTTTTGTAAAATAGCAAATTTACTCCTCTTCTGACATATAAAATATTTTCTGCAACTTCATTTTTGACAAACCTCTCAAAAAAAAACATGTCTCTTTTGAATCATTATATCAGGTCAACTTTCTTAAATAGTTACTGTTGAGAATTTTGAAAGGTTTGGATAACAGTTTTAGTTTAAACAATATTGATTCCTAATCTTTTCATTTACTTAATAAATAACATACATTGAGCAGGAAGCTCTCTAAAAAATATATGTTTTTTTGTGTACAGTGTACAGTGTATTTACTTGAAATTTTACTACCTCTCTCTATAGCATTATTTTCACCTATTTCCCATATAATGATTAATTTACAAAAAACCTGCATAAACCTGGTACTGCTATGAAGCACTGAGAATTGTTGAGATTTCTGTCCAAATGAAAAATTGTTGTATGTTTTATAATAGATAAAGTAGATGTGTAAGTGACAGTTTTTGTAAACTTTTTACATGTTTGTTGTTTTTATTAAGGATGGAGATAAAGATGCAGCATTGTATGTTTACCTTGACTTCTCATCTTGCTGGTTGCTATAATTTCACAAATACAACTAGGGCATTTAAATCTGAAGAGGTACAAAACATCCTGAACAATCCAGAACATCAATGTGGTAAATATCTTCTTCCAATTCTGCATCGTCAATTGGGTTAACAAATATTTCTTTGCATAATAGAAGATAGTTGTTGATCGTTGCAAGATGCTTTGCAAGAACATGTAAGCAATAATCTTAATCTGTTTTTACCTTATTTAGAATTTGCAGTTCATGGCATTGATGATATTTAGATAGCTCAATATTAAAACTGATTTTGTATATGGTTCCAATAACTTCACTTTTTGAAATAAACTTTGTACACTTTTTCGCAATTCCTGCTTGACATTAAGGTATTATTTTACCATCTTTACATTAAAGAACCAACCTGTCAAAGACATATGATGTTGGGCATTGGACCAGCTATTAAAAAGACCTGCTTACATAATCCAAGAAGTATTTTGTACCTGAGTAATCTTCATGAAATTCCTGTATATGGCGATCAGGAGTATTCTTTCCCATGCATGTAAGTGCCAGTTTTGTTTACCATATATTTGTAACATATAGGTGAGCAGCAGAAGTAAATGACAATGTATTCATGGTTGCATGTAATGAGAAAAAAATTATGATTCAGTTTTAAATGTGTCACAAATGTAATAATCTTTATAGGATTTTTATGATACCAATCAATTTTAATGTTTTTGTGTTTTATCCTATTTATCAATATCCTGATGTCATTACTAAACACTTATCTGGAACATTCTGTCATATAATAGGGTTGATTATCTTATAAACTTGAGACGATTTCACAAGGCTAGGGTATCACAAGGATTGAAAGTGTCAATTATAGCCGCGTCACTACAAAACCAACATAATGGGTTGCGACCAGCATAGATCCAGACTAGCCTGCAAAGTCTGATCAGGATCCATGCTGTTCACTGTCAGTTTTTCCACTTGTAATCGAGTTGGTAAGCGAACAGCATGGATCCTGATCAGACTGCGTGGCTGCCAAGGCTAGTCTGGATCCATGCTGGTGGCAAACGCACTATGTTGGTTTTGTCGTGACGCGGCTCATATGTTCTAGTGACAACCACAGGAACCTAATACAAATGATCGCTAAATAGATCAAGAAACTCCTCTGACAAATGCTTTTATTATTAACCTTGTTGAACTTGCAACTACATATTCAACCATAAAGTAATTAGTAATAACATCAGCAATATCATTCTGAATCACTCACAGATGCAATAGTTTGTCATTTACTGTCATCCTGCGATTAACAATAATCAATACATTATAATATATAATATATAGAAGAAATTATATCTGAATATAAATATTTATAAGAACATGTAACTGACAACATTGCAGGGTATATTTGGACGCTGCATACTGCAGTCATATGGTATATGAGGACATGTCTACTGGTGGTCAATATTGCAAGGAAGGAGAATTCAGTGATGTTTTAAAACAAAATTTACCTGATTTGATAGAAATCATGGTCAAAGACGGCCAGTTAATGGGTATGCCTGAACCATCAAATTCTGTCAAGGAAGTTTATCCTCAATGCAATGGTAGGTAGATTGTTGGATTCCCGTACTTCATAGCTGTTGAGTTTCTTTTGAAAATGTTGCTAACAAAATTTATCGTTAAATATGTCATTGTTGATGGTTCTACTCAGGTGCTCCTAAGTGCCTTAAATACTGCACAGAAGGGCTCCTGAGGTCTTCCTCCACCAGTCAAGCTGGAATGTTGCGATATGACCTATACTGTGTAGATGTGAGGTAGAACCCAAAACAAACAAAATACGTCATATGCAATGTACCTTATTTAAAAACCTTGACATTACCTGGTCAATTTCACTTAAATATTATACCTTGGAATTCTAATTAACTCAATTTTTTACTGTTCCTATGGTTTGTATATGTGTGAACACAAATTGTCACTTAGTCTTAGAACTGTTGGTTTAATTCTAAAGAAAAGAAATTAAATCATGTCACTGACAAAAAGTTTTATGTACAAATGTATAAATTATGTGCCAATATTCATGTATGATAAACAGAGGGTATCTAGGGATTTTTATCACAGATGGACTGGTGGGGTTTGAATGTCTGTCACCATATTGGTTTTAAAGCATAAATTTCAAAAATAATTTTCAAAAAACAGATATTTTATTGACATTAGATATGTTATCATATTATGTAATGTCTCTGTTACAGACAAAATATTCCCATTACCTGAACCAGGAAACTGTTTGGATGGTGACCAGATGGTTAATACATTAACTGCTTCATGTGCAGTTTATGCTGAAGGTTCCCTTGGTGGAGCAACATCTTTCTCTGACAAATGCAGGCAAGTTTTATTTGGTATAAATTAGTTGCAGTAACAACAGCGTATTGTCCTAAATGAATGATTTTTTTATTTGGAATAAACAAGCTACATGTGTGATTACAGCAAGAGCACACTAAGTGCATTTGATGTTTTATATGGGGCTAAACTAGTTCCAGTAAAATTGATTTTCAAACATACTGATACAACTCTCCAATGCAGTTATGTAAATGACATAAAAAAATGTGACCACAACAATAGACCACTTTAGGAAGTATTTTTTAAAAGATTAATGAATTAGCTCAATTTAGAGAGCTTGTACGCTTTTGAAGCTACATTATGCAAGACAAGTATGTTTGAATCAATTTCTATTATTTTGTTCATATAACAGAGCACTGAGTTCCTGTGTTGATGGAATAATAGACTGGTACAAAATGCATCCAGTCTGTCCAGGTTACATAGAAGCCTTCATGCAGAACCAAAAGAACCCAGCATATGCTGAACACTTCGAAAATATAACCGGACTAAACTGGTTAAAATGTGATTCTGATGATGAACATGATAAAGATGATGGTAAGAGTTATTTTATAACAGTCAAAGTATTGTATACTTTGTTTACACTGTAGAAATTGAATATCTTGTGATTTGAATTTTTAAAATGATTAAGATTTTGTTCCCAAATTTATAAGATTTTTAAATAAATCAATAAATTTAACATTAAATTCTGAACATTTTTTGTTGAATTTCTAAAATCTAACACAGAATTGATTTTGATTGTTTCACAGTAAACTTTGCAAATATATGATTTCAGTAAGGCTGAAATGAATTTGAATGCAAAAGAATATAAAAGCTTTTAACATTATCAAAGGAAATTTAAACAGAATTGCACACTGTGTAATAATAATAATAATAATAATAAAGACTTTATTTAAAGAGGCAACATAGTTGGGCATGCCCAGTCTTCCCTATGAGCCTCTATCAAATATACAATGTACATAATATAAACATTTACAAACAAAAGGTATGATAAAACAACAACAAAATTACAAATACATTGTAGTTAAGAAACAAGTAAAACGAAAATCTAGGGAAAAAACATTATATAAGAATATAAACATTGCAATTCAGATATACATTTATCATTTTATAATACAAATTGATGTGTTTTATTCCCACCAGAGAACCACCATTTAAGATAATTATTTTTGAACGACTGTAAATTTGTGGAATTTCTGATATCTAAGGGAAGAGAATTCCAAAGTTTTGACCCTGAATATGATAAAGATTTTCTGCAGAACTCAAGTCTAGGTTTTGGGATTTGAAGTTGTTTTTGTTGATATGATCTTAATTGTGTATTTTCTGTGTAAGTAAAAAGATTTTGCATATAATCAGGGAGAAGATTGTTAAGGGACTTGTACACTAAAATAGCTTTTTTATAATTTACTCTTTCAGAAAATTTCATCCAGTTTAATTCAGAAAATAAATCATCAGTGGGTGCATCAAAATCTTTGTCCAATATTATTCGTGCTGCACGTTTTTGAAATTTATACAGGTCATTTAAGAGTTCTTTACTGCAATTTCCCCAAATAGTGCAACAATAGTCTAAGTGGGGAAGAATGTATGCATTATAGAAAATTTTCCTTACATGAACATTTAGAAATTGTTTTATTCCCAAAAGAAGGTATAGTAATGAATTGCATTTATTCAGTATCATTTTGACATGTATTTTCCAGTTCAGTGTATGATCAACATGGACACCTAAAAATTTTCTGTTTCTGAAAATTGTAAGCTTTCATCTGATGCACAGGAGAGTAATAGTATTGTAGAAATTATTTGAAGGTGAAATAAACACAGCTTTAGTTTTATTAGCATTTGGAATCATTGAATTCCTGTTGCACCACCGTTGTATGGAATTAAGGTCAGACTGAAGTTTTGTACAAATTGAATTGATACTGTGTCCAAATGAGGTAATTGTAGTGTCATCAGCAAACATGTCTGCTGTAGAATGTGATAAATGCAAAGGTAAGTCGTTGATATAAATAATAAAAAGGAGAGGGCCTAAAACTGAACCTTGAGGCTCACCAGATTTTATATGCTGAGCTTCAGAATACTTTCCAGACACACATAATTGTTGTGAGCGATCACTTAGGTATGACCTAAACCATGAAATTGAATTTTCATTTATGTTATACAGTTGTAGTTTTTTCAATAATAAGTTATGATTGATCAAATCAAATGCTTTTGTTAGATCAAGAAATATAGTCCCTATAAGTTTTTCTTCATTTATTGCTCTGATCCAGCTGTCAATAATTGAAGTAAGAGCAGTTTCGCATGAATAATTTGTGCGAAAGCCAGACTGATTTGGCTGAAAAAGAGAGTTAGTTTCAAGAAATAACTTAAGATGATTGCTAACATGTCTTTCTAGAACTTTTGATAGAACTGGTAGTATTGATATAGGCCTGTAATTACCTTTTTCATTTTTGTTGCCCTTTTTATGTATAGGAGTAACTTTTGCCTGCTTAAAGGCGAAAGGAAATAAGCCACTTGATAGACTGAGATTGAATATTTTTTCTAAAGGCTTGGATATAATTTTAGAACTTATTTTAAGAAATTTGGCTCCTATACCATCTAGACCTGTTGACTTTCTGATATCAAGATCTTGTAGTTCTTTGTATATGAATTGACTTGTAACTTCAGGTATGTTGAAAGGGCATTTATCCTTTGAATGCATTTCAATATACTCATGCAATTTTATTTCATCTTCATGTGATAAAGTTGAGCAATATCCAGGTGCAGATTTAAAGATATCAATGAAATAGTCATTAAATACTTCGGCTGTTCTTAATGGGTCTTTGATTTGATTTCCTTCTTCATCTTGAATATAATTTGTTTGGTGATTTGTAGATTTTCCTGATAATTGTTTGAGATTTTTCCACATTTCTTTTGCATTGTGTTTATTGTTATTTATAGTTTCTGAATAGTAATTTTTTTTGGAATTTGAGATTAGATTTTTAACTTTATTTCTCCAATATTTATATTCTTCATTGTTATTTAATTTCTTAGCTTTATCTCTTTGTTTAGAGGCATGAAGAATATCAGGATTGTACCAGTCTGGAAGATGCGTATGTTTTACACGTTTCTTTTTAAGAGGAGCATGAGCATTTAATACTTGATTGAATAAAGAGTTAAAATAATCCAAAGCATCATTTGGGTCATCATATATTTCTAACACTGACCAAGGCTGCTGTTCAAGAGATTCAAGAAAATGTTTTTCATCAAATTGTTTCATATTTCGGTATTGAATAATTTGATGTAAAGGGTCTTTGATAGCAGTTGTTAAGATTTTGCGTGTGAAGCAGATTGGAAAATGATCACTGATTGATAAATCAGGTACATTGATTTCAGATATATTGCTAGGGAAATTAGTATATAGATGATCTATAATTGTATTTGATGTTTGAGTTACTCTGGTGGGTTTTTCAACTAGCTGCCTCAAATTGAAACTGTTAGTAATGTTATTCCAAGAAGTGTTATTAGTAGACATAGTTAATGGATCATAATTAAAGTTAAAATCTCCGGTCAATATGATTTCTTTGTTTTCAATATATAGTTTATCTAAAATTTGTTCTAAACATGAATTCCAGTTTGCAGGTGATGATGGTGGCCTATAAATATAGCCAAAAATAAATGGTTTTTGTTGATTGTTTTTTATTTCAAGCCAGATAGATTCAATGTCCTCATGTTGTAGATCATTCCGAGGAACACAGGAAAAGATTTCATTTACATATAAAATAAGTCCACCACCATTTGTTTTCCTGTCCTTGCGAAACATTTGGTAACCTTTAAGCTCAAATTCACTGTCTGAGAAGTAACTGTTCAAAAATGTCTCACATAGCCCAATAATATCCAAATAAGAATGAAGATGTAGCAAAATTTTGAATTCTTCAAGTTTTGGATAAAGATAATGAATGTTAAGATGGAGAAACTTAATTCCTTGCTTTGATAGATAGTTAGTTTCTTTAGAGCTTAATGGTGTGGTTTGCTCTATAGAAATGTTATCTATTTATTTTCATTATTTTTGCAATGATTTTCAATATTTACACTATCTACATTAAAATTGGCATTTTAAGATTTTTCACTTTCAGGATGGATTGTTGTCAAATTTGTCTGCGTTCAAGTAGGAAGTCACAGTGACTGCTTTCTATCTTTGAAGTGGTGGATAAGTGTACATCCATGGGGGTAAGCTCCACGCCCCAGTTGGATGATTGAAGTGTGTAAAGCCCCAAGGCCTGGTTTGTCTCTTGTGTGGTTGGTACTGCGGTGATATGTATTGACGAATGGCCTGACGAAAATTTCCTGGTGTTTTCCTTGGGTTGATGTCAAGTACTTGTCTTATTGTGGCCTTGATTTGTTTAGCAAAAACTGCAGCTCCATGATTATTAAGATGAACTTCAACAGAGTAAAGTGACTGGTCTGTCTGCTGATATTTCATAAAGGAATTTGTGTGATCAATATTTCTTTCATTACAGAGTTTCCTCAAAAGTTCATTTGTATTTCTTATCTTTTATAAGTATGACATATCTGTTTTCATTGGTAATATTGAGGAGACCACTATTTTAACTTGTGGGTTGTTTTGTTTCAAAAGTTCTGTCAATTCAAGGAACTGTTGCTTTACGACCTCTGGTTGATCACCATGTAATATGTTGTTGATGCCTGCATGAATAACAAACACGTTTGTGCTTTGAACATGTGGCTTGTTGGCAAGTAAGGAAGACACCTTACTGTGGATGTCCTTAACATGGGCACCTCCTTGAGACTGTATTGTAACATTTGTTTTGTCAGTTGACATTTTATCCGTTCTTAATATTTTTGTGACAGAATCACCTAAAATAGATACTGAATATTTTGATTTGTCTTGCTTCCTATGGTGGTCAGTTTCAATGAGATTTCGGTTGTCATCATTATCTACAGTACCCTTGAGCTGGTTGTTGCCCTCATCTGGAATTGATTCTAGCTGTATGTTGTGTTTAAGTTTTTGTGCTTCTATTTCTGATCTGAGCAGTGAAATATCATGTAAAGTTGCTGCCTTTTTTTGCTTATCAATCAAGATATCAATATTTTGTTTGATGGAAGTTATATCATCCTTGATTTCTTTTGTGCACTGTGTTCTGTCCTCATCATTCAAACTCCTTGCTGTAAATTTACTAATGAGCTTTTGTTTTTCCTCTTTCATCAAACTATTCATTTTCTTAAGTTTATCAATTTCTTCACTTTGTATTAAGCATTTTGCATTTGCATCTGCTAACTTATCCTCCAGGGTGTTTGATTTTAACGATATTGACTGAATATGCTTGCTCTGTTCAGAGACTTTTCTTCGAGTATCTTCAAGAGTTGTTTTAATTTTTTCTGCAGAGTCTAAGGCCTTCATAAGTTTGTTTCCTTGGTCATTATATTTTGTTTTCAACTGATTATTTTCTTTCTCTAGCCGTCTTAGTTGACTTTTCATTTCTTCATTTTTTTGTCTTAACAGAGGGGCTTCATATTCACTATTGGTGTTTGTTTGTTCAGCACACCTCTCCTTGATGTGAGGATTTTCTAACTTGAAAGAACTTTGAGAGGTGACATCATTTTCTTCACTTTTATTTGCAGTAATTAAGTTGCTATTGACTGTTTTAGTGCCAGCTTTGTTATCAGTTAAAGATTTATTCAATACTTTTTTTCTTTGTGTAAGTTCGTTGTCATAGAGTTCATCATATCTTTCATTATCTTTTAGGCTCATTTCATGTTTAGTTGATTCTTCACACAATTTGTTCTTGATCTGTGTTTCTTGTTGTTTTTTGTTGTATTGGTAGTTTAATGGTGTAGCTGAGTGACTAGTAATCTTTGAACTGCTTGCATCTGACTTGCCTGATAATACATCATTTAGACATTTGTTGAAATACTCTTTATCAACTGGTGGCCCTCCTTTTTTAGCTACCTTTTCAGCTTTTTTCATTTGCTTAGCAACTTTAAGAAGTCCTTTGTCTGGTGATGGGCCAAATAGTTTGGTTGAAACAGTTGTTAATATGTTGCTGGACTTGGATTTTTTCTTAAGTTTTGGAATACTTGGGTTCATTTTTCTGGCTGAATTTGATTTGCTCTGTTGAAGATCTACAGTTTCATTTACTTTCATTGAGGTTTTAAGCTTTGTTGATAGAGTCTGAAAAATGGTATTTTTCCATACTCTGCACCCTGGCCCTTGAATCAGCATAGTTAGAGTGTAATAAACAGTTATTACAACTTTTTTGTCTGTAATGTAAATAGTTGTGGATAATCCTGTTTCATCTTTTGTTGGTGTAAATTGATACAACTGTTGTAATAGCTCCAGTAATTCCTCTTTAGTGGCTTGGTGATAAAAATTGATTGATACACAATCTGTTATGTCACTAACAACCATATCAAAAAGTTGCCCATTATTGGCATCAGTATAATCCGCAGAAAGATCACATTCAGAGAAGCCACTAAAGCTTTCACAGTAAAAATATACATTTAAATTTCATAAGCATAAACATTTGGTCAGTCCATGTTAAATCTAACAAGCATCTATGAATCAAATTGAATTAGAGAATGAAATAAGTTGTCAGTAAAAAAACAAATTTTAAGATGTGAAAATTATTTCTCAAGTTTAGATTCACTTGTGATTACTAAAGATTGTTATTTTTCTTTGCCTGTATCTATTTAAGAAATAATATATCCCAAACTGTTATTTTATCGCTCAATAACATCACTGTTTGGAGTTCGGATGTGAGGAATTATATCACGAGGGCATAGCCCGAGTGATATAATGATGCGCATCCGAACGACAAACAGTGATGTTATCCAGCGATAAAATCACCGATTTGGATATATTATTTCGATTCTAACACAACATAAACAAATAAATCTGCCGTACCGGCTATTATGCAAAATTGCGCCTGATTTGTTTCCGTACTTATTGTCAGGGCGTCGGATTTTATAGTGGTTACGTCACATGTATAATGATTACGTCACATGTCTAAATATAGAACGTCAAACAGTGACTCTATTGCATAATAACACACACTTTCGGTTCTTCTATGTTCAATAGGGAAAAATGCGGGTCGTGTTAGAATAAACATTTATGAACATTACAGAAATAAAGCCAACAAAAAGAGTGGATGAAGTAGCTTGCTTACCTGTTCTTACTTCACTACCTGTTTTTTGTGCCCCCACTATAAGGGGGGGGGGGGGCATTTAGATTTACCCTTGTTTGTCTGTCCGTCTGTCTGTTCTATTTTTGTGTAGCTCAAAAAGTAATTGACTAGAGTCGTGAATCCTTACAGGAATGTTGATTAGCGTGTGAAGTTGTGCACCTGGGTACTTTTGTGTGTTGAACACACTGCCCTACCAATAGGGCATGGTTTTTTAGGGATTCTTCTCACAAGTCTGTTCACATAAGAAAATTCAAGATGATATATATTGTTTTCAGAGAGTCTAGGTACATGTCCCGACATTATTGAGGATGATGATTGTACGTCACAATGCGAAATGGACTCAGATTGTCATGGTCGGATATGCTGTGAAAATTCATGCAATGTTGGAAAGTGTGTTGATCCAACAGATAGCAATAAATTGATAAATAGTAAGTTTAAACAATGCATAGCCTCACCTCTGTCATACTCTTGTGAATATCTGTATTGAAAAATATTATAGTAATATACATTCATGGTAATGTTTGTAAATGGAAAATGTTATATACAGGATTTAAGTAACATTTTATATTATTTGTTATAAAGATTGTTGACAAGTTATATGGCCCTATATTAATGGCTGTTTGTATATATAACCAAGTTATTTTATACCACTCGGTTATGACTAATAGTTAATACTCTTCTTTGATGATTGTTTCCAGTTATACTAGACTCTCTATTCGTTAAATTGCCACTTTTAATTTTTATTTTTTTATTTTTATTATTATCATTATCATTGTAATATTATTATCATTTTGATATTTGCAGTATACTTTATGTCTGTGAAATTGTAATACATGTATATGTTGTTTTTCTTGTTTCAGAAGTATATAGGGTTATATTTGAATTGCTACAGAAAGCTTTTAATGAAGATTATAAAGACATGAAGAGTGATGCATCTAGGAAATTGATAGAAGAATTAACACCTTTGGTAAGGGTCATGTATATCATTATAATCTTTGATAAGTTACATATAGTAATTGGATATCCAGTTATTTACCCTTTTTTCAAGTTTGATAATATAATATTTCAAGTTCTACTTGTACCAATGGTTTAAAAGTATACAAAGTATATACATCTTCTGTTTTTCTCTTCCTATAGGATCTAGATTATTTCTTAATTTTGGTGTCAAATCTTTGTAATTATCATACTTTGAAAATGTCAGAACAGCTGCAAGTCTTACATATTGCTGTATTTCTTTTACGCTTTCTAATATCAACAGTTGTGGACATAAGCAGGGAGAAAAGTCTGGACCTTTAACCTGCTTTGAACCAAACCTGTTTCCCCTTTGTCACCAGTATAGAACCAGGCCAGTCTGCACATCTGGCTGTGTACTGTTGGAAGCTTAGTTTTTATACATCCCCCTAAATTTTAAATGGACTGTTCCAAATTCAAAGTAGGATGAATCCATTCCACAAATTCAGCAGGTTAAGGGTTACAGGATAGTTTCTGTTTGTTTTTGTTGTAATTATTTAATTTAATTGTGTTAATTTATATTTCCAGCTCAATCAGATATTTATGGGTAAAGAATGGATGATTGAACGTTTTTTCTCCACTCTTGATGCTCAAAGACGGAAAAGGTTTGCTCAGTTTTACCCTCTGTTTTTCTCCTTTCAACTTTAAAATTTCATATAATAAATTATCCTGTAGCTTAAATGTGCTTGGTATCTATCTTTATCTACCTATGAAAAATGTATACTTTATGAGAATCACTCATTCAAAAAAAAAAAAAAAGAAAAAAATTAGGTTTAATGACAGAAATGTAATTATATATTATAATTTTACTTTATTTTTAATGATCATTTTTATTGCCCCCACAGAGTGGGAGCATATAGCGTTGCACTTGTCCGTCCGAGTGACCGTCAGTCCGTACGTCTGTCCGTCTGTCCGTCCGTCCGTCTGTCCGTACGTCCCGAAATCTTGTGAACGCAACTCCTCTTAAACCGGATGGCAGATTTTGCTTAAACTTACAGGGATGAACAACCTTAATGTGTAGATGGTAGTAAAGGAAGGAATTTATGCTGGGACCAAATTTAACAGAATTATGGCCCTTTGTTGATTTTTTCACTATATACTATGTAGAAATTTTGTGAACGCAACTCCTCTTAAACCGGATGGCAGATTTTGCTTAAACTTCCAGGGATGATAAACCTTAATGTGTAGATGGTAGTAAAGGGAGGAATTTTTGCTGCGACCAAATTTAACAGAATTATGGCCCTTTGTTGATTTTTTCACTATATACTATGTAGAAATTTTGTGAACGCAACTCCTCTTAAACCGGATGGCAGATTTTGCTTAAACTTACAGGGATGAACAACCTTAATGTGTAGATGGTAGTAAAGGGAGGAATTTTTGCTGCGACCAAATTTAATTGAATTATGGCCCTTTGTTGATTTTTTCACTATATACTATGTAGAAATTTTGTGAACGCAACTCCTCTTAAACCGGATGGCAGATTTTGCTTAAACTTCCAGGGATGAACAACCTTAATGTGTAGATGGTAGTAAAGGGAGGAATTTTTGTTGCGACCAAATTTAACAGAATTATGGCCCTTTGTTGATTTTTTCACTATATACTATGTAGAAATTTTGTGAACGCAACTCCTCTTAAACCGGATGGCAGATTTTGCTTAAACTTACAGGGATGAATAACCTTAATGTGTAGATGGTAGTAAAGGGAGGAATTTTTGTTGCGACCAAATTTAACAGAATTATGGCCCTTTGTTGATTTTTTCACTATATACTATGTAGATATTTTGTGAACGCAACTCCTCTTAAACTGGATTGCAGATTTTGCTTAAACTTCCAGGGATGAACAACCTTAATGTGTAGATGGTAGTACAGGGAGGAATTTTTGCTGCGACCAAATTTAACAGAATTATGGCCCTTTGTTTATTTTTTTACTATATACTATGTAGATATTTTGTGAACGCAACTCCTCTTAAACGGGATGGCAGATTTTGCTTAAACTTCCAGGGATGAACAACCTTAATGTGTAGATGGTAGTAAAGGAAGGAATTTTTGCTGCTACCAAATTTAACAGAATTATAGCCCTTTGTTGATTTTTTCACTATAAACTGACTATGCAGAAATTTTGTGAACGCAACTCCTCTTAAACCGGATGGCAGATTTTGCTTAAACTTCCAGGGATGAACAACCTTCATGTGTAGATGGTAGTAAAGGAAGGAATTTTTGCTGCGATCAATTTAACAGAATTATGGCCCTTTGTTGATTTTTAGTTTTCAACTTGTGGCACATGTAGTCCAAAAAAATAATTGACCTAAAGTATTAAGATTGACAGAACAGTGGCGTGTGGGGGCATCCGTGTCCTATGGACACATTTCTAGTTGTGGTAACTTTACAAATCAAAATCTGAAATGATATTCCTTTCAATTTTAAATCTTTATTATTTTGCATTTAGCAAAAAAATGTATTTGTAAACACCTGAAGTATGAAGAGAATTGTGGGCCTCAATGAATTAAGGTCATAAGTCAGTCAGAATTTTTCAGTAATTTCACTTGTTCATTTGTTGTATTGAAACTTAGGCAACATTTCACCATTACCATGATAAAATATGGAAATTTGCTAAAGTTAGTGCTAGCAGGCGTAAACAGTAATTTTCACTTTCCAGTATCGTCCATGAACTGGGCTTTTAAAATTTTCAATTTTGTTGTCTTTTTGGCCTTCTTTAGGGATTTCGTTTTTTTTTTCTTTCTATTTTATGCATATTGCTGACATTGTATTGTTTCATGACAGGCAACTACCAGACGGACCCGGTAACACACTTGTAGAAGTAAGTGCCACATCCCATGAGGACATTGATACAGTTGTAAGAGATGCTTTTGCCAAAGATGAGACACTGTCGGAAACCCTCAGTTTCCGATCATCAAAATCCGAAGGTAAAGCTTGTTTGATATACAATAACATGTAGTTATCTGTCTATTCCAAGCTTTTATTCTAACCCTTAACCTGCTGAATTTGTGAAAAGAACTTTGCCAACTTCCATATTTACAATAAATATTGACCATGACATGATGTAGGTCTTTACCAATAACATTAGTGAGCCTTGCCATGACGAAACCAACATAATGGGTTTGCGACCAGCGTGGATCCAGACCAGCCTGATCAGGATCAATGCTGTTTGCTGTTTCTCTACTTGTAATAGGGTTTGTTAGCAAACAGCATGGATCCTTATCAGACTGTGTGGATGCGCAGGCTGGTCTGAATCCATGCTGGTGGAAAATGCACTATGTTGGTTTTGTCATGGCGTGGCTCAAAATTTTGTGTGAGATATCTTTTCATGACTGTAAGAGCATCCATAGCTGAGTGGCTAGCGTAGTGGAATTTAAACCACTTGCCGCTATGGGTATGAATCCTGTCCTGGCACCTCAGAATCTTCATTTGAGAAAGTTATCTAGCTAGTTTACAGAACATGGAGGGGCACTCAAGGTATTCCTACAGGTATCCAGTAACAATCAAGTTGCCATATGACCTTTTACAGTGCTGGTTTGGCATGAAACTAAACCACACCGAAAGAAAAAGTTAAGGAAGGACACCATAAATATAATCTTTTAATAAATCAATGACCCATTCGTTTTTGGAATAACAAAAAAAAACCTATGTGTTAAATATATAGCTATATTAGTATATGATTTTATGTAGAACCATACAAAATATGTAATAATCTTTAAGGTAATTTATATTTGTATAACTTTTTCAAAATACATGTAATAAATAAATTCTTTTGTATTTTTTGTCCAGTGGACTGTTCTGCTACCTCATGTTTGCGGGTCGAGTGTGACAGACATGAAGAAAGCTACACTCCAGATGATGCATGCTGTCCGCAATGTAGACCAGGTAATTTTGTTCTTTATTGTAGACCAGGTAATTTTGTTCCTTATGTAGACAAGGTAATTTTGTTCTTTATGTAGACCAGGTAATTTTGTTCTTTATGTAGACCAGGTAATTTTGTTCCTTATGTAGACCAGGTAATTTTGTTCCTTATGTAGACCAGGTAATTTTGTTCCTTATGTAGATCAGGAAACTTTGTTCTTTATGTAGACCAGGTAATTTTGTTCCTTATGTAGACCAGGTAATTTTGTTCCTTATGTAGATCAGGAAACTTTGTTCTTTATGTAGACCAAGTAATTTTGTTCCTTATAATATATAGACCAGGTAATTTTGTTCCTTGTGTAGACCAGGTAATTTTGTTCTTTATGTAGATCAGGTAATTTTGTTCTTTATGTAGACCAGGTAATTTTGTTCCTTATGTAGAACAGGTAATTTTGTTCTTTATGTAGACTAGGTAATTTTGTTCCTTATGTAGACCAGGTAATTTTGTTCCTTATATAGACCAGGCAATTTTGTTCTTTATGTAGACCAGTTAATTTTGTTCCTTATGTAGACCATTTAATTTGTTCCTTATATAGACCAGGCAATTTTGTTCTTTATGTAGACCAAGTTTTCAATTTGTTCTTCTTGTAGACCAGGCAATTTTGTTACTTATATGTACCAGGCAATTTTGTTCTTTATGTAGACCAGGTAATTTTGTTCCTTATGTAGACCATGTTAATTTGTTCTTTATGTAGACCAGGCAATTTTTCTTAACCTGCAGGTCACCCTTTTAGGCCCTATATTGTTTGTAGCTATAAATCTTTTTGTTTATTTTCACATATGAATCCCACTAACTGCTCCAAATTCATAGCTATGGAAACCCATTACATCATCTTAGTAGGTTATTAAACAACAATTTCATATCCCATATTGTTTTCATATTATAAGTCAAAGTATTAATAGGTTTCTTCCATGCAGTGTTATTTTTAAGACACTTTAAAGATTCACCGGAGATTTTATTTGTTTTTTCAAATCTAGTTATTATAGACTTATTGTCAAACTCGACAATGACTCGAAAAAGACTTGTGTTGTAATTTTTCGATACTATCTTTCTATGTTGGGAGTGGGTGGGTGGTTTTAGTATTTCTTTTAAATCAAGTTTATGATTAATTTTATTGTCACACTTTTTTAATGTTTTTTCTGTTGTTTTTTTTCCAGTACCTTCCCCATGCACACCAGAGTATTTTGAGAGAGCCACCGGGGAAAAATGCAATCCAATATGGATGAAGTACACACAATCCAAAGGTTGCTTGTAAGTGTCTTAAGTTTTCTTCAGTTAAGTTTTTGTATGCATGCCTAAGTTATGTTTTTTCATGCAAATTGGCATCTCCAAAACTATTGAAGGGAATTGATTGAAAATTCCCACAAATATTTGAGAGAATAATAGGAGGTCACCATCAAATGCTAATAACTATGACACGTATAACAACAGAAATATGGCCCTTTTTGAGCTTAGAAAATTATACATAAACCAGGCATATCTGCCCTGAAAAAAGTCCAGCTTGCTGTCCTACTTGACAGCTTATGCTTGTTTAATAAATTTGTCTTAAATCTGTATTGAGGAAACACATCAGCTGTTATTAGTGTTTTATACTACTATGATACAGTTTTAAGAATATTGACCTTTAGTTGTTACAATAACAAATTTAGATAATAAACAATCCCATTCATAATGGTATTAAATGTCCATTAACTTAAAAACAACAACAAAAAATATAAAATGCAATGCTGTTGTTGATGAAACTTATACCTTTGTGATTTCAGTTCTCAGACAATTTGCTAATTTGTTAGTAAATAATAATGAGTTAAGTTAAATGACTGTGTTATAAAATTATTTAGATTTAGTTCATTTTCATTATTTTTCCTTCAAGACTTTATCTGTGAGTTTATATCTCTTATTCAGGGACTATGCAGCTTTTGTCAGCTGTGTATGGTACCAGGCTTTTGCACGAAACATTTCTTGTGACCTTACACAAGCTAATGCAGCTGTCAGAGATAAGACATTAGAAAGTCAGTTGCCAGCTGAATTTTGTAAAACTGAAGGTAAGAAAAAAAGAAGGTTAATGCCTAAAGTCTAAACCATTCAGATCAGTGTTTTCAAAATATATTCTTAAAGTATTAACCAGTCAGATTTAAAAGCATTAACCTATCAAATCAGTGTTTTCAAATTTTATGCCTAAACTATTAACCAATCAGATATAAAAAAGCAGATCGTTGTTTTCAAAATATATTCTTAAAGTATTAACCAATTAGATTAAAAGCATTAACCAATCAGATCAGTATTTTCAAAATTTTATTCCTAAACTGTTAACCAATCAGATCAGTGTTGTTAAAATTTATGCTCAACATATTACTTTAATAAGATCATTGCTTTTTTCCCTTGAAAGTATTAACAAAACAATTTTCACATTTATAGACTTCGTATTTTTACAGCTGAAGGATTTACATTTGAATTGGTCAAAAATGCTCTTCCAAAGACGAGACAAGGAGTTTGTGAAAATGTGTTTATCAACAGGATACTGATGTTCTATTATTGCCGTGATACAGAACAATATGATGCTATAGATACTCCACGAGAGAAATGTTTGTAAGTAGTTCCTGCTGGCATTTTAGAACTTTCTCAAATTATTACATCATATAAGACCACTTCCCCCATACCTGTGATGGTTAAAATCATGCCAGGTACTTTGGATTCTTTTATTTTAGGAAGTTATTCAGCCAACTTACAGAAAGTCATGGTTCTACTCAGGTGCTTGTTTATTCCTGAAATAATGTATGGATGGCTAACTGAAGTTTTCCTTGCTAGTAAAGCTAGAATATCACGATAAGACTTTTAAAGTGTTGATGTGACTTAAAACCCAAAAGAAATAGACATCATAGAGAAAAACACCTTATTATAGGAGAAAATTTTACTAGAACTTAATTTATAACAAAAACTCACCCAATGTAAATGAGACTCTCTTATAATGGTTTAATACAATAGTACACAGCCAGTGTTTTTTTTCACTTTTTGGGGAAGGGGGTCGGTGCCGTTTGAAGGGGGAAAAATGCAAAAGGAGGGGAAATTTTATTTCTTCACAAATGAAGAAACAAAAACGAATCCAATGCATATTTTAGTACATCACTTACCACTGTAAACTTTTGTTTGACATTGTTTTCTTTCCAGTGAGTAGAAAAGGGGAGCAACTCTTGCAACACAAGTTTAAAATACGTCGCTTTTTCTAAATATACGGATCTAAAATATTGACAGCAGAATTTAAAGAGTTGCATGTTAAACTTGTTGGGACGCCAGGAGTAGCTCCCCTTACATACCCGGGAACAATTTGTAAACAACTTTGCTTAACAGTTAGTCTTACAGGCTTAATATAAAACATTTTTCAGCAGTTATATGCAAAAAAAAATGGTATCCATTGCAGGCAAATTTTGGCTGCCATATAAGAGGGAAATTTTGGCTTAGAGAGGGGAAAAAACATACTATTTTACAGGGGGAACGGGGCCGAATTTCGCCGAATATTTTGGTGAAAAAAAACACTGACAGCAGTAGCTTTTCTGTACTGATTTGTATTAGTTTGAAATCCAATGAACTCTATTATCACTGTCAAGGGAATTTGATACATATATATAAATATATATATAGTTGACATTTCAAACTTGATTAAGGAAGTATTCAAGGGAAGTTGACCAGTTTGTAACTATTGTCATGGAGAGAGTAGTTCTGAAATACATTCATGTTCATTATTACTTTTGTATCTCTTTATAGCATGGAGTTTGGTATAAGGAAATGTGTAAATGATATTGTATACGCTGACTTCGAATGTGACATCACTTCTACAAATAATATCTTCCAAAATGAAGAGTTGAGGGATGGACTTGTAATCAGCAAACCAGAGTTGGATTGTGGTAAAAATTCATTAGTTTTTTATCACAATTTTTACACGCCCTTTTAAAAAAACAGATCGTATTATAGATCCCCCCCCTGGTGGGCAGCTGGGCGGTCAGCGTCAAATTTTTGTCCGTAGCATATGTTCTACACACATGAAGGAATTTTAATGAGACTTCATAGAAATGTTCACCACTATGAGAACCTGTGCAGTGCGCATGAACCAGGCTCTTGGGTCAAGGCCACACTTGGAGATCATTGAAAACCGCTTGTCTGGAGCAAAACATCTACATGCATAGAGTAATTTCAAAATAACTTGGCACAAATATTCACCATTGTGAAGCAGAGTGTCCCATGCAAAAAGTTCCCTGCGGCCATATTAAAAATGTCAAACGATTTTAGTTGCATTTCGTATGGTAGGGTCAAAATTGGTTCCATTAGTGAAATGACCAGACAAATTAGATTGCTAGTATCATATGCACATCAGTCACATACAGCAGAACCTATTTGTGCCGCGTCACGACAAAACCAACTTAATGGATTTGCGACCAGCATGGATCCAGACCAGCCTGTGCATCCGCGCAGTCTGATCAGGATCCATGCTGTGTGCTATCAGTTTCTCTACTTGTAACAGGGTTTGTAAGCAAACAGAATGGATCCTGATCAGACTGCGCGGATGCCCAGGCTGGTCTGGATCCATGCTAGTCGCAAACCAATTATGTTGGTTTTGTCGTGACACGGCTCATTTAATGTAATATGCTTGGAAAAAACAGTAATATGAATAAGATCATTTATGTCAGAGCGGACACGAGACTCTTGACTGGAAATAACTTCCCTCACAGCCTTTAGGTTATTTTTTGTCATGGTCATTAAATATGTAGATGATACTGAATGTGTCTAAATTTAACACTAAATTAATTGAACAAGTTTAATAAAATCATATTATGCGAGCCTCTGGAGAGCATAAAATTATTACAGTTAAAAAGAGTTATTTTTCATTGCATTAATGCACCTATAGTGTAATCTAATTTTAGCCCATAAATTTTATGTTTGTATAGTGTTATTACACTACTAATGTAATATTATTTTTATTGAATACATGTAGCTTTATCACACTCCTTTGCCTAAGTTTATGTAATAAATTCTTTTAAAAAGTAATCTGAAATAATTAAATACTTTGTAAATTTACAGTTTAAGTTCTAGCAGCGTCAGAATTTATAATTATTATTTGATGTTGTTTCGGTTAAGATATGGCAGTGGTTTTCATTGTTTCTAAAATTTATATGTTTTTCTTTTAATTTTTAGATGCAGATTACACATGTGCTAAATACCTAATGACGGATGCTAGTGAACAATTAAATGATGGTTGTATTGGCTTAGCCAGTAATGTCCTTCATTTGGAGAATACACCAGATCTATTTGTGGGAGATAAACAATTCAAATGCTTGTAAGTTTATGTTTCTTGTAGTTTAAAGGCACATTAAAGTGACATACTGCCCATCAAAATGTAAATGCTGAGAGAGTATAGGTAAAAGTCAAAGTAAGTTTCCATTTTGTCACATTTGTTTACAATTTTGTGTTTTACCTTCAATAAAAAAATTCAATAACCCACATGGCACACAGAAACATCTACACATCTTCAGAATGTGTCAGTTATGCTCAGTTGAAAAAAAATTGGGACAGTCCTTTTATATTTTAGGCAGGTTTTGTATTTTATACTAAACATTTCTAATTATCAATAATTGATGAATCATCTTTAAAATAGTCAGTCTTTTGAAATTATGTTTATACTTCAATTCAGCTTGTCAACGAAACAATGAGCATAAATGCCATATTGCCAAGCCTTGTAAATGAATATGATGTTTCCTCTGAAAAAAGGAAAACTTGTGTTTAGTTATATTAAAACAATGATAAAAAGGGATTAAAGAGTGTGTCTTTAAACTTGATACAGATTCCTACACAGTTGGAAATAAAATAAATTCTGTATGAACTTAAGGATTACATTAAAAGCATGTAAGATGATAAATGCTTGATATGAAATAATTGATGATAAAAGTGGCATTAAAAATTTACAAAGTACATGTACTATTTTGTATTTCCATATAGAATACCATCACTTTAAATTTCTTTCCTTCCACAGCTAGTCTGAGCCAATGATTTATTAAGCATAATAATAATTCAAGCTGATTAAAATCAGCTCTAAATAACACTCCGCTTTTAGATCTGACAGTGACCAAATACAAAATCATTTCTTGTTTACTATTTCACAGCCTATCATTGGTGAGCTTTCATAATTTTGAAAGCAATGTGGTTTCTAATTTAACCATAGGAAAACTGATACTGAGAAGGTAATTTTCATGATTTCGAGAACAAACATGGCGTTGTTCATATAGCCAACAAGTATACTGGCAAAACAATCTTACCCATTAAAAACATTTTTTTACTTCAGGACCTACATTATTGTTTATTTTTACTTCAGGTTTAGTTTTACTTCAGGACGTTCAGTATTGTTTATTTTTACTTCTAGACCTGCAAAATTGGGTATTTTTACTTCATGACCTATAGAATTGTTTATTGTTTACTTCAGGACCTACAAATATACTGTGGAATGTGTAAACAAGGATCTCAAATCAGATGAGGAATTTAGTGACACCTGTTCTCCTGATGATGTCCATGCACCATTGTTTGGATTGATCAACATGGACACCACCTCAGATGAAGAAAGAGAGCCCTTCCATAAAGTGGACATATTTTCTGAGTGTATAGGTAAAGGCTATTTTATTTTATCAAAATTTAAATTGTGGAAATATATATTAAAATGAATTTAAACTTTTTTAAAAATTCTGGAATCCCGTCTGTTTGTTTTCATATTTTCTTAGTATATGGTCATATCTTATGATTGTGTTATGTAATTTAACAAACATGAATCATGCCAAATAAACAACTGAATATAATATAAATACTTTTCTACTTCTGTTTTAAGAAAGTTTAAGAAATACAAGCCTTTCTAAAATTGTACAAGGCGGTATAGCTCCTGAGTATAAATTGGGATATTCTTTTTTTTGTAATAAAAAGCATTTTCCCCATCACCACAATATGAAACACCAGAATAAATAACACAATGTATTAGCATCTGAATATGATTTTTCTATCATTCTACAATTCCCTGTCATCAGAATGAGCAATGAGCATGCTGTATTTTTATCACCAATAGACAGTGTTTGGCTTTTGATTTGTCATTGACCTTGACATTTTAAATAAATTTGTCTGATAACCATGCAATGTAACTTAAATGTACTTGTTCATCTTCCAATCAAGACAATAACATTCATCATGTTTAGGAAAAATTTATTGACTGACTGAATAACAAGGAGTTCAGACCATGATCAAATGGCCCAGGAAAGTCCAACTTATTTTGGTCTGCACTGGTTGTAAGAGTTGATGTTGCTGACAGCAGGGAAAAGATTAAAGTAATGAACTACATGTATATAAGATTCATTAAAACCTTGAAAGCCTCCTGTTTCAAATGTGATAATATTGTAAATATAGATACATTAACAATTGGAGAGCTTGGGGATTGTCCAGAACAAGGTGAAGAGTTGATTACCATAGTAACAGCAGCCTGTGCAAGTGATGTTAATGAAGCCATGGACAGGGATTATTCTTTGGCTTCCGGATGCAGGTTTGATTTTTTTTTCCATTTTTTTTTTACATGAAGTTTTTCACTTTTCATGTGTTTGATAATGTTTAGTAAAATTTCAAAATTAAATTTCGTGAAGTACTAATTGTTAGTAATTACAAGTTTGATATCTTTGTATACTTTATGGCTTTGTTTTTCCAATGAAAGCATGCATTCTAAGATAGAATATTGGCAACATTCAGAGGCAAAACATTTTTTATTATTCTAACTCTTGTTTAAATGGCAACATGTTTTGAATAGACATTTTTAGAAAAGAGTTTTTGTTAATAAATTATTGATCAGAATGATAAAAGATCTCTGAAAAAGGTTTTGTGTTTTTATTATTAACAGCTATCCCCCTTTTTGTTTTATTGTATTAAAATGTGTTGCTAGGAAACATTTAATGTCATTAAGTCTATCTCTTTTTGGGAGTGGAAAGATTAGCTGACTTAAAAATATACTTGCCTTAATGGTTGTGACCTGCGAAGGAACTTTGGTTTTTTTCAAATGAGGAAGCTATCAAGTTGACCTATAGGGTCATAAGTTAGACATATATTGGATGCTGCTTATGCCTAAAATATTGTATGCCAAGAGGAGCACTTGATAGATTCTGTAGGAATGACTTAACTACATGTATTTAACTGTAATCATGTCTTGGAAACATATTGTTTTTGCCTTCGATGTCCGGTTGTCCGTTCGCTCTCATGGGACAGTAATAATGTTGCTAGAGGGACAATAGGTAACTGTTCTTTCTCTAGTTTTGGGAGACATATGTTTTTGTAACAAAAACCCTTCTAGTTTTTTTTCCTGTGAAACATTGCTATCATGATGTTATTGTATGTAGTAACAGTGCAATTTTAACTTTTGAACTCTGTTTATAAACATTTGTTTACCTCTGTCTTTTACGACACCATTGGTCAATGTTGGAAACAGGTACAGAAATATAGACATTGAACTTAATTTTTGTTTAATTTCAGAGCATTACATGAATGTCACAGAGGAATTTCAGAATGGTACAAAATGAGATCTATGTGCGTAGATTCAGAAACAAGTATAGAAGAAAGACTGCAAATTAATTCTGAAAGTGAAGACTTTATTACTGTGTTTGAAAGTGCTACTAGTTTAGATACAGGATTATGCAAAGCTGATAAAACATTTAGTAAGTTGCAAGAAGATTACTTTGGTTAAATGTCTGTTTTGGAAGGATTTATCCCATATATATTTCATATACCATCTGGCTGCAACTTGACAAGTACACAAGAATATTATTAATATGCTGAAGATACCAAGGCAACCCATTTATGTTATGCTTCAACATATTTTCAACATCAAAAAATAATTCTGTTTAGCCTACATGCCTAAAGATCCTGTTACACATTTTTTATGGTTTTATATCAAAATTATAATGCTCAAATGAAGATTATCAATATTGTATCTTTCAAAAAGCCTTATTTGTAAAGATATTTTCTGAATTTACATTTCATTTTAATAAAGGGAGTAAATTATAAATTTATTTTCTATAAAGTCTAAGTCAATTTTTTCATTAAGAAATGATTACATATAATGTTGACAAATATTTGCAGTACATATTTGACATATTCTTTGATGTTTAAATATTGTTTGAGAAGCATAACTATATACATATAATTTTACTTAAGTGTGGTAACAACCTGAATTACAACATACAGGATCTTTAAAAATCCAGATCAAATTGTTTCTTCAGGTTTTATATTGTATTTGAATATGATTTTTTAGATAAGTTATGAACCAAATTGTATACATTGATTTGTAAATGGGAGGTAATAAAACTAAATTAGAATATGATTTTCTGTAAACATTTGCTATATCTCACATCTGCCATTTTCCACATTTTATATATCCCAACCCATTTTATACACACACAAACAATAAAGTTTCAAAAGAGTAAAATACCAGAATCAGAATAAGTTTGCTGATAGACTGTCAGATTTTGCATGTCTAGGGCATAACTAGATAAATTTTGGAGGTATCAACTTTGAAATTGTATAGAAATATTTGGAACTTGCATAATTTTAAAGTTTTATTCAGTGTATTTTAGCAATTTTAACATGATTATTGTCTTTGAAAAACATTTGAAATTTTATATTATAACTTTCTAACAGAAACCTATGAGGTGACATTACTCTTACCCAATCGTGTATACCAAGAAGGATTTGAAGACATGTCAAGCGTTGCAAGCTCAAAATTTATGGATGAAATTCGCCCACTGGTAAACTGAATCACTATTTTAAATTATATTTACAAATAACTTAGTGATGCAATATCTGAGAAGGTGTTTTTGTGGCCAAGTTGTTGTGGTTAGTGATTTAGAATCACTTTAGTCTGCTTTAGTGGTGTTTTCTCAAGAAAAGATTTAATTGCTTGTTTATTTTCTTAGAATTTAAGTCATGCCAACATTATTATGTTCATACAGTGATATTTGAGCTTTATGGGTGGAGGGAGACCTCAGGTGCACCTTGCTTCATTAATTCAGGCAAAAACCGGGTACCTGAGTAGAACAACACATGTTCTGCTAGGTAAGCTAAGACAGTTTCCTCACATGAAAGAATTCAAAGTCCTTGATGGGATTCAAAATTAAGCTTTGAAATGGGGCAAGTGATTTGAAGTCAAAAACCTTAATCCCTAAGCCATAGAGGCTCCCCATACAAGTGAGGAAACTAGCTAGCTAGCCTGTTGAAGGATTGCTTTTCTAGGTGACACTCTTTTACTTAAGATGACGCAAAGGTACTCATGATCACTACATTTGTTAATTTGGGTTTGAAATTCTCAATCAAGTCAAAAAATGGAAACATTATGTGTTATCTAGGACAGCAAAATAAGTATATGTTGATGACTTCTTGGTTTGGTCTGTTCATAGATAGCAGTGTTAAATGCAGATAACCTTCAAAAAGCTTAGAGGCTTAATTTATGATTATACATAAAATGGTGAAATTTTGAATTTAGTAATATCAAGATAATTTAGGCATATCTATGTGTTTATATGGCAGTGATCATGGAACCTACAATAAGACAATTTTGTGACATTCCATGAAAAATAGGTATATTGTTCTCAAGTAAAAAAGAATGTATACAAAAAAATAATAGCATAATTATTTACAATTTTAATTTGTGTATATTATAAAGAGAAATAAACAAGATTTCATGGACACTCCTGTCTTTAAAGCTACAAAGACACTTAAGTCTTATCTGTGAGTGTATATCAACACATGTTGATATGGTGTATAACAATATAATGATAGAAATTCAAAAGAAAGTATGTTGTTAAAAAATAATTTATTTGTATATTTTGTAATTCCTTTCTAAGCTTTTAATTATGGAGGATATGAACTTCCATTGCAGCTTGCAAAATTGTTTGGAGGCAGAAAGTTCACGATTATGAAATTGTTACATCGTCTTAGAGATAAAAGGTCAGTATAATTATCTGTTTAGGTAACCAGTATCATACTGAAGCCTGTTAGTGCAGCTCGAAAGAACTCATGATTCACTGTTAAATCATTTAAATTAAGGCTATTGTAAGAAAGAAATGACTGGGATAAAAAGGGCCATTCCTAAGACAAGGGTCTCTGTATGAATTAGATCCAGTGGATGAGGGCCACTGAAAAAAAAAAAAATCTAAAAATAAGGGCCACTGTCAGATATAAATTCTAAAAATAAGGGCCACTTTCAGAAGTAAATTATAGGAATAAGGGTCACTATCAGAAAGACTTTCTAGATTTAAAGAATTTGTATTGTTTAAAAATATTCTTAACTTACCATTGTCTTTCATTTTTTTCTATCATGAAAACCATCTCTCTTAATGCCATCATTTTATCAATCTATATTTTAGATAATTAATGTGTTGGAATTTTTCCTATTTGTCTACCCTTGAGATGTGTTTGAAAACTTAAGGGGATAATGTGGTCAAGTGTCATGTCATTTAAACTTAATAAAACTTGTCTTACTTGTTTACCTTTATTATCCCACGCCGAAAATTTTCGGCGGAGGATATAGTAATAGAGAGATATTAACATGAAACTTCATAGGTGCATAGATCTCACTCAGGAGGTGTGCAGTGCACAAGAATGATAACTCTTCCTTTCATAATTTTTGAGTTATTGCCCTTTGTTATTTTTCATACCTAATTTTTCACCTGAGTGGAGCATAACTCAAAAAGTGTTTGAGATATCAACATGAAATGTCATAGAAGGATAGATCTTATTGAGGAGAAATGTTGTGCGCAAGAATGATAACTCTTCCCTATACAATTTTTGAGTTATTGCCCTTTGTTGTTTTTTTCATGCTATTTTGTCCAGAGCTTATCTGAAAAAGTATTTGAGGTATCATCTTGAAACTTCATAGGTGGATGGATCTCATTGAGGAGGAATGCAGTGCTAAAGAATGATAACTCTGCCCTGCATTATTTTTGAGTGATTGCCCTTTGTTATTTTCAAAATTAATTTTTTGTCCAGAGCATAACTCAAAAAGCTTTGAGATATCAAAATGAAACTTCACAGGTGCATAGATCTCACTCAGGAGGTGTGCACTGCACAAGAATGATAACTGTACCTTTTATAATTTTTGAGTTATTGCCCTTTGTTATTTTTCATACTTAATTTTTCAATTCAATTTTTTTCTCAAAAAGTATTTGAAGTATCAACTTGAAACTTCATAGGTGGATAGATTTTACTGAGGAGGGATGCAGCACACAAGGATGATAACCTACCCTGCATTATTTTTCAGTTATTGCCCTTTGTTATTTTCAGCCATCAGTATTCACATAGGTTTCAAATCTGTAATCACTATAGCCATCAGTTTTCATTACCAAAAGACCTCTTAAAATGGAATTATTCTGCTCTACTACATATACATTCTTCCAATGAGCAAACACATTCGGCGGGGGATGGCCATGTTGACATGGCTCTTGTTTAAATTCATGATAAGGGAAATAACCATCATATGATTTTTTACATGTTATCTGTATGTTTGATTTTTGTTTTTGTTATATATACAGACAAGATGATCAGACAGGTACAGACAACAATGGTGTTATCATTTTGACAGAGGTATCAGCAATGGAATTATCCAGACCCTTACTTGAAGAAACTGCCAAGAGCATAGAAGATGAAGTTGTTGAAATTTTATCCATTTATCCAATTTATTGTAAGTTGATTTTCTTATGACTGTAGAGGTGACCGTTCCTTTGTTTTCTTACTTCTTTTTTGAGTGTGTTATTTGGCCCTTAAGTACTGAATAAAGCTGGATCACACTTCTTTCATTCTTGAAGTGGATTAATGTTTACTTCTTGAAGATGAACAATGTCTCCTTGAATAATGTCTCCTTGAAGGTGAACAATGTCTACTTCTTGAAGTGGAAAGATGTCTACTTTAATATAAAGAATGTCTCCTTGAACATAAACAATGTCTCCTTGAATGAGAACAAAGTCTCCTTGAGTGTGAACCATGTCTCCTTGAATGTGAACAATGTCTATTTGAATGTGAACAATGTCTATTTGAATGTGAACAATGTCTATTTGAATGAGAACAATGTCTACTTCTTGAAGGTGAACAATGTCTCCTTGAATGTGAACAAAGTCTCCTTGAATGTGAACAAAGTCTCCTTGAGTGTGAACAATGTCTCCTTGAATGTGAACAATGTCTCCTTGAATGTGAACAATGTCTACTTCTTGAAGGTATCAATCTGTACTTCTTGAAGTGGAACAATGTCTACTCCTTGAATGTGAACAAAGTCTCCTTGAATGTGAACAATGTCTCCTTGAATGTGAACAATGTCTCTTTGAATGTGAACAATATCTCCTTGAATATGAACAATGTCTCCTTGAATGTGAACAATGTCTCCTTGAATGTGAACAATGTCTCCTTGAATGTGAACAATGTCTCCTTGAATGTGAACAATGTCTCCTTGAATATGAACAATGTCTCCTTGAATATGAACAATGTCTCCTTGAATATGAACAATGTCTTCTTGAACATGAACAATGTCTCTTTGAATGTGAACAATGTCTACTTCTTAAAGGTGAACAATGTCTACTTCTTGAAGTGGAACAATGTTTCCTTGAATGTGAACAATGTCTCTTTGAATGTGAACAATATCTCCTTGAATGTGAACAATGTCTCTTTGAATGTGAACAATATCTCCTTGAATATGAACAATGTCTCCTTGAATATGAACAATGTCTCCTTGAACATGAACAATGTCTCCTTGAAGGTGAACAATGTCTACTTCTTAAAGGTGAACAATGTCTACTTCTTGAAGTGGAACAATGTTTCCTTGAATGTGAACAATGTCTCCTTGAATGTGAACAAAGTCTCTTTGAATATGAACAATGTCTCTTTGAATGTGAACATTGTCTCCTTGAATATAAACAAAGTCTCTTTGAATGTGAACATTGTTTTCTTGAATATGAACAATGCCTCTTTGAACATGAACAATGTCTCTTTGAATGTGAACATTTTCTCCTTGAATATGAACAATGTCTACTTCTTGAAGGTATCAATCTTTACTTCTTGAAGTGGAACAAAGTCTTCTTGAAGTGGAACAATGTCTCCTTGAATGTGAACAATGTCTCCTTGAATGTAAACCATGTCTCCTTGAATGTGAACAATGTCTCTTTGAATGTGAACATTGTCTCCTTGAATATAAACAAAGTCTCTTTGAATGTGAACATTGTTTTCTTGAATATGAACAATGCCTCTTTGAACATGAACAATGTCTCTTTGAATGTGAACAATGTCTACTTGAATGTGAACAATGTCTACTCGAATGTGAACAATGTCTACTTCTTAAAGGTAAACAATGTCTACTTCTTGAAGTGGAACAATGTTTCCTTGAATGTGAACAGTGTCTACTTGAATGTGAACAATTTCTCCTTGAATGTGAACAATGTCTTCTTAAAGGTAAACAATGTCTCCTTGAATGTGAACAATGTCTACTTGAATATGAACAATGTCTACTTGAATGTGAACAATGTCTCCTTAAATGTGAACAATGTCTCCTTGAATGTGAACAATGTCTACTTCTTGAAGTGAACTATGTCTCCTTGAAGGTGAATAATGTCTACTTGAACTTGAACAATGTCTACTTGAACGTGAACATTGTCTACTTGTTCATGAACAATGTCTCCTTGAATATGAACAGTGTCCCCTTCAAGGTGATCAATGTCTACTACTTGAAGTGGAACAATGCCCTCTTGAATGTGAACAATGTCTTCTTGAAGGTTAACAAAGTGTGCTTTTTGAAGAGGATCACTCTCTCCCCTTAGAAGTAAAACAATGTCTCCTTCTTGAAATGAAACAGTGTCTCCTTGAAGTTGAGCAAGTTAGAGTCAGATGGATTGTACATGTACCATCAATACTCTCTTTGAAAAACAGAAGGTGTACTGTTTATGATTTTACCTGTAGATGCATACTTACCTATGCAGTATGTTCAGAATGGTTAATGCTCATCTTATTTAAGTTGTAAGGCGTGTAGCTTAAACTGTGTCTCATTTTAGTTGCAATGTTGTAAGCTGTGTGACTTTTAAAATAAATTTAGATTTTATTGAAAGTTCTAAGACTTAAGGTTTGTTTAAATTTAGCAGCATTGGTTTATTTTTATTTGCAGTATAAGGTTGTATCTCTATTGAGAGATGTTTTTTATTTCAGGGCCATGCAGTGATGATGACACAGTATATAACTGTTTTATGAATCCATGTGATGGCAAAGTTTGTGAGAAATACCAAGATGCACGTTGTGTGTAAGTAGTTAATAGGAGGGGTTTCCTATTAATTGTGCAGATTTAATTAGGATATAGAAAAAAATCTGTATCACTAATAGAAGTCTTTATACTGTTTACAAGTGCTTAAAGCAGAACTCTTCCAGATTTATGGTCATTTTTTATTGATTAAGACTTGGAAATTGTTCTATAAGAATTTTACGTCACATACAAATGAAGTGATTTACAGAATCCTCAAAAGTTATCTATAACAACATGCAGAAAACTACAACATTGAATTAATATTTTGTGACATTAAATAAATATTTTGTAACATTAATTGATTGTGCCTGTAGAATAATAGGTTGTATTTTTACATAAATAGGTGGTGACATTACATTAATGGTGACCTTACATTGATAAGATGTGACATTACGTTTATATGCTGTTACATTACATGAATAGGGTGTGATTTTACTTTAATAGGATATGACATTGCATAAATAGGATGTGACATTACTAAAAAATGTTGTGATATTTCATTAATAGAATGTGACATTACATAAATGGGATGTGACATTACATAAATGGGATGTGACATTACATAAATGGGATGTGACATTACATGAATAGGATGTGACATTACATGAATAGACAGTGATAACTCATCATTGTGCTTCAGAATGATTGTAAAACTCTTGTGTTTATTTTCCAGGAGCAATTATTGTAATGGTTGTAATGCATATTTCTTTGATAACAACGGGAAAGATGTTACTGAAATGTGCACAGTTGAAGGTTTGTTATTGTACCATGTTCAGGTACACTTCTTCAGTTTTTCAGATTAGCTGAAAGTAATATCAGACGCAATGTTTTAGATTTGTAATTGTAAACTTAAGTTGTTGAAAGGTTATTCTAGTTTTATAAAGTCTCCATAATTTCTTTAAAACAGGACAAACCAGTTTCAGATTTGTTTAATTTTTTTTCATACATGAAGTTAAAAATTGTTTGAATGATGTATAATTGAAGTTTAATTTGTAATTATGGCCGTTTAATATAGTTTGCATTGATGGCCCTTTTATAAGTTCAGTTAAAGCCCTGGTATCAAATTGAAAGTATGGTCTTTTAAACTTTCTAAAGAGGGTTTAATATAAGTTAACCGACAGCTGGGGGGCTACAGAATCTACCCATTCAACCAGTGCAAACCAAGACCAAACAACCAGTCTCTTCTGTCTAATCAAGGTCTGTACTGTTCACTATTTAGCTTTACAAATTTTGAAGTTTTCCCTAAAAGTGATGATTAATTTTGTCCAGATTGAAAGATGGACAAGTCTATTTAAGATATTTTAGCAAGAAAAGGGTGGCCAAATGGTTAACGTCATGTTTGTTTGATGTAAAACCCAACAAAGGTTAAATTTGGACTGGAAAAAAGTACATGACTGTATACACCTCTAAGATAATATCTTGTTTTGCTTACAGTTGGTGAGAAAATGTTTTTTCTTATTTCAGTGAGACCAGGTCACTGTCCTTCCTTTGAAAAAGATGAAGTTTCAACATGTCAAGTAGAATGTTCCACAGATGATGGTTGTCATGACAACAGGAAATGTTGTAATGCTCCTTGTGGTATGGGACAGTGTTTAGCTCCTGTTTGTAAGTATAAACATTCAGAAACACAAAATTAAACAAATAACCAGATTATTTAAAAATGTTATGTATATGCTAAGGTCCACATGGAAAAAATTCTAATGTGCAAACTTCATTAAATAATTGTCATTACTAACTTTTATAGCTTTAACAAGGTGGGAAAGCGATCCAGTTAGCTTACTGAATGGTTGTGGTTCTACTCTGGTGCCTGAAATAATGCACACTGGGGCACCTGAGGTTTTCCTCCAGCAGTTGAGCTGGAAAGTCACCATATGACCTGTACAGTGTTGATTTGGAAATTAAAACCCAACTCAATAATTACATAAATTAACTATTTTGATGATTTGATTCATTGTAGGGATGTATAAAATAGACCTTGAGCTTCTGGGTAAAACATTCATGCCAGATTACCGCAACGAAAGTAGTGACACCTACAAGACTTTGGTCATGGAGCTTGAACCTATGGTAATTTTATACATTTTACAAATTGTCAGAAATGACATAAAACACTTGATAATGGTTTCCTAAATTTAAAGAAAGTGTAGTACTAATTTGAATGCCATTGGTTTAACCACAATGGAAATGTCTATATTGTAACTTTAAGATGATTTTTTAACTGCTTTTTTTACTTTTCATTTGTCTGTTTGTAAATTCTTTCAATATTTTGATAGAAATGAAGTAAAATATTTTTTATACATTTCTATGTTAATGTATGGCTGCATACATGTGCATATGGAACATAGTGCTATATAAATGCTTATATAAAACCAAGTTTGTGTTTATTAGAGTACTATTTGATTCTAGAGTATGTATTTTTTAGTATGTATTTTTAAAATTGTAAAGTATTTTAAATATAATTACTGAAAATTGCTTGCAAAATAGGGCATTAAATTACAATTATTTATGATGTTTGTATTTTAAACAGCTTGATGATATCATGAATATTGATGGTGTCGGCTACAGAATTGTAGGCTTCTCTCCGATGGAGACAGACAGAGTGAGGAGGTGAGACTCTAAATTGTTATGAATTTTTTTTTAAATTTCCAAAGGAATAAAAATGTTGTCACGGTCTGAAAAATTTTGCAACCATAATGCATTGAATTTTTAACCTGGACTGTAATTTTTTGTACATTTTTTAAACTATAAATGTATTTAAGGGGTGTCTGACACGTCTGGGTGGTTAAACTTGTTGACGTTAAACCGTTTTCCTCTTGCTGCTTTGGGTATGAATCCCACCAAGGACTATGATTTTTTTCATGTAAGGAAGCTATCCAGCTAGCTTACAGAATGTTGGGGGTTATTCTCAGGTGTGCCTTTGTGCCTGAAAAAATGCACGAAGGTACACCTGGTGTCTTCCTCCATCAATAAAGCTGGAGTTGCCCTAAATTACCTCTACCATGACTGAGCGTTGTAAAACCCTACAAAAAGATATTAGAAGATTTAATTTATTTATCTTAAAGCATTTCCGATGAAGTATTTTTTGGGACACAATTTAATTTTAAATAGGTTAAGAATAGTCACAGTATCATGAAAAAGATTACATATATTTCAAATATTTATTTGATTTTACTTCTAGGCAAACTGAACCTGACACTGCAAATACATTACTACACATGGTGGTGGAAGCAGAAGAAGACCCTAATAAAATGATACATGCCAACATTGAAAATGACGCAAACCTTAGAGAAAACTTCAGACTGCTTGGATATGTAGGTTAGTAAGCTGGTTACCTCTGATAACCTTGTAGTGCTGTTATATTAAATGTTCACAAAATAAACTGAAATAAAACTGAAATACTCACAGTGTATCTATGAAATTTACATGTCATTCTTGTGTGTTTTTTGGTATACATGTATTTATAATTTGTCTTTCATTTGTTGTATACTTTTTTTTTGTAGATGAATGTGCATTAGTTGATTGTATGGATCTAACTTGTACAAACCAGTTCACACCAGATGGAGAATGTTGTCCTATGTGTGGTAAATATATCTAACATTCTTTGATATAGTCAGGTGTTCTTCATTTGAGAGACTGTATACCAAAGAAATAAATTGAAACAAGCAATTTGTCACATAAAGTGATTTAATGATTTGCTTTCATTTTGTGCTTTGGTTCAATCCCAATTTACAAGCCACAATGAAGTGTTTATTAAAAAAAACTTTAACAACTGGCCCATCCCTTTTTACAAGTCACACTAAAGCAAAGAAAAAGGAAATGCAAAACAACTTTACATGACGAATGTTTCTGTATGTTTTTGTGTTTTGAGTGAATTATAATAAAAGTCATAACCAAGCGTGTAATTGTTAAACATTTTTGTTTCTGTCATAGTATTTTATTTAACTACAGGAGAAAACTGTACAGAAGTTACTTGTGAGGATATCAGTGAAGAATGTCCCAAGGAATTAATATCTAGAAGACCGGGAGCATGCTGTGATGAATGTGGACCAGGTATTTTCTTCTGGACTTAATGTTTCAGCTCTTTTTCCATTCAAATAATTACTTTTTAGTTAATTATCAATTAATGATAATGAATAGATATGTGTGATAAAAAAATAAATATTTAAAATTTACCTCAGTATATCTTAAAATTTATTTGTAAGGCCAATACTTTTTCACATTGTTTTTAGCTCACCTGTCACAAAGTGACAGGGTGAGCTTTTGTGATCGCTTTTCGTCCGGCGTCCGTCCGGCGTCCGTCCGGCGTCCGTAAACTTTTACTTTAAATGATATCTCCTCTATTAAACCAAAGGCCAATTTCATCAAACTTCACAGGAAGTTCCTTTGGAGGTCACCTTTAAAATTGCTTCAAAGAATTTAATTCCATGCAGAACTCTGGTTGCCATGGCAAAACCGAAGAAAAAACTTTAAATATCTTCTTTTAAAAAACCATCCGAGCTAGAGATTAGATATTTGGCATGAAACATCTTCTAGTGAGTGTCTACAAGTTTGTTCAAACTAAAGCCCTGGGGTCCAAAATTGGCCCGCCCCGGGGGTCCATTGATTTCCCTATATACATATACGTAAATAACTAAAAAAATCCTTCTTTTAAGAATCAAAAGAGCTACAAGCTAAGATAATTTAGCTGAAACATTTCTAATGGGTGGGTCTACCAAGTTTGTTCAATAAAAGGCCCTGGGGTCAAAATTGGCCCCGCGACCCCGCGGGGTCATTGGGATTTTCCCTATATGCATAGCAGTAAAACTTAAAAAACCTTTCTTTAAAGACACTCAATAGAGCTATGGCTAAGATATTTAGCATCAACATGTTCTAATAGGTGTCTACCAAGTTGTTCAAATAAAAGCCCTGGGGGTCAAATTGGCCCCGCCACCAGGGGGGTCATTGATTTTTCCCTACTATGCATATAGTATAAAAAACTTAAAAATTCTTTCTTTTCAAAGAACCAAAAAGAGTTTATAGCTAAGATTATTTCGCATGAAACACTGTTCTAATAAGTGCTACTAGCAAGTTTGTTCAAATTAATAAGCCCGGGGTCAAAATTGGCCTCGCCCCGGGGGGCTCATTGATTTTCCCTATATGCATATAGTAACAACTTAAAACGAAAATCTTTCTTTTTAAGAGACCAAAAGAGCCTAGAGCTTAAGATTTTTTAGCATGAAACATGTTCTATTATGGTGTCTACCAAGTTGTTCAAAATAAAAGCCCTGGGGTCAAAATTGGCCCCGCCCCGGGGGTCATTGATTTTCCCTATAATGCAATATAGTAAAAACTTAAGAAATCTTCTTTAAAGAACCAAAAGGCTAGAGCTAAGATATTTAGCATGAAACATGTCTAATGGGTGTCTACCAAGTTTGTTTCAAATAAAAGCCCTGGGGTCAAAAATTGGCCCCGCCCCGGGGGGTCATTGATTTTCCCCTATATGCATATAGTAAAAAGCTAAAAAATCTTCTTTAAAGAAACCAAAAAGAGTTAAAGCTAAGATATTTGGCATGATGTTCTAATAAGTGTCTACCAAGTTTGTTCAAAATAAAAAGCCTGGGGTCAAAATTGGCCCCACCCCAGGGGGTCATTGATTTTCCCTATATGCATATAGTAAAAACTTAAAAAAATCTTCTTTAAAGAACCAAAAGAGTTAAAGCTAAGATATTTGGCATGAAACATGTTCTAATAAGTGTCTACCAAGTTTGTTCAAATAAAAGCCCTGGGGTCAAAATTGGCCCAACCCCGGGGGATCATTGATTTTCCCTTTATGCATATAGTAAAAACTTAAAAAAATCTTCTTTTAAAGAACTCAAAGAGCTATGGCTAAGATATTTAGCATCAAACATGTTCTAATAGGTGTCTACCAAGTTTGTTCAAAATAAAAGCCCTGGGGTCAAAATTGGCACCGCCCCGGGGGTCATTGATTTTCCTTATATGTGTATAGCAAAAACTTAAAAAATCTTCTTTGAAAAAACCGTAATAGCTAGAGTTAAGATATTAAGCATGAAACATCTTTTAGTGAGTGTCTACAAAGTTTGTTCAAATAAAAGACCTGGGGTCAAAATTGGCCCCCCCCCCCCCGGGGTCATTGATTTTCTTTATATGTGTATAGCAAAAACTTAAAAAATCTTCTTTGAAAAAACCAAAATAGCTAGAGTTTAGATATTAAGCATGAAACATCTTCTAGTAAGTGTCTACAAAGTTTGTTCAAATAAAAGCCCTGGGGTCAAAACTGGCCCTGCCCCAGGGGTGTCATTGTTTTTAACTATATGTGTATAGTAAAAATCTTCTTTCAATAAAGCCCAATGAGCTAGAGCTTAGATGTTTAGCATGAAACATCTTCTTATGGGTGTCTACCGAGTTTGTGCAAATAAAAGCCCTTTGGTTAAATTGGCCCTGCAACGTTGGGGGGGGGGTTGGGGGCCTATATACAGGTGAGCGACCTCAGGGCCATCATGGCCCTCTTGTTTTGGTTTGTTCCCATATCTCCTTATGCCTTTGAAGTAAATTCATGAAATAAGTGTTAATAGTTTACCTTATGGAAATGATGGGTAGATCAGAAGTGGCAGTTATACTAGGTCAAGGTCACACTTGAAGGTCAAATTATTTAGGCTTTATATTTGTGTCTAATTCATATTTCCTGCATTTTTCAAAGGATTCTCATGAAAATTTTTATAAAGTATTGAACTCATTGAAACATTTACAGGTCAATGGTATACCAATAGAAGTAATAGGACCAAAATAAAAAGCTTTTGAGGTATAAAAATAATGGCATTTCTGAGACTTGGGTGTTAAGGGTCAAGATACTGATTGACAGACAGTTTAAAAGTGCAGTTCTTTGAATTAAAGGGAGGGATAATGAATGAATCTGGGGGGATATAGTTGTTTACATGCTTAATTACATTTCAAAGATATTGCATTGATATAATTAGTAAATAAATATTCTGAGTTATTGTTTTATTTTCAGACTGTAGCAAAATATTAGAAATTGGTTTGGGCAAAAGCATTTCCCAAATGTAGCATTTGGGGGGGTGAAGTGGCGGTGCAGGTGGGGGGTTATTAAAAATTTCCTTAGGTTAAAAGATTTTCCCCGTTTTTAAAATTTTGGAAACAGTCCATTCAAAGTTTAAGGGTTGCCAGCATAAAGATACAAAAATTGAGTGTATAGAGCCTGGTAAGACTGTTAGGATGTTCAGGCTGAGCCTGGTAAGACTATTAGGATGTCCAGGCTGAGCCTGGTAAAACTGTTAGAATGTTTAGGCTGAGCCTGGTAAGACTGTTAGGATGTTTAGGCTGAGCCTGGTAAGACTGTTAGGATGTCCAGGCTGAGCCTGTTAAAACTGTTAGGATGTTCAGGCTGAGCCTGGTAAGACTGTTCGGATGTTCAGGCTGAGCCTGTTAAAACTGTTAGGATGTTCAGGCTGAGCCTGGTAAGACTGTTCGGATGTTCAGGCTGAGCCTGGTAAGACTGTTCGGATGTTCAGGCTGAGCCTGTTAAAACTGTTAGGATGTTCAGGCTGAGCCTGGTAAGACTGTTCGGATGTTCAGGCTGAGCCTGGTAAGACTGTTCGGATGTTCAGGCTGAGGCTGGACCGACTTGTAGGAAGTTCAGGCTGGCCTAGCTCTATAGTCCTGATACAGGCTGAACACTATTGGTCCCAGCAGGGTAAAGGTTAACCTCACAGCCAGGCCTGATATTTAATTTTACATTATTTGTTATATTATTAGTATAGCAACGATATATAAGGGTATATTGCTTTGTAGCCAGGTTCGGAACATTGTGTGGTACATAACCTTTGTAATGTAATATGTCCTTTATATACCATAAAGCCCTGCCTTATACAAAGAATCTGCTATTACGACCAATTTTTCAAAGAAAAGATTTTTTCTTCTCATTTCAATGGTCAACCCCCCCATCCCCCCAATTAAGACCATTTGTCTTTAAAACCATGAGTGTTCTCATTAGTGGGATTCTATTGTAGTTACAAATTTGGATTGAAATTGTGAAAAGGAGAGATGGTGTAACTAATATCACAATTCATGTCTGCTAAACAGCACCTTTTTTATACAAGATCTTGATTTTTTAGATTATTTTGAAGGTGTCTAAATAGAATAAAAGTTAAGAAATATTGAGTAAAGGTTTGTTGATAATGTTATTGTTGTTAAGTTATTTATTAATTTTTTTCCTTTCAGAATATTTGTTAATACAACAATAATGGTGATGGATAAAACAATGGGAAAGTTTGGTATAGAGCATGTGAATGAATGCTTGTTGACAAAGTTGAGGGAAACTCAGCAAGCTGTAACAGATTCTTTAGGACCCTGCAGTAATTACTATCCTTTTTTCTATAAGAAACTTGTAAAAATGTTGGAAAATAAGAGCATTTCATTCATTCAAAGTGATTGGTATTGACCCTACTTAGTCAGTACAGTACATTATCTGTGCAAAAACAGTTTGTTGGAGATTTTAGATGATTTAATTGATGAACATTACTATTGTATTTAAACAATTAATTGATGAATTTTACTATTGCATTAAAACAATTAATTGATGAATTTTACTATTGTATTAAAACAATTAATTGATGAATTTTACTATTGCATTAAAACAATTAATTGATGAATTTTACTATTGTATTAAAACAATTAATTGATGAATTTTACTATTGTATTAAAACAATTAATTTATGAATTTTACTATTGTATTAAAACAATTAATTGATGATTTTTACTATTGCATTAAAACAATTAATTGATGAACATTACTATTGTATTAAGACAATTAATTGATAAACATTACTATTGCATTAATACAATTAATTGATGAACATTACTATTGTATTTAAACAATTAATTGGTAAAAAATACCATTGTATTAAAACAATGGCTCATGAAAAAAAAACTTGTACTTTCTTATTGTATAACTGGACCTTTCTATCTCAGAATTATTTATTGATGAATCTATAATTAGTCCCCTACCGGTTCAGTCCGTCAGTCCGTCCGTCCACAAAACTGGATCCCGCGATAACGCAAAAAGTACTGAAAATATTTTTATGAAACTTGATATATGGATAGATGGCAGTCTGGAGATTATGCACATCTTTTTCTTTTCTTCTTATGTTGAAAATTCTGGTTGCTATGGCAACAAATAGCCTGAATTTCAAGATTTCTGATTTAAATTTTTCAGCTTTTTCACAATAAGTTCTTTATTAGTCCCCTACCGGTTTACCGGAGGGGACTTTAGGTTTACCCTCCGTCCGTCTGTCTGTCTGTCAGTCCGTCCGTCCACAAAACTGGATCCTGCGATAACTTGAAAAGTACTGAAAATATTTTTTTGAAACTTGATATATTGATAGATGGCATTATGCAGATTATGCACGTCTTTTTCTTTTCTTCCTATGTTGAAAATTCTGGTTGCTATGGCAACAAATAGACTGAAAATATGGCAAATTTTACACATAACCTGTGTATACCAGTGATAACGCAAAAAGTACTGAAAATATTTTTATGAAACTTGAAATATCGGTAGATGGCAGTCTGGAGATTATGCACATCCATTTCCTTCCTTCCTATATTGAAAATTCTGGTTGCTATGGCAACAAATATAATGAATTTCAAGATTTCTGATTCTAGTTTTTACGTTTTATCACTATGAGTTCTTTATTTCTTAAGGTATTTTCGTCAAACTTTAAATATAAGTTTCTAGTCATCAACCACATCATATTTGACAAGGTTTACAACTCTAGCACAAACTTTATCAGAATTTCCTCCCTTGAACTTTGAATATTAATGAAAAAAATATTGTTTTTTTTTATAACTTCTTTTTTTCTGAATGTATCTAATTCAAACTTCATATATATGTTTCTTATAATCACTCAACATTTGTGAGAAAGTTCAATACTCTAGCAAGACTATTTTCAGAATTATGCCCCTTTTGAACTTAGACTTTTTTCGAGAAATTGGTAATTTTACTCCAACTGCTTCAATCATTAAACGATTTTCTTCAAACTCCCACGTCATAATAATATGACAAGGTTTATAAATCTAGCATCCATATTTTCATAATAATATGACAAGGTTTATAAATCTAGCATCCATATTTTCAGAATTATCTCCTCCTTAAACTTTGAATTTTTCTTATTCGTTCTTTTAACTTTCTTTTACTTCAAATTCAAAATAAACATTCATTATCAATACCTTCATAACTAATTGTTCTTTATTACACTCACATCATGTATGACATCTTGCATCTTTATTTCAATAGTTATCTCCTTTTAAGAATTTTGCTTTTAAAAATGTTATATTTTGATATAAACAGGGATGTTTAAAAAAATAACTTTAGAGTGTCCTTCAGTCCGTCTGTCTGTCTGTACATAAAAACTGTTTCCTGTGATCACTTTTAAAGAACTTTTTCAACAAATTTACTTAAAATAGAAACATAAGCGAATGGCCAATGGCCCTTCAGAATGTTGCTGGGGTTCTTACCGGTAGGGGACTTATGGATTGCTTGCAATACTATGATAATTGCTTGTTTGTATTATTTTTAAATAGCTGATTGATGGTAATTGTACTGTCAATTTATCAGTTTTATTGATTTTAAAAATTTTAAAAACTTTATTTTCAGTTGGAGAATACTACCGACTAATTAAGATGTCCCTGGTGCTAAATTATGAATATAATATTAACCACAGTAATCCTGAGTCAAAGGAGTTCTTGGATAGAAAATTCTCATTGAGACATTTGGTACATATAATACTTTATCACTACTTTGTTATTTTTCAATACAAAAATTGTGACTTAAAATCCAACATAGATAAATATAAATAATATTTTATTCTACATAAAATATAAGTAAGAATAAAATCTGTTTGGTTTGCAATAATAGTATAAAAAGTATAACATTTTTGAATCTAAAATAATATTTAATACATGTATTGGGAAATAAAAAAAAATGTAGAATTTTGTTTATAAGCTAAATATAGTGCAGGAAGAAAGTCAAAGCTAACCTTTAAAGGTGCCTCCAGATGAGAAAAAAATATTAACCCTTTCACTGCCATAGGGACGGCTTAAGCCGTCCCTGTTATTTTCGGCGTATTTGCCATATGGACGGCTTTAGCCGTTTCTATAATAATAATAGTAATAATAATAAATTAATAATAATAATAATAAAAATGATAATAAATATAAAGAAAATTATACCATCGACAATAATTATTATTATACTCACAGATTTGGAAACATATATAATTATTATATTACTAATAACAAATAATAATAATTATATTAATTAATAATATAGTAATTTCTTAGAAAAACCTCTGGCAAAAAGGTGATCAATAAAACAATGATCCTTTGGCAGCGAAAGGGTTAAGAAAAATTTAATCTTTAGAAAATTGTATTTAGCTCTTAAGTAAAAGATTCAATATTAATTAATTATTTACATGTTATGTGTGATTAATGACTGATTTTGCAGTATCAATCTCTATAATTCTACTGCATTACTAATGCAGTAAGAGTTATTTATATTTATTTTGGCATAAGAGTTATTTATATTTATTTTGGCATCTTTTAGGTAATTTACGTGGATTGTGAGTACCGTTTGGAATGTGTAAATTACTTTCTATGTTCACTTAAAAAAAAGTTCTCCATATTACCCTTCCTCAGTACTTCAATTGCAGTTTCCTACAGTTTCTCCCAGCAACTTTATTTTTTTTGAACTGATATCTATCTCAAGTTGAGTTATAGTTAGTTGGAGTTTGGGGTCAAGGTCATAAGTGCTTAAAATAGAATTTTACACTTCAACTCACACAGCCTATATTTACTGACAGATGGTGATACTTGTAGGCTTGAGGAGAATCCATGGTCTTCAGCAATACCTCTTTGTTAAATATTGTTGAATATTGGTAATATTACTTTCAAGTTTATTTTTTTTTTTTTTTGTATTTCAGATAAAAACATCAGTTAAAGAAGTGCAGGCTACCGATAACATGTTTGTGTTGGTAAAAGAGTTTATGTAAGTATATATATATATACACCTGGAAATAAGTCAAGCACACCTGGGAAATTTAAAATTGGTTGCGACTGATAGCTCTGTCATGATTTTACGTATTAACTGAGCTAAGAAATAGTAATTTGATAAGTAGTAATGCCAAATTAGTTATCATAAACAAGTAAATTTATGAGTTTAGTTATTTCTCAACCAAATTATTGAAGCATAAGCATAATTATGCCCCCATTTCGAAGAAAAGGGGGTATATTGCTTTGCACTTGTCGGTCCGTCGGTCCGTAGACCAAATGGTTTCCGAGTGATAACTAAAGAACCCTCAGGCCTAGGAACTTCAAACTTGGTATGGTGATTGGTCATGACCAGTAGATGACCCCTATTGATTTTGGGGTCAAGGGGTCAAAGGTCAAGGTCACATTGACCTTGTAAGCAAAAACGGTTTCCGATCAATAACTAAAGAACCTTAAGGCCTAGGAACTTCAAACTTGGTATGGTGATTGGTCATGACCAGTAGATGACCCCTATTGATTTTGGGGTCAAAGGGTCAAAGGTCAAGGTCACATTGACCTTGTAAGCAAAAACGGTTTCCGATCAATAACTAAAGAACCTTAAGGCCTAGGAACTTCAAACTTGGTATGGTGATTGGTCATGATCAGTAGATGATCCCTGTTGATAGTGGGGTCAAGGGGTCAAAGGTCAAGGTCACATTGACCTTGTAAGCAAAACGGTTTCCAATCAATAACTAAAGAACTTTAAGGCCTAGGAACTTCAAACTTGGTATGGTGATTGGTCATGTATCAGTAGATGACCCCTAATGATTTTTGGGTCAAGGAGTCAAAGGTCAAGGTCACATTGACCTTGTAAGCAATAACGGTTTCTGATCAATAACTAAAGAACTTTAAGGCCTAGGAACTTCAAACTTGGTAGGGTGATTAATCATGATCAGTAGATGACCCCTATTGATTTTGGGGTCAAGGGGTCAAAGGTCAAGGTCACATTGACCTCTTGGGTAAAAACGGTTTCTGATCATTAACAAAAGAACCCTTAGGCCTAGGAACTTCAAACTTGGTATGGTGACTGGTCATGACCAGCAGATGACCCCTATTGATTTTTGGGGTTAAGGGATCAAAGGTCAAGGTCACATTGACCTTGTAGGTAAAAACGATTTCCGATCAATAACGAAAGAACCCTTACGCCTAGGAACTTCAAACTTGGTATGGTGATTGGTCAGGACCAGCAGATGACCCCTATTGATTTTGGGGTTAAGGGGTCAAAGGTCAAGGTCACATTGACTTTGTAGGTAAAAACGGTTTCCGATCAATAACAAAAATACCCTTAGGCTTAGGGACTTCAAACTTGATATGGTGATTGGTCATGATCAGTAGATGACCCCTATTGATTTTAGGGTCAAGGGGTCAAAGGTCAAGGTCACATTAACCTCTTAGGTAAAAACGGTTTCCAATCAATAACTAAAGAACCCTAAGGCCTAGGAACTTCAAACTTGGTATGATGATTGGTCATGACCAGTAGATGACCCCTATTGATATTGGGGTTAAGGGGTCAAAGGGCAAGGTCACATTGACCTTGTAGGTAATAATGCTTTCAAATCAATAACTTAAGAACCCTTTGGCCTAGGAACTTCAAACATGGTATGGTGATTGGTCATGACCAGCAGATGACCTATTGATTTTGGGGTCAAGGGGTCAAAGGTCAAGGTCACATTGACCTTGTATGTTAAAACGGTTTCCGATCAATTAACTAAAAACGCTTAGGCCTAGGAACTTCAAACTTTGTATGATGATTGGTCGTGACCAGCAGATGACCCCTATTGAGTTTTGGGTCAAGGGGTCAAAGGTTAAGGTCATGACCAGTAGATACTTGATAACCCTAATTAATTGTTTGATCACTGGGTCAGAAGTCATGCATAATAACTTTTTCACATAACTAATTGGCTGCTGATAGGGGGCATACATGTTTTACAAACATATCTTGTTATGTGTTGTTTTTTACCAAAAATGTAAGTGTTTACAAGTATGGTGTTGTAGCGTTTACAAAACATTTACTGGTGGATATTTATGGTTTATGTTGATGATTATGTAATCTAAAATTACATAATGTAGCCAAATTTTTAATAATGTGTGTAACCGCCACATTCCAGGATGATAGCCTCAACCAATGTCAAGGTTAAAAGTCAAAAGCTCAAACTGCTAATTTCAGAGAGTCAGTTATTAGATGGCTTGATCAGACTACACATATGTGCAGGCTGGCCTGGCTCTATACTAGTCACATTTAGGAAAGTCATTATTGCTGCAAGCATTTAACTACATTTTGTAGTTCAAGGTCATTGTTCCAGAAAATGACTTTAATATGTCTAATTTATAGACAGCTTTAAATCAAATATAGTAAAAAACACACACTTCATTTAATGTTTTCTTAATTCATGCATTTGTTGAATGAATTACATAATCAAATGTCTTCTTTTTTTCATCATCTGTAGGCCTGCAGTCATTGAAAATAATCCAGACAAAGAGTTCATTAAGGCCAACGTAGAGTTACTTGTTAGTCTACCTAATGATCCGACAACACTTTTCGAATGGACTAAGCTCCATGGCGAACTTGTCACTCAAGAGGAAATTCTTAAAGTAGACTTAATAGAGGGTAAGTTTAGGTGATACTTAAGTAACTATGAAGAGTGATAAATACACAATGTATATGGGTGCTTCAGTAATTGAATTTTATTTTACTTCTTTTTAAAGAACAAATATTAAGTAAAAATCCTAAAGAAGGATGTCCAGCAGGAATGTTGGTATATAAAACGGAATTTTAAGAATTTGCAATTAACTACATGTACTTGTATTTTACTATTGCTTCAGTAATTGAAATTTTTTTGTTGTTGTTCCATGATGATTTGAGCACGGGATTGAATAATCAGCTTACATGTTACACGCTTAATGTTTGTTACCAACTTATCCTTCTTTAAAGGCATATCAAGCCTCACAAAATGATTATTCTTTTCTTTTACAAAGGGCAGGCTTCTTTTTATAATGTTGTAAAATAAGGTATTTAGATTTTATATTTCAGATTCTTAGAGCCTTAAACAATAAGCACCATAACATTTTTACTTCCATTTGAAATACTGAATCACTATAACTGCACCTATTCAAGTTATTGTAAAAAAGAGAAAAAATAGAGGAGATTATTCAGTTAAATGGCTAATGAATAACTTTTCAGAAACAGGAACGTGACACCAAAAATCAAGTTTTTCTTTAAAAATAAAATATTACTAAAAGCATTTTTAGGCTAAATGTGCCTTTAAATATGAGACTTACTGTATATCAATTTCTTGAACTTTTTCATTTACATTTTAATGATACTATATTGCAACTCCTGTGAGATCCTATATGTATTATAGATTTATACGTTATTTTACAGATTCACGCGCAGATGAACCGGATGATGGTGAAGATAGGTTACCAACAACTACAACAAAACCAGTGCCACTACGTTAAATCTTCCTAGTAACTTATAAACATTACATACTGACATCACCAGACAAAAGGAAGAAGAAAAAAAAACTCTATAAAACCTCGGAAAACAATTTCTTCATCAGTTAACAAAATGACAAACATTTCTATATGACTTAAAAATGAACTGATTTTATTTTGAAAAATGATATCACATATGATATCTATTTATAGACAAACTTTTTTTTTTCAACATTGTGTCCCTATTCATTTTTATAGAGATTACAATTATACACTTTCCTCTTTAACAAATGTTTTCAACACATGTTTAATACCTCATTATTTTTGTAATCAAAATTTTATATAAATAAAAAGAATAAATCTAAAATTTGAAAAGGTGGGAATGTTTTGGTTTATTTCAAGTTAATGAAGAAGTTATATTGGCATCTAAATTTTATTCTTATTATCACGTACCTTACAGCAATGTTTTTGATGTATTGATTGGACATACACGTGTATATGTATTTCTGTAGTACTATTTAAAATCATCTTCTTTTGTTGTTAGTTTGATCTTTTTTTATACAAGTACATGTAGGTCATAATTTATAATGTTTATTCTATAAAATAAAGAGGTTGTCTAATGTTTAATATATGAAATTTGTATTTCAAATGAATTTTTGATTTCATGTAAATCGCGAAAACAAATATATATTTTTTTCAGTCCCTGTGTAAATATAGTGTTTTTAAAACTTAAATTCTGATAAAAATATTCTCGAAAAAATGTTTTCATGTAACTATGCATTCTAATAAGAAGCTGTTGTGACTGTGGTCATTCGCTTAATGTGATTTTTAAAAATTTGTGTATTTTTCTTTTAATTAATAGAGTAGAGAACTCAATTATTTCACATAAAATGTGGAAACTTGCATAATTTTGTCTGGGAATATTATTTTTGAAGACTGGATTTTTTGTTTGTATATTTTGCTCATTTACTATTGTAATCTCATATCTCTATGCAGGTCATGACTCATTTTTTCATAAATTTTTTGTTTGCATTTTTTACTCTCCATTTTGTACTTTACGAAATACTCAGTCCCTGTATATATGTATTCAGATTTTTTCCACTTTTTTATGTTATACATAAAAATAAAATTGTTTTTGGTGAAGTGTTACCGTATGTTTTTTGACTAAGTGCTATGCATGTATTATTAATGAAAGTCTATTTTTTGTATCATTTTCTTTGTTAAGATCTTTGCAAATATTTATGTTTTTTATGAATATTGGTTTGTTAAAACCTTTTCTTAAATTACAATTTTTCTTAAAATTTGTTAAAGAAGTAATGAGTATTTTTTTATACATTGTTTTCAATATTATGTTTGAAAAAATTCAGACATTGCAGAACAGATTCAAACATTTCCCAACTTCGTTTTTATTTCCCATAAAGTAATTTCTGTCATAAAATATTATTACATCGAACAATACTGTTATGTTATGTTAAATTTCTCATTTCTGATGGACACTTTACCAGACATTTTAATAAATACTCTCTTTAAAACAAGTGACTTTTTTTTTTATAAAATGCATTTATGTTGCCTGCTACAAAGTAACGGCAACATAATTATAGAGATCACTTTTCCATCTGTCTGTCCGTCAGTCAAAACTTGTCCCGACTACTACGGGTGCAGTTTCATTCAAACAGGAATGATCAGTACCAAGTCTAGTTGTGCATATTGTCAGCATTTTCCGCTTCAATGATTTCTGACAGGGTTATGATGGCCCTTTTTTTTTTTTTTTTTGTAGAACAAACTCAATGTTCTACAGATATTGTCTGTCTACTGTTCAACCTTTTATTACCTTCATTACCTCTTTCAAATATGATTACCCCTTTGATATATATGTGAAATAGAGACCTTGTGGAAGAAACAACAAAATCAATGTTCTATGTTTATAAATTGCATTTTTAATAAGCTCTGCAGTTTTCAATGTTATAAAAAATATAAATAACAATCACTAAGATGTGTCACATGTTAAATTAAAAATCTTCTACTATTGCAGTTGTACATAATTACAAAAAACACTAATCTAAAAACTACATTTCCAAGATTGTTTTTCTCTTTTTTTTTCCTTAACAGTTGACCTTTATTAAAAAGGTCACGAAACTTAAAAGACCTTGACCTTTGATGTTAAAAGTAAAATACTGGTTATTAAATGCTTGGCAACTGAAATTGCACACAAATTGTTGTAGTTCTAAGATATATGATATTTCCCCTAAAAGTAATGGTGACTATTATAAAAGATAGTGAAATATTTAATACTTCTGCCCATTTTCGACAGAAATTAAAAAAAATTAAAATGTAAAAATCAAGCACTGTAATGGTGGATTTCTGTTGTTTTTTTTACAAAGGGAGATAACTATCACAACTGGCATGAGAGTTACATTTTCCTACATGTAGAATGAGCATAAAAAATCATGACAATTATGATAATGCCCTTATAGTTTGGTTCTACACAGTAAATACTGATTACAATTAATAACTTCTAAGAATACATAAAACCATTCTTAACAATGTTTATGTCATTGCCATGGTAACAGTAAAATCAAAGGTCAAGGTCATCTTGTCTCTGTTTTGTTCTCCTTGTTGTTTTGTTTACTTCTTGCCATCTGGAAAAGAAGATGAAACTTATTAGAGATCATGTGTACTAATGATTGATGGTCTAACCAAATGAATTTGTGAAATGGATTTGCCCATATTAATTTTGGTATTTGGATTGGTCCATTAAAAGTTTAAGGGATTTTAATTTAAAAATACATAGACTGGCTCTATAGTATGAGTGGCAAATGCCTATCACTTAAAGTTCCAGCAGGTTAAAAGTGAAGATTATTTCTTTTAAGTAAAATGTTTCTTGATAATATAAAAATGTAGAGAATGAAAACATTTTATCTCAATTTTTCTCAGCCAGTAACAAATGTATCAGCTTTAAAAGTTAGTGAAGAAAATCGCTGCCAGCATGTTAAATTTTAACAAATTAAACACTGCCAAAAAAAACAAAGAAAACTTTTCACTACCCATAACTGTCTAAATAAGGAGATTTAATTAGTTTAAAATTTTTTCTTCTTTTCCCAGTATATTATGCTATTATGTCAAAGCAAAAAAGTAATTTTATTTACTTAAAAGAATAATGCAATGATGTATTAATACCTTTTTTGTCCTTGGCGGTGGTTGTGGCATTTCCTCAATGAAGAACGTTGGTACAAGTCCACGCACACCATTTATCTAGATAAAAAAAATAAGATTCATTATAAATAATTGTAAGTTTTTCATTTTAATAAAGATGTGTTTTCTTATAATTATAGCATAAAATCGGCTATTTTTCCCTATTTTGTCCATGTTATAACAGGACCAAAACCATGTGTTAACATAGTCACGCGCTCTTGTTATAGCCCGGTTTCACCTTTGCGCAATACATACAGGGCCCAGTTAACAAACAAAAAATGACAATTTGGCCTGTTTGCCAAAGAGTCATGCGCTCTTGTTATATTGAAATTTATTGATTCGAGGGTCTCAGTCGCATATTCAAGTAAATATGCAGGAAAAACGGCGTATAGACATCGGTGCTAATCTTGGTTGTCGCCCTTTCTAAGAAACGGACAGTTTTCAATGTAAACAAATACAGTAGAATCTACCTGTCATTCAGTTTAACACTCCGATTAACTTACAAAACTAGATAACACAAAATTAATATGAGAAAAAATGTTTTTTATTTATGTTAATGTTGATAAATGCTCTTTATATTTCTTTGAGAGAATAATGCTTAGTGCCTGATTTTTTTATAAACTTGTTTGCTTGAAAAAAATAAACCGATTCTGATGTCACTCATCAATCTGAAATCATTCTAAGAATTTCTGAGGGTCATGTTTTGTCTTGGGTAGAGGGTAGAGTAATGTAACCTGTTTTTTTCTTGAGATAATAAATCTCCAAAGGCAAAGCTTTGTTAAATCAATTAAAATTCAAAATTTCGTTCGGTTCCGAGAATTTTCCAAGTTGTTGGCCCCGGAAAAATGAAACGCATACGTAAAACATAGAATTGGATAAATACCGTCCAAGCACAAGAATTTAATGTAATTGTGTTTTGTATAAACTATACATCACGAATCTGTTTGAAAATTTTATGCTATAATAGCGTCAACGCACGTTTATTTCGTGTTATAAAGTCTGCAGAGTCCCTCTGAACTGTTTGAGCCCTCGCACTACCGGGCTCGGGCACCAACCGTTCCTCGGGACTCTGCAGACGTTATAACACGGAAAAACGTGCGTTAACCCTATATTGACCCACCTGACCAATTAACTTCTATCCTGAAATTAATAAAATTGGTCCAATCACAGATTGTGTGAATAAGTTTCCTTTATAAGTTCTCACAAATGCTATTTGCATAAAAGAAAAGATTTCCTTTTTCCAATCTAGCATATATAAGTCAGTTTTAACTAAATGTTGTGCACTTTAGCTTGAATGTTTAATGAATGGTTTATAAAATTTTGTTCTTACCTCTCCGTAATAGAAGCCATCCCCTCTTTGTCGGCCATAAACAGTGATGATGTCACCTGCGTTGAACGCTAGCTCACAGCTTGGATGGTCGTACGGAGAATTTTTTGTGGGATCATAGTCGTATATACCCATGAACTGAATAAAAAATACAAACTTTAATTATATTTCATCCAATACAAAAAGTAAGAAAATTTGAAACAACATCGGGAAAAGTGTCTACCTACTTAATAAACAGTGAAGTTCTTCAAGAAGAAACAAAATACTGTTATGATATAGAATTAGCAACTTTTGATTCTGATCTGGCTTTTTTTATTAAAAGAAAAAAAATCTGACACAAAATCGTTGTCTTGGAAGAAGGAAAAATATTTACCATGCGTCTTGGACCATTTTTATAATCGTCCACATTAAGAACTGTAGCCATATCCATTTCAGACTCGGTATCGCTATTTTCATCACTCGCAACTTCTTCAACCCCTTCGTACATGATTTCCGACAACTCGGACACATGGCCGTCTGCTCCGACCGTCTGTACACCAAATCTGTGGTGAGACTGAATACTAATGTTTTCTATGATTGCCTTTGATGCCTGTCTTCCCCTAGGCTGAACTATCACCTTATTGTTCTTATATATCTGAAATTTATAAAATAATTGTTACATTGTTTGCTTGTTTGTGTTTTATGTCACACCTCCACAGTATAGGTCATGTGGCGACTTTCAAGCTTTACTGGTGGTGGAAGACCTCAGGTGCCCTTCCGTGCATTTTTTCAGGCCAAAAAAGGCATCTGAGTAGAATTCTTGCATACAGTTTAAAAGACTGACTATTATAACAGTCACTAAACAACAATTGATAATGAAAAAAGATAAGAATATAATATTAAAAGACTGCTCCCCCTGTCTATCAAGTGAAAGTTACTAATAACTTTAAAGTATATTAAATTTTACAGAAATGTCCATGGTTTTTGATTATTTGCTAATGCATAAGATAAAATTGAAAATAATTATGTCCATGTGACTTTTACCAAGTCAAACCTGGATGGGCCTAACATTATTGACACTAACAAATACATGTACAATGTATATATTAATTTTATAGACCATCATGGCATCAAGTAACATTCAAGTATGAAGTTCTTTGACATAACCTTTCTTTATACATTTTATGATAACTTTATTCCAAAATTATTGTTTTTCTTTCGTTTATTAACTGTCGCATGTCAGTTGCCCTTATGTGCAACATTGAACTGTTCCTTTTAAAAAAGTTATTTGATAACTAACCTTGTATCCAGTGACCTTCACCCCATTGCTGGTTCCAGTATTATCAAGGGGAACTGGTTCCCATGCTAACATAAGACTACTGTTTCCAATAATTTTCTCCACATGGAAGTTTTCAGGGGCAGCAGGTGGCCCGGTTGCTGTAGCAACAGGCATATGTCTCTGGTTGCCTGGCAACTGATGGCTTGGAAACCCATTTGTTAGACCTGAAACAATGAATATGAACTTTAAAGGTAAATTTTATAGATTCACTTTAACACAAAAGGACACACAAATTAGTCACTTATATTCAAGCATACTCTAGCATTAAAAAGGCCCTTTGAGCTAAAACAACTTTATAACATTTCTTAGGCATAATGGGCCTTTAAAAAAATTCAATCACTAAGACATAGTATTTTAAAATTGCCTAGTTTTTCTTATTTTTACTGAACAATCAGAATTATATCTACAACCATTAATAACTGATATCAAAAGTCTCTATGTATATCAAATGCATCTTTTAAAAGCGATTTAAGTGAAAGCAAGTATACAAAAAAATTGTTCACCTCTGAGAAATATGGCAAAAATATCTTAGTAAATGTATTAAATCAGTTTAAAGCTTCGTTTTTTTTTTCTAATATGAGCTCTTCAGGCTAATTTGTTCAGTGAACAAGAACAATTTTTGTAAATTTTCAAAAAATATAAAACAAAAATAGAAAAATGGGGGAAAAGACATTCAAATATTTCATAAAATGCATGGTAGCTTCGTTTAACTTAATGTGTAGGCAGACTTCTATAAAAGGTGGGATCTGGGGGCATGCACATTCACAATTTTTGTTTTGGCTCTTGATTGTCAGAGGTTTTAGCATTTATTTCCTACAATAAATGTTTAGGGGATTTATTAAAATTGCAGGTAGACAAAATTAATCGATTTTTTTATTTCTTCATTTTCTTTGAAAAAGTGTAGACATTGGTACACCACTGAAATCAATTTTATCAAGTTTATTGTTTCAAATAAATACTGTACATTAATATGCTGTTTAAATTTCATTCATTTTTGTATGACTTTAATAATAAATAATGACTTTTCAAGACGTTCTTTTTGATAAAAATCAGAAATATGAACAATTTTTTTTGTAAAAGATTTGTTTAACTGGTCTGGGGATGTGCATCTTTAATTAAACTAAAGATGAGACTCACAACCGAAAAAATATTTGATTTAAAATAAAAGCAAACAAAAATAACATTACAATAAAGTATTAGCAATCCTTCCATGTAAGGACATAACAACATGCATTGCAAGTGACCGAGGTGCGAAATTTCTTCTATGTTGATGAAGATATTATATACTTGTGCTAATTGTGACTGACATGTGTAAAAGACACCTGGACAATATCATTATCTACCTGACCCATCTGCCTTATCATCTAATATATTTTCTTTTTCAATGGCCGACTCATCAATTTCTTTACTATCTAGAATTTCTTTCTCAGTCTTAGATAATTTCAAATTATCTATTTGTGTAATTTCTTCCAACATTTTCTCGGATTCCAAATCTCCATATATGGTAAAGGGAACTGACACAGGAAATGATATCATATTACTAATTTAACCTTTCTGCACTAAATTTAACAAAAGATGTATGAAACAATTTGCTTATCTGAGACAGTCAAAGTTTTTCCTGCCTTATCTAAAATACAGTACTATTCAATTACAAGAATAATTTATATCAATGATTAAATATCCAAGTATTTTGCTCAAAAACTGGTGGTAATATAATACTGTCATTTTCACCTTTTCAACAGAAACAGAATAAATCTGTTTGAAAATAATTTATATTTTTTTAGTTTCAAGCCTTCATTTAAGACTCAGACAATGATAACTTGAAATCAAGACAGAAAAACATACCATGCATGTCTGATTGGTGGGCTCCATGAAGACTGCTATAAAGCTGGGCAATCACTTCTGGACTAGCATTCAGGTGCCCCGGTGCCTTGCGCTGATTTCTAGCACTTCTGTGTGGTGATGACGGTTCAAGGTAACTAATTGGTACCAGGCCTACACGACCTTTAACCTCTCCCTCAACATAACCATTGTCAAGGAGAGGTCCATTAACTAGCACTATATCCCCCTCTTTTAAGGAGAGTTCCAATCGGGGATGACCACTTTGTGAAAACATAGAAGGGTCATAGTCTGCTATTGCTACATATTGTGTAGTCCTGAACATTTCATCGCCACTATCATTTCCATGTAAGTTTCCATGTCCATGTGTTGGTGGGTGGGGTGAATGCATTCCCATATTGAATCTGCTATTTTTCATACCAGACCCTCTATAAAAAGGTGAAGAACTTTGGTGGTTGCGTGAAAAACGAGGTAGATTTGTACTGCCATGATACGAGTGCCTGTGACTTGTGTTTCTTTGCTGGTTATGAATGTCAGCCGATCTGGGTCGTGGGGCGTGACGTGGATTATGTTCACGTATTAATTCTGTGTCACTTACAACTGACATACGATCGATACTATCGAGGGAAGACTGCGATGATGATCGTCCAAGGACATTGTGATTGTGATCTGATTTGTTTTCAAGACGACAAAGTTCTTCAACAAGCGGAGATGATCGGTCACCTGATTTTAACCTTTTCAATTCCTGAACAAGCTTTTTGATTAAAATATCCTGCAAAATATGATATCAATATTTATAAAAACATATCAAATATTAAAATCATAAATACAAATTTTTTATCTCAGACAATATTTATTTCACAATAATCTTGCACTCACTTGTAAATTTCCCTATTTCAGTAGAAAATGGACTTTTGTCCCCTCAGACAACTACCCTTGGACTCCCCTCCTTTTTTGGTAAAGGCAGGCCTCTTTTCCCCTTTTTTCCACTTTCAGTTACATTTAAGAGAGTGTTAACTTAGATCTACACAAAGTCATAATGTTCATGACTTTAAGTTAAAATTTTGTTATGAATTGGTTACATTATATTAGTTTTGTTTTCCACCAGTGTTTAAATTATTTATGTGGAGAAGTCAATGGCATTCACTTGAAAACAAACATGAGAAAGAGTAGAGGTGGCCTTATGGTTATGGCTAGGGATTGTGGGTTCAAGAGGTACTCCCGTCACAGGTCTGGTTTGTTCCAGAAAGTGGGCTTCTATTTATTTATCACGAGTTGCATTTAACTTTTTTCTCAATCTTGCTTAAAAATTTACACCATAGAAAAATATTCAATAAAAACTGGCACTTGTTACAAAGCATCAAAAGACAGATTAAGTGAATTTTGTATATAACATGAATAAAATTTCTGTTATTTTACATAAAATAAACTTTATAATTTAACATGAATGTTATTTGACCAACATGCTTTATACAGTGATATTGCATTAAAGATGTGAAAGTTATTTTCATCACTTACTTTTTCGTTACATAAATTAGTAAGCTGAACAATCCTGGCACGTAACGGAGCTGTCTGCACTTTCTTTCCGTCCTCGGTCATGCCCTAAAAATAGTAACATTATGGTCAGTTTATGTGACTACTTGGCAAAATCAAAATCTATTTACTTTTTAATTTTTCTTTTTAATCATGAATAAGAAAAAGCCTGAAATCTTTGGTTTCCAATTTTACTTTTTTGATTTATGATTATTTTCAATATATAACATTATACTGTCACATTTATTCAAACATATTTTTCAATAAAATATTACAAGTCAATCAAGATTACAAAAATATAAATAATATGATTAACCATTTTGGAGCAGTTCAGTTTTGGTACATTATTTTTAACTTAAACAACTTTCAATGAACTTTTTCATTATAAGAGATACAATTCAATTATTACTATCTCGAAATATATTTAAAGAATGATTTACCAATTACTACAATTCACCTCTATAAAAAGACCATCTACAGAAAACCTACCACTCCACTAAAAGCATTTCAAACATCTAAATGATTAGATTATGAAGATTTTTGACAAACATTTTTGAGAAAAAAAAACAAAAAAAAACAAAAAAAACATTTTGGTTATATGGCCCAGTATAAATAGTTACAAGTTGATATAACCCAAAAGTTCTTATAAGCTCAAAAAGTTTCTATAAACCTTCAACTTTCTTTAAAACCCATTAACTTACACTGACAGAAAAATGTAATTCATAAATGTACAGTAGCCATGTATCACAACTATTTCATGAAAATCTAAGCTACAAACTTGCAGTAATGTATTTATGAAATTAACATGACAAAGACCACCTTTCCATTTTATAATACTTGTATAGGTGTTTAAAGACATTTTTCACTGTATACATGATTAATTTACATAGCAAGTTCATTTCTAAGTTAAGATATTTTTTAAATCTGTAAAGGTTACATTTACTCCCATTTTGTATTAGTAGAATTTGTATTCAATATAAGATAATCTTTTTGATCATCAAGAATGATATTAATGCCATTTCTTTTTTTTTTTAATAGTTTAATCTAAAAATAAAAAAAATACTTCTTTACTTCAACAAATTTTCTCCTTATCTTAAAAAATTAAAATTACAAAAAAAAAAAATTAAATCTTTTTTTAATTGTAATACTATACTGAATATTGTAGTTTATATGTAGATCTATACAATATAATATTTATAGGAAAAAAATATAACAGAAACATAACGTAATATCTAAAAAAATAAATTTTTAGCAATAAAAAAGATAAAGTTAAGCTTTATTTTTCATATATCAACTAAGCTGTGGTCTGAAAGAAAGAAAAAGACTTTTAAATTCAATGTGAAAGCAATGCTGGCTCCGGTATCACACATAGAACATTTCAAACAGTCCCTGTTTCATATGATACAATGTCTTTTTTCTGTGTAAAAAGTTGATTTTTAGGTAGCAAACTGCACAGATATAAATTTTAATTTAGATGTACTTCATTTTCATTTAAGACAAAATAACTTTTTTCTAGTTGTAGGCACAAAAACACAGGTATAGAATGAGCTTTACAAGAGACAGGGATCCATGTATAATGTTCAATGCAGGATTACCAATGTGTAGCAATAGAAATTATTGAACCACTCTCCTACGCCTGTCCTGAAAATCTGAGAATCCCAAAACCAACACTTAAAACACCAATATAATATACAACAAAGAGTCATCTGTCCTTAATTTTGACAGAAATTTGACCAGTAACCATATGAAAGAAGGAAAATATATAGATATTCTGAAAAGAAAATCAAAAGTTAAACTAAAACTGTGCAAATAAAGAAACTAAAAATGATAAAACTGAGTGCCCAAATCACAAGACAGGTGTCCATGTCTATAAATAGACTTGCCCGATGTTTAATGACGTTATTTGGTAAAGGCGGGATCTGAATATTCCGGGGAGAGAGGGACTGTTGTCGTAACTTGTAGTTGTCTCGATCCATAGTTGACGTCTTTTTACGCAGCTCAAAAACTTCCTCGGTCAAACTTTCAACTTTTCTCATCTAAATGTTTATGTGAAAATTTTGTGAAATGAAATTTTGAAGAAAAAATGATGCATTTATTTTTATCATAGAACTTTATTGAATCTTTTTCCTGTATTTTTTTTCCCCTTATACTTAAAAAATGAAACATGTAAACAGGTAATTATGACAGAAATGAAAAACAATGATGTAACTATTTGTAGGGTTTTTCCAATACTATGAAATGAAGTTAGTAATTACAAATCTTGTAAAAAATACATGAAAAATTTCTGAGTACAGCAAATGCAAGATTTTGAAAGCATGAGCAGATATTCCTGACGTGCAAAACACTCAAGATTAAAAGCTTCTCTGATTTTTAACAATTTTTCTTCAAAGCAATTTTACCCTTTCATTAAGAAGATCAGTAATAGCTGCAAGATTTTTCTCTAAAGATGATTTTTCAATCTCAACTTTTTCATATTCAGACAATTGACCTTTCAACTCTATGACCTTCTCCTCAAGGTCAACTTTCTCCTTGTTGGATGCTTCCATGACTTCTAGTTGACCTTCAAGCAAGGCGACCTTGGACTTTAAACCTGTGACCTCAATGTCAAAATCATCTCTCTCCTTGGTTAAATCTTCAAACTTTTGACGAACATGTTCCAAGTTTTTGTAAGCATCCACAAGTTTAATGAACTTTAGAAAACAAATATTTTATTGCATCAAATTTGTTATGCAGTTTATGTTAAGTTTAATAATAAATATCATTCATAAAATGATATTTTGTTTGTCTTATTAAACATGTTCATTAAAAAATCATTGCACCATAAGTAGTAATTTTCAAGAATGACACATTTTTTAAGTTGTTTCTATGGGGAAAAAAATCTTAAATCCATTGACCTTCAATACTTATTTTATTTGCAAGGAAGAAAATCTTTACAAAATAAATTGAACATACTTAAATAAAGACCTGAAATTTGTTGTAAATGTCTGTATTAAATGAGGTTTTTAAATTTATTTTCAGTTGTCAGATGTCATTTTCTAAAATTATCGACATGATCTTTTTACATGCTGCAATGGATGAAAGTGTTTCTTAACTACCAAACATGCATTTCATTTAGAATGATCGTAAAACAAAAGTGTCCCTAATCTACCTTACTTTAACATGCATGTATACTTGATTCTACCGTGGTATTCTTGCACCATAGATTTAGAAAGCAAACAAAACTTTAACAGTTATTTTTCAAAAAGGGTAGGAGTGGGAAAATGGTAAAGACTGGGGTAGGGATAATGGTAAAGAATAGGTCAAGTATTCATAAACTATATTATTATTCTATAAATAGAATTGTTTGTTGTTTTTTTTCTCACCTGTCCTTTCAAGGTGTTATAATCATCTTTGAGGTCCTTCAGTTGTTTGTCAGCCACTTGTAATTCTGATATTTCCACCTCGAGGCCTCGCAAGGAGTCTAGGGCATTGGACCTCATGTCCTCGATAGAGCGGCATTCTTGTTGCCACTGGCGGAGCTCACGCATTAAACTATCAACCTCATTCCGCTGTTAGCAAAAACCAAAAAATATATAATTCGCTATATAAAAACTGTCCATGAAAAGATACGCAAGTAGCTGATTTTGAGTCATCTCATAATTTATTAGCAAAAAGATATTAAATTTTAATCTTTTGTTCTTTTTCCTTGTAAAGATCTTTCACTAAATCTATCATTTTCCAGTAATTTATCTTTACCTGTTACAGAACTATTTACAGTCAATACTGTAAAAGCTAACAGTTTACTTTTACTTTATATTTAAACAAAAATCCTAAACCCACAACCTGGTGAACTTGTTTAATGCATTTGCAATGTTTCGAATTTGGAATAATCCAATTTCATGTATTGAGCTACCAACAATTATAGAACCTGGTCACACAGCAATAAAGTTCAGAATGGACTGGATTGTTTGGTTGGCTTTTACATCCCACCAACACTGTTAATGTTATATGGTGAATTTCCAGCTTCAGTGGTGGAGGATCACCTAAGGTTCCTCACAATGCATTATTTCAGACACAAGCAGGCTGCTGAATAGAACCACAGACATTCACTACGCTACCTGGATAGTTTCCTTACATGAAAAAATTCAGAAGTCGCTGGCAGAATTAGAATTCCCAGCAGTGAGTGGCAAGTGGTTTGAAGTCAGGCTGACTCTATAGGACTTGCTCTATCCTGTCAGCAAAGGCTAATCACTTTTGGTTCCGATAGATTTTCCATTATATTGACAGATTGGCTGGGACACAGTTTATTTGTTATTTACCTTGGCATTCAGTTCCCTATCCTTCTTGGCAAGCTCTGTATTAAGAGCGGCTGGGTCATGACTGATGTCGTCAGGACGATGACCTCCATCCTCCATATTGGAGGTGACCTTTTCTACCTCAGTCTCTAGTTTAATTATCAGTTCTTTCTCATTTTCACCATTCTGCAAAATAGAAAAGAAAAAGGATATGAAACTTCTGTCACTTTTCTGAGGACAAAATTTTAAAAAAAATCAGTCTTGAGGATCAACAAGTTAAAGATATTGTCAAATACAAAATAAAGTTTAAAGTTAAAAAATTCTAAAATGTTCGAAGATTTTAAGTTTTAAGCACATGTATCAACCACAAATTACAACTATGAAAAAAATACACCAACCAATAGCAACAAGACAGAATTTAACCATTTACATCTAAATATATAAGCAGACGATCTGAAAAAGATGATAAAATTCATAAAATAACGTACCTTGTCTGCTATGATTACTCGTACAGACTTGAGGAAAGCTTCCAGTATCAAATAAATCCGGGTCTTTTCCTCTAATTCCTTCTCTAACTTGTTTATCTATCAAAATATAAAATAAATGTCATTAATGCGATTCCCTTTTAATCTTGGTCGACCATCTTATAGACACTTTCTATATACTAGTTTGTATAAATAAATAGCCACTACCTTACCAACTGCACCAAGCTAATAGAATACAGAACAACAAATTTATAAATCAATGAAATACATGTATCTATATCCAATTCACATGTATATTAAGAAATCAAACTTTCCTGGATTTCATTATTTTTTTTGGTTTTGTTTAGTTTTTAGTCACACTAAAATTGAAGAGGTCAAATGGCAACTTTCTAGCTTGTGTTACATGTAAAGGAATCCTTCAGGTTCATTATTGTAAGGGACAAGAGTGCAGCTGAGAAGATTTGCCAACCTTTTGAACATGTAGGTTTAAGCTGGATAGCTTCCACACATGAATGATATCAAAGTCAATTCAAAGTTTTTCAGTATCCTCTGCCAATGCACAAGATCAAGAGACCATAAAAAAATTACAATATTCTTCGGCAGGATGAATTTTGATTCTTCTTTATTATTATACTGATAGAATTTGGAAATTCTACCATAACAAAACTAAAGCATAAACCAACAAACTTAAATACGTTAACAAAGATTTTCAATCTAAATGAAGCTTTTCTCTGAAACATAACATATTTCAACAAATATTAACTCAATAACATTCAGAATCATCTGTTATTGTATTATGTATCATACCATCATGATTATTACAATAGCATCCATCAATATATTATACTTGAAGTAGGGTGGGGTATATTATTTTATTTTGCTGAGTCATTGGAAACACAATGGAAAAGTATATACCAAAATTTCTCTTTTAATTTATTGAAATAGGATGCATAATAATAGAACACAATGGTAACGATACAAGCATAAATCACACTTAACTTGTGAAATGCAATTTACTAACCAGTGATGAAAAAATCAACTTGCAAGGGAAATAGTTAAAACTTTAATACAGAGATTTAAACTTTTATTTATAAAGACAAAAATCTCCTTTCCTGTCGAAATTAGTTAAGTCTGCAATATGTTTCTAGTTAAATAAAGTTGATTTCAAAATACACAAAGTTCAGTTTTAACTCTTTGCCCGCTAAGAGTGATAATAATAGTGACTGTTAACACTGAGGACCTGACACTGAGTACCTCAGCCTTGCCAAGTACCTCAGTGTTGCCCCAACCTTGCCAAGTACCTAAGGGTTGCCTCAGCATTAACGAGTACCTTAATATCTAATCTGATATAAAACTGTTTGAAAGGTTTACTTTATTTTTTTTTAATTTTAATTACAGGAAATCAGATAAATTCCAAAAAGACATTTATAACAAACTCTAATTTTCCCAGCATGCAAATGGTAAATATTTTTGAAGTAAAAATATTAGTTATGTAGTAACTATTTCCCCTGTATTATAAATATTAACAATGAATTAAGTGAATGAACATTATATATATATGTGATACTGCAGTAACAACATTGTACCTCACCTTCATTTTACGTCTATATGCAGGACGTGTTCTTATATGATGCTGATAAAATGAAATGATAATTATCCTAATTGAAAACAGCTTGGACAATGATAATAGTTTAGACAATGATAATAGCTTAGACAATGATAACAGTTAAGACATAATTATCAATGAAACTAGAAATGTGTCATCATGCCACGGATGCATGCAGCCAAAATTTCAAATGTTATTATATTTAGTTCCAAATTTGTTTGCACAAATTATTTTTTTCATTCTAAGTTAAAAGCCCTTAAAACTTTTCAATGTTAACACAAACCATTTTTATACAATGTTCAAGGCACTGAAATTATTCAGTGTTAACCTTTTGAAAATAGCATATTGCATACTTGTAGCCAAAATAATGGCTATATACATTTCCACAAAAGTATGGTGCTAAAACTGAAAGTTCAAAATTTTTCCAAACTCATGAAAGATAAGTTTGTCCAAAATCATTGAACCACGGCCAAATTCAAACTTAAACTGCTTATTCCCAAGATGTATCTATATTATTTTCAAAGTGAAAGGGACATAACTCTGCCAAAAAATCATCGAAACCATGACCAAATTCCAACTTGACCTGCGCATTCCTTTGACATATCCATATGTAAATTTTGAGTTGAATATGTAACACTGTTGGCTTGATAATGAACAGAAACTGTAAATTTCATATCATTTTCAAAGTGAAAGGGGCATTACTCTGATAAAAATCATTGAACCATGACAAAATTCGAACTTGGCCTGCGCATTCCAAAAACATATGCATATGTCAAATTTGAGGTGAATGTGTAATACTGTTGGGGAGATAATAAATGGAAACTGAAAATTTCATATTATTTTTAAAGTGAAAGGGGCATAACTCTGCCAAAAATCATCGAACCATGACCAAATTTGAACTTGACCTGCGCATTCCTTTGTCGTATCGATATGTCAAGTTTGAGTTGAATGTGTTGTACCATTGGGGAGTAAATGAACGGAAACTGAAAATTTCATATTATTTTCAAAGTAAAAGGGGCATAACTCTGCCAAAAATCATCGAACCATAACCAAATTCGAACTTGACCTGTATTTTCTTATGACATACCCATATATCAAGTTTGAGTTGAATGTGTTGTACCGTTAGGGAGATAATGAACGGAAACTGAAAATTTCATATTATTTTCAAAGTAAAAGGGGCATAACTCTGCCAAAAATCATTGAACCATAACCAAATTCGAACTTGACCTGTATTTTCTCATGACATACCCATATGTCAAGTTTGAGTTGAATGTGTTGTACCGTTAGGGAGATAATGAACAGAAACTGAAAATTTCATATTATTTTCAAAGTAAAAGGGGCATAACTCTGCCAAAAATCATTGAACCATAACAAAATTCGAACTTGACCTGTATTTTCTTATGACATATCCATATGTCAAGTTTGAGTTGAATGTGTTGTAGCGTTAGGGAGATAATGAACGGAAACTGAAAATTTCATATTATTTTCAAAGTAAAAGGGGCATAACTCTGCCAAAAATCATTGAACCATAACAAAATTCGAACTTGACCTGTATTTTCTTATGACATACCCATATGTCAAGTTTGAGTTGAATGTGTTGTAGCGTTAGGGAAATAATGAACGGAAACTGAAAATTTCATATTACTTTCAAAGTTAAAGGGGCATAACTCTGCCAAAAATCATCGAACCATGACCAATTTCGAACTTGACCTGTATTTTCTCATGACATATCCATATGTCAAATTTGAGTTCAATATATGGAACGGTTATTAAGATAATGAACGGAAACTGATGATGACGGAAGGACGGAACAGGGTAACACTATATGCCCCTGCCATTATATGGCGCGGGCATAAAAATGATGATAGCTTAGACAATGATAATAGCTAAGACAATGATAATATTATCTTAGAATAATGATAATTGCTTACACAGTGATAATTGTTTAGACATAATTATCAATGACAATGATAATTGCTTACACAATCATAATGCCTTAGACAAAATTATCAATGATAATGATAAAAGGTTAGACAATGATAGTAGGTTAGACAATGATAATAGATTCAACAGAATAATCAATGACAATGATAATAGGTTAGACAATGATAATTGCCTACTAAATGATAATAGGTTAGACATAATTATCAATGACCATAATAATAGCTAGGAAATGATAATTGTTTAATCAATCTTAACAGTTTAGACACTATTATCTAACACAATGTTGACAGCTTACACAATGATAATTAACCTGGACAATATTTACATCTAAAACACTATTATCTCACAGAAAGATAATGATATAGACAATGGTAGTGGACAATGATAACAGCTTAGACTATGGTGATGTTCTGGATTATATCATCTTATCTTTTATAATAGCTTAGACACTATTATCTCAGACAATTATAATACCTTTGACAATATCAACTTAAACAATGAAAATAGCTTAGGTACTTCAATCTTATACAATGGTAAAAAACTTAGACAATGGTAACAACTTAGGTGCTAAATTTACCTCGTCTTTAAAATGTTTGTTTTCCTTCTCAGCAATTTCCAGTCTTCTATTGCTATCATGTACTCGTGTCTTCCACGATGTTAGATCCATCTCTCCGTTCATTTCACGTGCCGAGTCTGATTCTCGGGCCTAAATAAAATAACATTTCATGAAGTATGACAGTAGATATTTCAAAATTTGTAAAACAAATTTATAGTATATCACATTAGAATTTTTGATATATTATATGTTAACTTTGTAAATATTAAATTATCTGTCAATACAACATGCAACTCTTCAGTATTAGAGGAAGTAAAGATATATTATTATTAGCAGTAATGTAACTGTAAGCAGTTGATGGAAATTGTTACAAATGAACCTGGTGTTTGATGTGTCCTCCTTTTTTCAATTACTGTATGTCATTTATGTCTCTAATGGAAAAAGGGCCTTTAATTTTTAAATGAAACTTATATTGCTAAACATAGATTGAACCAATAAGCTGCTATATCTGAAAATGATGGACTTTGTCACCAGTATTGTGAGTATAGAACCAGGCCAGTCTGCTAATCTGTACAATCTGACCAGGCTCTATACTGTAGGAAGCTTATTTTTTTGTATTTTTATACTGAAATCCCTTAAGCTTTGAATGGACTGTTCCAAATTCAAAGCTGGACAAGTCCATTTCACAAATTCAGTAGGTTAAAATTTCAGTCAAGATACAAGAAAGATATGTCTTAAGAAAGTGTGTAATACCGAAAGTTGTCTTTCAATATATGCTATTCTCTCTCTTAATGTCATTCCACTAGTTGCTATGGACATCGAGGCAGTCCCTCGTCCACTGTCGGCTACACTTCCTGTTACACTTGGTACAGTACGAGTCTGACCAATATGTCGCAATATCATCTGAAATTATACATGTATCTGACAATGACAAAAATTTCAAGCTGACAATTTTTCAAAAATTAAATATAAATTTTTGGAATATATACAGAAAGCTTTCATATTATGCTTTTAAATAGCTGCCAGCAATAAAGCCTGTCCATGCCACAAGTATAGAAAGACTGGTCTGACTAAATATCTAAGTAGTGAAACTTTTGTATTATACTGCACATTTATAACATCCAACAACTATGCAAGCTCTCCCTTTTATTCAAATAGTCAAGCTAAAAATTTTTTTCTTTAAATAGTCAAGGAAAAAAATTTTTTGAAATTGTAAAAACCAAAAATTTTTGTATGTTATAATTGAAAAGGGTTTATTGGGTTCCAAAAATTAAATATGAAAAATTACCTCCTTATTTGGTCTGACTTCCCCTTAAAATGTCAAGGGGAGAACTTTGTTAGAGAGGTCTCCGAAAAATTTTGTACCTTCACTGCCTCCCCCGGAGTCCAATTGGGGGAGTGGTGGGGCCTGAGTATGTCGCTGTAAATGCGGTGAAATCCTATCACCATAGCGACCTGAATCTGTGTCATTCTGAGATATGTGACTTTCAGTTTCTGACTGAAGAGCTAAACCTAGCTCAAGTTCCTCATTTTTACCATGGGTTCTATTTCTATTAATAGCAGTGGGGTCGGCTGCGTACAAACTTGTCGCCTTGCCGACGCTTATCCACTGCTCGCCTCCTCTGCCGGATGCCTCCATGCGCGTCTCGATTTCGCGCCAGTGATCATCTTCCATCCCCGTGGGACTCGGGGACTGTAAACTCTGTAGTAAATCTTCTATCATGTGATCACGGGACAATTTCTGTCCTGGAGGTCTTGATAACTGTGCACCGTTTGCGGTAGTCTGCAGAATAAAATAATTTTGTAATTTTGAGCTGATTTTTACAATAACATACGAGATGCTTTCATCAATTTTTTAAAATCTTCAGTCAATAGGCTTAATTTAAAAGAGATTTCCAATTTTTTCGTCAAACGATGCAAAAGTTTACTGATATATATATAATGCAAGTTCATTTTATCAATTATTTCACTTTACCATGAAATAACACAGTCATGTAAAGGTATAGGCAAAACTTCTCTTATAAATTATAAACCTTTATCAAATTACATCTCATTCCAATAAAATACAAGTATTTCAATCAAATCTGTAATAATATCACCTATTTCTAAAAACAGAAAACACTCACCTTGGTCAAGGTCTCCTCTACCTCACCACCATCAAGATGGCCGACAAGATCATTTATAAATTCCTCTCTCTGTGGAGACCGACCGCTACCAGGCTGTGCTACTGAAAAATAAAACACACAGTTGTAATCACTGCAGTACACATGACTTAAAATAAAAAAACAGAATGACTGTAGGAAATGAAATGAAGACATCTCTCTCTTTTCTCTCATTTCCTATGCACAATCAATCAAACAGATGTCATGCCCACCACCTATGGAATACTATATCTATATATTGCCAACTCCTCTGTCAAATGTTATGTTTTATACCGATAACAAGCATGATTCAATCGCAATGTGACGTCTGCCTGAATAAAGAATTGGCAAAAAATCAGCCTCCTACTCTTGAACTCAAGATTAATCAGTCAAGTTTGTAAGGCTTAGCCTCCTTTTTAACTTTTAAGTTAAATAATAACCCCCCTTTTAAAATTGTATGTTCCCTTTAAATATGTTTGCCCACTCTAAAATTATATGTCCCCTCTAAATTAGTATGCCCGCTCTTAAATTGTATGCCCCCTCTAAAAGGGTATGCCTCCTCTAAAATTGAATGACAGCTTTTTAAATTGTAAGGACCCTCTAAAATAAAATTGTATATGCCAACTCTAAAACTGTATATCCCCTTTAAAAAAGTATGCCCCCTCTAAAATTGTATACCCACCCTCTAAAACTATATGCCCTCTTACCTTGCCTTGAATTTGTTATTCTAACACAAATAAACATTAAGCAGACAACAATATTATGACCGATCAAATTTCACATGATGTGCAGGCTAGCCTGCCTCTATGTTGATAGGTTTGGAAAATCAACCAAAAACTGTCTGGTCTCTGTTCTATAGTACATACATATGCATAGGGTATTTAAATAATTCATGCTTCTATCAGATACTTTGCCAACAGGCATTCTCTAACGATATCAATATTTCACATACATATAAACATACATTGAGCAGATGTTCAAAGTATTGATAATAGGTCAAAATCAAAGGTCAAGGTCAACAACCTATACACTATACAGAGCAACCCCCTTTTGAGCAATAATCTTTTTTTTTTTTGGGGGGGGGGGGGGGGTTGTTTGTTTGGTTTTCATAGCGCATCATCACAATTTTGGTCAAATAACCTTTTTAAAACAAAACCACAGTACGACAACACCTTTCTTATAAGAACAATATCTTAAAGGCACATTATGCCTTAGAAACAAATAACATTTTTACTTCAGTCTTTAGAAAGGGCAAACATGAATTTTGTAATGTTTTAATAATGGTTTTAGAGCATGTTACATGGCTTATCACCTGAAGAAAGCAGCGATAAATGTGAAATAATATGTCTTAAAGAAGCAAAATGTAAACAAAGCAGTATTTTGACTTCCATACAAAATACTTAACCCCTATAACTGTACTTATTGCCAAGAAGCAATAGATGAAAAAGTTAATTCAGGTACTGGGTAATTGTCCAATGAATAACTTTTTTGACACTAAAAAAGTACACAAACATTAAAAATTTGTTACTGTATAAGTTCGTTTGAACGGAAAAAATTCATATTTTTATTGTATCTCTGTTTCAATAATTTCCTTAACTTCTATTTTTTATACAATAAAGAATGCACCATTTCTTACAATAAAATCAATAAGATTTTAATGAATACCTGTTTTCTAAGTAATCCATACATGTGTATATCATTTTTAGAATGAGAATAAAAAATATGTTTCTTAAGACAATGTATAATTTAAAACTCCATAAAATATCTGTTCACCACTAAATATCAATTAAAATACCACCACTTATTTACTAATACATTAATTTTCCTTCTCTCACTTTCTATTTACATATTGTAGAATGGTTTACAAGATTTCAAAGCAAAAGTTAAGAAAAAATGTTGTTTTTTTCCTTTTTCAGTATAGACTGTTCCAAATTTTTAAAAGGATTTCATAATAAAAGAAGTGATAAAAGATTTTTGACAAGTAAAGAAAGAACACTGATTTGTTACTGTAAAGGTAACGGTATATTTAAGTACAGTTACCTGCCACAGGCAATTTCCCTTAAGGTATATAAAAACTTATTTTTTTAATTTCCTGTTATTTTATATCGGTGGCAAACTTTATTTCTTTAATTGCTTTGATTAAAGAGCTCAAGGTAAAATGAACAAGATTTTTTTTCAACCTCAATTTCAAATATAACAATTTTGCTTCTAATTTACACCATATCTCAACAAAATAACCAATGTAATCTAAGATGAAAGTTTACCAAAAAAACAGAGATTGTTTGGCAAACAAAAATTGCAGACAAAAAATTGACACAAATGTAAGATAGAGGTTTCATCTGTAATATTAAAGAGAAACTTCTGGTAACAAGTCAACCCTTGCTAAGAAATAATTATTGGCAGCTGAGAATTTCAGTTCATAGTTTCTGAATTAGACCAAATGACATCATAAAATTGTGGGGTTTTATATTTTACAGTAAAAAAAATCATACATTTTATATAAATAAGATGACAATGATGATGATGATGATGATGATGATGATAATAATAAGAATGATAATAATAACAATAATAATGATAAAATTAACAACAAAAAATGTAATAGCAATTACATTTTAATATATCTTATATATTTTAAAAGAATATGTAATAAAGTTAATATTTCATGACAAAATTATATCAAATAATATGATAACAAAAATATTCACTCACCATTTGGCCCCTGTCCTATCCACTGCCCAGTTCTAGGGCTCTGCAGTATCTGGTAAGAAATAAAGGGAGATAATAAATAAACAGAGACTTATTAAATTGTCAAACAAATGCCTTAATCTTTACATGATAATAACAATTTGAATTGGTAACATTTCTTTAAAATGATGCAATCTGTAAGTTTCTTTGTTCATTGGCTAACAGGGAGTATAATTATATATCCAAATAATTACTAGTAATGACAAAAAAGTTTAAAGTTCGTAAATGTTCAGAAGTTATAAGTGCAAATAATACTTTCATTTGGTAATGTCAAAAATATTATGTTTTTATGTCAAAAATATTATGTTTTTTTATTCATAATCAACAAATTGTTGAGCATTAACATACAATTACAAGAACAGGGTTAAAATGTGACTTTGTTGTCATTAAGGGAAGTAACTCTTGTAGAAATCTCTGAAATATTGCTATGATTGAGATTGGGATGTAAATGTAGACAAATCAATAAACCTTTTATTTAGTGATATATCATGTTTTAAGTGCAATGTATCAATCATCATGTTTAATTACCATGTCAGAAGATACGGTCTACATGTAAAATATCATCAAGTACATGCTTTTTAGTGCTTAACCCTTTACTATAATGAAAAAGCTACCAGTCTCTTTAATGACACTATATATTCATATTGTGACCACATAAAGTGTGTAGAATTTTAAACATAACATATCTACTTTGTGTGGTCAAAAACGTGTTTATCTAATATTTACAAAGAGGCTGTGTAGCAATTATCAATATTTTTTTAATATCAAATTTGAGCATACTATATCTTTAAGGATTTTTTTCTCTGTCTGCACTAGTTACATGGGTTGATTCTGTTGCAGGCTAAGAGCTAAAAAACAAATAGGCCGTACATGCAAGATTTTATCAAGGCAAGCAGTTTTTCAAGTTTCCAGGATTCTATACATCTTAATTTGTTCGTGAACTACTTTTGGCTTGGTTTGTTTGTTTGTTTCATTTTTACGCCTTTCTCCAAAAGTATTTCAGCCATATAGGCCAGTAGTTTCCTAACCATCGTTCATTGAGAGTTACACCAGTACTAGACTACCTTCCTCTTCGCTAAACTACCATAGCATCTCCCGGGGATCGAACCCACGCCAGAGAGGTAACTGGATTAGAAGTCATCGACTCTAACCCCTTGACCAAGGAGGCGGTCTTTGGCTTGGTTTAATAAGACTGTATTCAAGTGCATAAGCCTAACACTGTACTGACTATCTAGTGTTCTGTGTTAATGTGATAAAAATTATACATACCTTGACTGACTTATTAGCCTGGTCAAGACGATTCCTGAGAACCTCAATTTCTACTTCATGGCCACAGACATCCTGTAATATAAGACAATGTAATGATTTCTTACACAAATATTTCTACTGTGAACAAAATTCAAAAGATATTTTAGTGCAAATAACAATTGTACGATACAATTTCACTAATTACAAAAATTATTTTTGCACAAAACAATTGAAAAGTAGTCTTTAAACTTTATGGTATGTTAATAGTTGATTCTAATAGAAAAGACTATCAGTTTAAAATTCTACTACTACTCAGGTAGATTTGAAACTTAACCTATTTATAATTTTTTGTGTCAACTGACTTCTATGAAAAACAAATTTTGTTCTGAACAGAAAAACGATTTTTATTCGTACCAAAAGTATTCAAATATGTTGTAAAAGATTCAGGTGCATTGTATTCGGCCCAAAGATAAATATTTAGTGAAAAGACAAACCTTTCCCTCCCTCAACTGTGCAACAGTATCTTGTAAGTGTGTGTTCAAAAGATCGGACTGTTCTAACTGGTTCTCTGTCTGCTCCATTACCTATCATATAGAATAAAATGTATATATTTGACTGGTTCTTATTTCAATGATTGACAATGTCATTCGGATAAATAGCAAAGGTAAATAATCATATAAAACATACAATTTATTTTTGACTACAAACCAATTCATTGCAATAATGATTCTTCACTGCTTGTTCTTCTATTACTAGCAAACTAAATTTTCAAATGAGACTATAACCTAGTTATTAATGTTATTTGCATTGCATATTTAAGAACATGCCATTGCTTCTTGAAACATTGCATCTTGAAAAGTGATTATTTCTTCTTAGTTGGGTTTTTCGTCCCACCAATATAGTTGAGGTCATATGGCGACTTTCAAGCTTCATTGCTATTTGAAGAACTCACATATCTCTCAGGCACTGGTGGGTACTTGAGTAGAACCACTGACATTCCACAAGCTTGCTGGATAGCTTTCTCACATGAAAGAATCCAAAGAGCCTGTCAGGATCTGAACCCACAGCGGTGAGAGTCAATGACTTTAACCACTTGGTCAATATGACTTAAAAAGAGAAACATGTTCTTGCTTTATTATCCAATCATTGAGGTGACTAACATTCTTTATTCTCTTCTCCTAGTACTGGAGAATTTCTATTTCCAGTACACTCATAGAACTGAAAATCTAACATATTAGTACCTTCAACTTCCTCTGTAAGGTCTGGTACTCTGCTTGTGGCAGAGAAACCATGCCCCTGGAGCCCATTTTCACTTCCTGTGGACTGGTTCCCGAAATATCCATATCCTGTTGCTGCAGACGCGACTGCAGCTCTGCATTATTGGACTGTAGAACTATGATACGTCTCTGACATTCTTCTAGGGTTCTTGGCAACTTCATGTTACTGCTTTGACTAGAATTAAGGTCCGACGGTGCCTTAAATATAGATATACATTTTCCAATATTCTGTAATGAGCATGATGCAAAAAAAAAGAGACAGGCCAAATCTAAAACAAATTCAATTTTTTTTTTCAATAAGATGAACCATGTGACTACAGTGAGCAGGATAGTTAATTTTTATCTCATTGAACTAAGTTATTGGCAATGAAGCTTTTCAAAACTCTTCAATGCTTGCTACTAAAGGATTGGTTGCTGTATTTAAGTGAACACTAAGTCTTATACACACAAATAAACTAATGGACAGATGGGCTATTAAGTCTTTCACCACCAATGAGGCTCTGAAAGAGCATGTTAACTTTAGTGAGAAACGCAGGTGATTGAAAAAACAACAATCTATTTAATTACTATTTCATTAAGACAAAAAAATCAGCCTTGTAGTATTTCAGTTTGCAGGTGGTAAAATATACTCATTAATTCAGCCAAAATATAAAAATTCACACAAACATTTTAACATTAAAAAGTTCAACCACAAAATTGATTTAAAAGACTTTTTAATTATTATATTACATCTTTAACTATTACTTTACATCTCAAATTGAAAACTTTACTTGTGGGTAACTTTATTTACCTCATTTGACATGTCAGTTATTTTATTGCTTTGCAAATATTGTCAACAAGCTTGATGGTAAAACTTCTGTACTTACTGTTATTTAAGGGGACATGAAATATGTTTCAAGTTTAAAAGGTCAAAAATGCCATAGTTGTTAGTGTTTCAAAGTTTTTGAGATCACAATTAATTTTGAAAATCTCAATATAAGCATTTACAAGTTTTGCAAAGCTTCTTGGCAACATTTAAAATTTAGAACACTTAAAACAGTTAGAACACTTAAAATTGAAAGGAATAACCATATTTATAGGTAGTTACTGTAATTGCTTTTTTTATCATGTAAATTACTTAGAAAAGAAACATATTACAATTTCTCTTGACACAAAATGTTATATTCCTTTGTACCAGAAAATATTGCATTTTGTCAACATGCCTGAAAACAAGAGCACTGCATGCGATGTTAACACTCATCAATCTGTGACAGGGCATAACACAAAAAATAATGTTTCAAGAATTATTTCCCTCGTCTAACAACTGCACCTTGTTATAATAAGCAGTTTCATATTGATAACTTTTAAAATGATTTAATAATGGGCTACATTAAAGTTTTTGCATGATGACAACAACGTCAATTTTTCTTCAAAACTGACAAGCTAAAACCGTATTCTGCAATTCATCCATTGTAAGACATTGCCTTGTTTTGTTATATAAAACATTCACCTTGCAATGGAACTTCCTTTAAAGAAAGAAAATCATTAAAACACAGTTGTTTTTTTACCTGTATTCCCGATGTTTCCAGTTCTTGTACTCGATACTTCAGCGTATTCTCACTCCTCTGAAGTTTACTCAGCTTATCTTTCAAAACCGAGTCGCATTCCTCCAGATCCCGAACCTTCGCTTCTAGAGCGACTTCATTCATACGTAGATTCTTCAACTCCTGCTGTAAACTAATCTCATTTTTCTGCAATGCATCATTCTCCTGTTGTAATTGAACCTCCTTGTCTCTCAAAGCACTTAATTCGTTTTCCATACTATCGCAATGCTGTTGTAAGGTGGACGTACGTTTCGACAGAGGAGAATTTTCCGTCATTGAGTGATGTAACCTTTGCTGGAGATCGAAATTAATATGCTCTAATTCAACAACTCTTGCATGAGCATTAGCACCAAAGGTTTCCAATTCTATCACAGTGTTCTGTAAAGTTTGCATTATATTGTCTTGATTTTTCGCTCTGTGCGCCAAATCTGTCTCTGCACCTTCAAGTTCTTTTAATCTCGTTTGTAAATATTCCGATCTTTCTGAGAAAGCCGATTTTTCAGTTTCTAAATTTTGAACCTTTTGCTTCAGTGTTTCTTCCTTTTCACTCATTTCCTTCACAGATGACTCAAGAGATTGCGATTTTGTCTGCAAAATCTTCTCATCAAGTTTGTATTGCTTCACTAAATCTTTCAGCCTTTGTTCTAATATTTCTAAATCTCTGATGCGGTCATCCTTATTATCCATTTCACCTTCAAGCTCGTCCAGACGAGCATATAGAGAGTTTTCGCTGGTTTCGAACCTTTTGATTTGCTCCTGAAGATTTCTCTGAGACAGCTGAAGTTCACGTAGCCGCACATTGAGTTCATGGATGAGATTTTTGTCAGTACGAGCAATACCATGTAATTCCTCCCTATCAGCTTCTAAATCAGATACCTGAAATATAGTCATATTTCATAATATAGAATTAACAAGACATTATTTTTTCAAGAAACCAATATATTATGTCGCTTTCCCGTGGATCCGATACCTTAACGGCTAAAATGGCGCATGCGCAGTTCGTGTTACTATTTTTGTGACCCAATTTTCATTTACAGCCACTACATATCTTCTTTAAAAAATTTTGATTAAACAGAATTTTGAAAATTAATCGATTCCTTTGAAATGCTTTGATAAGCCTAAAGAAGAGCATTATATATTTAGCAATTTAGCTAGGCATCATAGAAGAATTTATCAACAACACTTTTAAGATGAAATAACCTACCTGTTGTTTCAGATGTTTTTCAAGTTTCTCCAACTCCCGGATCCTTTGACGGAGGACGTCTTCTGCTTTGTCCATCATCATGGGAGAATCTGTGTAATCGTAGCCGGAGTATCTGTCTAAATATCGGTCATCCTCGGCTTGTACACGAGCACTTGGAGGTACATTCACATTTACAGTTTCCGAATAACCTAAACACTGTATGGTTGGAACCCTTTCTGATGGTGGAACATCGATATTGATGGTTTTTGATGTCTCTAGATGAAACTGCCTGACAGGGGAGGTAAATCTGTTGTTAGGGCCCTCAAGATGATCCCATAGAGGGCGCTCTTCTAGACAAGACTGAATTCCGATTTCAACTTGGTTTTCTGGTGAATGAACCTGGTATCTGAATAAAAAGTCATCAATGGAAATAAACTTAAAACACATTATTAAAATTATACTTAATTTCTTTAAAGACAAGTCTTAGAAACTTCAGGCAAAGGGGAGATCATGTGAGGGAAATTTCAGAGTGGTGATTGTTCTGTTACACTGAAGACATCATGATTATGATGATGATTCATGAAAGTTCAATCTTATAGATAAAATTCATCTCAGCATTAGTTTAAACAATATTTTATTTCTATTTTTACAACATATATATGTACAGTAAGCATATATAAACACACTGATATATTTCGTGGATTGGAAAACAAGTCAAATGTGACTATGTAAATTCCTTTCCACATCTCAGCATTAAGCAAATAACATGATAAAACAGTAAAACATGTATGAGAAATGAAAACATATCAATTACATCAAATTCTCTTACTTCCATTCAATTTGTGACAATTACCACTAACTCATTATCATTTTTCCATTATCATTTCAATTTCTCACATTGCTGTTGTTCCCTTTTCAAGATATTTTCTTGAACTACTTTAAGACAAATAATCCAAACAAGTACCAATAAAAACCTTACATATCTTTCATAAAATTTTAATCCTTATGTAAATCCATTGGTAAAAAGAAGACCTTCAAAAACTGCAATTAAACAGATGAAATAAATCCCAATAATCTTAATATTCCTAATACCATATTGATAACAAAAGATCTAGCAAAGTAGCGTAAATAATCCGTGATTATCTTAGAATTAAGATAACTTTTCTGGCATATTGCATACCTACTTAAGTTATTGCCTTATTGACTGCAGAATTCCCCCAAGTATGTTAACATCCCATCTCTGTCCATCAAACAACATTAATTATTTACAGTATTTGGAAAAATCTATTTTTCTAAAGCATGACTGTATAGTATAAACAACAACAACAACTACCTCTCCCATCTTCATACTTTCTTTAAGCCTAATATAATTTTCTGCTTCAATTTTCCTGATTTATTTTCGGTCTCATCTGCTCGAGTTAAATTACATTTGAGCCCCGTCACAACAAAACCAATATAATGAATTGGCGACGTGCATGGATCCATACCAGCCTGCGCATCCGTCCAGTCTGATCAGGAACCATGCTGTTCGCTTACAGACTCTATAACAAGAAGAGAAACTGATAGCGAACAGCATGGATCCTGATCAGACTGCTGGTCTGGATCCATGCTGGTCGCAAACCGATTATGTTGGTTTTGTCATGACGCGGCTCATTTAATGTTTTCAATCTGTTTTGCTTCAAACTGTGTTTTAGTCTTTTCCCTCTTTAATTTAACCCCCCACCCCATTTCAGTAATATCAAAAATAAAATAACCACATCCCCAAAGGAATACATGTACTTCAGTCACTTCACAATATGACTGTGTTGTAATGAGCAAGATTTCAATTTGGACTGATTTGAAGTGAATGGGCAAATAATATGCAAAATATGTTAATTGGGTATTTTATTGGTTGATTTTGTTTTTAGAGAATTTCATTTTTATCCCAAAATATGTGAATGAACTTGGCATACTTTGCACTTGGATCTGTTTACTGTAATTTAAAGGGATTTCAATCAAAATTAATGTATACTGATTTAAAACCCAAGCCTTTAAACCTGCATATTTTTAGAGACTTAAGAAGAGTATGATTTAAAATTTCGCATTGTTTTACTAAAAAAATCCTGCATATCCTAACAGATTATGATGACTATGGCCTCCTTAAAGATTTGGTTTAAAAGCCCTTATAAAGTCATTATGAAAACATATCAAGAACCCTTTACTTTATCTGAAGTGGCAGAGTCAGCAAATTCATAAAATCTGCAGAGAAAAAAAATCATAAAATGTTTAAGTTTAAACAAATTTATTTTAGCTTGACTTTGACAGAAGCTTGGAGCTTATAATTATATTGATATACATGTATCACTTTTGAGTGCACTTCCTGGAATTAACCAGTACTGTTGCCATATGAAGAAACATGGTCGTGACCCAAAGCAGGGCTCAAATCCCCAATCTCTGGGTTAATAGGCATTATACATTGACTGGCTGTTTCTCCTCATGTTAAAAAAATCTCTGACTGTAATCAAATATTTTAATAGAATAAGTCATAATATAAAAGGTTAAGAATATATTTCTTTCATTTCTCAATTAATTTTGGTAAATTCAACATTTACTCTGACCCAATATTTGCTTTTTTTCCCTTTCAGCTCACAGTTAGCATAATTTCATAATACTTTCATTCCAAAGTTTATGATAAATATTTTGACAGCCGTCGGAAATCTGAAAACGGCTAAAAATTGAAAAATTTAACAATAAATTAAGGTTAAACATACCATGGCATAAGTAAGTATTCCATTAATTTTTTTTCCTATCCAATTTTCTTACATCAAATACGCAAAATATCAAATCAAGCTGTGTAAAGACTGTTATCAAAACAAGATAACTTGATCTTATTTAAAAAAAAACAACAACTTTTTTTATAAGTAAAAATGACAGTTATAAGCAAGATCAAGCATGTATGAAAAACTTAAATCCATGATTTATTGACGGTATAATGTATAGTTAAACGTAAACAAACCCTCCCTCTATGAAGATCTTATTTCATTGATATTCCTTCAATATCTATACTACATTACATTCCTACAGCCCTATTTTATTATTTATAGCAGCTTATATTGTCATTGATGTTTTATAACTTATTACTGTGTTATAAATAACCAATTACATTTATAGCAGCTTATATCAATGAAAAATATTGTCATTGATGCTTTATAAATAATTATTATGTTATAAATAACCAATCAATTTTTAAGCTTTTATACATTGACAATGTCTAAGGTCATAAAATTTTCTCATTCCAAGCTTTTTTTTAAAGAGCAATAAATATCTTATAAAGGTATTTTATAAAATATGTGTATGTGTGTGTGGGGCGGGTCAACAAAAAAAAGAACTAATTTTTTCATCTTATATTGTTTGATAACCCCCCCCCCCCCCAAGTTATATCACTTTATAAACAGTAAGGATATCTATATGTGAGCGTGTGTGTGTTAATTAATTAAAATTCTATGGCTATGTAAATGAAATCACTTTACTTTGTATAATTAGTTATAATAGTGTTTTCACTATACGAAACTATACATCAATCTGGCCACATGCTGCTTTTAAAAGTTATGAAGTATAGATTGACAAAAGGTCGACATACCTTTAAAGGTGAACATTTATTGATTGGCCAGGTACACACAGAGGTGGAGGGATAAAATATCAATATCTTCATGGTTTTATATTGGGGACTTAATACAAACATGACTGTGATGCTCTATCTAGCTATCTGTCTAGGTAAAGAAATGGATATTTCTATATTGATTTAACAAAATGTTCTGGCTTCTTATTACTTGTACTAGGTGCTTGTTGCATTAATGTAATACATGGTATGCACAGATGTTGGCAAATATTACATCAATGATTAATGCATGGTTGTTTTGTTATTGTTCAGCATTCCCCTAAAATACCATTAAAGGCAAGATTATTAATGATGCATGCAGAGAAGAATAGTTTGTTTGTATGCCTATATTAAACCCTTATTCTCCAAAATATCTTAAATGGACTTGTCCATCTTTTCAGAGAGAAATTTTCAAAATATTTATAGACTTTATAGTGAACAGTGCAGACCATATCAGCTTGCAAGATTGTGCTGGCTGATCTTGGTCTTCACTGGTCGTATGCATAGATTATGCAGCCATCAGTTGGTTTGGGTTTTTTTTGGTGCTCTTTTTTGTTGGGTTTACGTCACACCAATATTGTAAAGGTTGTATGGCGACTTTCCAGCTTAACTGGTGGAAGAAGACCTCAGGTGTCCTTCCCTGCATTATTTCAGACATGAACAGACACCGGAGTAGAACAACTAACATTCTGTAAGCTTTTTCACATGAAAGAATCCAAAGTCGTTGTCAGTAGCCATCAGTAGTCTATGGGTTAATTGCTATGTAACTTAAAAGCTAAACTTAGATAATAATAAACATCAGAGTGACATAAAAAGAAATCTGAGGTATTTTTACTCCACCTCCTGTTGCCTATGACCACCATTACACTATAAAGAGGTTTTAGTGACACTCTGCCTGTTAGAACCCACAACACCTGGACAAGGATAAAATATTATAAGAATCTCTAGAATAATTTACTTGGGGCATCAATGTTAAATCAATCTTGTCTTTTTGCACTCTTAGTGTGGCCATAATGTTAGCCTATGCGAGCTGTCAAACAATTTATCTATCAATACAAAAGAGGCTGTTAAATTACATTGTCATGGGTTGAATGCAACATAGTTAAGCTCTTCTGTATTTCATAAAAGTAACTGTAGCTTTTGTACTGAAATCACGTATTTCCAACCAGTTTGTGGTATGGGTACTTACTTTTGAGATAATTTTGCCATGACATGAATCTGAGCTTCTAACTGTTCTATTTTTTCTGAAGATTGACGATGCAGCTTATCTGTAGATAACTCATTCTCTGCTAGAGATATTCTGTAATGGAGACAAGGGAAACAATTCAATCTATCATAATTTGTGAATATCAAGAGTTGACTCCCTTTGTAAAACATAATGAATTCCATACAGTCAGTATTGACTTAATGGCTTTTTAAACTTCCAAGGTATTCCCTTAATCAAATAAACACAAACATAAATACTTGCTGCCTTAGTAGCTATTGTTGCCACTTTAATTAACTTAAAGTCCATTTGAAAATTATCTTTCAACTTCATTTAAAGCACAGAGGGTCCCCCAGTTTAAAGAAATTTCATTATTAAAATACAAAAAAAATCTTTGCAGCCTATGTTAAGAACTGTCTGTTATCACTGAAAATAAAATACAAGTTTTAACACTTAACCACCTAGCTATTGGTAACCTATTTGAGCTTATCAAGCTTCCAGTATAAGAAATGATCATTTCAAATTTTAAGGAGATCAAGATAAAGTTAGCAAGTCAAAAACATACAGCCTGGTCAGACTGCTAAAATGTGCAGGCTGGTCTGGGTCTATACTGTTGGAAAAGGCATACCACATTTTAGAGCTGTCATCGATATCGACAATATCGATGTATCGTTGATATTTTTTTGCCGATCAATAATCGATACACATTTTAAAAAATCGATACTTTTGACTTATAAATTAAATGTCTAGAAATTATAAAATTCACCCAAAATATATACAGAAGCAGTTTTTTATATCTAATGTTATGCTTTTGTTATATAGTGAAATTATTTCATAGCAATGGTGGCAAAAAATATTGTCTGGAAAAAATAATGCAGTGGACAAGACACTGTACAGAACATGTTTTTGACTGAAATCATTGAAACAGGTATGAAAGTGAATGACAGACAAGTGAGTATAGGATATTATCGATATATCGGTGTATCGTTGATTTTAGTCACTTGATATCGATATATCGTTGATATGCTTTACACTGAATCAATGACAGCTCTACCACATTTAGATTAAACAGAGTGAGGTTGAAATATTCTTGTTCCCTCACCTTAATTTTTCTTCACTGGACTGCAGGGCTTCCATTCTCTGCTTTAGACTGGTTACACTATCTAATACTTCAATGACCATCTGCTGAACAATCTGTGACTGGTGCTGTGATTTTAATACAAAAAATAAGTTTTGAAAAACAAATGATACCTTTTATTTTTTATCAACAATAATTTATATTGAGAAGAGCACACTGGAAAATTATCTTAAATTAGTAACTGGTCACATTTTACTTTCAGAACCTAGTGGTTAGAGTATATTTCTACAAATCTACAGATCTTAGTGTTAAAGACCTACTGAGGTCATACACGTTTTCTAACTTGACACCCTCAAGGTTAACAAGATAGTAGATTCATGTGCATTGTAAAAGAATTGTTTTACAAAGCTTTAGAAGAATATGTTTAAAGATAGCCCTAAAACATATAATTTCTGAAACAAAGGGAAGTAGAACATAAGAAGTACATCTCCCCTGTAGCTCTTCATTAAATTATACTCCAAATAAATAGCTGAATATATAGAAAATATTAAATGAGTATAGGTTCAATACTGTTTTTATTGACCGAGTTGAATAAAGTTTAATTATGGTGAGCATGAAATTATTTCTAAGTCAACAAAACCAACAAATTTATTGATGAGCCTACACAAATATTCTATTTATTGCATACCTACAAAGAACCAGTTATAGTAAAAAATATCTTTTTTTTTTCTTTGATGTGCCTATAGTGTAAAAACTCACATTTAGTGTGCTTTTATGATATGTAAATATCTTATTCATAAGTTATTTGTATTGTATTGTATATTGCTAATGACAAAAATATAAGTAATTATCATTTCAACTTGTAGATGAAAAGTATCAATTTATTGAAGTACATTTAATTTTTGCTTTGAAGGCTCAGAAGTATCAAATGTAACATCTGTTCTTACAAAATGATCAACTATTCCATTTTATTTAAGTTAATGAATAATTATAAGATAATAACGTGAACAGTTTCTTAATCATATTTTGATTTTAAGGATTATTAAGCAGTCCTGTAAATACTACTAATTGTTTCTATACAAATATTTTAATTTCATGGCAATATAGTGATTACTATTTCAGCAAACCACTTAGGACCGGATAAAAAGTTGACCAAAATTTAAGCCCCAGTATAAAGAAATGATTTAAATAATCATACTTCAAAGACTTGTTCCATTTTCCATTAAAATTCAAATATATGGTAAAACTGAATCATACCTGACTATCAACAGTCAACTTCAATGACTCAACATTCTGTACAAATATTTCCATTGATTCCAATGTTACAAGACTTTTGATTTGTTCCAAAACATCTTTCATCCAGCCTTCAAATTCGGCCGTCTTCCTAGTATCTTGATGCAGCTTCTCGTCCTGTAACTTCACTGACAGCAACAATTCCTCATGGGTCATTTCATCATACTGAGATTCAGGTTTCTTCTCCGTATCAAATATTTCCTCATCTTCTGCACCATCTAGACCTTCAAGGTCCAATCCTTCCTCTGACCCTGATCTGTCCATATCTAGACTAGATGTTGATGCACGTAAACTTGAATTCCGATTTTGTTTCTTCAGCAACTCTAATTGCAGTTCCTTATTCTCATGTTTCAAGTCTTTTTCTTTTCCAAGTAACACTTTCACTTTTTTGACTAGTTTTGAATTTTTTGCTTCAATGTCTTGTATCTTGACCTGATATTCTTGTTCACGCTTATCAAAGTCCTGAATTTTTCTAAGCATGTCTAGAGGAACAGAGCCTAAGAGCTCAGTATCTGGTGTTTTACCTCTTAAAAGCTCAAGCTCAGATTCATTAAAGATACTTTGAGTCAATGGTGTCTCAATGACCACTTCTGGATTTTCTGCCATTAATATTTGTTCAGATTTTTTACTGACTATATCAACAGAGTTTGCTTCAGAGTTAGGTAAAAGTTTGACTAGTTTAGACAATTTTAATTCCAGTTCCTCATTCTGAGTGATAAGCTGCTGGTGTCTATGGAACATACGAGATTCTGATATCTTACATGCCTCAATTTCATCTTCCAGTTCAGAATTAGATTTCTCATATTCTTGTAACTTTTTCTTCCACATTTCTTTATCTCTGCATACTTTATTTATCTCATCCTTTAAAACTTTCTCTCTTTCATCTTTTTCTGACAACTTATTTTCATATTCAGTCTGTAACTCTTCTAATTTTTCCTGAGTATTAGCAAGTTCTTCTTCCATTTCTTTCACAGCTTTCTTTTCAGATGACACACTCTTCATCCATCTTTCTTCACCCTTCAGTAAAGATTCAACTTTTTTCTTTTCATCATCATACATTTTCTGCACAGCTGCTAATCTTATAGCTATATCACCCTTTTCACTGTAAGAACTCTGCATAGTTTTCTTCAATGCATCATTTTCACCCTTTAAGCTTTCTATAGTGCTGTTCAGCTCTTGTTCATTTTCTTGCAAGGCAGACAGTTCTTCTTCAAGCTCATCAACAGAAGATGTGCTCTTTTTTAATTTATTTAACTCCCTTGTCAACCTATCTTCTTCCTCCTCTAATTCCATAACTCTTTCCATCAAAGAATCTTCGTTTTCTTCTAAAGATTTAATTTTAGCTGACAGCTGTCTAACCTGGGTGTCAGTTGCTGTCAATGAACTAAGTCTTGTAGCAAGTTCCTGATTTTCTGTTTCAAGAAATTGGGTTCTTTCAAACATACTTGACACCCTTCTTCCCTGATCTTGTCCGCCCATTACACCTTCCATAAAATCTCCTGTTCCAATACTTTTATCAGCTGTTTCTTTTAATACATCTCTGCTACTTTCGTAAGCTGAATCAGAAGATTGCTGTTTAACAAGTTCCCTTACAGCACCATTGTCACTTTCATCATTTACACTTGTACCCTGTTCTAACTTTTCTTTTAAGGATCTTTCTATGCCTTCAAGTTCTAACACTCGTTTTTGTAAAATGTTCAACTCATCATTTCCATTGTCAGATGATTCTTTATCATTTTTTATCTGTTCAATGTCAGCTTTCAACTGTTCATTCTTTTCCAGTAAGCATTTCTCTGATTCATCTAATTCCATAAGCCTTTCATGAAGATCAGTATTTTCTGTTCTCAATTGTTCTACTTCAAGTTTGTAAGTTACCACTTCTCTAGCTATGGTATCATAATCATCCACATTATCTGCTCTCTCTGATCGTTTCCTTTTCTTTTCTTGTCTTTTCAACCTATCTTCAAGAGCTTTTTGTTCTTTTTCAGCTTCTTGTATCACAGCTTTTAGTTTTGATATTTCTTCAGTTAAGTTTTGATTGTCAATTTGAAGCTGCTCAGGGTTTTGGTTTTTACTCTGAACTGGAACACTAATACTAGCTTCACTCTCTAATTTTACACAACTTTTATATTTATCATGAACTTCAAGTGAGGCAACATCATGATCAGAATCAACATGTACAAGTTCAACATTTTCTTGATCAGGTGGTGAAATCTCTCTTACTGCCCTTTCTGATTTTTCAGACAGTTCTTTTTCATGCTTTTCAAGTGTGTTGATCTTTTCAATAAGTTCCAAATTTTCATTAGAAAGTTTTTCATTTTCCTTTGATAACTCTGCTTCGTGATCTTCAAGATCTTGAATTTTGGACTGCAATTTCTCTGTAACTTCTCTTTCATGCCTTTCTAATTCCTCCACTCTCTGAGAAAATCCAATGGTAAGACTAGTTTCTCTGTTTTCAAGCTCTTCAATTTTATTCTTAAAGTTCATTTCAGTTTCATTAAACTTCGATATCTTTTCATTCAATTTGGCTTCATTCTCCTCGAGTTCTTCAATCCTGGTACACAAATCATCTTCTTGCTGCTGATACTCTGCAATTTCATGTTTTAGAGTTGCAATTTTCTTTTCATGCACTTTTTCCATTTCACTTATCTTTTCTTTTAAATTTTCTTCATTTTTCTCCATGGATGCTAAATTTTCTACCAAATTGTCATGAGATGCTTTCAGTTCAGATAATGCATCAACATTTTCAGATTTTTCTAAAATAGCCTTGTTTGAACTTTCATCATTTTCTTCCTTCAGTTTAGATATTTCTTTTCGTAAATCATTTTCAGCATCCTCTAATTTAGAAACAGTTTCTTTCAGTTCATTTCTATCAGTTTCAGATTTATGCAACAAATTTTCCAGTGACACAATTTTTTCATCTTTATCAAGTCTCATTTTTTCAAGTTCACTTTCAAGTTCTTGTATCTTTTTATTTAACTGTTTAACAGTGTCATCATGAATCTCTGTAGCTATAGATGGTCCAGAACTCTCTTCCATGTCATCCTTTTCCTTTAATTTTGCTTTCAAGTCATTGTTTGCTGCTTCAAGAAGTCTGATCTTATCTTCCATACAATCTCTTCTATTAGCTTCCTCATCAGCAACTTTCTTCCAATTATCTCTTAAAAGTTCATTATTCTCCTCGAGGTCAATCATTTTGGATTCTAGGAGATTATTTTCAGTTTGTAGAGTTTTAACTTGCACAGTTAAAGTCTCAACAAGTTGTACGTCTGCAGTAAGTTCGTCCCTCACATCAAGCCTTTGTCTGAGTAGTTGATTTGTTCCTTCAAGTTCTGTCACCTTTTGCGAAAGTTGTGCCTCAGCATCTTCCAAATATTTCACCTGAAATTTATATAGAATATAGTGAAAACTCTGTCAGTACATTTCAATATATAACCACTGAAATCAAATGTGTCATGTGATCAATTTTACAATATAACATATAAAGAAATAATATGATTACTAGGTATAAACACTATTTATAAACAAACATATTTACAGTATAAAAACTAATGTAATCTTGTCAGTATGAATTTCTTCCTCGGTTTCACAGCTCTTTAAAACTAAAAACTATTTTCTCCATGTGATATGTGTCTATAATTTCCTCTGAACAAATAAATTAAAGAATATTTCCCATTAATTTAACACTTGGATACATTGGTTGTGCTATAAATACTATCCATTCTTATTTGTGATATACATAGTTTATTCAATCAATAATACAAATATTGTACACATTAATATATACACAACATGTTACTTGCATGACAATCAATGGAATAAAATTAGACAATAAGACAGGAAAACAATATTTGATTATCATTATTATATGACTTAATTCTTAACATTAACTACCTTGATTTATGTAATGAATTTTCCATTCCTTTTTCTTAATTTGAAACTGTCAATTTTTTAAAAGAAGAATTTCAAATATCGAAATTTCCAAAATTAATGGCCAATACTTTACAGGGTGTTTACTCAGCATAATTGTGCCCAAGGATCTGACTCTATACTAGGTCCTGGTCAAATAATAGTGCCTAAAATATGAATGATGCTTTTCATATCCAAATAAAACTTTTAACATGCCATGCAAACAGCCAGGTGAACAATAATGATAATAACTATCATAATAAATATCATTAATGCAGTAAATTATTAAGTCTTCATACTGAAATGGCAAAAGAAATATTTGTCTAATTGTAAGATTTCAATTCTAACATAAGAACTGCATGATATAAAATTGCACAGGATGTACAAGTTAGAATTAACTAACAAATGGGATTAAAGAGATGAAGGGTTTTCCATTTTTTTTTATTTTTTTTTTTGTTTACTTACCATCTTTCACTATATATCTAATATTGTTATTATTAACATTAAGGATTGCATACAAGGCTAAAACTTGATCAAATCAATGGTGAACCCAGAATTAATCAAGTTGTTAGAATAAAAATATAATTATATTCTTCTGCTTTCAGGTTGCTTTACTACTAAAAACAAAGTAAAATTTCTCAGAATATTGAATACTTATATCATTTATTCTAAAAAAAAAACAAAAAAAAAAAAACCAAACTTTATTTTATGTAATAAAGCAACATTAAAGCAGAAAAATATATAGTTATTTTATAATATATTTTTATTAAAAAAATTTCTAAACAAAATAAAATAAAACAACATAAAACATTAAAATACATACACAATCAACCATCAAGCATTATTCACAATCTATACATTTAATCCAAACATATAAAACATATAAAAAAATCCAGATATATAAAAAAATAAAATATATCACAGCCCCAAAAAAACCCGTTAACACTATGCAATTAACATTTAACAAGTAAAAGTGACGATATTATTCCAATTAAATCAAAATATTTTTTTTAAAAATCCGGTAATTCCAATAGAGATAATCCTTTAATCCAGAGTATAATCTTTCTAATACACAAATCAAAAGCCACGCATTAAAACTGGTTAATCACAAAGACAAACTGTAATCAGATTGTTCCATTTTCAACAGACCAGAAAATCTATATTACCTATTCTATAAAATATTATATTAAGCTATCGTAAAAGCAAAACAACAAAAGATCAAGATTCGTCATTGATTAATCACTGGCAGTCGGTCACTGTAAGAAACTGTGACATACTGTCATGATTAAAGTGACAAAATCCCAACCTTTGTTGACCACACATTAATCTATAAAAGCTTCACCAAACTGCAACAGACTCCAAACAAACATTTTGTAAGTGTAAAAAACAGACACTACAAAGCTTGTGTATTTAATCAATATAAACTTTCCTGTCAAGTGTTTTAAAGGGACAAACCTCCAGATAATGATTTATAAGAACATTACCTCCCCTGTTTGAAGTTTAAAATGTCTATTGTTAAATTATCATGATTAAGTGACAAATCTATAAAGCTACACAAAACTTCAACAAACAAACATTTTGTAAATGTAAGAATGTAAGAAACATAAATAATGCAATTTGTGTATTTAATCAATATAAACTTTCCTTTCGTATGTTTTAAAAGTACAAACCTCAAGATGATTAGTTACAGTATTACCTCCCCTGATTTGAGTTTAACATATCCATTGTTTATCAAGAAACATCATTTATTTCAAGTAGAAAATGCTAAGCTAACATTATACGGGGAAGTCAAAGGCTGGGACAGCGAAGCGGGCACAGGCTTTGGCTTGCCAGGCTATAGACAACACATGTATTTTTAAAATGAAATCAAATAATACAACAATTAAAGAATATTTAGAATTCTATACCTATCAATAAAATTTTCAGTGTCAGTTCAAGTCGGGCGCCACAATTTTCAATGTAACTCAATTATAATTGGCAGGGTATTAGGATAATAAACACAATAATCACAACTTTTTCAGATTAATAATAATCGTTGAGTATTCCTAGTGAAAACGGAAGCGGTGCATGAAATACCGAATGACACCTTTAAAACGAAAAAATGAACTATTTTTTTTAACCGACTTCCCCGTTCATAGGCTCTGCCTAATTTCATATTAGAATTTGATCATATTAGACACTTAGCTAGATGCTTGAACCATGGAAAATTTTCTTACTATTCTAATTTACTAACATTTTCTTTACATTTTCTTATATGAAATTCAATAAAATATTAAAAATGCCAGTATCTTAAAAGTAGGAAAAAATGACACATTATATTTTTTGTTTAATACAACGGTTTTAGCAAATATTGAAATGAATCTGAAGGAATGTCACTTAAAAAATCATCAGCAACATACTAAATAACACAAATTTTTATTTAAGTGTGTGACCTAGTGGTTAAGGGTCTTCCTCTAAAGCCAGGGATCATTGGTTTGAGCCCTACTGGTGTCATGACCATGTTTCCTCATTTGACACCACTACTGGTTAATTCCATGAATGGGACTCAAGAGTGGGTTAAAACACTATGATCTGATACTACCCCATATCCCCTCTCTTAAGAGTTTACGCCTTCCCCTTTACCAAGTCCCTGCTTCATTCACAACATGGTCTTTCAAATATTTTCTATTTGAAAGACCCTGATCACAAGAACTATAAATAAAACTATACTTCCCATCTAAATACTATACAGGTATATTGAAAATTGTGTAACAGTGTCATATTCTTTTTTTAAAAACTTCATGTTGAAATTGCCTTTTATTTATCTATAAAATATAAGCAGGGACTTGAAGGAAGGGGGTACAACTCTATGTGGGTATTTATCAGATCACAGCATTCTGTCCCTTTGGTTCAAAAAAGCTAACAGCTTTTAGCACAATCCAAATAAGGTTTCAACAAAATAAAACATGAATAGTAAAATGCAAACATAATATTATATACTGGTATCACATTCTCTTTTGTCTCCTGGGCCCAAGGTTATAAAGAAATTTTCTCAGCCCAAACTCAGATCTCAGATATCTTGAATGGCCAGAAACCTGCACAAAATATTGCACTGATCATTGAAAATCCCTAGATTCAAGACATAGCTCAGAAATATTATTTATAACCTCAGGGCCAGTGGGCATGCTTGTAAAATATAAATAAAATTCTACATACATTAACATTAAAGAAAATATATTTGTTGCATGCATCAAAATGCTTCCCATGTACATGTATATCTTTAAAACATATTTTTTTAAATTAAAAAAAATATATAATTAAAAACAAAAAATAAACTTTCTCACTGAAATAAAAAAGTTATATTTGTATATCTAGCAAAACTTTCAAAACTCTGAGCACATCACACACAAACCTGTCTATAAATTCAAAAGCAACAAAACAGCAAACAAAACATTTGTTCAAAACATAAAAGGTAGCTAGCTACTGGTTAGTGAATATACTCGGCAAACTTCCATGCTGGCCAAATACAAAACATGAAGCATCCATGATGTACCTTTTCAAGAAGAGCTTGTTCATTGGCATCTTTATCAGAGCTGATTTCCTTTAATTCCCGTATTTTTCTTTGTAGACGTACAATCTGCTTGCGTAGTTTATCACAGTCGATGTTTCCTTCTTCTACACGATCTCTTAGGACTGTTTCAGCAAGCTCGAGTTCTGTTATATGTTTTTCTGCAAGTTTTAAACGGTCTTTACACTGACGTTCTGTGGCTTCGGCACTCTGCAGCCTCTCGCGGAGATTTTCACAAGTTTCTCGAAGTTCGGCAACTCTTGAGTCTTCGGAGTCAGATCCGGATGAATCTGAATCGCCATGACCTTTCTGCATAAGTTCGAACTTAAGAACGTCATTTTCATCTTGAAGATCCTGAATCTGCCTCTGAAGTTTGTCAACTTCGCTGAAAATTCCGGAGCGACCTGTGCTTATCATCGGCATACTGTTTATTCGTGGTCGTTTTGTTTCTAAATTATCATAGTTGACTGGTTCTATGTATTCCATATTTGCCTCTAACTGCTCGAAATGAACGTCTGTCTCTTTCCCATTTTCCGTCTCCAAAGTTTTCTGTTTTTCTGACTGGTTTGCAGTTTTGCCGGTTCCAGAAAGAGACAGTCTATTGTTTGACACAGATCCAGGTGACGTTGGTGATTCTATTAATGGGCTGTTATTTCGCTCTCGAGATCCCTCACGTTCTAGAGATCTCTGACGAAGTGCACCTAGGCCCATCTCTGCTAGTTTTAGACGATTATTCAAAACACTACCCTGTTGTTTAGGCTAAATTAAAAATATTGAATCATTTGATAAACATGATATAAATTAAATGAAAGAAAAAAAATTTGAAAGGGGTGACTATATTAGAAGAAAGGCCAAAAATAAAGAAAAACATTAAGAAATACAAGAAAAGCAAAACTTGATATAGGAGTCACATAATTACTGTCCTAAACAAAATTAAAAATATTTTACCTGATTTTACACATAACATATAATAAAGCTTATCATCTGTACAAACATTTCTTTCTTTTTATAGCAGTCTTCGAAATTAACATTTTAAAGTTAATGGCCATTCGGGCCAGTAACATTTGAAAAGTTTCTCGCCCGAAACCAACTTTATTAGCCCGAATAAATTTTTCAAATTTTGATGTTTTTTTTCTTATCTTTATGTTGAAGGTAAATAAAAGAAACACTAGAACTCCGCGAGTCGGATGTGTCGCCTTGTGAACAATGTAGTTTAGGGGAAATGGCCAGGACAAAAATGAAATATGAAAAATAACAAAGGGCAATAACTAAAAAAATAAGACCTGCAGAGTACCGGTCCTTGTGCACTGCACTTCGGGTTATTGAAAGAAGCATGCATACCAAGTTTGAAGTCAATCAGACTTATAGTGACTGAGTTATGCTCCGGACAAGCTTTAGGGGACGCCGACAACGACGCCGACGCCGACACAGACGCCGCCGCCGACACCGCCGACAAAAGTAACCCCTATATGTCACCTTTTCAAGGCGACACAAAAAGGAAATCCTATACAAGTCTTGTGTCATAATTTATTTGATTGTTATTCCCTGCATGAAAATCATTTTTCATGGTTACTACGATACAATACTTGACAATGGAAAACGGAACATAAACAAAGTTGGTTCCCAATAAATTACTCGCTTTACATGGCTTAAGGAAGTAAGCCAAGAAACTGTAGTGACGTGGCAAAAAGTGCGCGGTTGAACACAACTATAATGAATTTCGCGATCGAAAATTTTTCTCGCCAAGCGGGCAAGCAAAATTGGATTTTTTTAGTCGCCCGAATTTAATATTTACTCGCCTGGGCGATCGGGCGAGTGCTAATTTTTCGAAGACTGTTATAATATTAATATACTTTTACTATCTGCATACATTTAAGAATATGTACCTCCAATAATCATAATAACATTTTTTCCAAATGTCCTTGACTGCATAATAGTATACATTTGTGTAAGATTTTCCCCTAACTTTGCATCATGAATTCAAAAGATCAAGTTTTGTTGAAACAACCTAGATACCTTTCCTCACATGAAAAAATTCAAAGTTCAAACCCACAACTGTAAGGGCAAGTGGTTTGAAGTCAATGACCTAAACCACTTGGCCACTGACGCCCCTGTTGAAACAACCTCTAGAAACTTTAATATACATTATATGAAAAAGCAAGAAGTAAGAACATTCATACACTTCTACTACTCTCACCTTAACCTGAAGAAGTTCTTCCCTTTCATCTCTTGTTAGAGCCAGAGACTGTTCTTGTGAGTCCAGCTTTCCTCTATATTGTGCAAGCTTCTTAACTAACCCAGAGTTTTCCTTTTCACATTTTTCAAGCTTCTCAGATAACCCAGAGAGTTGTTGTTGTTGCAGGGAAACCTTGCCCTCTAACTCATGCATGCTCTTTTCAACTTCAATAGCATCGATGACATGCTGAAAAATGTAATATTTGTTCTTTCTTTATCAATAAGCATATCATTCTATGCACTAACAGCAATTGTATGAAAGTCCTTTACCCTATACATGCTTAACCTTAAGCCTGATGGCAGCAATGGAATATACACATGTGATCAGTCCAAACCAAGATCAGCTGTCTGATCATGGTCTGCATCAATAGCTAATTAGTCAGTATTTATCCGAAGTTGTCCGAAAACTGAGGACTGGTTTTGCCCAAATTGAAAACTGGATGAGTCCATTTGAAATATTTAGTGTGATAAGGGTTACTTTGTGGAATGGACATGTCCGGTTTTGCCTTGGTAATTTTTTCCACTGTTTGGCATACATGTATTTAATTATCTTTACCTAGTTATAGCTTTTTTAGTTTCAATGAAATCATCTAATTTTAATGTTATATTATCACTTATAATTTTGACATACAAACAGAATTCTCACTCTCTTTTCAGCTAACAGTTCAATGTTATGTTCAATGTTATGTGAAAAGAAAGAAATCATTAACTCAAAAAAACCTTCAAAAGTATTACTTATTTAGTTATAACCAATGCCAAAACAAAGATCTCACCTGTTCAGCCTGTTTCAATTGTTGCATCACCGTGGCAACCTCTGAGCCTTGACCTTGAAGAAGTTTTGCCAGTTTCTCCTCAAGGCCATTGATAGTGGCCCTGTACTCATCTTGTAGTGCCTCGGACATTTCTAACTTTACTCGTAGTGCTGCCTCTTTACAACATAGGGATACAAGCTCACTTGCCTGAAAACAACGGGAAAAAATATAGACTAGCATGTTCTGCTTTATGGTAGAAAGTTTCAAACATTATTACATGTATTCTTCCTTTAGTTTGTTTGTTTTGTTGAGTGTTTTTTTCTTCTCTCTAAAAAGTCTAGTACAACAATTTCATTTTTATTTCAATCGTTGCCTCTTTGAATTTTAGTATAAGATTAACTTACAACACAAAATTAGTAGGAAACATGTATTTAATGTTGATATTATAAATCATGTCATATTCTTGTATCAATGCAGTAGTAAAAAAAAATGTCATATTTGGATATTCAGTCACACATTCACTTTCTCACATGAAGGAGATGTAAGTCCTTGGTTAGATTCAAAGTCACAATAGCCATGAATTCTGTGACCTTAACAGAGAGGACTACTATATGCTATTGCAGCTCTTGGTCCAATTCCTTTCTACTTTAGTGTGTAATTATCTACATGTGTATATATTTCTTTAATAAAAATATTTTTAAACCAATCGTAACCACTCAGCCAGAGGATCCACAGTGGTAACATGGAAATGTGGTAATATTGAATTACATAACAAACAATGGTAGACATTTGCTTTTCGGTGTTACTGCTACACTTATGTGTAATGCCGGCTTAGCTCAATAGGGAGAGTCTCTGATTTGTCATACAGTGGTCACAAGTTTGATCCTCAAACAAGGCATAACTTGAAATCTGATCTTGGACATTGAGTCTTATGGTAATTAAGACATTTCTTACCTTGCTGATGCAGAAACCATGTGGAATTAGTACTCAGTCACTTGATGAGAAATTTTGTTATTACTAGTATATCCAGGAAAGCCAGTAAGATGGAGTGGACCAACTGCCAAGATATCACAATAAAAAAGAAGAAAATTTTTAACTTGACTTTAAAACCGACCAACCAAAGAAAACCATGAGTAATGCCAGGTGTACAATTACCTGTTCTTCAACTTGATAGAATCCTAGCACATGTTCATCTTCAGTTTCAGTACTGGCATCTACAGTATGTACTGGCTCAATCTGAAAATACACAATTAAAATTGACATAAAATCTTCTACAACTAATTGAAGGTCAAACTAATTAGACTCTAGGAACACAAGATAAAAATGGTAGATATAAAAGTTTCTGTTTAATATCAAAGACTGGAAGCATTCCCATTACGAAGGAAGACATTTAATCTTTTAAAGACTCACCAAGTAGAAATATTTCAGATTTACATTCATAGTCAATATGAATTTTTTTCTGAATGTAGAAGATGATATATTCAATGATAAAAATACAAGATCTTGTATGTTTCTGTAGATGAAATTATAAAAAAAAAAAGTTTGATAAAAGAAGCCGGCAAAATATAAGTTTGTTAAATTTATACAAGTTAAAGTTTAATTCAATTATATCAATTTGATGCCTGGGTTTTGTTAAATTGGCAGGAATTAAAATTTTATTCAATTATATCAATTTGGTAGGGTTTTGTTTGTTTGTTTGTTTGATTGGGTTTATGTCACACCGACACAGTATAGGTCATTTGGCGACGTTACAGCTTTACTGGTGGAGGAAGACCTCAGGTGCCCTTCCTTGCATTATTTCAGGCATGAACAGGCACCTGAGTAGAACCACCGACGTTCCGTAAGCTAGCTGGATAGCTTCCTCACATGAAAGAATCCAAAGTCCCTGTTGGGATTCGAACCCACAGCGGTGAGGGGCAAGTGGTTTGAAGTCAACGACCTTAACCATTCGGCCACGGACGCCCCCTAGGGTTTTGTTAAATTTGCACATGTTAAAATTTAATTCAATTATATCAATCATGTACCATTTTGTTAAATTGGCATACATTAAAATTTAATTCAATTATATCAATTTTGTACGGGTTTTTGTTAAATTTGCTTGATTTAAAATCTTATTCCATTACCAATGCTGTATGGTTTTGTTGAATTTGCACATGTTAAATTTTAATTCAATTATATCAATTATGTATTGTTTTGTTAAATTTACAAATGTTGAAATTTAATTCAATAACATCAATTTGATAGGTTTTTGCAAAATTTGCACTTTATTTAAATAGTACATGTAGTGCTCTCATAAAAATGAAACATATGTCTACTCATGCTGTGACTTGGCAAAGCACAGAGCACACACTTGAAATTATTCTTCTTCCAAATCATCGTTTTCTCACACAATACAAAAAATATCTGAACATCTAAAATCACAGACTCTTATCTAGATAGGTATTGGTGATGCTAATAGAATTTTGTTGTTCAGAATAAAAGTTCAGGGTCATAAAATGATCATTTGGAAACCAGTCTACAAGTCTTAACATCTGATTGGCTGATTTAAATTTCAAAATTTAAAACTGACCAATGATACATGTCCATTTTGAGACTGGTTTTAATAAAAGATATCCACAATCTCTAAAATAGACAATCTACATGTTACAATCCAACAAAAAGATTTCCCATTAGGACTTCATGGATTAGACATTAAACTGGAATTTTGTATGTTCTCTAAATAGTGGTAATTTTTAAGGACAATAGCTAACAACAATGAAAAAAAAACTCTGACAAAAAATTGTGTTGTAATTAATTTCCAAGATTTTACTATAGAAATTACTACAGTACAGTAATTACACCTGTGAACATTACTTTTCTTTAGTTTTTGTTATTGTTTTTTTTCTCACAGAAAAGCAAGAACCTTTCCCATTATAGGATCCATTACAGAATAGAAACTATGCCTATAGTATGATGAGATGTGAGGAAAATAACTTACAAATTGCTGGTATTAGCATAATTCAGGGCAAATGGAAAACATAATTAACAGACAGAATGGTAGCTTGACACTAGTATTTATATTTAGTAATGTTTTTTTTTCATATGTTACATTACTGATGGAACAGACAGCTGATAATATCATGGTGTTTTGGGGGGTTGTTCTCCTCCCATATTTTTTTTCAATCTTGATTTATTACTTAAAATAGCTATGGGTCATTATGAAACATTTCAATGTCAAAAGAAAGATTTAGTTGTATAGCCTTAATTTGTGCTTGCCTTGAATAAGTAACTGTTTATTGTCACATGGAATGATGATGATGATGCTGCTGATGATGATGATGATGCTGATGATGATGATGAATGTTATTATTGTTATCATCATATAATTTCTATCAGATAAATCAATAAAGGTTGAACATAATATCTTATATAGACAATTTGTAAGCAAAAATATAAACTTTCAAAGAATTTCAAAGAAGTCTTTTTGTTAGATTATGGCAGATTTGTAACATTTGTGAATCTTCAGAAAAAGCCTAAAAATACTTTAAAGCATTAAAATCAGGCACTCATTAAGTTTAACACCTTTCAAAGCATGCGCAGGTAATATAAATACAGTATAAAACATTATCTACACATATATTTTATGGGAAGCTGGCAGCTCATGTATAGTTCCTACCAGGTATGAAACATCAAAGTAACAATAAAACTAACAGATGGGGTATATTAATAATACCAGTGAGTCACCTTGTTGTAAAATATAGGTAAATCTTCATTAACAAAACATAAATGCTTTAGATATATGCTTCATATATGTATACATTCAGGTCCGCTAAATCCAAGTTCTTGGTAAATCCTTAATAACATAGATGGACTTGTCCTTTCTTTCATTTTGGAACAGTTCTTTATTAAATTTTAGGGATATTATAATAGAAAAATTTGGAAGTTGTTTGACATCATTATGAAGTCTGGTGAGATTGTACTAGCTCCATACTAGAGGTAATTTATTCAAAATTCTAAGTTCAGCAATAGTAATTATTAATCAGATATACTTCATTTACATGGAAACCTTCAGAACTGTGTCAAATCTGTGTAAAGAATTATCTTGTATTGACTCTTATACAATTTAAGATATTTAAAATAAAAGTGATCTACCAAAGTATAAAGTCTTCATGGTCAAACTATTGTAGACATGTTATCTAAACTGACTCTAAATTCACATCTAATAATTGAAAGAAACTCTTTTTAAATTATGCAATGAAGAATACTTAATACAAAATTTGAAGCATTGATTATCAATCTTTCTGATCAAGGAAACAAACCACAAAAAGACATTCCCTGATAAAAGAAGACATTTACACCTAAGCTGTAGGGGATGTTTTTGCACTGAAATGGCAGTTCATACAGTTTAGTCATTCATTCTGTGTAAAATTCAACAATTTTCTATCAGGTGTGTCTGTTTTTTAATTTTGAATAAAATGATGTACCAAATTCTGTAAATCTATTGCTTAAAATGTATTTGCAAAATTTTTGTACCAGTCTAATGTTGGAGAGTTTTCATTGGCTCATTTGAAATTTCAAAATATATACAACCAACGAAATGCCTGGGATTTGAGACTGGTTTTCATAACTTACATTTTTTGCTTTTTATCAAATTTGACATTTACATCCAAGTATTTGTGAGCACAGCTGTCTTTTTATCATCCAACATGTTAAATATTTCCAGGAATAATTTGTTACAACATTTCACACAGTAAATTTCCTGCAAGGTTTCATAATCTTGGCACACCTTTATCTTACCGATAGATTTTGCTTAAAATCTTTTAACTGAAGGGTGAACAAAAAACATCTGTAGCTCAAAGCATACACAATTTTATAAACATCACACATACGAGTACAATGTACTTTTCTATATTTCACATAATGCTCATTCAAAATTACTAAAAGTAGTTCCACTATAAAAGTAGTAATAATTTATTCCTACACATAAATATTCCTGTATGTCTAGAATGTTCTACAAACACTGCTCATTATTTTCTCAAAAGCGCTCTGTATTTTCTACAATTTCAACATTATTAAAGCACATTGCTCAGATCTGATATAATAAAAACATAATCAAATAGGAGACTGGCTGTAGATAAACTGTACAGAGTTTAATACACTCAGAATCTTGGAAGATATAATGACATAGACCTTTCAAAACTAGAGAGAGGGAAAGTTCTTGGGAAATATTCACAGATAAAACACAGGTAAAACACCTTTCTATGAAGAAAGGAAGTGCCATTTTTAGTCACTGAAAATAGCTTCACACTCCAACATTTTCAACAAAAGTAATGATTTATGAAGAGCCCAAATTTGTTGAATTATGTACAAAACTACACATATGTATTATCTAACATAATTATTCAGATATTTTTACAGAAAGAAGTTATTCAAGCCAGCTGAAAATGGTTTCTTAACAAGTTGATAGATCATCATGGCACACTCAAGGAAGAAAAAGAGATCCGAAAAATTGCTATTTATTTAATTGCACAGTTCGGGAACAAAAGTACTTGTAGTTCCACACAATTGTCAATGTTGCTACGACAATTAAGTTACAATAACTTACTTAAATTTTTAAATCTTTTTTTAATGCATCCCCATCATTCATTAAATAAATACTGACAAAAACTTACTTACTTTGAGAATTTCTTTCAAATTCCATTTTAGAAAAAAAATATTATTAAGATGGAGGAGAATAAAATGTCTTTAATGCAAAACAAACAGATCAACAGATCAACTAGAAAAAACAAAAGTGATATATTTCTACTAGCAGACAGAGCTAGTTAGTGAGTTATGATATAGTTGACCTTCTGAGACCATCGTTAATAAGCAGGTATGATAATGTATTTGTAAGTACATGCTGTTCTGTCAAATCTTTATGTCGACAGTGATGTACCTGATCTGTCGACAGTTATATACCTGCATGAGAAACATTGTTTATGCACGAGAAACACTTGCATGTAAATAACAAGGGAAATACTTTAGCAGTAAAAGCTATTGATGCACCACATGGTATATTGTACCTGAGTTATGTTCTAGCACTTCAAGGGTGTGTATGTGATTTCCGCAACTTTACATTATGTGATTTCCGCAACTTTACATGAGAAAATAAAACTTTTGGTTTCAACAGCATTTAACAAGATTTTTTTCGGCAGTTTTTATTATGAATATATTCTCGGGTAATACTTCACCTATTCCATTCAAGTAGTTTTTTCTCA